GGTTGGGGGGTTGGGGGGTTTGAGATGTGAAGTTACGACATGCGCCAGGGAAAGTGTCTGTCACGCAAAAGACAATGTCTCCGATGAGAGAAATTTCAGGGGAAGAGAAAAGGATAGCCTGGGGAGAATGCAACTGCAATAATGAGGAACTACCCAACCAACGAGCAAATAGATACAAGGCGTCATACCTAGCGGTGTTAGATAACGGCCTCCGCTTCCCAGCTTTAAACGAGGATTCTTGTAGTTGAATATGGCCAGCTCCGGCAATTCCGAACCCAACTCTTTTGAACAGTGGCTGAAGAAGAGACGAGGAAACAGAACTGAGGGAGAAAAGGTTACGCTGATGAAACTGCAGCTGTCATAGCTGAGTTTTGACGATTGTGAATGACGAGGGAACCTCCCATCCCTTTTGACGTTACCTCCCTGAATGATCTTGCATTATTATCTATCAGTGAAATCGATCACCAAAAGAAATATAAATTGCTGAATCGCGTGGGACCTTGATAGCACTGTAACTAACTATATCATCCCCTGGTGGAACGACATTGTCAGCCTAGAAGCTTCAAGTATGGTCCCTCTCGACGGCCCCGCAGGTGCCAGCTAACAGCACAATGGACCTAAGGCGGATCACACCCAGCTAACGAGCGTTGACTTGGAACCTTGAGATTGAATCTTGCTCCTATCGAATGAGATGGAAAATAGGTTTCAAACCCCTTCAAAACCTTAGACACGGTGAATTACAAGAAAAGAAGGGGGCTCCAGGGTTCATATTAGTCCGATCCTTGGTTGAAAGACCTAGTTTACCTTACTCCGTTATGTAGCCATGACTTGGAAAAAGATCCATCTATGCATAACAGTTTTATTCTGGACTTCGGGCTGGTGAGCCTTGGTTGAGAGATCTTTGCCAAGTCCAATCCCTTCTGAAAGCCTTTGAACAATCATCGACAGGACATAACTAGTTAGTTACTACAACCAGCGCGGTATTGCTAAAGATTACAAGACCCCCGGGTTGTAACGGAAAGATTGGTCGGTTCTATTCCGACGGTGCGTATCATGACATGTTCACATTGTTCATTCCATTAATAGTCATCATTTCATCGTTCATTTAACCCCGCTTCGAGACGCAAGATCCCGATGCTTGGTTCCCCGGCTCACTACATAAGTTGGCGCCGCAACACAGGTCCAGTTGCACAGAGTGTTTATTTTTACTGTTCTTTATTTTAAGTATATGCATACAACTAGTTACGGGTTAACCAAGTGCCCCAGCATATATCGACCAATGCCCTTGGAACGGATTCAGGGTCCTCTTCTCATAAGATTGGACGCCTCCAGTAGTAGCTAGTTAGTGGACGAGTTGAAAACGAATCACCAAATTGCCACGAGAACACATGACCTTGATTCAACTCCCTAGATATTCGAGCAAAGTGAATATTCTCACCATTGAAGAGATCAAAGGATCCATCCATGAAAACGACCTCTTTCACTTATACGTCATGTGATTTCGTGGCAATTTGGCGATTCGTTGTAAACACGGTCAAACCGTCTGAAGTATACCAAACACTGAACACAACATTTCAATAATAATGGCCTCCGTGTCTGCTATCATTACTGAGAGTCTACGGACTAGTCAAGGCTTTTACTTGCCTGGACTAGCGCTTGGTGCATTCATTTCTCATCCAACCGTAGAACTAATTATTAGTTAACTAGTTGTAAAAATGGGAATCTGTAAAATGACAAAATAAGATATAAACAATCCTTAGGCAAATAAGTGTGCTCTCGTCTTTTCCCCTTACCAACCATCCAATCAAACGAACCTTAAAGCATTCGCTTGAATGACGACAAAGAACCTCTGCTAACGCTAAGAAGCAACTAGCAGTCAATCACTCCAACGGACCTTTCCAGCCCAGAAACCTATCAATTCGATCCCGCAGTGACAATCTCATTCTGCTTGGATTAGCAGTGGGTTCTGAGACTGTGGAATTCTTCTTTGGCTTTCTATTCGGCGTAGCTAAGGGTAGCTCCAAGGTGGAGGATGATGCAAGGTTATTTTCGCCCTTTCCCGCAATGACTACACTGATGCTGAGTGAAGGAGTGCTGATTTGGCAGTCGATTTGAGTTGTATCCTCAATTTGCAGTCCCCCTTCTCTCCCTGGATATTCCACTCCGCTACTGTCATTTTCAGGCTCCATAAGAGTAACCTCTCCTGCACCACCACCACCATCAACATAGGTTACATGTGCAAACAGTCCCCTGTCTACAATGAAGGATTTCTCCCAAGAAAACCAGCCAAAGTCACCTGGACGAGGCTCGCTCTGGACACACTCTAGCTCATGATATGCGGTTTGACCGGTACAGCCTTCAACACTTAGGCGGCCAAGCTGGTATTTAATGACAACCGTTGTGTGAACGGCGAAGAATGCTAGAAGCACCTTCATGGGGGTTTTGGGGACATAACCGCAGAGAAGTTGAATAAGAAGACCCAACTTCTGGCAAAATACCATGGAAAATATGACGACTCGAATCATCTGATGGACAACCCAGTATGTCGTGCTTCTCGTTTCAAAAGTCGGCAAGCCCAAATATCCCCAGTCCCCAAAGTCCCCTGTCTCGAATTTCTCCATAATTCCTTTCATGTTAAATGATTCAGATTCTCCTATCCCCACTTCTTCGATCGCCCGGCCTCCTGAAACGCCTATTCCCCACCGGCCACGTAATGAGGGAACATATTCAGCCTGCGTCTCAGGTTTCTCGTAAAAGAGCTTTGGAGTCCACGTTGGTGAAAAGGATGGCCAGTACGGAATGTACCAGGTTATACGAAAGCACTGGTCAAGATCTTTTTCCTTGCAGAAAATCCTAACCTTTGTTGTCCCAATGTCACTAGCATTCACGGGCTTCTGGTCAATACGGAAGTCCCTATTGCCATTCTCCATTGTCCATTCAAAATAGCCTCCGGGTCCATCACTAATAATAACATCAATGGCCCCTTCTTCAGCGGAGACACTCTTCTGATATAAAGACAATACACATACAGCGGTATACTCCACAATGACGCTTGTACCAAGCTTTCTGCGACGGTTTAGAGTTACGCTGGTTTCATAGTTTAATACGCGATTATCACGAGACTCGCTTGTCAAAAGCTCCACCGCTCGCAGAGACACAACCAATGGTTTTGCTAAATTGAAATCTGCAATACAACCTGTGTCGATGCGTTCCAAATATAGTAAACAATCACTTTCGCAGTCCAGCCTTTTCTTCGTTAAGCCGTGGGGGATTTCTAACTTTAAGGTTCCCTTCCCGTATTGGTCGACAGGAAGACCTGGTATCTTCAGAAGTTGCCACCCGCCCGGTTGCGCGGGTCCCAGCGTTATTTTCATATCAAATTCAATGATAAACATCGCTTTTCCAGCAGACTTTGAAGATAGTATGTAGAAATCCCTGCAGATTTCCTCCACTATGACAAGCTCTGGGACTGGGATAGTAGATTTTTCACCGAGATTATCACCAACGGCCCATTTCTTTGCTAACTCGTCCGCTGAACTCCATGGCATGTCAAGCTGAGATGAGGGAGTAGGACTTGGCAACTTCATTGGCTTCTCAATATTATCCTTGCTCTCCGTAAATGTGGGATCGTTTTCTTTCTGGTCTTTCCCAGCTTGAATCACCCTTGCATCAGGGTAGATAAGCGGGGAATGAGGGACCTCAGTGGATACTATATCCTCACTCTCCTCCAGCCAAGTTGATACGTATTTCGATTTCTCCATTTTTTCGCCAGCACTCTGAGTAATAGCAGCGCCACTCTTCAGAGCAAGTTGCTCAGATCGACGGGATCCCCGCGGGCCAGGCCGCGGAAAAGAATTAGGAGCGAAAAAGAGAGGCTGCTTTCCTGGTTCATGTGAAACTTCCCGGCTAGACGATTTAGGCAATTGCTGAGACCCTTGGTCTGCCCTCTGTTTGTTCAATACAGAGGGCAATGTATTCAAAAGCCTTACAGGAGAGAATTGTTCGTTTCTGGGAGTAGTCGGTATCAGAGACGGTCTATGATCTCGAGGGATATACATCCCACCAGACTGAGGGTTTTCTGATTTTGGTGGGAAAGCAGACGCAATTTTCGAGCTATCCTCGTCAGGTTCCGACGGATACAATAATAGCTCGTCAGCTAACCCGGACGGCCTTGACAGACTTGGTGCTCTAACAGGAATTTTGCTCGAAGGTCCTTTTACCATCTTCGGGCTGATAGAAACCGAGATTATTGATGACTTGGTCTGCCTAAATGCATCACTCACTGCTCGAGTAGAAATTCCCTTTCTTCCACTATCGCAATCAGTTCCCGTTGTGGAAAAGTCAGTGGGATCAGAACCATCTTTGAACTCAGATACCCCGGCACCCATTTCAGCGTGTGCCTCTCCACGTTCTGCTCGACCGACATCGAAGCATTTAGTAGCGGAATGATACTCATTGTGTTCCGAAATGCTTGTATTTGAAGCGTTAGGGCTCCTGCTATCTCCACCGTCGTAATCTTCGTCTGCGTAATCACCCAGAGGCAAACATGGGTCCTCTAGTCCTGAGCTCATATCATCAAATGGAGGGATCATTTCACTGGCAGTGCTTGTTGGGCTTGGGGGGAACAGTCTCCTTTTCGTAGAGAGAGGTGATAAATCCATTCCCTTCTTGTATAAGGACCGTGGTGTTTCATCAAAGTCCTCCACAGGCAAGTGAGGCAAGATGCTAATTTCCCCCCCTATTTGAGCTGGGCCATCAAACTTTAGCAACTCAATGCCCTCATTGCTCAAGTCAAGAAGTCGAAGTTTCGTATTTGGTGCGGGCACGAACTTTTTCAAGCATTTGTCAGACTCACTGCAGGGCTGATTTGCTTGTTGATATTGGCGAGAGTGGGGAATGTGGAGAGCTAAGTAGCCAGGGGAGGGGAGGGGAGGGGAGGGGAAAAAGGGGTTACCCATTGGGCTACGTACCTCAATCTTCGCATGGAGGATGACATGACTTGTTGGGTCACCATCCCACTCCCCTCTCAAATCAATCTTATTAATTGACGTCTGAGAGAGAGAGGGTTTCGTTGCCATTATTTCCGGCATCATACAACTAACATATACCTGGCTGGCACTGCACCAGTTCGTAGCAGGTGGTTAAACCTGAGCACACGGATAGGACAGCTCAATCTCTGCAACCACAAAAAGAACAACGGGGTTAAGGCGAAAACGGACTTGAGAGAAAAAGAAAACAGGGGGGCCAACAAAGCGCGGGTCCTGAATAGCTGACAGACTGAAGACTTGGGGGTTGGACCAAAACAGATGTTCCTAGGAACTGGTTAAAATTTAGTTGGCTGCGGCAGGTTCACGCTGTTGTTTACATCTAACCACCGCGATGCCAGGGAAACAACTGCCCCTGCAGCATAACACGCCTCACACACAGACACACAAACATTGCCTTGTTGTGTCGTGCTGGGTGAGCTCAGCTTCTGCACTGATAAGGTGACGATGATGAAGAGACAATCCACTGCTACGTAACATGCTTGAATGCAAGATATCGGTGCACACGGGGGCAGGATAAATGACATGGCACACAACTCGTTCGTGACAACCGGCAGCTGGAGTCGTATAATAATAATAATAATAATAATAATAATAATAATAGAAGGGAATCCTTGCATTATCAGACCAGATAATATCAGGCATACATTTTCGGTAGGTCAACAGGGGCAAAGCCAACCACTTTCACAAGACCTCCAATCCAATCAGGGATATAATAATATATTTTAAGGTAATCTGTATGAATTAAGACGCCCATCTCCAAAATCCACGCCTTTGCCAACTTTAGAAATATCAGTCCCCTATTTACCAGACCATTTTAGCGTGAACTGCACAAAAACCAAAGGGAAACAAATTTGAACAAAGTTTTGAAGTTAAACTGATTTTGTGTGATAAAGGACACCCTTTCAGTGTGTGGGTGGAAGGGGGAATAATGTACAGGAGGAAACACTATGCAATTTTTGAAAATTCCCCATGGACGAAGAACGAAACGGAAAAATAAAGTAGAATAAAAAAAGAATAGCAAAAGTACAAAAACCCGTTATGTCCTTTGGCGCCAGGTATAGCTGTATTTGTACCGAACCGGATCCCGAACCCCCTTTTTTGACACCTTCAGTGCAAATCTATCCAAACGAACGAAAATGGAAAAATAGAAACCCCCATGTCAAAAATACAAGTTAGAATCGTAAGCCGAAAAGAAATCTCAGCGCGGAATCAGACGTATGAATATACAGACAGCCCGATATCAATCCTGATAAGACACAGCTTATTGCGGTGTCGAATTGGCGGGTGTCCCAGGTGTCTCGAAGCCGGCCTGGCTTTCGTTCCCATATCTCTCACCATTAGCCGGGGGTCCCGGCTGAGAAGGAAGAATAGGAGGAGTTCCTTGTATGGATTGATCATAGTAACCCCGCGAACTGCCGTTGCCATTTGACGGCAATGCCTGGCGATTAGATTGCAGAGGCGGGAGAATGGTAGTGCCTCCCTGCTGGTACTGTGATCGCTGGTACGCCTGAGGCATCATCCCCATGCCTGTGGAACCTGTAGTAGAAGATTCAGGTGAGTGCCCCTGTGGATAGGCAGAACCAGCTTGTCTCACTTGAGAAGGACTCTGCATGTGTCCTGAAGGTTGACTAAAAGACTGACCAGGAACGATCCCCCCTATATTCGCTGCCGAACCAGCCCGGCCTGTAGTAGATTCGCCCATCTGAGACATCTGTGACGAGGAAGCCAGGTTGTATGGCACTTGAGCACCCGAATATGACGGATACCGTTGCTGGCCCATATACGCACTTCCAGGTGACCGTATCGACCCCATAGAGTCATCACCAGCCCCAAAGGGAGTGGGTGTAGATCCTTGCTGCGCCTGTCGAATGGAATATTCGGATACCCCAGTACCAGCAGTAGTGTACCCTTGGATGATGCCTTGCTGATACGCTTGGCTTTGGTACGGATTGGCCGCATGCGGTTGGTATGGATCCATTTGTCGACTGTATCGAGCATCACCATCGTACAAACCTCGACCGCTCACATCGATAGAACTTCGTGAACGCTTGGCTTCAGGTCCGTTGTAGTAAGCGTAATCTCGATTTTGATATGTCGCTCCCATTTGCTGATTCGACGCAGTAGAACGCTCTGGAGAACGAGGTGGTAGTTGAGAAGAGTAATCTGGTTCTGTGCGAGGTAACGTTCGTTTGCTAATACTTCGTCAGCTGCTTCCCTCTGCCTTCCTTGCATACCATTTCGCAGCTGGGAACTCACAGTAGCGTACGAGCCTCCTTCCGAATTCTCAACTTAACACCCTGGTCCGCAAATGATCTTGAAAGCCACGTCGACTCCGCCATCCCGGGGAAGTTCTTTGGAGGGGAGACTAGTAAGATTAGCGAGTGTAAAACACCACCTCTCTGCAGAATAAACCTACCAGTGAATGGCTTTGAAAGTATTGATTTTATGAACACAACTTCATCTCTAGAGCCGCCACATCTCTTTACTCTATTTTAAAATGGTTAGTAGTCACAAAGAGGAGGTAGGTTCGAGGGGGATCATACTCGCGCATCTCATACAGATTGAACTTCAATCTGAACTCCCCTTCAATCTTGATGGAAAGGTCGCCAAAAACGAAGAAGCCGCCTTCTGAGGACCCCAATGTCAGACAGTGAAATATAAAAAAAAAAAAAAAAAAAAAAAGGGACATGACATTGAAATCCAGCAACTAACCCAGATTGTCAGTGTCCTTAAGCCGATGAAGGGATGAAACCAGTGTTCCTGCAAGAGCTGTTGATTGAACTGCGGTTGCTGGTGTATCCTCTACTGCACTATACAGAGTGCAGCACAGGAAATAAAATGGGCTTTGCAGATAATTCCTTCGCACAATTGTAAGTGACCAACCACCAAATTTCATTGTTGTTTAAGGGAGAGCCTTACTGCCCTGGGTCTTTCGATTCATCAATTTTCAGTTGGATGATAGGTGGAGGATCTACCGGTTTGCGTTCTGAGTATATAAAAAAAAGGCAAAAAAAAAATTAAAAGAAAACCATCAGTCCTCGGCCATCACGTTGACGAGAAGAGAATTTCAAGGTCTGAGCCATCATCAGGGTTACCTTTTTCTTTGCCCCCCGCTACACGCGCCCGCTCTGGATTCTGACGAACTATAAGCCGGAAGTCCGCGCTAAATAGCGATCAAGCAGCGTCAGTGATGATGATGGCCGAACAAATGCCATAGCAAAAGGCAAGGAAAAGAATTTAGCAGACCTATAGGCTACATACTTTTGGAGGGCTGGCCGCTGTGAAACAGGGTCCTCAGGATATGACGGGGCGCTCATGAAGGTCAGAGTGTTGGGGGTGTTGGTTTGCAAAATATCCAAGGATAGCTTTTAGCTCTTCTCCAGAAGAAAGGGTTCGCAAGACCCAAGGATTGGTATATGTGATCCTTGTAGGCGGTACCTGGGGATAAGAATGGAGTTTTAGAAATGGATTCCGTCCAAGAAATACACAGCAAAAGCTCCGTGTCGAAAAGAGAGTCGACTATCAATATAAAAAACCGAGCAATCGACAAGGGATGGGGGATAGATATGAAGCACTATATCACGGGTGGGGACGCAGTGGGATAAATCTGTTACATTGAAACTGGAAGAGTCGAGGCCAGAGAGTATTTTGATGGATGGCAAACATACCTCAGCTGTAAGCAGCGTCGTCAGAAACCTTTTGTGCTTACAAAGGGAAGGTTAACCTGGCCCAGCGGCAATTTTGCTCGATAAGCTTTCTGCCCGAGACAAGCAACTCCTCAGTCAACGAGAAGAGCGAGAAAGAGCTTCCAAACCCCCCCCCCCCTTAGGGCTACGGCTTCTACGTAGCAGCAGCAAGTAGCAGTGGCAGTAGCCAAAGTAGCAATAGCAGTCTCAAGCGAGGGGTTTGAGGAAGCTCGAGTTAGGCTTGAGTTGGAAGCTTGGGAGCAAAGTTGCCTTCTGTGGATCGAACGAAAAAGTGGAGCGAACCGTGGAAACGTTTCGGAGACACTCAAGTTGCAGCTGGTAACAAGATAACAACCATGGGCAGATAGTAGACAAGCAAAAACGTCACTGAAGAGCTTGGAGATGGGCTCCCGAATTGACTCCCCAGCTATGATGCGTAGACACTCGAGTGGAACCGTAGTTTCTATCCTGGCCAGCGTATTTCAAATCGTCAGAAGGTTAGGTGGGAACCAAGAAATCGGCCTGGACTCCCCGGTATTTGAGTTTAACGGCTAACTCTGACCAAAACCCTATCGGGATAAAGGAGGGTCTCTCTGGGGCGTGGATGGGGGTGGTGGAGGGGTGATCCTCGAGTCAAATTCCACTCGACCAACGAGCCGTCCGTTTGCAGCGAACTTCGAAGTCTGGAGATGTCTGTAGACCCGTGATTGACAACTTCTGTATGCTGGTGTATGCGTTACAGAGGCAGAGATGGCTTATTCGCTATAGAATGATGTGAGACGCCGGTTGCCACTTGGACTTGGGCGCCTTGGGAGAGGCCAAACCTATGTATGGTATGCTTATCTGCTCGGGTACGTGGGTAATCTCCGTATCATTCCAGTGGAAATCAGTAAATAGTGAACTTGGTAAAGGGAACTTTTGGCATATCACTGTAGTATCTCGTAATCAATTCCAAACAACTCTTTATATCTCTTATGTCATGTCCAAGAAATTTTCGGCACTTCAAATCACCTAGATTGGCTCTTCTTGTCGCAGGCTGCACTCCTGCTATGTTGTTCGTTGTTGTGCTTCTTATAAAGGTCGATATATGACTTGCGCGGTTAGAAAAACCGGATCAAGAATGAGAAGAGAGAAAAGTGCTTGGAGAGGGGAACTGTCCACCAGCGGAAAAACCCTGAATCACGTAAAAGGGATAAAGTCTACGACGTTTTAAAAGAACCTTCGACGGACAGACAGACAGCAAACTCGACACGGTCAAGATCGTCGCCCATTCGACACCAGGTCCAGAAGGGGGGGATTTGTATTCATGTACAGATGAGAAAGGAAAAAAAACCAATGTCACCAAGATCTGCGAAAGGGGCGGACGGTTTGATACAAAGAGCATTAGCCACCATGCAGCGATCCTGCAATGCTGCGACTTCGGACTGGTTTCTTCTCCTCTGAAGTCACAGGATACTGTCGATGGGAGGAAGGGCTGAGGCGAAGAGGATGTAACGTTGGGGGAAAGCTCCATAATACAACTGTATCGAATACCACATACAATTCTGAGAACTGTCCAGATGGAAATCGTATATCCTACGGCTTGCAAAAACACCCAACAAGAACCTCTGTTTGCCTGTCAAGTGAGCTACCAGCTCCCAAATTATTATTTCTGCCGATCCAGGCCTAAAAGATCGAACATCTATTTCCGATGCAGAATGGTGGTTTCGAGAAACAAAGGGTTCGGGATTGCGACGAAAATGATTAAAAATATGGCTACCTACTCAATGGCAGAAGGGCTTGCATGCAGCAGAACGACGGCTCGAATAATGTGCGATGTTTAAGTCAAACGGTCAACAACTAAAGACAGAGACATCTCCGGCATGTTGGCTCCCTGCTGGCCTCGCAAAAGTGTGTGAGAAGTCAATGCTCCAGACCCCTGTTCAATGGGGCTTGAAAACATTGACCAAAAAAGGACGGGCCAGATGCAGGAAATCACATCTTATTGGAGGCACCACATCACATCTCCGGCAGAGGTACGGCCCAAGTGACGAGTGATATCAAACTAGACGCTTTAGCTTTAAAAATGGGGGACCGTGGTCATGAACAGTCAATTTTCCGTTGTAAAAAATCGGGCGTAAATGATGTCCAAGCTTGGTGGACATCTATGTCCGGAGGGAAGAGGGCAGAGTCCACAATGCCGTCAATAATACGAATGATGCACATAACGATACCTGGAAACTGAGCGCAAACAGAGCTCGACTTGTTGGCCATCTTGGCTGCTTGAGTGCAAACAGGGCGCACTTCTCTTAATAATTGGTGTTGAACAAGCGCTGCAAACCGCAGACATGCATACCACATAAAATATGGTCTGTCAACCCAGTCACGTTTGATATATGGCAGTGGGTGCTCTGGGGAACTGATACCAAGCTATGTTCCAGCTGTCCAAGCTTTCCTGGGGCTGCAAGGACGTTTCGCGATATTCACACGCGGTTTCGACGCTGTAATCATCCAGGTCAAACCTTTTAAGTCCTGCACACGATTCTCCACATCGAGTGGGTAAGCCTTGGTTCAAGAAAAGACGCCCCCTGTAAGCGCCCGGCTGTTTCGCGTGGCTATAATTGAAGGTGTGAAGGGGTCATGGATGAGGTACCTGGGTCCAAGTATCGTTAGTGTGGAACATGCTCAGCACAAAACGGGGTCCAAGTCACTTCTCGAGTTCAGGATTGGGATTTCCGAGAAGCTTCAGCCACGATCGAAACAGGTTTCGGATATTTTAGCGTCCACGGAAGAACCTTGGTCAATTGCAGATCCAGGATCGATGGAGCCATATGTATCTTTCCCGATTTCTCCTCAACAACTATTGATTCGCGCTTCGTATCATAACACACCACCTCCTGAACAACGAATATCGGAAGGTCATAAAGCAGAGTAATGTTCAAAAGTGCTTCATCGAGACGCCAGCTGATGATTCGTCATCAGCCGCAAAAGGCCATCTCAGCTTAGAATAGTGGACTCTCTGCAGATGGGGGGGTTTGGGAAGAAACGAGGAAACGCAGGAGGCTTTCCTCCAACTCGGACCTTGATTAGACCAACCTGTAGCTAGGACCCCATCCAGCCAATCATGCCGAAGCGGATTCACCACCAACCCAGAAAATATCTGGCCAGTCAAATTCATCAGTGCACCAGGATACCACTGCTTGAATCAGCCCAACCAACCCCGTGTCGTCGGCTTCCTGAAGCCCTTGAACCGGCATTTTTATGTCCCAGTCTTTGGGTTGATAACAAGTGCCGGGTACCTACAGCTACATTGGTCCGGTTCTTGTGAAACAGCTTCCTCAACCTGCCTCATGAAGTCTTGATTTCTATTGACGCCTCGAAAGACACACGCCGATATTTTGCGAGGATACAAAATCTCATCCCAACCTGTACCATCTGTCACCACAAGATCGTGTGATAACAAGCCATGCTTTACAGCTTATGAAAGCTACGAAACCTTCTCTCAATCAGTCAACTTAAGCAAAAGTATTCCCTTTAGTTACATGAACTGCATCAGACGATCGCATCAATTGGGGTTCAAGGTTATTTCACTGAAAAACGATATCGAAAGACATAACTGCTTGTATGTACATATACATTTCAAGACCAAGCGATTCCTTGATAACAGGCGCGAAGAAAGTTTACCCCTAAAGTCATTAGTTATTACCACCGGCTAGTTACCAATCTTGGAACTTGCTTCTAGGCTTGATTTACAGATATCATACTCAAGCCTCAACCACTCTCTTAGCCCCATGATAGCTCCTTTAGTTGCTGTCAACATGGCGCCCAGATTTCGAATCCATGGATACCTGAAATTAACGTGCTTCACCTTCTTTGAATCCATGGATCTCTTTTAACTGACAGGTCCCTCTTCTCAACGTTGGTATTGATCCGCAAGACTTGCAGAATCTTGACCCGGATCCGTCCAGGAACTAAAAGAGTTTATCAACATTCAAGATTACATACGACTGTATCCCAGTCACCTTCTCCCTGCAAGCTGACATGGGGAATTTAAAATCCTTTCCGAATCCCATTCGACAGAGGATTTTACATCTATGATGAATCGGTCCCATCCAATACGTCCGTTTTGCCGTTCAATCGGGGTGGCAGTAGGCAGCCAGACAGAAGTTAATCAATCTCAAGCCCGTATCTTATGACCACAAACTGATGCTTCCAACCAAACTTCTCCAAGCGATTTCACAACAGGCTGTGAGAGCTAAGATACATGTAAACATCCCTGTGGACAAAATTGAGCTTCAGTGAAGGCAAATCTCATAATTGCGCATGCCGATGGGACCATCATCTCCATTCCTCGCTTGAAGCTGGAATTCCCGTGCTTCGAGCTCAGAATCTCATGAAAAAGGTTTGCATTCGATCGACCAATAACGAATGCCGTATCAAAAAATAGTAATAATAATAATAATAATAATAATAATAGTAATAATAATTAATTACAATTAGTGACACTCAATGATAAGTTCCTCTTTCCATTGCTTTTTATCCCCAACCCCGTCCCTTGGCCTCTTGGCAATGCTAGACTGGAAGCCTGGATGTGGACTACCACTCATCATTTGAGCCAAGCACACTTGAGTTGAGTGCGTATTACGCACCCAATTAGGTTCACCATCTCGGGACCATCGGCTTGACATATCCTTGATCCCTGTTGTAGGAAAGCATTGGATCCATGGTTAGTGGCACATCCCAGATCGACATCACGCTTGCACCGCTTGGGCCCCTGTCTTGAAATACTCAAGAGAATGCATAGAGCGCCAGCACAGTGCACACCAGTCGAACGTGCTAACTCCTTCAGAGTAACTCTTCCTGTTCTTATTTTCCCTTCCTTCCAACAAGTCCATGGCGCTTGATCATCAGGGTATTCTCGAAAGGTCGCCAAGGACCCTTCGGCACCGTATTTTCCAATACTTGTCGCACCAAATAGTTCCATGAGTCAAAAGCCAATCTCATCTCAAATCTGAGAGATTACGGGGCCAAGGAGTACACATGGATAATCTTCCATTCAGGAAATTGGAAAAGAATTCGAGTTAGTTTTTGGATGAGAATTGCTTCTCATGTCTCGTCTATGTTTTCTCCCCTCAAGATCTCCTCTCGCCCAGAAGCCCCTGATTACAAGGATGGAAAAGAAATTCTACACCCTCTACGCCGTATTCCATAAATATATGTGCGACTTGAGAGATGCGGGTATACAAAATTATGATGAGAATGGCGAACAAGAGATACTTTTCATAACTGAGGCTGAATCGTTAAATGACGCGGGAATGATAGACGTGGAAACTACTGACGGAAGGGGATGCAGCAACCCATTTTTCTATTACTACACCCGTTTTATTCAACCTTCGACATGTGGCAGGTGTTAGATTCTTCCATGAATCCTGATTATCTTCTCGAAGAAAGAGGCTGAGAGAAGAGGAAAGTACAATACTGGTTAATATCTGACCAGAAGGTCCAAGTATTTATTCGACTATCTTGCACGAATATCCAAATCGTTGAATGACCCCCCAGCTGAAATCGACATCCATAAGTTCACAGAGGAGCGAAACCTGGGTCCGGATTGGGAAGATTACTTGGATCCAAGCTAAACATCCGCTGCAGCCCATATATGGAGCTCCGGTTCCAGTTCCCATCCGGGACAGCAGACGAGGAACAGCTGTGCTAGATCCAACATGAATAAATACATAATCCGCATCAAGGCCTCTCCGCATTATGGCGATTAATTGATTAATTGTCGTGTGGCTGAAACTCTCCAATTAAATGACTAATCCTGTCTTGATAACTACACACTTAGTGACGGAAGTGAAAGATAGCAAGCAAAGAAAGTCTCAAGGCTGTGTTGTTTGCTGACTTGGAAGGGCACATGAATACCTCGGGAAGGATCAAGGTGGCCTCGTGACAGACCATGACGCAGCATACCTGCTCAAGGTCATTCTTCGCCTCGGATTTTCGTGGATATGTCTCAGCTTCCGATCAAGGAATTTCCTTATCTCGTGCAGTTGTACTTAGGTCTGTATATATTTGGAATGTGAATCAGGCCATCACTCTACCAGGGGGCGCACGCCCTTGACCGTAAAGTTTACGAAGCATGGTGGACGATATATGCCACTAACTCCCTGGCATCGAAATATGCCGTGGATAACAAGCCCGCCAATATCCAGACGGGAGGTTAAGGTTTATCTGAAACATTATTTCATTGGTGCGGAGGAATGATTGATTTGATGTGGGGAGATCCCAGCAAATGATCAACCATTAGTTCGTTGTTCAACCGATCAGATGTCCAGGAAAGTAAGCCGAGATGTTTGGACCTTTCAACTCCAAATATCATGTGGAGTGTAAGAGCTGACTATGCTCTCTAACAACATGGAGTCTTATTTTTCAATAAAAAAAAACGACCAGGTTTATGTGCCATACTGAGCAAGAGGAAAATGATCCAGCACATTTCAACAGGCTATTCTTTCTCCATAAATTTTACGAGCGTGGTGATGGTGGGTCATACTTCGTATATCTAACCTGGAACGGACAGCGAACAATTGTTAAATTCAGAGAGAGAATGCAGAAAATAGATAGGACGCTATTACGAGTCGCATTTTTATCAGGTCCCTGAGGAATAGATAAATTGTCTAATAGAGTAATTGTAAGATCTGTTAGCATAGAAAACCATTTCGCCATATACTTTTCCGTTTCAAAGGTGAAAGGTAGATTTTCTCATACTCTATTGCTTCTTCAAAGGAAAAAGGTATGCTACCCAGGATTAGCGAAGATCGCCAACCACTCTTTATTTTAAGCAGGACAGATAGAAAGCTAATGTTCCTAGTTACGGGAGAATACCATGGGTAATAAGTGCAGCCCCAAGGAGCGGAACCACAAATCCGATTCAAGCTTCTTCGGAAAATTCGATCAAACTGTGGTTTGCGGGTAACACACATTCATGTATAGATGGGGTTACTTTTTATGTTTGTAAATAAAGTCGTCCCAGCATTATTATTATTATTATTATTATTATTATTATTATTATTAAAGCATAGAGAACAAATATCATGTTTTACTAAAACTTCAGGAGAGAGAAAAAAAGATTGATCATTTTCTCAATAGACTAACCAAAAAAGAAACCCGTATTTCTCTAGCAAGAGATTAAGCCATGACTACGTTTATGACCGACTCCGTGTCAACTAGGCAGCAAGTGGACCTCAGCCAACAGCGGTGGTCGGTATCAACTAATTGATGTACATACTACTGTAGCCTTGCAGGAAATCTGCACATATACTGCGCAAGCACAGAGGAAGAGATAGGCTCCGTGCTATATTGTTTTCTTTGTCTCATTGAATGTCCATTTTCTGAGCTTAGAGAGGAGGGAGGGTATGATTCGAATATCATTTGTTGATTTTTTAAACGACGCAGTTGATTAGAAGACGCCTCGCTATTCGCCTTCAGCAGGCTAATTCCGCTGATATTTCAGTCTATCATTTCTTTGTCCGCTTTTGCTCTCCATCCCCAGTCGCGTCCAATCGGACATGAGGGTCGGCAATAGCTTTTCTGCGCGTCTTTTGCCGCCCACGCTGGCCTCCATAATATCGGTGGCTGGTGGAAATATCCAAAAAAAGAAAAGAAAAGAAAAGAAAAGAGAAGAGAAGAGAAAAAAAAAGAAAAAAAAGAAAAAAAAAAGAAGAAAAAAGAAACGAAAGTTAAAATAGTTACACATCAGACCACATACATCGTAGGAGAAAAGAAATAATAATAATAATAATAAAAGAAAATGAGTAAGGAAAAAAAATTGTTTTAGATGACTAGACTGGGGTTCGATCCCAGGACCTTATCGGCACACATTGTGGTTAACTAAACTTCCACTTGCCCAGTGGCTATGTGAGCGATACGTGATAACCAACTACACCATCCAGTCACTTGTTGAGGTTAACTTCGCCGCGTATGTAGTGAAATCAGAAGGGAAACGTGGGTCAAAACCACTTCAACATTCCAAAATGCAAAAATGTATGAGAGAAGAAGAACAGACCAACAATGGCAATAATAATATAACATGCGTGCGCAAATTTACTAGCCAGAGTCACAGCGGGTGGGGTAGCTAATTAAGCTCCCCAGAGCTAATCTCTCGATCTGGCGTCTTTTCACACAACAGAGATATATTTCTTTCTATCTAAAATTGGCCGTCTCGTCTATCATTATGGTTGCAGGGGATTTTTTCCAGAAAACTACGTCTACTGACTCTATAACAGTTGGCTCTATAACAAGGGTAAATCGTCGTCCCAGATCGGTCTCACAATCTCGCCTATCTACTCGACATAGAGCCGTTTGTTTCATATAGGATGGAGATCTAGGGAGAGGAGGGGTTAAATGAAGTCGAATACAAACTCTCCAGAACAAGACAAGTAACACCCCAAAGCATATATAATACTCCGCCGATCACACATGGGTAAGCTCCACTGTTGAACGTGGGGGCAAAAATTCAATATCCATTACCAAGTTATCCGCAGATACAACATCGCACGGACACAAGGTACCATTTAGCCAGAACCCTGGTAACTTTGGTGGCTCAAGATGCACGTAATGAGAACCAAAGCATGCTGTACTCTAGACAATCACTTCTGGTGGCTTGAAATTAATATGGGGTAGAACAATGTAGCAGCACTTGGTAGCACTCTCTTGATGAGTGGGAGAACCTTGAGGGCAAGATCATAAAAATAACATACGCCATAGCCATTCCATGAGCCAAAAGAAAATTCCCATAGTTTTAAATTTGTTCAAACCAGAAGCCATAAGAATAAAATACAGGGTTGTCGGCATATTTAGGGGGAGGGAATGCAGGAAGGTTGAGGAAAGGATATGCCATATCAGTTTCAATGTAAAGGAAACATACTGTGAAACTGCAGCCAGTGTGAATTGGAGGAGTGGGAAGGTAGGAAAGGAAAGGAGAGCACATGTGTTTACTTTAGGTTGCAGGCCCGAAAAAGGGGAAATAAAAATGTGTAAATCTGTAAATGTGATCAAGAACAAGATGATGCGGGGAACAAATGTGGAAGAAATGTAAAGCCAAACGGTTGTGGTGTAAAATAAATGGAGGCAAAAATATCGCTGACTTGTCCATGACCCCGCAGTGAATCAATCCATGTAATAAACCCTTATCACGCCTACCACAAGAAAAGAAATGGAATTCCAATAAGCTCCCATCCTATATCCCATTTCTGTCCCTCGTTGAAACATCTTGGATCGTAGATGCAGAAGTCGGCGTGCTGGGACATCTCAGGTACCTAAGGTTCTCCTCCAATACCGTCGACTGACTGGAGACAACTGTCCGCCCCGTGGTTAGACCCCTGGGAACTTTTATGGTTCACGATATCTATATCCGCGGTGCGGCTCTTGTGAACTTTGCTGACTCCGGTTGGTGAGACAGTGCATGCAACCTTGTCAATATTGGTGTTGCCATCTTCGAGTGCACCAGCAGTTTTGCCTTTGCCATTTGATTGGACATCCCTCTCAGAGGAAGCATCATCATCATCGGCTCTGTGATTGGAACGGACTTCCTCTTTCGCCTCAACATCCACACCAGCCGTATCAATTTGCGCCGGACAACATTCCGACATTCCCAATTGCTCAAGTTCGCCAATTTCCCTGCTGTCGATGCCGTCTCCCATAGTTTCGTCAGCATCATTGTTATCAAATAGCTTACTGCTTCTCCCCCTTCTGAGGCGAGACCCTCTACTTGAAGGCGTTAGAGTGCTGGTAATCTGGCTGGTGGTTCGCTTCGGAGTACTCCGACCACTTGTCCGGGCGGTTGCCGGAGCCGTAGCCGCAGCCGAAATTGCGCGTCCTTTATACTTGTTGGCACGTGTTGAGCCAAAAGGTCGACCAGGTCGTCGTTTCGTGACAGTTCCTTGAATGGGAGGGAATATTTCGAATCGTGTGGGAGGGATCCCAGCTGCTGGATTGAGCATAGAGGACGATGTTGACGGAGTGCTGGCACCATTAGTTTGCCTCGACGAAGAGCCACGAAGAGGCATTACATTCATGGACGGTGGGCCAGGGGGATCAAATGGAGGAGAGGCAGATGTAGCTCGGTTGCGTCCGTTGAACATGCCGTCTTGCGAGCTAGATGTATCGCCATTCATGTTCTCCAACTTGCTGGCACCATAAACATTGTTATCGCCGCTGCCTTTAATGTCTAGTTCACCGTCGCCGTCATTCTCGTCTCGCGGAGCGACCGTATGTAGAGGTGCCCGGTCGTAATGTGACTGATTGCTGCGACCCATAACGTAGGGAGTCCAAACAAGAGCGTTTGGATTCAGCCGTATATAATTTTTTTTCTCCCAGTTTTGAATATATTCCTCAAAATATGCGTAATTTAGCCGTAGGGCATAAGTTTTTGTCTGGGGATCCCTAACTAAGGCCCGCAGTCCTTCTAAACCTGATACGATATCATCCGCTGTCATACCGGTACGTTCTGAAAGTTCCGCAATGCTAACAGGAGATTTTTGATGCCGCAACTGGTATGACAAAACAAGTCGCCAGTAATTGCGATAGGAAACAAGTCCCATATCTGAGAGGGGTTTTTCCGGAGACCCTGTTTTGCGTTCCACCCTTGTCAAGAGATAGGAAAAGTCAATCAGAAGATTGCCATAGCCTTTCCGTTGGTGAATGGGGAGAGTTAGTATGCAAGATACATTATTTGACGAGCTAGGTCTCTTCTCTTTGCTAAAGTAGCCGACGAAGTGACATCCCAACTCATCATATTCGGTCATGACATAAAATAGAAATGGTTCGACGTCGTAATAGAGAGTTTTAGACCCGAGGAAGAGCTTCGCAAGCAAGCAAAGGTTTTGGCAATATACCGGGTTCTTGCGGCCGTCAACCTCGAAAACAGAGACAGATCCATCACGGTAGATCTCGTCTCCAGGCGGATGTTTCGCCGGACATTTGAGTTTGTGGCGCCAAGCGACGAAATCCGAATTCATATATTTGAGGCAGAATTCGCAAATGTAGAGAACTCGATTTCTACTATACTCTTCTGGATAGGGCGCAGCATACCATGTTTCAATCTCATAACCACCAAAGCTTATGTATTTAATTTTACTTGGTGGGCCGGAGACCTTTTGTGAAGCACGAGGTGCGGACTCCCCGTCTTGCTCAGCAGCGTTCATTTTTTGCCTCCATTCTTCTTCGGCTTTTTTACGAGCAGCCTCGAACTTCTCACGATCTGGGGCAAGAGGAAGTGTTTTTGATGTGTCAGCATCAGCTTCTGATAATATTCCTCCGTACGGTTTTGATTTCAATTCATCGTTCTCCCGGTCGTGAAAGGAGTAGAAGGGAGCACTGTATGGCAAAGGTGTAACAGGGTGAAAGTGCGATTGGTGTGGCTCAGCTGCTGGAGGTGGTTTTGGAGGTCTCCGTCTTGAATTTTTGGGTTTTGGTTGGGAACTAAAGATTTTATTTAATTTCGTGCTGTTTAGGCGAAATGAAAGAACGATCTTTCCATGCTGCCGCTGAACAATCCTACAGAGGGGCATTTCGGTTTTCCGTGCTCTGCGTGATCTTGACTGGCGGGTTGAAAAATTGTTCTCTGCAGAAATTTCGATTAATGCCTGGACTGCTTTCATGTTCCTGGGCAGAGGAGTCGGGATCATCCCCTCGAATCTGGTGGGCGTTTTCTTTTGTCGCTTTTGAGGGGCCGTGTTGGAACTTTCGGGAACATCATCCGAAGCCCTGCGTTTCCGGAGTGATCTCGAACCATCCAACGGATCATCGTCGACAATTAATGAGCTGAAAATGGAATGAGATTCTGGTCCCAGCTCTTTGTTATGTGCAGGTAGTAGATCTCTTGCGAAGTTAGATGTGCCAGATTTTCGTCGGGATGCGGTTTCCACAGGCTTGTCAGGTTCCAGATTGTTTTTAACACAGCCGGGGCACCTCCAATTTTCAGCATCTAACACAATTTCACAAGTTAGATAGCTCCAGAGGTCGACCCCATTGCAAAAATGGGTAAGAAAAGCGCAATCAAATTTACCTTCTTCGTTATTTAAAGCTCCTCGTTCTCGCGCGCATTGACGATGACCTATTAATCAATCAATTAGGTTCAACTCCACAATGCGGTCAGGGGAGGATGGGCCAAGCTTTTTAAACCCCATCAAAAAACCCATCAAAACTTACAATGATCACCACAAACAGCACAGGATAAATAGTCCTCGAATTCTTCACCCGGATCATGTTCCTCATCTTGGCCACAGACTCTGCATATAATCAGTGAGTGTTGGCTTCCTTCATGAATACATTTTTGAACTTACATGCAATTGTTTGGATTTAATGCATCTGCATCCACATCATCTTTGTCATTGCTTTCGGCCTCCCATTCCTCATCTACTTCTGATTCTTCAGAAGAGTCGATATTGGAGTTCACCTTCGACTCGCTGGATTCGTTTTCAAACGCAGCATCTGGGTCACCAGGATCGTCGTCTGCGTCATCGATGTCGGAGTTGGGTTCACCGTCTGGGAACTTTACAGCCCCGACAGTCTCAGTCTCCTCATCATCATCAACATCAACATCAGCAACAAAATTCTTATCGTTGGCGTCTGGTATATCATCCTCCCCAGCAGAGCCATCCTGAATTGGCTGCCTTATATCAACCTCATTAGATTCTTGATCATTGGTTACGATTGCCTCAACATCCTTCCGGTCATTTGGCGTCCTATCGTCAATTCCCTGAGATACGGTAGTTGCAGATGGTGGGAGGGCAGGATATAACTCATCGTCCTCGTCACCCTCTGCATCCCGGTCACTGTCAACCAGTTCTGGCTGATGATCGATCGTGGTGTTTCCGTATGAGGCCGGCACTGTCGCCGCCATGGTATAAGCTACTACAGTCGCCAGATTGAAAATGCACCTAGACCATTGGGTCAGAGTGCACGGGTTGGCAGAAGACCGCACAGAGTGTCTTTTCCCCTTTTCCGTCAAACGGAAGGGGAGAAGGTTGAGGAGTACGCTTGCGCTCCGAGTTGTGGATATATGAGTGTCAAAATCAACACCTGCCACCACAATCAATAGAACCTGTAGCCCGCCCACACAAGGAAACCAGTTATGCGATCAAGGCCCAAAGTCGTATAATAGCGTATCTGAAAGAAGTGTAAATCTATTAGCTGAAGTTCAATGGCTTGAGGATGGGGATTGCTGGCAAAACGCGCTGGGAGCGAAGACGAGATGGCAAAAAAACAAAAGCACAAAGATAGTACCCACGGAATCAGTAAGTAGACGCGTAAATTCCAACCAGCTCAACCCTCAGTCTGCTTGTCGCCAGCAAGATGCTCCTCTCCTTGAGAACCCCTTGGCTGAGCGAGGTCAGGTTTGATGAATTTTGCTTACTCACCAACGCCAAGCCATCTCCACACTAAACCCCATTCGGTTCTCTCGTAACCATCGTCATTTAGCTGTTGCTCTGTGAGATACCAATTTCCTCCCAATTTCAACGTTTTCTTGCTCGGCATCTCTGTGCAATTGCGGCATCTCTTTTCGAAACTTGCTGAGATTTTTTTGGGTCATCTCCTTACAGCATATATTACGCTATGGGTGTTCCCTTCGAAGCCCTTCTCCCGTATGGGATCATCATTGCAGTAGGTTTCCCTGCACACCTTCTATCCGAAAAGAAGGGCTCACCTCTCCACGCATTAGATGTTCGGCGTCACTGGGTTCGGATTGTCGACGGTGAAGTACTACTCAAACGGAAGAAAAAACCCAAGACGGGGCATCGATATGTGGGATAAGGTATGTTTTCTTGCGCTGAGCCAATTGAATGGATGTCTCGCTGACACTTGAACAGCAAAGTATGTACACGGAAAAGCCACGCGGCCAGGCAGCGAAAACTGACTTTTATTAGTGATGGAACGGGATCAGAGGATCACGGGGATATTCAGAGGCCAAGACAGCAGCCATGAGGCGCCAGTGGGATTCGAGGTGAATCATCCATGGAAGGTCAGTATCAATTAGACTCGCGGTTCCTTTCCTAGAGCCGGTACCGACGCTGACCATATATAACTAGACGGAGAGACGATTTTTCTAATAAAAGACTCCTTTTATTTCTCTACACTTTACCAACAATACATATATGTTATCTCACTCCCTGATCAATCCAGAAAACCATTCGTACTATGGATATGGGAGGGAGAATTGGCTCCGTGGCCTCGCCTCTACCCTATGTCTAAATTTCCACGACCGAGTCCCTCATTCCTCGAACTTCCAAAGGTTCGAGATGTACATTAAACCACCTTCCTAATGCAGAAATTCTTTCATCTTCAGAGTTAAAGCTGGCGAGCTCCTCTACATTCCCATTGATATTCCGTTTCAAATAAATCCCCATCAACACTAAGGTACCGATGATATCGTCTTCCGCCTCATTCAGAAGGAATTTGGTGCAAAAAAATTTCTTTGTGAAGAAGCTCTTAGGGTGCTTGCTTGTCCAGAAGTTCATAATCTCATAGTCTTGGGGCAGGAACTCGATTTCGTAAAAGCAGAAGGCATCTCTCCATTCACTTTCAGGATTAGGTTGGGTTTGGAATATCCAGAGCCGTTGGCTTTGATCAACATTGGGCTTGATGTTGTCTTTGATCAATCTCATGTGTGCGGGAATGAAGGACGTAAGGGGTTTATTCTCCTCAAGCGGGACTGGGCGGGTTGGGCCATTCGGTCCAAAGCCAACATCGACCTATGTTAGATGTCTTAAGCAATGAGCACTGATAAAATGTCTCCAGTGGAGAGGATGGGGAGCATACCATGTATTTTTTCCCTTTAATGGTCACTATCAGTATCATGTGGCCCCTACACAAACGGATCAGCTCATGCATATTTCATTACGCAGTAGCCCTAAACCCTTCTACTGTGCTCTCCACTTTCTCTTTTATTGTTTTGCTCTCCCAAGATTATTTCTGATCAAGGTTCTCACCATCCGGTAAACTCGCCAGTAGCATTAGGCCCATCATAAGTCTTGCTCACTCTTCCTCCTGTTGTGTAAAGCTGGTATCCCAACGAGCGCATCACGATGGCCAGGATGTTTGTGTTTTCCATGCAGTAGCCACCCAGGCCCCTCTCAATGAGTTTGTGGAATAGGTGGTCATGGTCCAGGGAGATGGTACGGTGCTGCGAGTAGTGTAGCACCACATTTGAAAACGGTATGGCTGCGAGCTGCCGTTGCTGAAGCGTAGTTAATGCCTTGAGAGGGTCACTCCGGACGAGATCCTCAATTTCAGACAGTTTGGTCAATCCTTGGTCTAACGGGAGGTTATAAATATAGCTGACATATTTGACGAGCTGTTCGCGACTGTATATGGGCCACTGAGATGCCATATTGGACTAGTGAATGGGCATTCAAGGTCCTTGTCCGTGATTCATTGAGAGAAGATACTTTAAGATAGCTGCTACATATCCAGAAGGTTCAAAAACAGTGACTCTCCGGGTCTTTATAACTATTAGTTCACAGTCCAATCTTCCTGGAGGCTTGAGAGAGCGGGGCTGTTTCTTCTTGGCAGACCCATGGACGCTGGCGGGCAATACAATCTAATACATGGCGCTGGCGCTCTGGATGGCTGCTGAGATATTGGATTCAGTATATTTATAATTACTTGGGCGAGATCGCAGAGGCAAGGCTGGAGGAATTGTGGTTACTAATCCGTAATTAATTAATAACCTTGGAATATTTCCCTTCAAGACTTCCAGCCTTGCTGTCAAGCATAGACCCCAGAGTTCTTATGCCGAAATCCAAGGCGCGATATCTGCATGCCCAAGGTCTAACCGGGTCTTCCCGTCGTGAGCGGATCGAATCTTCATGTGAAGGTTTGGTGAGTCGGGAGTGGGGACGTAAATATTTGTAACATCATAATCTGTAAGATGCGCTGTTTGGTCCTTGAGGCTGTGGACACTTGTCGTCAACATATTGAAGCTGGGAAGAATCTCAACCGCCCTTATATTTATCAGTTCAAGGCTTTTTGCTGTCGCTCTCAAGTCTGAGCTTGCCAAACTATTTAGTTTGGTTCCTGGCCGAAATATTTGCTCCGCTGCCGGCCTATCGATTCTCTCAAGCTGCTCAGGATGACATCAGGATCGCTGGAGGCAAAGCTGTCTGCTCTACAGAAGTATTCGGTTTGCGATGTAAGAATTTATAAACTATTTTGTATTGAGTATACGTACTGTAGAGTAGCTAACTGGGGCTGACGCCGATTTGCAGGTTTCAGATGCTCTTCTCGCTCTCCAGAAAGTCCCCAAAGGCGAAACTGCTCGAGCTGGTTTCCTTGCTGATCTCGGTGAGCACCAACATTTCCAGATCTCATGCACGTTCCCGGTGATGCTACAAGCCCAGTTATATTCTGGGGATATTATTATAAGACCCCTTTTTAGCCTGTACACCAATTTATACCGTACTGGCATAGAAAGAAAAAGCTGGGGAAAGAAAGGAAAAGCAAAAGTCGAGTTCTTTTTGGTCTGACATGAGAGGGTGACAAATTAATTCTATTTTATGACAAAAAAGTCCCCTTTTCTCCGTCCCGCATCAACGTTGAAAACCAACCAAAAGTTGTCGCTCCTGTATCGACATTCAAATTCATACCAAAACATGACCTTGTCTCGGAAGACACGTCCCCATCAAAGGACCATGGCATCCCAGCTGGTAGCCATTGGGTTGACTGGGCACAACCAGGGACCGTCGTCGTCATTGAGCAGCCTGCCGGTCAATATTGTGCCGCCGTGGGTGGTATAATGGCCTTGCGAATGAAGGTCCTAGGTGTAAAAGGAGTAGTCGTGAATGGCCGAATAAGGGATATGGCTGAATTGCGGAGTACAAAGTTACAGGTACGTATGAAATTTATATCTAATCAATCTAAGCATGCGTTAAATATGATTCTCCAACTAACAGCAGAACATATTTATTAGATCTGGGCCCAAGCTACATCGACTGTAGGCTCTGGTGCGGAGTCCAGACCTGGAGCACGAAATGTCCCTGTCAATATAGGTGGAGTTACAGTTTCTCCGGTATGGCAATAGGACGATTTAATATTTATTCCTTCAGAAGCCATTTTCCGGAAAGAAAATACAAAGCCCATGTCCTATATTGCATTTTCTGACTTCTGAAAATCCAGGGTGACATTGCGTTCTGTGACCCGCTCGACGGGGTTGCGGTTATCCCTGCCGAGCTTCTCGACGATGTTCTCGCCTTAATGGCGAAGCTTGTGGCGGCTGATGAGAAGGTCAAGGAAGATGTCCTGAACGGATCCAGTGTTTTTGATGCGTTTAAAAAGCATCGTGGAACTTAAGTTCGGGTTCCATATTGCATCACCCATGGTATCTTTTGTATTTTCCGGTTGATTTGAACAGATGCTTCATCTCGGAGAACATTTTCAACGCCTGAACATGGACTATATATGTTATCATGATCTCTTCCGTGTCACCATATAGCTTCTGTAGTTATGCACATAAAGATTGACCATATGTTGGGATTTCTCTTTTTTAGATGCATCCGTGTTCTTGACATTAAGGGGGCAGCAATACTAATCAATGCTTTCCACTAACCTTGGTATTTTAGGTTTCGTTCGTCCTGAGAACGAAACTGGCTTCACTAACTCAGTATGCTAATATGGAATAATTTTCCATCCCTTTCTTGTTGTCTTCAATGAACCGGGGAGAGAGGACTGGAGGTGGGAGGGTTGGGCTAAGTTGCTTGGTCGGGATAAATGACCCCTTTTACTCCCAGACTTAACTAAGAAGTTTATACCAGTATGAAAGGATAGATATATGAGTATTTGTTTCAATTTCATAAACTTCATTGAACCATATGGATATATATACTGTCATGTTCATAGCGCAAGTACAAACACAACTGGAAAAAAGAAAATAAACAGTATATACTGATACACAGATCTTTTAAGATCAACTACATAACAAGGGGGGGGGGGATGGAGGGGGAAGAAACACGATGAGCACCTTCGCTCTAATCGTCTCTTGAAAAAGGAAAAAGACCGTAACCACTGCAACCTCTGCTACCTCGGCGCATCAGTGACTCACTCCGCCACCCAGACAGCAGCCATACCCATCCCGGTACCAACACACATACTAGTAACACCAGTCTTTTTCCCGGTCCTCTTCAACTCGGTCAGGAGAGTGCAAACCTGTCTAGCACCCGTGCAGCCAAGCGGGTGTCCAAAGGCAATAGCACCACCCTTGGGGTTAACTTTCTCCAACGGAAGTCCTAGCTCCTTAACACACCACACACACTGTGACGCAAACGCCTCGTTAATCTCATAAATATCCACATCACTCCTAGACAAGCCGGCCTTCTCAAGAGCGACGGGGATAGCCTTCCATGGCCCTATACCCATGAGAAGTGGCTCGACACCAACCACGCTGGCAGTGACGTATTTGCCAATGATCTTCTGGCCCAGGCGCTCAGCAGTGGAACGCTTCATGAGCAGCACGGCGGCAGCGCCATCTGAAATCTGCGACGAATTGCCTGCATGAATGCTGCCGTCCTTGGCAAAGGCGGGGCGGATCTTGGAGAGCGATTCGGCTGTGATACCCGGACGAACGCCGTCATCGCGGGAGACGGTGATGGTGGATTCTTTGTCGGTTTTGGGATCGACGACTTTGACGGTCAATGGGACAATCTCTTCATTGAAGAGACCGGCCTCTTGCGCCTTGATGGCTTTTTGGTAGGAGGATGCGGCAAAGGCGTCCTGCTCAGCACGAGTGATTTTGCGGTCCTTGGCCATTTTCTCAGAGAGGACACCCATGGGCACCTTGCAGTTGGCGGCTTCTTGGTTGTTTTCCAGCAGTTCGGAGAAATCAGACACGGCGGCAGGGCTGGGGGCGGGTTAGTGGGATCTTACTTTTGTATTTCAAATGGTAGGACAAAATATTTAACTGGAGGAGTTACCTATATTGTTGCGACATGCTCTCAACGCCAGCACCGATGCCAACCTCAATCATTCCGGCCTTGATGGCGTTGGCAATATCAACAATTGCCTGGAGACTGCTGGAGCACTGTCTGTTGAGAGCCTTGACAGAGGTAGTCACGGGGAACCCAGCGACCAGAGCGGCGGCACGGAACTCAGTAGCACCTCCTCCGGGAGGCAAGACTGATCCAACAGCAATATCCTCGACCAGCGCGGGGTCGATCTTGGATTTTTTGATCAGAGACTTGAATACGCCAGCCAGCAGATCAGATGCGGCGGTGTCCTTGAAGCCGCCCTTGCCACCTTTGGTGAGGGCAGATCGCAGGGCACAGGTCACTACAATATCATCGGGGTTTTTGGTGGTGATGGCAGCGACTCCACCCTTGCTAGAAAGGTGCGAAGTGACCTGGGAGAGACGTTGCGATGCTATGAGGGATTATCACATGTCAGCATTGAAAACGTGGTAATAGTGACGAAGGGAGCCTTTGGACGGAGAAGCAGATGGAGGGGGTACCTTGAGACATGGTGGGTGTGGATGTAGCGGGATGAGAGAGGTATTGCACAGAGAAAATCCAAGGAGCAAAAGGGTATAATGGGGTTGAAGAAGAAGAAGACAGGGCAAACAACCTTTGAGCGGATTCGTTAATTCTATATATTAGATATCGAATCGACGCTGGAACCATTCGACGAAAATTTATTCCGTAGCATCTCACAGCCTTCAAAAAATGCCGAGGCTTCTGGGATAATTATTATTCCATCAAGCCATGGCTCACGTGACTAAGATTTAGTTTTCCCACGTGAACATCCAGCGAAACAAACATTGTGCAGCATTTCAACTAAACCCCTGGTTACGGAGTAGTTGGTTAGGAGGAGGAGGACTGGCCAGGACATTTTTTGTTGCTGCCCTTGATGTTTTCCCCTGCCGCTAACTCCCTTCGACATGAACATCCTTGAAGTTCTGGCTTGCACACTGGATTCCCGATCCCATTGCCTGTCTTCACCTAGGTACCGAATATATAAAATCTGATAACGAATATCGCGTATGTATCTTCGTTCGGAATTCCTCTCATCCGAGAGGGGAGGCTAGCTACGCTATATACAGGCTATCTAGATCACGTGTTAGGGCTAGTGCAGCAGGCGGAGCGTAACAACAGGGCAAAAGGCTGGCGGCGAACAAAATCAACAAGCAATTAATTCATGGTGCTCGGTGTGATGGTTGATGCTTCTGCTTCACCCCCATATATCATCCTAAACAAATAGACAAAAAAGTTGCCACTGGTTTCTTCATATGACATACCTTAGATATTTCGAACTTCCCACACAAGCATTTTCAAGACTTGCATAGAGAGCTGTTGAGTCTCAATGCTGCTTCTTCAAAGACATATTATATATGCACTTTAATTTTCTAGTTTTTGATTAACCTGAGATGGTGCTTGTCGACCACTTTTAAGGCCATATTTAAGTCGCAATTGAATTGGCGGGTCTTCTGCTAGTCAACCATGTATTGTGGATTGTTTTGACATAGATTGCTCTTGTTTAGCTCGAATAATGCCACCTTATATTACTTTGGCCTCTTTTATCTGACCGTTGATTTTTTACGCTTGACACGCCCTCGAAGCGCAAGAATGGAGATTGGAAAAGTGTCAGATACGGTGGCTATGCTGCCTTACACACATACCCTCTCTGCTGGATCATAACTATATGTGAACCAGTCATGTTTCTTAGATACTCCTCGGATCTCGTCGAGACCTCGTTGAGCTTGCATCGTGTGTGATTCCAGTCTACTATGCCATACAGTGACATACTGCGTATTTCGGTATACCCAGAGGCCGACTGGAAGGGGAGTAGGTGACAATTGGGTATGGACAACAAGACGGGGCAATGCTGTTCGACTATTGAGATTTAGGGACCGACTTACGCCGCATTTCCCGTGCCTGTGGTAGGTCCGTATGGTAGGATCGGTTGGATGCGTTTCTGCTCCCATATAGGCAATATTTGAGAGAGTAAATACGAATGTATCTTGTAGGCAGAAGGAAAAGATGGTGATGATGATGATGATGATGATGCCGACTCCTTCCCTGATATGCGCTCATGGCGCAAGGATTAGGAGTAATGCAGGGTATTCGCTAATAATATATACATATTTGGAATTTAACTTAATTGAGAGTACCATTTTCTTGAGAAGAATTCATTGCGTTTCTGTATGTTAGATACATGTGGATATTTCATGTTTAGGGCTTGAAAGGGGTTGTTGCCAAGACAGTCAGCATCTTCGAATTCAACGTCAGATGTTCAAACCTTGCCCGTACTTCGTGAACCGATAAAAACCTTCGCTCCCTACACTCGGCCTACAAGATATATTTAAGCCCGGTGGCATTACTCGTGTAGTTTTGCCATGTCAATGACAGGGACTTCGAGACTGGCTGTCCGAGCAGCGTCAAGCTTTGAGATAGCAATAGCCGCATGTCAGCGAAGTCTCAATACCAGAAGACCGATTGCCTTCAATAGCTCTATAGTATGTTTCTATTCTTTTTCCTGCTGGCCATATTGCTATGTAAGGGCTTGAATTAACTCGTTTACCCCTCAGAGATGTCCCCCCTCAGCTTCATACCTATGCTGTTCACTTTCCACCCGAATACCGACCTCCGCTCAATCATCCCTCGTCCCATTATCCACTGCCTCCCCCTCGCCCTTCCAGTCCATACAGAAATGTGCATTTAACACCTCAATTTCAAATTTCTCCTCATCCTTATCCTCATCCTCCGTCGAGTCTTCACCCTCCGCAGCAGGAGCCTCTACCCCAAGCAGTCAAAAGCCGGAAACCCTGTCCATAAACCCATTTCGCGCAAAGAGGATATGGCCACCAGATATGTCTAAGTTGTCACCAAAGCAGCAGTTTAGATTAGAGCGGAAGTATCGACGGCGGGCCAAGCTAAAGTGGGCACGGCCAACATGGTCTAAATGGACGAAGATTGTACAATGGACGCTTATTGGTTGTATGTATATCTCCTACGCCTTTCTATTATCCAAAATGATACATTTAAGGTATATGCTGAGTTGTCCTTTTCTTTCCCCCGGGAACTAGACGTTTTGATATATTGCGTAATGTATCTGGATTTGGAAGAGAAGGAAAATCCGTTTCTTCCTGTAAGTAGGGCGTCTATCTGTTGTCATGTTTTATCTTTAGCAAATATTATTCTCTCACAAATAGTGTTCATCGAAAGCTGATAAAGCTCTCTTGCAATCTCGCTACAGATACGAGATTACGTCCATCAGTCATTAAATGGTTTGTTATCAACTTCGTCCTCACCTTCATCTCAGAAGGAGCCAACCACGCCAACTTCATCCTCCGCCAAAAGCAATTCTTAGGGGTGCTTGCTGGGTGTTTTGGGAGTTAAAGTTGGAAAGGTACATTTATGTATGTATTTATAAATACTGGAAGAATGATATATTTTCTGCAATACGGATGCTATCGTCCATTATATATGGATAAGCTTGGCTCACATCGGGCACCATCATTTCCCCAAACCTTGGATTTTACCAGTTAAGCGCCAGATCAACAATGTCATAGTTCCTCCACTTTCTCATTGACGCAGCTCGGGAGTCTTCACGCCAACTGACATCAAAAGGGGTACGCCTGCTCACTACGCCCCCCCTGAGACAGCAAACGATTATCTCCCAAATTTGATAGGTCATGTTTATTCCTCCGCTCCCAAATCACCGCATTCCTCGTTTAAATAACCACAGTATGCCCCTCTCGATCCAGGGGAAGATCGAACATTTTCGCCGCCGCCTCCCCGCTCACTGCAAGCTCACCCTGGCTCGAACTGGAACGACAAAACTCCAGCATGGCTGGTAATTGCTTCTCTGCAGAGCTTTCTACGTAAACGCGAACAAAAGAACCCAATACATCTTGATGCCGAACAAAGGGGTCAGTGATAGGATATATAACTCTTGCACACCCCAGTCCAAACCTGGCCTCTAACTCGTTCTCCAGGAACAAAACATTAGTTCTCCGTCTCCTTCAGTGTTGCTCTTGCTTTGTGACTCAACCCATGGTCACCGGTTACAGCAACCAGAGCGCCTAGCTCAACCAACCTGCCCAGTCGCTCTCCTAGCTGCCTCTTTTGTGCCCGGTGCGCGCTTGTCTTGGATATATTCTGATAGAGTCAAAAAAGAGACCCGCACGATCCTCCTGCAATAGCTTGATGCCCACGTCGAACACAATTAGGGAAAGTTCGACACAATACTGAGGCGGTGCGGAGCGCCCTATCCGCGCCTCTACATCTGATATGCCGTTCTCATCCATACTACAATGGCTCGCATCTTGCGCAGAAAAGCGAATTGCTTGATTCTTTACACCTTTGCTTTAGCTTTGACTTTGGTTACCAACAGGATCATGCACGAGGATCATTCTCTCAGTTTATGCATCGCAGTTACCGCTGTAACCCGCACGCCCCGTTTAGCAATCTGCACTAGAATCGGTGAGCCCCTGAGCAGGTTGCTGTCTTCGATCATATTTCCTCATCCGTCTCGCGGTCGAGGAAGAGATTTCCTGCGACTCGGTGCACAGAGGGCGGGGCGCCGGTGATGATGGAGACGTTGTTTGGGTTTGTGAAGAAAGGCATGGCGAATTTTGCGGGGGCGTGGAAGTCGCTTTCAATCAATGATTTTACTGTTGGGAGTTGGGTTGGAATTCACTCCGGGAGGTAGGATGGGTCCAAACCATCGACGCATACAATGACAGTGGGGCGCTGGGGAAGAACGTATTGTCTTGAGTGGAGAGTGAAGGGTGATCGCGAACTTTGGATGAAGAGAGAGTGAGTGAATTCCACTGTTCAATGAATTATATCTCGCTGCAGATAAACAGGGGAAGCTGAATTCATTTTCAACCTCCCGATAAGGTATTTGGTGGCTATGTCTTCATAATCCTGCAACGATATTTTGTGTGCAGCTGCCAGGTTTTTTTCCATTTCAACCCAGGTACGGATAGATAATTTTTGCTTCATTTCTCTGAACCCCAACTGATGCAGATACTCTCTCTACCTAGTGCCGTATATCTTTCGTACTACTGTCCTGAGAGAGTGACACAAGGTTCGTGGACTACCCGATATCTTGTAATAAGATAGCTACGATGATTTCGTCACTGGCCCCTGACTTGCGGGCCAGGTTGGCTGTGCGCAGTCTAACCTCAAGCTGGGAAAGCTCTTTGGTCGCACCGATGAGGTTAAATGTTGCAGCACCGTTTCGCCGGTATGCTGAACTACTGGTGGTAATAGTGCCATGCCCCCCCTTTTTTTTTTCCTTTTCTTTTTGGCCTGTTCTGTCCCTATCTCTTTTTCTCTGGAGATTAGGTGTTTTGCTTGTTCAAGGGCAAAATGATCTCTTATATAAAATTATTAAAATTAATAAATATTCCACGTTAGTGGTTGGTTGTTTGAATGATGACCATCAGCGTTTCTCCCTCCATCATGAGGTTCCAGTACTGGAAGCACGGAGGGAAGTATCTCACCTCGATCTTCTCAAGATTTCCCAGCTGTCTCCTCCAGCGATCTTCCAGCGATCGATATATGTTCAGATTAATCACTCTCGAGTTCCGAGGGTAAACGTACCACCACTCTCAATGCTCATCACCACTGATCCTTTATCCACGCTATACTGGGGGAAATATGCAAGAGCGATTTATTCCAAAGCCGTTGGTGTAATAGATGCTCGTTTCCTTGTATGGCCCTGCCTTGGCTGTATCTATAGGAATCCATAGATGGTTTCGAAACGACTTCACCGATGTGAGGTAGAAATCCATCGTAAGATCGATATCTAGCCTTACTCCAATATTTCCGGCACCATGACACGGCGCGAATGAGGACCCTTGTTCTGAGTGGATAGGCCACATCACATCAAGTGCTCATGTCCCAGTGCAAAAAGAAAGGGTGGAAATTCTGCTGTGAGGTATACCCTGTGAAAAAGCATTCTTATTATTGGCGGATATGATGGCACATCAATGTCTTTGATATAAATTACAAGAAAGAACCAGGTTAAGAGCCCTAAGAATAGGTTCATCCAGGAAGTGTGGAACTTTTGGGTGGACCCTTAGGGCCCACTGCCAGCTAAGCTGGCCTTGACAACAAACGGGAGTTTTCATGCGGGGTTAAGGTTATTTGCCATGGGCTCCTGAGTTAGCGCTGTGGGAATTTGCGAGAAAGTTTGACCACACTACTGATTATTCTTAGTTTCACAGTTGCAGGAACTAATCACAAATGAGTAGTGGCTTTGGTCGCCGAAGGAATGCGCGTAGTAAACTAATATTGCGGGGCGAGGCATTGATAGGGAGGTGAGGTTGCAACTGATTATCACTGGAAACAGTTACTCGATAAAGGGGTCCGTGTGATATTGAGTGAAGAGCAAGAAACTCCAGCGAGCTGAAGAAACTGTAGTGTTTCTTATTAAATTTAACTAGCTACACTAAATGGTAATGCTGGATTATGTTGACTTGCATTAAGAAAATAATAGTCATTAGACATACCACATCATCCATCCTTTCCTTATAGCGTATATTTAAACCCTGCAAGACCTTCGATCAGCTTCGTCGCCGTCCCTTCATCGACCTGCTTGTTTCTCCGCCAGAAGTGAATTGTTGTGCAAGTCACTAACCCCAGGATGAGGAACTGCAACCCAGTCGTAATCCACAAGCCAGGGACATACTTAGGGGCATCTACTTCGCGGAAAGTGGTCGACGCAAGAATGCCCCCGATGGCACCAAATCCAATCTGCATTGCACTCCCTACGGATCTCTTAGATTGCATGCGGATGTTATTGGATTGGTAGGCTAGGATGGCTGGAATGTTCCCCTGGCACCCAGCAGTGCCGAGGAAGATGCCGACGTAGCGAGGACCGGGTTTTGGGTGGTATGCGGTGATCACAAGACCGACGATGGCGATGACACATTGTGCGACGATGACGGTAACGCGGATGTGGTATTTGTCGCCTATTAAAGCGAAGCTGTAAGCGGTAATCACCGCAAAGACGACTGGTGGTGCGGAGAGGAGGTTTGCAATGCCGCCACTGTATCCCATACCCTGCAATATTTTAAAGTTAGTTTGACCTGTGATGAAGAGCTCGCTTTCACAATATGCCTTACCTGGATGATGGTCGGTGAGAAATAGGCAAAGGCGTACCTGGAATAATGGTGTTAGTATACCGGTCTGGCGTCCTCTTAAAAAGTGGTAAACTTACGCAGGCATTGTACTTGACATGAACATAAGAGCGCTGAATGCTGGTTAGAACATATGAAACACACATAAAGCTCCGTTTGAACACCTACAAAGCCCACAGCTTCAGGTCCGCCAAATGCTTCCCAAGCTTTGCCCAAGTTAGAGGGTCAGGAACAGCATCAGCCCGATCATTTTCAATGCGTTGTTTGATAAACTCAGCCTCTTGTGAGGTCAGGAGATTTTTCTTATGAGCTTTGTCTGGGAAATCGACGATTAGGAACCACGAGGCGATCCCTACTAATTGGGTGATAAGGCCCTCGATAATCTTGGATATTGTATATCAAGTTAGTCAATATCACTCTAGACTGGATTTCTTGATTTCTGAAACTTACAAAAATCCACCGCCAGCCTAGATATCCCCGCAATCCTTGCATCTGCATCAGGCCGAATGCGAGAATACTCGAGAAGCCTCCAATGAGAACAGAAAATAGGTAGAATTGAGCGAGTCTGGTGTAGTATAGAGTAAGAATTCACTTTTTTTTTCTTTTTTTTTTTTTTTGGATTTCCTTCCTTTGAGATAGATATTGTATACGCACCGTGTCTGCACCTCATACCTCACATACCAACAAGAAATTAAATACACACAACCCGGAAAGAACCCTATAGCATTCGTTATTAGCCGATCACTGTTCAAATCGTGGTTGAGATCATTAGGCGCACCAGATTCGAAGAACCCCAAGATGAAACGCAGTGCTGTAAGAGCTTGCCAGCTGTGCACGAATCCCTGCAAGAGAGGTTTAACAAAAGTTACGAAAGAAACATCAAAAAGTATCCACATACCTGTCCCAGCATAACTGTTCCCCACGCAAAGGCAATAAAGGCAAGCCAATTGGCACTTCCAACCTTTCGAAGGACGATATTTGAAGGAAGCTAGTGATTAAAAACAAAAATGTATTAGCACAAGCAGTGTATTAAGGGTTTGCATTTGCGTGACAAGATCCATATTTGAGAGCATTAGCTGCGTTTGGCATGGCCTACCTCGAAAATAAAGTAAGGGATGAAAAAAACAAGTAGAGCAATGTTATAACGTGAGCCTACATGGAGTTTCAGCTCCGCATTCATCCCTGCCACGCGGGCATTGGATATCTGTCATATACGTTAACATGAACTTAAAAAGGCAACACGGTAATATGATTGCTTACATTGACACGATCAATCAGTGCAATCGCATACAAAGCCCCTAGAATTGGGAGTAGACGCCAGTCGATTTTGCGAATCAATGCCCTCTCATTCACGCCGAGGCCCCCGCCATCATCCAGACCGCCATGTTCGATATGGGCCTCTTGTGAGGTATTATCTTTACCACCCTTCTCGAAGTCAGGATCCGAAGATGGATTCATTTCCTATTAACAATTGGCCTGTTGTTTTTTGTCAAAATAGGAGATAAGTCTTCAAGAAATAGTACAGGGGGAGGAGGGAGCCTAAGGAAACTGGGATCAAGTTTGGAATGCGATTCTGTTGAAGTTCTGTTACTTCCTGGTGTCCATTTCTTGTCAACAACATCGACATTTTCCTGAACGTGCAATAGTGGTCCTTTTAAAGTATTGCCGAGCTGGGCTTCCCCAAACTTCAGCTCCATCATCCGGCCATGCGAAAAGTAGAAGGAATTGAAGCAGGCAATTCTCTCGGTTAGCCAAACCAAGGATGGATGATGATCCCCGCTTTTGCAGACGCACATTCATTCACTGCTCAACCAACATACAGAGTCAGTGGCGATGTAGGGACTCCGAGGGACAAGTTAAGATAGTGGACTCAAAATCTTCTTATTCAGGAAGAATCCAATGGCAAAGCTGTAGAATCGCAATGGCGTTCTCCTCCTGACTTGATAGGATAGAATCCAAAATGATATATAGAGCAAGGAGTGCTCATACACCAATGGGAAGATAAGTTTGGCAGGGCGCGGCAGACGTCCCAAGGTGAAATCCACAAAGTTCGAGAGCGAATTCGAATTCGAGTGAAATGCGGGGGGGGGATATGTTTGAAAGGAGCTCCCATCTCCAAATAACTAGTCTTAGCCTGAAATATGGGTCGGAGCTATGGCTGATTTAATCCTATTAACTTAGCCACAACCTCTTGTACCTTGGAGGAGCTCGAGAGCGAGGGCGGATTCAAACACCGCAGAGCCAATAAGCCTACCCTAGTATTCACCGTCAGGTGGTTTTTGCTGCCATTTGCTGTCAACGATTCCCGACAGAAAGGCGCATAGACTTTTCTCCACCAGAGTAATATGCGCGGGCTCTGATAGCAGTCCAGGGACTTGGGATGTTGCACGCTCGCTTCTGTATCAAACGACAGGACAAAGAATTTCAATAACCTTGGAAGAGCACATGAGAAGAACTAGGTCTTCTTCAAGGCAATCTGAATCCAATCCTAAGCTTGGGAGCCGATCTGGTGAGGGGGAGAATGCTGCGTCAGTACATTTTCGATTAGAATCGCCAAAGAGCATTTTTGGCATTGGAGTTCACAGAGGTTCAACCAGCAGTGGCGTCTCGTTTGAAAGATGATAAAACAAGTTTCTCCCCGCAGTCTTGGAAATGCGGATCTCCCACGTCTCAAATGCTTCAAGTTGGGCGCCCCACACACTCCATACAGCCTTTGGGATTGATTCCTCCTAATCCAATAAGTTCCAGAGAGTCGCGCTGCCAGTCTATGCCAATCCCAACGCCAAGTGGAGGTCCAAATTAGCTTGAAATCCCCAACTTACCCCGCTGTCTATCGGCAGTTCCGTAGCATCGTATCCGCTAGATACCATGCGCTAACATGTCCAGTCTTTATGTGCTGATGTTGACCATATGCGTTCATGTATGGTGTTAAGTATGCATATTTTGTAGTGTATACCCACACCCAGGGCCAAAGTCAAAGATTCCGTGGCATGATAGCTATCGGGAGTATAGCGTTTTGTCTGTATTTAATCTGAATTTCCCATGAGGTGCTGTAGGACGGCTCCATTCTGAAGATACTGTTTATTTGCAGCCGTGAGAACGCTAGGAACAAGTAGTATATAAGGTTTGTTTGACCGCGCCACATGGCCTGCTTGGTCGGATATGATTAAAGAATTGGCACAAGAAAAATTCCCAGGGTAGCTGCCTGACGCGTGATCAAGCCCAAAAGACAAGACAGTAGGTTAAAAGAAGAATTTTCCATTCAGTCATTATTTCGAAGCCATTCATTATGCGTTGCAACCTTTGATATTAGGTAGCATGAATATGTAGGTTATGCAGTTTGTTCATTCATTAAACATGTCCACATGACAAAAAGAAGTAAACAGGTTCAACCAGCAATCAGAGTTAGCAAAAAGAAAAAAAAAAAAAAAGGAGGAAATAGGAAACAAAGTTTACCTTGCGCCCCAAAACAAACACCATATACAATGGGAAAACGAAAGAAAAAGAGAAGGAAAGCAAACTTGTCCAACACCACGAACGCATGATGGGTTTGTTTATATTAAAGGTCATAGCCAACCCCCATTGTTTTCGCTTATTTTAGATGCAATCCCCCCACCCAGATCTAAACGAGGCGGCTCGTCGCTCACCAAGCCTGCGCGCTTCTTCGGACTCCCAGGTGCAGCTTTCATTGGACTTCTTGATCTAGAATCCGTTCCCCGTGGCGGGCCCTCGCGAACATACTTACAATCCCATCCATCTTCAGCAGCTGCTGCAACCCAAAGGCGCAGCGCATCGTGAACGGAGGAGTAAAATTTCTCCTTGCACGTACGCAGACTACCGCCCATCACTTTCTCAAAGCCTGAGGCCCGGAGTTCAGCTCGTATTGTATTGCGCTCGTTGGCAGTGGGCATGGCCGCAAGCAAACCATTTATAAGGTCAAGATGGCTTGCGATGTAGTTGGTGGCATCCCATTCAACGCCACCAACATAAGGCGCAGCGGGGACAGGGGGCCGAGGAGGAGGAAAGTAGCGTTTACAATATGGTTCCGAATTTTTCTCGCTGGACTCTGCGACGGGCACAATGTTGAGGTGATGGAGGAATATCCAAAATACCTCCTTAGTCACGTTGCTTACTTCCTTGCACCACACTCGATATGGACGAGGTTGATAAATATTAGCAATAAAGTTCAACGGCTGGGATTCTTCTGGTAGCGTTGGATCACGCATATACGACAGGATAGTCTTGGCTCGGGGCACCAAATTTCCTGGGGATGCCGAGGAAAGGTGAGTAAAAAGCAGACTAAGGACGATGCCCCGTGTTGTGAATTCGCTTGGCCCTTTCTTCTCTTCATTGAAGAGCATGTGCAAAAGGGTTGGAAATAACACCGCCTCGACGGAAGAAAGATGGCGGAGAGCGAGGGAGGTGGTGCAAAGTGCCTTAAGGCAAAGCAATGTTTCGTGGAGCAGTGCATCTTCGTGCTCCTCCCTATAAGATTGTTAAGTAAGCATTTTGTTTATTTGAGTTGCAGTTTAGGGAGCAGTCAATACGCACCGCCACTCCACCTTGAGTATACGGTACAAAAGCTCGATTACTTCGTCCATTCCCCCTTGGGAAATAAAGGCATCAACCCACGTCACAGTCTCGTTTCTCAAGAGTATTCGAAGTTTGTGGAGTTTACCAACTTCTACTATTTCTGGCTTCCGTACTTCATGTAGGTAATGAACAAAGTCTGTGGGGTCAGCTGTATAATCCAGTTGAGCCTGAGGGGCCATCCCCGACATTGAGCTGGAGCCAGTTAGCCCCTTGGACGATCCGGCCCAAGATAAATCGACAGATTTTGGACGCTTGTGAGAAGCTGCACTGTCAATGGCGTTCTTTCTAGGGGACGACGGCTCCCCTTTTGATATGGAGAAAGGACGGCTCCGAGGTTGCGATCTAGATCCCTTTCCATTCGAACCCTTTCCGCCATCGTCAGGAGCATTCAAACTGTTTTTGTCCTTGCTGGGAGATGGTAAAGTGGACGAGCATATATCAAGATGGTGTTTCCGTATGAAATCAGCTTTGATATTCGTGTCCATGGAGCGCATCTTATCGCGCATATTATGGGGAATGTTACGGGAATCCTGTGCATGCAAAAATTTAGGTTAACTGTATCCCAAAGAGATATGATGGAGAGGGTATTTTACCAAAAGTTTTTCAAATGCTTTTTCGATCTCCTGCTGATCTGAGGGGTTCTGTGGTTCGCTCGACTTTCCCTTCGCGTTGAAAGCTGTAATGGCAGCCATTACCCGGGATCCACTCTTTCCAATTGATTCGTGTTGTTTCTCCAGCCCGTATTCCGTTGGAGATCCACAGCGGACCTCGTTTCCCATGCAATCATTTCCACCTTTTGATCGTTGCTGGTCTTTAGAGGATCTTGAACGATGTACAGCGACAATCATCTCCTTAATGGAGGAAGAGCTAGACGTAAAATACTCTGTCTTTGGCCTCGGTTTTGCATCTGGTCGTTGTATTAGAGCCGGTAGCTGATATCCATGAAAGTTCCTCTGGCTGGAAGGTGAGTAGTCTCGAGGGGTATACAGTGTCATTTCTTCGTCTAACGTTCGTCCTCTTTGAAGGATGTAACGACTGCTTCCTTGATCTTGCAGTGGCCGGCTAGCGAATTTAGTCCAGATTGGAGAAACCTCCCTCCTAGGTGATTGTGGAGAGATGATATTCTCCTTATCTTTCTGCTTGTTGTCGGAATCATCATTCTTTAGTCCACGCTGGGGCCTTTTGAAAATTGCTGATAAACTGGTTGACGATTTTGTTTTCTTTGGTTTCTTTTCCCGCGTTCCATTGTCTGTTGAAGAAGCCTTACTAGGCGTTGTAATATCCTTTACCAATGACCGTAACGACACGGAGCTCTTGGTTTTCTTATGCAAGCCAGTCTCCGTGGGTATGTTCGGAATCATGTCGCTGGGACAGGGGCTGTTTGGCGCATCGCGGTTGTGGGATATTTCAGATAAAGGTCGCTGTGTATTTAAGGAATGGATGTGGTCGGGAGGCAACATGGGTGGGGGCATGGGCATATGTTTGCTGTTTACAGGGTTGCCGATCAGGGCACCACCAGCTGAGCGGGTTCTTTCGTGCGGCTTCGAGGGGAAAATCGACCTAAATCCAGAGGCTTTCGATAGGTACGAGTTCTCGTCGACAAATATTCCAGAGTTTTGCATAATAGATGCCCTGTGCCTTTTCTGGATAAGAGCCAGAGAAGTATTAGCATCACGAGGACATAATAAACAACGCGTCAGAATGTGGTTCTGCTCACTACGATCCATGCAAAATCTGTAATATACCAATCAATGAGGAAATGATCTAGAGGAAATATATTATTATTTGCACCCCAAGCAAACCGCCCAAGATGCGAAACGGTAATGGCGGGCAGTAAGCAAAATGGTCAATCAAGTAAATAATCCAGCAGTGTTCGTCTCGATTGCGAGATCGCAAGGAAATAACTCCACTTTCAGTTCTTTATCCGCTCGTGGATATCAGCAAAGAAGACGAAGCAAGAAAGAATATATGCAACAGAATTTGGAAATGAAGTATGAAGCCCACAGACAATAATAAAGGAATTGGTGAGCGTCGTCGTCGAGGTAGCTGATGAGCGATGACGGAAGAAAAAGCGCTGTGTCTGTTGCTGCAGCAACGACGATAACTAGTCCGATAATAAACAGCTTAAGTAAGCACTTTCACAATCGGATCAAACTCCCGACTTGCAAACACATGTCACAGGGGAATCCAGATCTGATGACATAATAATAAAAAACACAGCTGTGATTTACCTATGTTGCAATTTTGGTTTTAACACCTTACCTTAGATATCCTATGCGCAGTGAAACGTGTATCCGTTGATGGATCTAATCAGCTTGTGCCATCAATGGTCTGCGGCTAATTTTAAAGCTGTTGGGTTAGACGCGCTTCTACTGATCATTCTTCACGAACATCCACCAAGATAACCAATAGAACTGCGAATTTGCTGTGTGGGGTTCTGATAATGTAATTAATAAGTGAGTGAACCATATAAGTGAGTGAACCACTTCCCAACTCTCTATACAATGAGAATGTCTTCAAAGCCTCAACTATAAAGAAAAACTAGCAAATTACATTATAAATTATTTTCTATACACTTAGAGCATGTATGGGCAGTATGCTCAATAATTTCACAGATACTACACTATAATACTGCATGTTTTTATGATTACAACTCAGCAGTCTTAATCACCTTCTGCTCTCATTCATTGACTCTTTGTATGCAATTCAAGTCTTCTTCAATTCTCAAAGCACTCTTTTGAGCTACATATGTACAGTCTCTTTCTTGCTTTCTCTTTTGTTTGATATTTTGAGCTCTTAACTCTCTGTTTTCAGCTGCTAGAATAGCAGCATTGTGTATTATTATTTGACATCTTTTGATCAACTGACTTAGAGCACAATTGATTGAACTGAGTGAGCTTTGTGTACAGTACTTAATATATTCTTTAACTTTCTTAGTCTGCTGCTTCAATTGACATACATTATATAATATAACTATTACTCAGAAGGTTTAAGAGCTGTGAAAGATTTCTAAAGAGATGAGAGTATATATTATAATATTAAACTGTAAGAAAATCTGCTTAGAATTATATGAAATCAGCTCAGCAGCTCTAAAGCTGTTTTTAATATTAATCTCAGTTAGAATCTATATTTAAATTGCAAAATAGAGACTCAAAAACTTTTTTTTATTAATATAATTAATTTTAAACTATATATAATTTTTCATCTGCTATTTGTATGTAGTTTTCAGAGATGAGAAGCAGTCAACATTTAATGACTGAAGAAGATAAGAGAAATATAGTGATATATAGAGAACAATGATTTAATTCTCAGTATAAAATTGATCAAATTTAACTAAAATATGACTTCAGTGTTAGTTTAAAATCAATAGTTGATATTTATTCTTTATATAAATTAAAGTTTTTTTATTGAACATCTCTTTCAGTCAATGCAAGTTCAGCTGATTAGTGATTCAGTCATTCTCATTAATTTCAATCACTTAGTTGTATGATAGCTCTTCTGTCTCATATCAGCAGAATTAATGCATCTTTTCTTTAAGAATAATTATTATATATAAGACTCAGTTAGTTATATTGACTTCAGTAATAATAGTCACTTATTTCTAATCTTCAGACTATATAAACTTGAGATTTTCAGCTCTTTCAGATTCAGTCATCACTCTGACAGTCTCAATTATATTTATTTGAAACTTTGTCTCATCAAAGTTATAGATATCATCTTTCAGAATTTTATACTTTACAATACTGTTTCATATAAGTCTAAATCACTCACAGATAATTTCAAAATTCTCATATAAAGCTCATTGATGATCATATTTATATAAGAACTTGAATTTCAGTTTATTATAATACTTAACAAAGTTTTGTACTCAGCATTCACTCACTGTGAGTGAGAAGTTGAATTCTCAACTAACAAGAAGAAGATTAATTATTTCTCATACAGCTATAATTCAGAGAAACTAATTTTACTTATTTATAATTAAAATTCATTAAACAAGAGATTCTTTTTCTGTAAGATTAAGTTTTCAGTTCTTTGAGAATGTGTCAATATATGCTGTATAATCATGTATGTGATGAGTTAAAGTTGTATAAAAGACTTCATATAGCTTTACTGCAGCTTATATACTTGAAATTTAATTATTTTTAAGTGTTTGAATGACTAAAAGAAGTTTTTCTTTCTGAGTAAAGACTTTATTTCTTTGTGTGATTGATATTTTTGATACAAAGCATTTCTTATTGTATGAAGAGTAAGAAGTAATTCACTCACTTATATGATTCACTCACTTATTGATTATGTTAACTAATGTAATCAATATGTAAGTAAATCATATAAGTGAGTGAATCACTTCTTACTCTTCATACAATGAGAAATGCTTTGCATTAAAAATATCAATCACACAAAGAAATAAAGTCTTTACTCAGAAAGAAAGACTTTTTTTAATCATTCAAGCACTTAAAAATGATTAAATTTCAAGTATATGAGCTGCAGCAAAGCTATATGAAGTCTCTTATACAACTTTAACTTATTGCATATATAATCATATAGTACATATTGACATTCTTTCAAAGAATCAAAAACTTAGTTATACAGAGAAAAAATCTTTTATTTAATGAATTCTGATCATGAATGAGTAAAATTAATCTTTTTAAGTTGCAGCTATATGAAAAATAATCAATCTTCTTCTTGTCAGTCAAAAATTCAATCTCTCATTCACAATAAGTGAATGATAAATATGAAATTTTATCAAATACTATAATAAGCTGAAATTCAAGTTCTCATGCAAGTATGATTATCAGTAAGCTCTATATGAGAATTCTGAGATTATCTATAAGTGATTTAGACTTGTACAAAACACTATTGTGAAGTATGAAATTTTGAAAGATGATATTTATAATTTTGATGAGACAGAGTTTCAGATGAGTGTAATTGAGACTGTCAGAGTGATGATTGAATCTGAAAAAGCTAAGAATCTCAAGCTTATACAGTCTGAAAATCAGAAATAAGTAACTATTATTGTTGAAGTCAATGCAACTGACTGAGTCTTATATATAATAATTATTTTCAAAGAAAAAATATATTAATTCTACTAATATAAATTAGAAGAGCTATCACACAACTAAGTGATTGAAGTTAGTGAAAATGACTAAATTACTGATTAGCTAAACTTGCATTGACTGAAAGAGATGTTCAACAAAAAGACTTTACTCTGTATAAAAAGCAGATATCAACTATTGATTCTAAACTGACATTAAAATTATATCTCAGCTGAATTTGATTAAATTTACACTGAGAATCAAATTATTATTCTCTACATGTCATTATATTTCTCTCATCTTCTTCAGTCATTGAATGTTGACTGCTTCTCATCTCTGAAAACTGCATACAAATAATAGATGAAAAATTAGATGCAGTTTAAGATTAATCATATTGATAAAAAAAAGTTTTTGAGTTTCTATTCTGCAGTTCAAATGCAAGCTCTGATTAAGAGCAACATCAAGAGCAGCTTTAGAGCTGCTGAATTGATTTCATATGATTCTGAGCAGATTCTCTCATAGCTTAATATCATAATGCATACTCTCATCTCTTTAGAGATCTTTCATAACTCTCAAATCTTCTGAATGACAATCACATCACATAATATACATCAATTGAAGCAGCAGACTGAGAAAGTTAAATAATATATCAAGCACTGTACACAAAGCTTACTCAGTTCAATCAATTGTGCTCTAAGTCAGTTGATTAAAAGATGTCAAATGATAATGTACAGTGTGCTGCTATTCTAGCAGCTGAAAACAGAGAGTTAAAAGCTCAAAATATCAAATAAAAAAGAAAGTAAGAAAGAGACTATACATATGTAGCTCAAGAGAGTGCTTTGAGAATTGAAGAAGACTTGAATTGCATACAAAGAGTCAATGAATGAGAGCAGAAGATGATTGAGACTGTTGAGTTGTAATCATAAAAACATGCAGCATCATAGAGTAGTATCTGTGAAATTATTGAGCATACTGTTCATACATGCTCTAAGTGTATAGAAAATAATTTATTATGTAATTTGCTAGTTTTTCTTTATAGTTGAGGCTTTGAAGACATTCTCATTATATAGAGAGTGAGAAGTAATTCACTCACTTATATGGTTTGCTCACTTATTGATTACATTACAAATAATGTAATCCACCACCCAACGCCCGTTTACACTCAACGCCCGCCATTTCGCCATCACTATGATGAAATATTTTCAACATTATTTCAACAACGCAATTAGATTTTAATATGATATATCATAGGGTGAAAATATATATAGAAAATTACATATAAAAATATATAGCTAATTCAGTAAACATTTGTTTGGCTTAATAACTCGCCCGGAACATGAAATCTTGGGTGGAGGCAGATTCAACGAGCAAGCAGTCATTAAACCAGTAGAGATTGCAATATCATCATATCCCTCTGGCAGTGGATCTGTGGGCACCCTGGCAGGGCTCTGAAAACGCGATTTAGCCACTCTTTGCAAAATCAAGGGTCTACTTTCCCGATTAGGAAGGGTGATTTTTGAATTCTTCAATCATCTTCTTATTCAATCATGATTGTAGCTGTACAGCAGCTCATTCTTCTTCCTTTTCTTTTTGCTCCTGAGCCTTTTTCTCATCTCTAAGCTCCTTGTCAATCTGCCGTTGAGCAGCTCTTGCGGCATTATCCATTTCCTTTTGCTGTTTTGTGGCCTGGCGAGCTGCCTCCCGCTCCATCCTCTGCTGGATGATATCTGCCTCCTTCTGTTCCTTAAGAATAGTGCGTTGCAGCTTTGCATCCTCCTTACAAGCTTGTTCATCCTTTTTGGCAACCTCTGAGGCCGCCAAATTCTCGCGGATGCTCTGCACCTTTGCCGGCGAGAAGAACTGCGCCAATGATGGATTCAAGGGATCTAGCAACCCCATTGCCCTGCCACGCTTGCGACGTCTCCTCTCTTGATTAAGAGCTTTTTGAAGCTGCCGATTCTCTATTAAAAGAACCTCTTTATCAAGAGCAAGATTTTCCCCTGCACGGATCACCCGGTTGAGATCATTAGATATTTGATGCTGCTGTTGCTTGACTTGCTTCACCAATTTCCACAGGCCAACAATAGAAGTAGGTGTTCTTGGTTGATATATTGCGTCAGGGGGGTTGCAAGGTCATATTTGAAGCTTTTTAAGAATGTGTTCCGGATTGAATGGATGTAGGCCAGTAGCAGCAAATGCAGCTTCAATATTTGAAGATGTAACTGTCTCCTTCCACACAGTGTCAAAAAGCTGCCAAAAAGACCTCTTTGTAGTGCGTATGAATCCCATTCCAGTTCTCATTCATTCATTCAGTTGTTTGGAATATGATTTACCCAATGGTCCAAATATCCCAACATCTAGCGGCTGTAATCAGTGTGTAGAATGGGGAGGAAAGACAGCAAGTAGAATTCAATTCCAATCTGCATAATTGATGAATGCCATATTAACATGGGATGAGTGGCCATTCAATATAAGAAGTCTATATCCGCGGCCTGTCTTCTTTTTTGTAAGAGGTTCAAAGATCTTCTTTAACCATGTTAACCCATATTCATCATTGCTCCACCCATTTTCTGAAGCAGCAAAGTAGGCCTGATCCTTTTCACCATCAAAATCTTCAAGCCAAGTATCTTGCATACCTCTTGATTCCCCTTGATATATGAGAGCAGGTGGGAGCGAAGTTCCATCTGCGCAAATTGAGGCAAGTAGTGTTATGAATTCTCGACTGCCATCCTGGCTGGCACCTATCATATGGCCCGATTTGAGCGAATTAATCGATACAATACATTTGAGGGAGTGAATGAATCCTAATAGGAATCCTTTCTCATCAAAGTTGTAGATATTCGCAGGTTCAAGGTTGTATTTCATGATTTTTGCCTGCAGCTGAAAAATTAAGATAAATTAGCAAGATGAAAATGAAAAAAGCAGTATAAGAAAGAAATCTATTACAAGATCAAAATAATGCTTGAGGAATGCAGAATTGTCTGCAATCTTGTGTTTTTGATCAATATTTCACAGATAGAGTGACTTGATCACATCCTTGTGGCGCTTGCAGAACTGAGCCACCCAGTTGACTTCAATAGGTGCTTTTAGAATCTCAACAATGAGATTATGAAGGATTTGGGGCGTACAAGGGAAACTGAGATCTGCCAATTGATTGATATGAAAAAGGAGCTGTTTTTCTTGCGAATCAGTGAGAGCTTTGCAGTGGATAGAGCTTGCTGCCTTTCTTGACATTTGAACGCCTCTATAACGCCTTGACAACGTATATCGGCTGATTCCATATTTTTTAGCGGTCTCAGTGTAATTAGGCGTTAATTGCGCGTTCAAATCATCAATCGCGGCTTGTATAACTGCTTCGTGGTGCATGTTGTGGGTGGTTAAAGATGAATGAAAAATGAAGATTTGAACGGGCGTTGGGTGTAAACGGGCGTTGGGTGGTTGATTACGTTACCTACTTAGGTAATCACGGACGACAAATTTGAAACCTGTAACTTTCTTTTTGGCAGATCATGTAGTATGGTTATTAATTCCACATCCATTTCTATTTCTTTTCATTTCATGTTCATTTTATCTGGCATTTTACTTCTATATATTCGCCCCGGCTGGCCATTACGGATGTTGCAGTGCTGAAATTGCTGATATTCAAGCGAGGTCTTCCACGGAGATCGCTATTCGGCCTTCATATTTCAACAAGTATGATATTTTCCGGGTATCGAAAACCTGTTCTCTTCGTCAAGACTGGAGCTAGACGGTTATTAGGGGTTGGGTTATTATTTTGATTAGATGAACATTGATCAACTTCGCATATCATAGCGGGACCAGTTTGCAGATAACTAGACATGCGGATTTTATATACCGCTGCAAGGTAGAGTCAAAATATCAAGGGTATCCTCTCGATTTTACTTTTTACTGTTCAATAGAATGTGTAGAAAGCCTTGATATAAAATTATATTTCCACATTAAAACATAGAACGTATTCTGTATGATTTTGAACCATGTGAAACAGAGAGAATCTGAACGCCACAATAACGAATGAAGCCAATATTAAATAAAGGCAGCTTGACATGCTCGGAATGACAATAGAAGCAGTGCAGAGGACCGCAATGCGTTAGCATGAATATATGGAGTTTTATTGTGAAAAGAGAAAAGAAAACACACGTCGTCATCTCACCCAGCGGCCTCCTTGACCTTCCCCTGCTCAGGAGGCTCATCTACAAACTGTGGTGGCCCAACCTCGTCCTGAAGAAATGCAGGCACGACATCCTCACCCATCGCACTCTCAAACATCGACTCCTCCCCAAGCGCTTCCAATTCCGCATCAAGTTCCGCCTCATCAACATCTTCCGGCACATCATACGCGCGGCTAATACTCTCCTGAATTTCATTTCCAATATCCATCAAATCCTGCATCTCATCCTGCATACGCTCGATTTGGTCGATGTCAACCTTGCCATATTGCTGTTTCAGCGTCTTTGTCGTGGTCTTCATGGCATCCACGGTTGCCATGACGTTTTTCAGATTATCTTGCATCATGCCGGCCTGTTCCATGTTCCACGACTGCTGAGAGAGTTGGTCGCGCTGGGCTTCGTATTGTTTGCGGCGTTGAAGGACTTTAAGGGCCTTCTGGCGTATGGCGTTCTTCCCGGGGCCATCGCGCATTTTGGCCATTCGCGATTGGTAGGAGGATAGTTCAGCATTTAGGGCAGCGAGTTTTACGTCTATGCTTGCGACGCGGCTGTCGACCTATTAGTTGATTTTAATAGCTGTTACGATATGGATGTTTGGGGGGACTTCGGCGGCATGATCCGTAGGAGCGGGTAGGGGAATAGAAGCGTACATTTGAGATGGCACTATTGAGCGTAGGCTTTGGAGCAGAGCTCTTGGTGCCGAATAACCGGTTCATGGCGGCTCTGAGCTTGTGTAGCCGATATTATTATAGTCATAAACTTTCCAAATGTGGTGGGGAACTGGATATGAAATTGGCGAAGGGAGCAAGAATGGCTTGTCGGAGTAGTTTAGTGACTTTGAGGATTATCAGGGAATGTAAGGTTTATCGAACAGCACCTGTAGGGAAGCCAAAAGTGCTTGGCTGAAATCGACAGATCGTTCTGTGCTAGTGCTGATGTCATCCGTCTAGCAAGGTGATATCACATGACAGATGCCAAGACATTGGGTGATATCAACTCCAAGGACTATGTTGAACATATATGATTATGATTCAGTTGTTGTTGCTCAATTAGACCTTGAGATCAACATGGGTAGGGTCAGCAATTAACTTCTGGAACTCATCTTGGCTGCTTGATTCTGATCCAATAAACAAGCATACCAGCCTTGACTTGCTTGTTATGAGCAGACCGGTTGAAATAACTCTTGAGCCAATCCACTGCACAGGTCAACAAGCAACTTTGATTGAACGGAACACTGATGACACTCTTATAACTTTGACTTATGTAGAAGAAAGAAGTTTCAGCTGCCCTGAGACTTCCTCAGTTCACAAAGGTTTAGTTAGGCGGTAGTTAACATCGATGCTTCCCAACCAGTTTGACAGACACCTACATAAGTTAATGTATCTACAGAGAGGGACCCCAATACATCTGTAACTAGTTGATTAATTGAAATACAATATCAAATCAAACCTGCTACCCAGGGGGGTTAGCTTGCTCCCCGCTATACCTGGCGGCTTATTCTTTTGCGAATATTCCCATCGTTGCCGCCGTAGCCCTTGATGCAAAGGAAGGGATATTTGCTTGTTACTGACGTGCATCGAAACTGTGGTGCATTCCCCAGAAAGAGCCTCATCAACGCCAACGCCAACCCCATCTCACAGTCCGCCCACCGCCAAAGCAGCGCACCCCATACAACGTCAAACCTCCAGCTCTTGACTCTGCTAGCCTCAGTTTCCAAGGTACCGGGCAAGAGCCATCTGAATTATTTATTCTTGTGCATTTTTATTGTCACTCTCTTATGTCAACGGTATGTTACAATTCCCCAGTTGCGGCCATTCCGCTTCAAACAGCCCCTCTCCCTTCGATTTTTCCTGTTCACACTAGCAGCCCGACCACCTCTTTCTGCATCTTTAATCACCTCTCCCACTTAGTTACTCTGTATACTAATGTCCATCGCTATATAGCGCATGGTCGCTTTGACCATATTTCTATTCCATATTCCTATTTGGCAAGATTAGCCATCTCCTTGAAATTCTCCACGATCCTATCGCCACCGATATACCTTTTATTTCCTTCGTACGCCTCGCAGCAAGCACAATATATTTCATTACTTGCGTACATTTGCGCGTAGATTCTCGGATACGGAAGCATACCTTGGATGACAAGAAAGAAAAAAAAAGAACAGAACATTCGTCTTCTCATCGCCTCGCATTGTCCTGTCAATGAATTATATTTCTGTTTTAACCATCTCTCTGGTACAACTATAACTCACGCATCATGTTCTGGCGTTTTGGCGGATATGCCAATATCTCCGCTATCGACACCCTCCTCGAGAAGGCCGATGTTTCCCTCGAGGAAGTTCTCGACGAATCGGAGCTTATGCAAGAGCTCAAACAGCATAACACAAAACTCATAGAATATTTGCGCGACGATAATGTCTTGAAACGATTACTCGACTACGTTATTTCACCTAGCCTGATTGATGATGAAGATGGCCACGAAGATGAAGGCGAAGAAGACAAAGGAAAGCGGAAGGAAGTGGAGTATAATGAGCTTCATGATTCACAAGAACAGGGTGAGGAGAAGGGACAGCAGTCTAGTGCTCTTAATCCCACTCCACTAAGTTCCGGTCTTGACTTTGAAGAGCTGGAAAATGCAGAGAAGTCGCGTTTGAAATATTCGTACATTGCGTGCGAAATCTTATCCTCCAATTCATGGTCGATCATCGAGTCCATGATGCTCAATGAGGGATATCTGCGAGATTTTTGGCGTTTCCTGTGGAGGAAAGCACCCCTTGATGCACTTCAGTCTGGGTACTTTACGAAGGTGAACGAGGTTCTGCTTGAGAAGAAGACAGAAGAGATGCTCGCATTTATCAAGTCTCTAGATGGCGTTGTGCCCACGCTCCTTCAACATGTGGATAACCCTATGATCATGGACTTGCTGTTAAAAATAATAAGTTTGGAAAGGATGGAGGGTGGTCAAGGGGTTGTTGAGGTGAACGCTCTCAGTTTTTTGAATGTCACTTGAGAAAGACTACCCAACTAACTACTCGAAATACAGTGGCTACAATCGCAGGACTTGATACCCACCCTTTTATCTTACCTTTCGACAGAGCACACGTCTTCAACGCAAACGTCCGCAGGTGACTTCTTGAAAGCAATCATAACGATTTCAGCTAACGCGGCGCAAAATGATCATTCTTGTATCGGTCCCAACAGCTTGACCCGCCAGTTAGTTTCTACGCCCTGTGTGGAAATGTTGATATCTTCGATGCTAAAGGGTGGAAATCCACTTACTGTCGGAGTTGGGATTGTTATTGAAGTTATCCGCAAGAACAATTCGGATTACGACCCAGAAAACGTTGGAGGTCCGGACTCGCCTCCGACAATGCATGATCCTATTTACCTCGGCAATCTTCTGCGCTTGTTTGCGAAAAATGTTCCTGGATTTATGAATTTGATACTCAGTTCAAAACACACTGTGAATGAAGGTGGTCAGCATCTGGTTGTTGACAGATCTCGTCTGGATAGCGCTTGGGGAACCAGCATTGAGCCTCTGGGGTTTGACAGGTTCAAAACGTGCGAACTGATGGCTGAGCTTCTTCACTGCAGTAATATGGGGTTATTGAATGAAATCGGAAGTGATGAGTATATCCGGAAACGTGATGCGGAGCGAGAACGGCTACGAGCACAGGGTGCTTTCTCCCATGGGGAGGATGATTCCGGTTTTGACTATGCTGAAACTACGAATGAGTTCGTGAACGGTATCTCTCCATCTGCACTTGGCTCTGGGTCACCAGAAGACATCAAACAGCCTGATGCGCAGCATGCCTATGAGGAGGATGGTTTCGAAGACATGGCTTCTTCCGGGGTACTTATAGATGACATCGGAGACAATTTCAATGAGAAACCCGAAGTCCAAAGTAGCCCTCTACCTATCGCTGAACAGTTTACAACCATTCCTCCAAACGCACCGAAATTAGGCATGAGTGATGATTTTGTTGATGAGCCGCTAACGCCACTGGAACAAAGGTCTGTTCTAGATGAGAAAGTTATCGAACCCCCTTCTCCGCCTCAATCTCACGATCCTATCTCGCCCACTTCATCCGAACTCACGCATACTGTGGAAAGCTTTCATCTTGACAGTGAACAACAGAAACAAATCGAATCGCATGATGCCACCTGGACTGGAGTTAGCACAATTGGCGTATCTGAAGTACAACAACACCCGGCTAAAGACCCGGATCCTTTATTATCACCTCACCCAGATGACACTCCTGCGCCTCTATTTGCCGGAAAGGGTTCCCCGACAAAGGTAGAGGGCCAGACTACTACAGAGCATGAAGTAATCGAGGGTAGGACAGAAACAGGGGAAACCTTCAGAGGCAGCGCCGCAACAGTTTCCCTAACACCGTCGATAACCATGGGCGATGTTGAAGAAAACTCTGCACACCAACAGGTTCAAATAGACTCCGATGGTCAGCCGGTGGTAGGCGATTATCTGAAAATCATGTTCGTGGAACATAAAGTCCTGCCCACAATACTGGTATGTACAGTTGATCACAATTGAATAAATAAAATGTGTAATACTGACCCTAAACAACAGTCCTTCTTTTTCCGTTTTGCATGGAACAATTTTCTTCATAATGTGGTGTATGACGTCGTCCAGCAAGTATTCAATGGACCCATGGATCGAGGTTTCAACCGGTCACTAGCCATTGACTTGTTTGAATCTGGCCATATAACAGAGCAAATTGTTGAGGGTCAACTCCGGAGCGACGAATCCCAGCGCACCAAAAATATGAGATTGGGATACATGGGTCATCTCACTCTCATAGCAGAGGAAGTTGTAAAGTTCAGCGAACGTCATTCCCCGGAATTACTGTCTGTCAGTGTGATGGATAATGTTCTAAATCCGGATTGGATCGACTATGTGGAACGAACACTTTCTGAAACCAGGGAAAGGGATAACGCTATTTTGGGTGGTGTTAGACCCGATATGTCCATGAGCCATCGCCAGGCAGTCCTAAATGCAGTTAGCGCTGCCCAAGGGTTCACAGGTTCAGCGGCACTAGCTAATGCGGGCCTAAACGGATCACCTCCTGGTTCGGCCTTCGAAGGGCTCGACGTCATGACTCAGGGTACCGTCTCCGGAGGAGCCTTCTTCAGCGGATCCGGTGGCCCAGCTCTACTCAGCGGCTTTGGAAGCTCGAGCGAAGATGAAGATGAAGAGATGGAGGATCCGGAGGAAGGCGACGATGGTGGAAGAAAAGGTCACTGGACTAGCGCCGAAACTGGCGCAGAAAATGTGGGTAAACATTCCCTTCAGGACGTTGATCTGAGTGACCGATGATTATGGCGATCCTTACCAACTGACAACAACAACTCTTCTGTCTATCTCTATATCTTGGAGAGGTGTGTTGATGTATGGGTCACCACTGTACAATACTTTATGCCTATTTGCCGGGCGTGAGGTCCTTCATAGTCGTTTATGCCAACCAAGTGTTCTTTCTTGGATTTCATGTTCTTTCACACATGGCGCCATTTATAATATGTATAAGCACCAAGCATTTTACTGTTCCTAGACCGTCATATCACTATTTTTTTTTTCGATCAGATGACTCTCCTGGCTTCATAAGTGGCTGTTGACTACTCTGATCTTGTTCTTATTATTCTATTTCCCCTCAATCTCCCGCAAATTATAAACCCTCGTATTCTCATTTTGAGAATGGCTGAAGGGTTGTATGCTGAACGTACACTTTCTTGCCGCATTATCCCTTGTGGAGTTTTAATTATTCCCATTTCCTCAGCGCCTTATCATTTTTAGCGACGATTGTATTTATTGGGTTGAAGGAGCTGGAAATTACAATAAACCACATTATTTGCAATCGCTGACATTTGAATTATAGGGTGGTTCTGCCAATGCTACAAGCCAGCCAATTCCAATGTTGCCCCCGCCCGCGCCTTTGAACATCCCACCATCCCGAGCTCGACGTCAGCTAGCAGCACGTCTCGCAGCTCAAAAGGAAAGGGCTGAAACTGCCGCTACATCACCTCCCTCTGGCAACAATTCCAGCTACGCTGAAGATGCTACTTCTGGCGACAGTGGTCATTTAGAGAACCTGGGTTTCGGTCTTAGTACTATCTTAGACCCCTTCGGATCCCCAGCTCTCAGACATGAAGGATATGATTTACCTGCTATGGGCAATACGTCATCATACGATGCATTTTCTTCCCATTTCACACAATACGGAGTACCATCGTCTCCTCCATCCACGATATCTAGCTTCCCACAGATCCACTCATACTCATCCAACTCATCTGACGACGGTGACGAACTGTCCACCGAAGCCGTCCAGCGAAAAGTCCGACTTCCGCTCGAAGTTGATGACGATGAAGATGAAATGGGAGATATAGTTAGTCCCAATACGGAAATTGTCTCCACTTACTCTGACGAAGAGGACGAAACGATCGTTGGAGAACCGCTGGGATATTCCAGCTTCTTCGAGTCTGCACATTATGGTGGTACATCAGGAACCAGGATACGAAGCGTTGGTGGTCGACTGTTTCAGTCAGAGGATCGACATGATAGTAGTGATGACGAAGAGGATGATGGCCTTGTAGAGATATTGGTACCGGGAAGGAAATGATGGCATATATACCTTTTGGCATACGTTAGTCTACTTAGTACGCTTGATGCAATTACTTCTTACCAACTGCGTTTTCATATATTGGCCTGTTTAGGTTTTTATCCATTTTCACAGGCGTCTCACCCCATTCTTTAACAGACAGTCATTTTAAGCGGAAAATAAATGAAACTGGTTCTGCGTTTCCCATTGTGCCATTGGGAATAATGATCAGCAGTGTCGATTCTGTACAGCATACCTAACTGATATACCCGTTGTTCCCCTGGTGCATATTTCGCTTCCACATCCCCCTGCTCCTGTTAGATTCCTTGCTTCTAGCTCTGTCCGTGTCCTCCTGTCAAGAGGCTCGGCCATTTAAAGCACCTGGCCCTTTTCTTTTCGCTGCAGCACCTTCTCCTCCCTTTTTTTAATATTCTGCTAAGCCCTGGATTGGTTTTTCATTTTGGTACTTGCACTGATTCTCAGTTTATTATAACAATGACATCAGCGTCTCTCATGTTCAAGAGCAATACTCCGTGCAATGTTTGTATCAACCTCTAGCTCTCCACCCACGATCCATGGCTTTCATATAACTACAGGGTAACATAATCAGACACCAAGCCCGCCACCGTATTTGACAAATTTTCAAATTAAGCAACAGCCACTAAGAATATTAAATATATATATAAAATAAGTCTTTAGATAGAACGACAGATTTTAGCAGTATATTCTGTCATATTACACTTGCTCTGCAGTATGCTGATAATCACTTTTCAGTTCTCAAATTTGAATTTTTTAACACTCTCTCAGTAGATTATTGCTATAGTTATTACAGCAATTTCTTTCAGTGCTATATATATACTTATTTTCTCACTTTTCTACTTTATATTTATAACTTAATTAAATTTTTTAATATAACAATAAATTTTTAATAATTACTTTAATTTAAAATTTTATTTAAAATTTTATTTTAATAAAAAAGATTTTTTAAATAAATATTTAAAATTTTAATCTTTATAATATTATTTTAACTATATTTTCTCTTATAATTTTTTTCAAAACAATAAAACTATTTTTCTTTTATTTTAACTTCTAAAGAATTAGTTTATACTTACACTATTTTTTTTCTACTTTGACTTATATAAAATTCTTTATTTGTATTGTAATTCATTATTTGAAATACATATATAATGATTGTAATATCACTTAGTTATACTAGAATTTCAACTATATAATCAAAATTTTAAATACTATCAGTCAAAAGCTTCTACAAAACTTAATAAAATATTCAATTTTAATGAGATTTGAACAAATAACTAGTCAACTAGTTATTGAGAGTTGATTAATAAAAACATACTTTTCTTTGAAAAGTTATAAATTATTAATATTTTTTATTATCAAATTACAATTCTTGATCTAAATAGTATAAAAAAAATCTAAGTCTTAGAAAAGAATCTTGATAATTCTTAAAAATTTTCTTCTATTAATGAAAAAATTTATATTTTATCTTTTATGAAAACTTTATCAGTTTTGATTTTCTTCCAGTCTTATCTTATTAAATAATTAAATTTTATATTTATCAAAACTTATACTTTTTTATAATATTTATATTTCTTGCTTTATATTATATATAGAATTATTATTATTAATTTAAATATTTTCTTATATAATTATCATTTACTAGAAAAATATAACTAAATCAATTATAATCATAAATTTTTTTTTGGACATTGAGAGTAGATATAAAAGAAAACATAGAAGAAGATATAGAACTTGAAGTTTTTTCTTCTAATTTATTATATATAGTATGTTTACTCTTATCACAGCTTGAACTAACTCTTTTCATCTTGTAACTTTTCTCTGTTAATATATATTGTATTTAAGATGTTCTCTGCCTGCTGAGTTTAGATTTTGATTATATGTTTTTTATATATACTAAAGAAAATGAGACAAGTATCTTTGAATGAGAATATAAAGTTTTCTTTCATTTAGACTGTGAAGGAGAGAGAAATTTAGATTAAAAGACTAAGACATTAAAAAAAGATTTCTGTTTTGATTTCTTCAAGAGTGTGATCACTTTTTGCTGTAAATAGAATTTTAGCAGAATTTATCAATTTTGTGTGAAAAGTGCCTTTTTTTTAAGAATTGATGTTGAGCTGATTCAATTGCTATTGTATGCAACAAAATTTGACTAAAAACTGTGTTTTTAATGAAAAACGTGCTATCCGGGCTATAACATGTGGGATTGCTTGATGCTCTAATAGTGGGAGGAGCTGGCTAAATCTATAGACGTTATGATCAACTGTCGTTTGCCCAACATATGTTTGTTAACTAACTAGTTAGGTAACTTTCTAGTTACAGCGATAAAATAAGCTAGTTCCCACGTGACACTACGACGCCTATCCGCCGCAAAGTTAATCCGTCCCAGTCATCATCCAATCACTCATCCAATCCTTATATCTAATCCTCAAACCAACGGCAAAACATCGTTCAGCGGACCTCAATCTCCCTCAATTCCTCCATATCGTTTTTGGCTCGGAGAGCATAAGGAGGCACCATGATTTTTCGAGCGGTAGCTCCCTCCATCCATTCCTTCTCCCACCTCTCTCCCCGCACACTCTGTACAGCAACTTCTTCATCCTACACTACTTCATCCCATGCCGTCCGACAACCGCGACAACAGCAGCAGCGTGGTCTTGCTACCGTCCAAGATGCGGCAGCGACTACACCTCCCAGGTCATACGGTGGTCTGAAAGACCAAGACCGGATATTTCAGAATCTGTATGGGCATCATGGTGCGGATTTGAAAACGGCCATAAAGTATGGCGATTGGTATAAGACAAAGGAGATTGTGCTGAAAGGACATGATTGGGTATAGTTTGCCTTTGGGGATTAATGAGCTGAGGCAATTGGGGTGTTGATAGATTTAGGAGCTGATGATAAACAGATTATTTCGGAGATCAAGGCATCCGGATTGAGAGGCAGAGGAGGTGCTGGTTTCCCTTCTGGATTGAAATGGGTACGTGAATATTCGGGCTTCTAGATCCGGGGGAAGTTCAAAACTGAAACGTGGATATATTGATGCAATTATACTGATTCAATTGCTCTTTTCCTCTCAATTAATTATCTTAATAGTCCTTCATGAACTTCAAGGACTGGGACAAAGATAACAAACCAAGGTATCTCGTCGTGAACGCTGACGAGGGCGAACCCGGAACTTGCAAAGACCGCGAAATCATGCGAAAAGACCCCCACAAACTCGTCGAAGGCTGTCTCATAGCTGGCCGTGCGATGAATGCTACAGCAGCCTACATATATATCCGTGGTGAATTCTATCATGAGGCGACCGTTCTCCAGCGCGCTATTCAGGAGGCGTATGGCGCGGGGTTAATTGGTAAAAATGCTTGCGGAACCGGATATGATTTTGACGTCTATCTTCACCGGGGAATGGGCGCATATATCTGCGGTGAAGAAACATCCTTGATCGAGTCTCTTGAAGGAAAAGCGGGAAAGCCTCGCTTGAAACCCCCCTTCCCAGCTGCCGTGGGCCTCTTTGGCTGCCCCAGTACCGTAACCAATGTCGAAACTGTTGCCGTGGCACCCACGATCTGCCGTCGTGGTGGCAAATGGTTCGCCTCGTTCGGTCGGGAGCGAAACCAAGGGACAAAGCTGTTCTGTATCTCCGGGCATGTTAACAACCCTTGTACCGTAGAGGAGGAAATGTCCATTCCACTCCGAGAGTTGATTGAACGTCACTGCGGCGGTGTGCGAGGTGGATGGGATAACCTCCTCGCCGTCATCCCAGGCGGCTCATCAACCCCTATTCTCCCCAAACACGTCTGTGACGACCAGATGATGGACTTTGACGCCCTCAAGGACGCGCAATCCGGCCTTGGAACTGCCGCTGTTATCGTCATGGACAAGTCCACTGATGTAGTTGCCGCTATCTCTCGTCTGTCCGCTTTCTACAAGCACGAGAGCTGTGGCCAATGCACTCCCTGCCGCGAGGGAAGCAAATGGACCGCACAAATGATGCAACGATTTGAGCGTGGTCAAGCCCGCGAACGAGAAATTGACATGATCCAGGAACTTACGAAGCAAGTTGAGGGCCATACTATTTGCGCTCTTGGTGAAGCTTTCTCTTGGCCCATCCAGGGACTCATCCGGCATTTCAGACCAGAGCTCGAGGCTAGAATACGCAACTATGAGCAGGAACATGGTGGCAAACAGCCATTTGCTGGAGGCTGGGAACCACAAGCTCGCGCAGAGGGAAAACTTATTGCTCCTGGCCAATAAATAGTAAAGTCAGGTTCAGGGGTGTTTGTGTTTTAAAATATAATAAAATACCTACGATAGAGAGATTCGCTGGGGTGGACGAATAACTGAACCACTTCTCTAGGCAAGAGAAGGTAACAGGGTGTGTTTTGTTACCAATATGGGCTTTCTCCATTCGCCTGATAGAGAGAGTTACATTGCTGTTCATTTAGTGACATATGAGGAGAGTTCCTCTAGCAATTACCACCGGTCCTAGATATTTTCCTTCTTTTTTTATGTATGTACTCTTTTCCCATCCGTTCTATGCTCATTTACTTTTTCTCTTTTCGGTGTTCTTTCACAATTCCTCTTCTTTTATGTAGCTTGAGAGGAACAAAAGCTCCCCCAATTTACTGGCGGCTTACTCGCTCGCTGTCTTCAGTGTAGATCAACTTAGTTTTATTGGTTATATTCGCACTCACTCTAATAAACGGGATGAATATCCATTTTTTTTTGGCTGGCTGAATGGGAGAGAGCTCATGAAGGTAGAAATCCAGTTCAATCAACCATAGAAGATTTTATACATGGCAAGTTCCCATTGTTCATTCTGTCAAAGTATCGAAACAGCTGATAGATGAATATAAGAAGCGTACCTATTACAGAATAATACACACATTCAATAGGGAAATCAAATTAACAATTTTCAAATAAACAGGCCATCGGTCAGGTCAAGTTCGCTTGAACAAAAATATAAGAAAAAGTATCCATCAATCCACACCAATAAATCAATTACTGTTTATCAGACCTAGCTTGATAGTAAGAGGACAAAAAGTAAATATTATGACAACCGAACTGTCTTCCATCCTAGAAGCAATGTCCTGAAGCCTTTCCACATTCTGGATATTGAAAACTACATCCCAATTCATTGTCAGCTTATCCTCCTCTCTGTTGCTGTCCTACATCAATTTCTAATCCCTTGTTCAATGGGCTGTCGCCATGATAATATTGTAATAGCGCCTGCTCATTTCTGCCGTATGCAAGAGTCGAGTATCCTGCGTCAGCTGCAGATTAAGAATAGACGATGGCTCAACAATCTGAATTGATAAAATGAAATATCCCCAGTCAGTAAGCTGTCACCATTCGTTGGGTTGACAGGTGCACATATAAGAAAGAAAAAATGAACTTACATTTGCAGGATCTTTAGCACACCACTGCGCAACAACACGACTAATTTCCCTAAACGCCACCGTCTCCTCTAAGCTAGCAGCGGTAGCATTCGACGAATCGATATTCTTCTCATTATCCAACTTCTGACACAAAGTCGCCAGAGCAGACACCAATCTCTTCAGACGAACCCGGTCACGCCGCCCGCCTTTCGCCGTAATGAGATGCAAGTAGTCGTCATAGACCGCGCCCCCACTCGCCCAACCGCGCACCTTGCGCTCGGGAGATTCACCAAACCCAGAAATCAATCGTTCGAGCGTTGCATAGTCCCGCTCAATAACCGTCTTGGGCCCGACTAGCCGACGGAATGTGTCGTGCGCTTCGTTCCAATTTTTGGCATTGATGAGGAACTGCACCTCGTTTGAAGATTCGTATTGGTTACGGGCATTCAATGCCTTAGCTACCCAGATCCAGCTTCTGGGGACTTGGAGGTCGTCGACGATGTATCCCCACGTGGGGTTCGGGGTCCCATCTTCAAAGGTGGGGGATGGAAGCCATGCGGCGAAGCGAGAGAGTAATTCCTTGACACTGCGCTCGCGTGGTATGGAGTCCGTCAGATGCAGCAGGATGAAGATAGCCGCGGGGAATTGATCGAGTGCAGCAAGTTCCCAGGCATAATCCCATGTAACCTGGTCAGCTCGGGCTTCACTAATGATCACTGAATCGACATGTCCTATTATGGCCTGCAGATGATGGAAGAGCTGGAATGAAAATCGATTGTGCAGTGGATTTCCGGAAACAGCGTCTGGCAAGATTGCTTCGGGAAGATGGATTGGTGGAATTTTAGGGCTTTCGTTCCGTCCGCAGGCGACCGTGAATGCTTTCAACAATACCCATAGAGGAGATTCGAGAGGATCATTACGAGTAGAAACCGACGACGAAGCTGAAAAAGGATAAGCTGGCTCATTTCCTTCGGCCAAATCATGGTAAAATAATTCCACTGCTGCTTCAATAGGGTCTTCTTCAACAATGCCATACCAAAGTCTAAGTCCAAAAGCCTGGATCCAGTCAAGCGCAAAGCGCTCAGACAGGTAAAAAGTCGAAGCTCTGTCCTCGAGTGCTCCGCCGGGTTTGCCATCACTGCGCAAGCAGTTGCCAGCAAGTAGTTCGTAAAGTGCGCGAATTGGCTCGCTCATTTCAGAGTAAACATTATTTTTGCGCCATGATTCGATTTGCTCTTGCATATCACTGCGGATCGTACCATTGCGGCCAATCTGAGTAATAAGTGTGGCCAAATGAAGGCTTCTGCTTTCAACAAGTGTTTTACAAGCTTCCTCAACGCGATGGGAGCACAGGAATGCGATTGCCCGCTCTTCAGGAGACTTGATGCTGGCGATTTCATTTGCATGTCGATCACGGATGATAGACTGCCAGAGCTGGCCCAACCTATCTTTTTTGATACGATGGCGATACTGGTGGCGCAGATTTTCAGGAACGCCAGCCGATATATCGTCATGGATATCATCATTGAAAAGAATATTGGCTAACTGCCAAACTTGTCTCTCTAAATCGGCTGCTGGTGAGTTGCCAGTAACCGAGTCAGCCAAAGCTGAAAATTCGACCTTGGATATTCGGGCAAACGGTACGTTATTAACAATTCGAATGCTGCTCCGGGATTTCTGTTCGTGTAGCATATTTGGCGGCTGTAAAATGCTTTTCGTCAGCTGCAATTGCTTGGGAAATGATTATTCTATTACTCTCACCGGAGTTGGTGTGTCATAGCTGTGAAGAACAATGGTTCTCCCTTCAGAAGAAAGTCCACCAGCTTGGTTCCACGGTGCCTCAGACCGGGCAATAGAGCCCGGTGCTCTAGGACAAATGAGATTATCCATACAGCCAAATTTGGGTTTGAACGAGTTATGGAACATAATATCACTTTCGGGCATGTCCTTCACATTTCCGCCAACTGATTTGGGTTGCTTTGCATAGGGCCACTAGAACGGCAAAGAAGTTTCAGCATATTAAATCTTCAATTCGTTCACTAACTAGAAGAAAACAAGAATAAAGAATCATTATCGAAAGAAAGGGGGAGCTCATTAGATACAAGTTTGTTGACAAGTCGACAGAAATATAATTTAAATACACAACGGTATTAAGTATGAAAAGTAGAGAAGGGAATCAAACCTGGAAACCCTTAGCCTTCGCAGTCTTGCCATGCAATTTCCCTTGTCCTCCAGTAGTCGCTCGTGGAAATAGTGAATTCATAAGATCTATACTTGTCGCGAAGCTAACCTCTTTAGCTGGTTTGGCGGAGTTTGTCGAGATATCATTCTCGTTTTTGCCCGCAAACACAGTTCCCTGAATCTCGCGAAGTGCCTGACGATCCTGTTTTCTTGGGCTGATGGTTCGTTGCAACTGCTCTGCCCAATTCCCTCCCAAGTCCAGGTGTGTTTTGGGAGGAGTGCCACGATGTTGAGCTGATAGCTGAATAATAGGTTTCGGGGAATTGACCTTTGTCATTTGCTCCACTGCAGAATCCTGAACGGGAAAAGTCCCGACCATTGTTACATCCATTTCTTCGTCCTTTTCTAATTCACATAGTGATTCACCTTCCGATTCAGTAATGTCTTGACTATTTGTTTGCTCCAGGCTCCCGCTTTCAGAACGGGAATCCGTGGAGCGCTCCTCTAAAAAAGACTCCTGTTCATCGTCGGTCTCCATATCATCCACTTCTCCCATCTTTCTATCGTTTGCAGCCTGACCCACAAACGCACCCGGAACGAGCTTGCGTTTCTTGAACTCAAAAGTATCATCCTCCATTCCCGCCGTGGAATCATCCATGTACGACTCGTCGATTGAGATGGTGGAATTCATCTCAGAATGGGAGATGGACGGCTGTGTTGGAGTTCGAGCCTTTGGAGTAGGAGTATCAACTGGAGGTGCACTCAAAATGCTTTGATCAAAGTTCTCACCTTCTTCATCGTCATCATATTCAAGGCCATATGTTGTGAAATGAGGCACTCTGAAGACCCAAGTTCCGGTAAGTTTCTCGTAGACGACAAACTCCGTGTTGGTAACTCTTCGCAATCGTTCGACGTGTCTCTCGAAGGCAGGACCGCTTGTCATGGGCGACGGCGATTTCTTATCCCTACCTCTGGGCCAGGAGTTCTCGATTCGCAGGGTCGATGGGACGTTTAGGCCTTTGCCACGAGGGGGCTTAGCAACGTCGTCAGGATAAACTGTGATGGATCGGGTGCCGATTTTGATAATCTTATCAAACAGGGAATCGATATCTACTGTAGTAAGATCCACAGGCTCATCAAACGTAACAGAACCACAACCAGCACGTCCAACAGTCAAGCCAACAAAGTGCTTCTGTTGTTCACGGGGTAGCTTGCTGAGTTCAGAGCGAGAAGGCTTCATCCAATATTCTCCTGGCTTAGGGTCCCCTTGAGGAACATTGGCGAGGATTTCACCAGTAGGTGACACAACGGCTCCGCCGTGCTCAATTCCTTCCGGCACAACAGCAAGTTCGTTGCCTCGAACCTGTTCCATCTCATCTGCACCGCCTGCAACTCCGTTAACGCCATTGACTTCCTTGGCAGCACCATTTGTTCCATTGACTTCAGCGTTCTGCTTTCGAGACGAGCGCAAGAAACCCAATTCTTCAGCAGTTGGTTCAGGGCTCAGAGTCTCAACGCGGGCAACAGTACCATCAGTCTCAGTGCCAGAATCTCCACCAGCAGTTTGCGAATCGAAGCTAACTTTCTTTTTGAGCTTGCTTGATCCTTGGGAGTCATCACCGTTTGTGAGGGCCTGTGACTGGATGGAACGAGAGAATAGATCGGTTCGAAGACTACGATCAATCGTAAGTCGCTTAAGACTTGAGCTCGAATATCGCGAGTTTCCAGCGGAAAATGCTCCAGGCGAAAGGATGCTATCTGTTTCAGCGTCAAAAGTTTTACGGAGATTGCTAGATGACATGCTCTTGCTGAAACTCCGACCAAAGCTGCCGCTGAGCAGACTGCCGCTTAGTCCGTTTGGAGTGCTAGCGCTGCTTGATGGTGTACCATATGTTGAATAGGAAAATCCATAACCTTGACGAGTTGGTGGGGTAATGAGCCGGTTAGCTGCATTGGGGGAGATTTTGTATACCGGCAGAGGCGTACGTTGTTTTTGGCGAATGGTAGCAGACAATGGGGTAGCCAGAGGTCCTGGAGACGGGGCATTGGGAGGAGGCAACCCAGAGAAAATCGACTGGCTGCCATACGGATTTCCATCGAGAAGTGACGCCTGCAAACCAGTGGGTTGCTGCTGTTGATGAGGCTGCTGGGATTGGCTCAGGAGACTATTCCCAAGGCCTCCAGCAGGTTGCTGCTGCTGCTGCTGAGTCTGGCCGATTCCACTGAGGCTAAATAAACTGCTGCCACCTCCTACAGCAGTGTTAGTCTGTCCAAAAGGAGTCTGCTGCGTCGCTGTGTTTCCGAAGAGGACTGGTTTCTGTTGTTGTTGTTGGGGTTGATTTCCGAAGAGGTTGGCGGCGGGTTGCTGTTGTGTAGGTTGATTGGAACCGAAACCCCCAAATGCGGGGTTTCCAGTGGCAGGCTGACTGGTCCCCAGGTTGCCAAACAAGCCAGGTTTTTGTTCCTGTTGCGGCTGCTGATTGCCGCCTCCAAAAAGACCTGAGGTGCCAGTTTGCTGATTCGCATTATTGCCAAAAAGGGACGGTGTACTTTGTTGTGACTGTTGGTTATTCTGACCCCCAAACAAACTAGGGGTAGTGGCGGTTCCGCCACCGAATAGGTTTGAAGCGGGTTGCTGTTGAGTGCCAGTACCTCCGAACCCACCAAACAAAGCTTTGTTTGGATTTTGGGCATTATTCTGTCCGAATCCAAACCCAGTACCAGTTGTCTGTCCCTGCTGCTGCTGCTGCCCAAACGCAGGGGCAGAAGCCGTAGTACTGCCAAATGGAGAAGCCGTAGTTGTCGTATTTTGCTGTCCAAATCCCCCAAATGTACTTCCTGTAGAACCAAAAGACGGTTTGTTCTGTTGGTTGCCGCCTCCAAAGAGCGACGTGCCACCAAATGTGCTTCCTGTATTAGTGCCGAAGCCTCCAGTCGTTGCGTTGGTACCAAATCCAGAAGCCGGTTGTGAGGTGCTTGCGCCAAATAATGTACCGGTTGGCTTGGAAGCACCAAATAGTGGATTGGATGAAGTGCCAGAGCCAAAACTAGTTGCCTGAGTCTGTCCAAATCCCGAGGGAGCAGACGTGGTAGCCCCAAAGGGGCTGGTTGTGGTTGAGGTGCCAAATCCTCCTGTGGCTGTTTGCTGTTGCCCGAATCCCCCGAAAGCAGAGGATCCAAATGCACCCGGCTGACCGCTGGCGTTGCCATACCTCCGTCCATGTTGATAATCAGCCACTCGAAGTTCCTATTATCACGTCAGCAGCCCGAAATGTGAGAAAAAAGCAGAACAAAAAAAAAAAAAAAAACAGAGAGAGAGCCAGAGATCAGTGTACCTCAAATGAATATTTGGAATATGGTGTCATTGCACTTATAGTTTGATAATGATTGGTAACATTGGAACCCTGATCTTTTTCTGTAAAAGGGGCATATGGAGGGTTTGCTGTTCCCTCCGGAGGAGGGAGAGCGCCCCCTAGAGCAGTACCATTTGCGTTAAATGCAGAGCCAGCGGAAGCTCCGAAAGCGCTTGCTCCAGTTGTATTCCCACCGAAGAGAGAACCTCCCTGACCAGAAGCTCCGAACCCGGATTGTGGTTGTTGTTGCTGCTGGCCACTGCCAAAAAGCCCGGTGCCCGTGGTGGCGGTACCAGAACCGCCAAATCCTGACGTTCCAGCTCCCGCTCCAAATCCAGAAGCACCAAAGGTGGCACCAGGTGTGGTGGAAGATCCGAAAAGACTGTTGCCCGTGGTGGCAGGCGTGGCTCCAAATCCCTTATTTTGCGTTCCAAACATGGGATTGGTTTGTGAAGTGTTGGCGCCAAAACCTAGAAGAGTATGAAGGTTAGTTCGTGGGTTTATTTGATTGGAATTAACGACGCAAACCTCCAAATGCCAAGAAATATAGAAATTCCGAACGAAAACATTAAAAGCAATCCGTGATTGCTGCAAGATCATGTGCCAACCGGCATCCTCAATAAGATGAGAGAGACTAAGCCAGGATTGTGCCAGATTTCGAAGACAATCTTTGATCAAGTTGAATGGTTTTGTTCGCCACGGATGGCGTATGAAAAAGCAACATAACCAAATTGAGACACTACAACCATTCCCAACATAGACTGGAGAGACCAAGAAGACTCGTTTTAAGATAGATCTCAAAAAGACCAATATACTTCAAGTATGTAGTAGACGTCAGCGACTTACCTCCTGAGTTAAAGCCACTGGAAGTGTTTCCAAAGCCACTGCCCGTGTTTGTACCGCTGCCGAAGAGAGGCGTTCCTGATCCAAAGCCTGTACGATGGGTGAAATTGCGTCAGAAAAGACATGAACGTTGCCTTGTTTTCTAAGGCACTCTATTGCCCTCTGGGTTCCTCGCTATGTGTCGATAAAAAGAGAGAGCAACGAGGAAGAACAAGGCGCGTAGACATTCGCCCCAATGGATTTTGCCACATAATTTTTTTTTTCTCATTTTTCATACCCGACAAAACGCAATCGCAAAAGAGATAGAAACTCGTGGACAATAAGGGAGGAGGAGGAGAGAGAACCTACCAGTTCCAGTTGAAGAGCCACCGAATGTCGTGCCGGCTCCAAACCCAGTTCCTTGCTGCTGCTGATTCCCAGAGCCAAAGCCCCCAAACGTGCCAGTATTGAAAGACATGATATTACAATTGCCTTTATCAGTCTCTCCCTGCTACTAACCTCGTTCTGGGGATTGATATCAGGTGTGTCGCGTCAACAGTGGCGATCCATAAACAACCGGAGAGGAACGTGGGATGATCGACGGAGGGTATAATAAAATCGTCCTCGAGATTATGCTGAGTTATACGCGGATATATTCACGGACTTGGAGGAGGAATCAAGAAGGATATGAAAGGATGATGCAATAAATCCTATGCTTCGAGAGTGGGTATATGAAAAGTTACTCCGGTTTCAAGAGTTGCAAGAAAAAGCAAGAAAGAAGAAAAAAGAGCACAAGTGCGGCCACAGAGGCAAACCAGTGTAGAAATTAAGGGGATGGGATGCTTCACCACCGCCGGGAATAGGGGTGGTTGGTGTTGAGGTTGAAGTGAAGCGAGGTGAGGTGAGGTGAAGATAGAAAGTCGGCTCCCAAGGAGAAACACGCGAAGGCAAGAGGCTCAATGAAAGAGCCTCGCTTAACTGTCTCTTTGCGGAAGTATCATGTGACTTCGATATGCGTTGGAGCATGCAGCCAAGTCTTCTTGGCGGGAGCCTTGATAGACATTCAGTCTGTCGACATAGTATAGTTAATGTATAACTAACAGACTGTAGGGAGTTTGACTGGTCGGGTGACATCTTTTAACAAATAAAAGCCCAAGGTAATGTTTTTTACATCTGGCAATCTAACTCGACATTCTAACATTAATCTAATAAACCCATTTTTCTCGAGATCTTTCGATTCTGGCTGTTGTCTCGAATCTAACATATCCTTTGACGTGAACATATCAGGCTTCGTCCCGACCTTGGTACCGGGTGGGCAGCATCAGTCCAATGTTACTTCGTCATTATTTATCAGAAGCAGGTGGGGTGATATGGAAGGGAAAGTGGCCTTAACAAAAAGATTTCAAATTATCATGACAACCTAATACTAATACTACTCAGGCAGTAAGTCAGCAGCAAGGGTATTGTAACCATACATTTCATCTTCAAAGTCGCTAACAGGAAAATAAAGACAATTTTTGAGCTTCAGAAAACACCGACTCAAAGCGGAGTGGTTAAAAATCAATAACTAATCATGGCTTGAAAAGCAAACGAGGTTAAAACAGAGCAGGGGAGGTATATTATTGTACTAGAATGCAAGTGTTTCTTTTCATGGCTTTTGGCTTTCCTTTAACTTCTTTAAACCTTTACGAGTTTCGAAGAATCCGGATCTTGTTCTCCCATGATTTTAGCCCCATCGTGCTCCGGGTATAATCTTTCTCGTTGAAAACGTTCACTTGCTCTTTGTCGCTTGGTAGACGTCAATGATCTTGGCAACGACGCTTGGATCGGATAGCTGCGGAATCGCCGTAGAGTTAGATATTGCTCCCGATACAGAAACACCCTGCACCACGCTCTCCCACCAGGAGGAATGAACTTACAGTTGAGATGTCACCCAGGCTGTCCTCCTCGCCGCTGAGAATCTTTCTCAAAATTCGTCGCATAATCTTACCGCTTCGAGTCTTGGGCAGGTCTTCGACGACGAACACAGCCTTGGGTGCAGCAAATGGACCAATTGACTTGCGAACTTGCAAAACGAGGTCTTTGCGGAGTGATTCGCCATCATCCCCATTTTTCAGCGAAACAAATGCATTAACAGCCTGTCCGGTGAGTTCATCGGCAATACCAACGACAGCAGCCTCAGCAACAGCATCTATTTATAAGTTTATTAGTAAGAAAATATGCAGCATGGCTACCAAGTTTTGGATAATGGGACTCACGATGTTCAATGAGAGCAGCTTCAATTTCTGCTGTTGATAAACGATGGCCAGAAACGTTGACAACATCATCGACACGGCCCCGAATCCAATAGTATCCGTCCATATCTCGACCAGCACCATCGCCAGTGAACTAACAAAATTATCAGCGTGAGGAATGTGGGAGTTACAAGCGACAGAGCGTTCCGTTGTTGTGACTTACATAGAGTCCCTTATAAACATTGAAATAGGTGTCCATATATCTCTTGTGAGCACCCCAGACTGTGCGGGCCATGCTGGGCCATGGATGCTTAATGGCCAAAACACCTTCAACATCATTGCCTTTGATTTCCTCTCCTGATGCTGGATCAATAATGGCGGGTTCAATGCCAAAGAAGGGAAGGGAGGCACTGCCGGGTTTGGTTGGCGTGATGCCACCCAGTGGAGTAATAACATGAGAGCCAGTCTCGGTTTGCCAGTATGTCTGTGTTTCAATGTTAGAACAATTGGATTTAAGAACGAATGGATTGAAAATCTTACGTCGACCAGATGGCATTCTTCCTTTCCGACCACCTCGAAATACCACTTCCACACCTCTGCGGCAATTGGTTCACCGACGGATCCCAAGATGCGAAGAGTCTCAAGTTTGTGGTGGATGTATTGATTTCCAGCGCGCTTCAAGAGCCTCAGCGCCGTTGGGGCAACGTAGAACTGGGTCACTTCATGCTTCTCAATAACATCCCAGTACCGGGAGAAGTTGGGATATGCTGGAGTACTCTCGAAAATCACACTTGCGCATCCGAGAAGCAAAGGAGCATAGACGACATAGGTGTGTCCTGTAATCCAGCCTACATCCCCACCGCAGAAGAAGCGGTCGGTAGGATGGATGTCGAATACATATTTGCCAGTTGCAGCTGCGCCAACCAAATAGCCGCCAGTCGTGTGCATCAGGCCCTTTGGTTTTCCAGTTGACCCTGACGTGTACAGAAGGAAAAGAGGGTCCTCTGAATCCATCGGCTCCGGAACGATGTAGTTAGGGTACTTCTCGACCTCCTCATGCCACCACATGTCCCGACCCTTAGTCCAGGGCACATCGGCACCCGTTCTCTTGTACACTATACAGTGATTCACGTCAGGGCATTGCTTAAGGGCCTCGTCCACGATCTTCTTCGTCCCAATGAGCTTCCCACCGCGCTTGCCCTCATCCGTGGTAATAACGACCCTGGAGCGGGCGTCCAAAACGCGGTCCCGGAGCGAATCAGAGGAGAATCCAGCGAAAACGACAGAGTGAACCGCACCAATGCGAACACACGCCAGGAACGCAATAACAGCCTCTGGAATCATGGGCAGGTAGATTGCAACAGTGTCCCCCTTCTTAACGCCAGCCTGCTTCAATACCCAAGCTAACCGCGAAACCTCCTTCAGGAGCTCCCCGTATGTAATGTTGCGGCCTTCGCCGGGATCATCCGCCTCATAAATGAGCGCCAGCTTATTTGGGTCCTTGATCGCATGACGATCAACGCAATTATACGAAGCGTTCAAGCGCCCACCGAGAAACCAGGCAATATTGCCCATTTCAAAAGTTCCATAACGGGCGGTGTCAAAATCACGCTCCCACGTCAGGAGCTCGCGGGCCAGCCTAGACCAAAAGGTATCTGGATCCCGGATCGATTCTTCGTAGAGTTTCTTGTACTCGTCAAGATCTTTTAGGTGGGTTCTGGTGGGATGCTTGTCCAGAAAGGCTTGCGGGACATGGAAGGTGTCGACTTCGTGGGCTTCGATGACCTGCCGCATCACGCAGAGATTAGCTGTTGAACCTAGCAATCGAGGATCGATAGCCTTAGGTATGGGGTTCAACCGAGGGAACACGTACCACTGGCCCTTTGAGGGGTGTAACCGCACCATCAGACATCGCAGCGAACCCTCTTTGGAAGTCGCAGAATATGTATGTCAAGATATATCGAGATAGTCGGCTGAGGACTCTTAAAATTACAGTGATAGACAAAGAAGACGCGGGGTAATTACGGGACGGCCAACGCAGAGGAGACAAGAGAGTTATGCGCAGAATCTTGAAGAAAGAGTGGAGATCATAGAGTAGAAACAAATTTTAAGAAAAAACAAATTAGTTGGAAGAATGGGGTTAGACAAGCAGTATAAAAGCAACATCCTGGAGTGGGGAGGACACAAGGGTGTTTAAAGCGAAGGAGGGACAAACAACATGACTCCAGGATCAGTTTCTCGGTACAACAAGTTCATCCCGTGACGTTTGTACGTAATGTATTGTATCCACACAGCACTATAATGTTACAATGCACTTTACATAGTTAAATCTTATCGCGTAATTTCCAAAAAAAACGGCCTTAAGATTAAGCAAGATCCGGTACCCTCTCTGTCCGTGGGGTGAAACTCCTTGATTCAACCCGGAGTGGTCTTGCTAAGCCATGTACGATCATTCCAATAATAAGGTGAAATACGTAGATATGTGAAAGTTGCAGTAGCTGGTAGGGGAATGCTAGAGGGGTTGTCGTTCCGTTGCTCCGAATTGCTTTTCAGCTGCCAGCGCAAATGGTAGGCGACTCCCCAGTCGTACGTACATATTAAGTTCCGATTTCGTGCCACGACGATTACCCAGCAGCGATTTCTGGGCCGAGTTTAATATCGGTCTCGTTTCATGGTAGACCGTATGGCACATTTTTTAACTCCTCGCTCGTTTGTTTTATTGAAGGAGCAATATATCGGAAGAAGTATACCTTCAGCTAGGAACTGATCAACATACACGTCGGGTCATACTCGGCAGCTTGGTTTTCAACAATCCATGACACGGCCAGCAGTTTTGTTCCAGGAACAATGTCTTCGAAGATCACTTGCCCCGCCAAATGAAGGGCCGGACATCTCACAGCACAATCTAAACGATCGACCGCAAGCGTTTGCTTTTTACAGGCGGAATTTTCATGGGTTAACTAACTAACAACATGGGAGTATAGCGTTATCACTCGGGAAGTATAAAGTGCTCCAAATGTGCCGTGTTTCGAAGCCGATTTGCCTCCCCACCTACAATACTCTTCCGAAAGGGTTCATTCAACCTTGGTATCGCGATATGCCGGCAAAGATATTTACAGTCTGCAGAGTGGAATTCGTGCAAGCTATCGGGACAGCATGGATTCTGCATATCTCTCGGTAATGCCGAGACCGCATTGTGCAGCTTGGGTCTGTCTCGACATCGCCTGATAACCGAGTTGACGGAAAAAAGGGTACAAAACAAAAACCAGTCTGACGGGCATACATGATTAACTAATAAAAGCTAGAAAGTAAATGGTGATTCTCCCCGGAACGCTCACCCTCTCAAAATTTGCCATGCGATGGGTGCTGTCACGGCATTGTCAAGTTACTGCTATTGTACTTTGTATGAGGGGCGCATCAGACAAACCAACACCTAGGATAGTTGGAAATAGTAGCTCAGACCCACTGCAAGTGACAGCTAAGGTCTATGGAATTAGTTCAAGTTGTCTGGTACGTTGCACGCGCTTGTCGTCATCAGACAACCCGAAGGAAGTGTTGAAGAGAGGGGGAGGGGGGTGGGGGGTTGTTGGAGTTAAACTGGCGAGGGGAATGTGAAAGACATGAAAACTAGTGGAAGGTGGTAACTTATCGCATGTGGTTGGTTCCGCTGCGATGCAAAAGAGCAGCGAGATGCACGGGAGCGATAACTACATATGAAATTTACGGAAACCGAACGAACACAGATACCTGTAAGGATTAGCCTGACTGAATCCATACAGTGCGCATTGCTGAACAGAGCCGATGAAGGGGGTACATAAGCCAGGTTGATTACGAACAGAAATCCTTGCCGGCTGTTTCCTCTGGCGTGATCAAGAATTCAGGAATTCCAGGAACAGATGCCGCGTTGATTATTTTAGTCAAAACAATTTACATAGAACGCATCAAGACATCGCAGACTTACCCCTGACAACCGATGTAAATATATTCCTGTACAGTAAGACATCAGGATACCCCATCACCAAGATTGTTGATTGAAACACAGTATTTACACCGCAAATGACGGGAAGATTTAGTTAGGGAAAAGAAGATATGGTGTTTCTATTATGAGCGAGTCAAAAGATATCAACCCCCCGTACTATTGTGAATTGACAAATCGTTCGACTGGTTGTGGGGCGTAATATATAACCTTTAGCTTTCTTATATTGTCTCCGGATGGACGGGATAACACCTATGGTGAACAGTGGAGATTTGAAGATAAGGCCAGAGCTGAACGGATCTCTCAGCCTCGAGATATTCCCATTTCGAAAAGATAAAGGGAGTGGCTTAGTAGTTGACTCTTTGAGCTCTTCCTAGATATGCCGGGTCTACAACATTTGAGATAATAACTTGGGTCTCTTATGTGTATAGGGGTAGTTACACTTAAACTACCTGAGAGGCTGGCTGGTTGGGTCCTTCATAGATATAGTACGTTAACGACTGCCGTAATAGTAGTTAAGTTGTGTTGGGATCGGATTTCTGATTCAACAAAAAGCCGAGTCATTTGTGACATCCATTAAAAATAAGCATAGAACCATCGGTAACTGCCCTGCAAATATAGGGCATCCATGGATGGTATCCTTTGGGCCGTGGGATATGGCCCGTGGGATATGGGCCATCCTCATTACCTAACCGCTTTGTATCAAGTGTATCTTGGGTTGGTATGAGGGTAATGTGTATTTACTGTACAATACATACAGAGAGCATAGATACTGGCGGGAACGATTCAGCGAAAAGTCGACCAGTCGTTTTTGGGCCGTTATGCCCAGACACAAGTGACCCAATTTAGGGAGCTAAGTTCCCCGCGCCGAGGCTATGATGTCAGTTCTAGTGCGGGGCTGTGGAATGAAAAACTTCCGTTCCTCTCTGGTAACGTCCGGAAGCTCGGCAAAAGTTGCTCACATCTTGATTTTCATTTGAAATTATTGTAGAAAATGATTGAAGGGCTTTGTGTTCTGATCAAGTCCTGTTGTCCCCTATCACCAACAGAGGGCTGCAGAGTGGAACAAATAAAAATCTGAGACAATAGCAATTTTTCGATAACCTGAACTTGGCCGCAACCAGTGATAATTGGAGAGAGTTCAAGTAAATACCCCAAGTAATCACAGATTCATATCTGATAAGGGGGGCTAAAATGTGTAAGAAAACTTTGTCAGTCTATTGTCTTGAGGGTCATTTTAACGGATGAGGAAAAAGTCGTATGAGCTTTCCATTGAGACAAAACACATAACAAAAAAATTAGGACACTTAAAATGGAACCTGGGCTGCTTGCCATCCCTCTAGTCGCCACCTCAAAACATGACTACTTCATCAAAATGCTCAGCAATTCCATTAGCTCTAACAAGCCTGCCATTCTTTCATACATACTTGTAGACCTACTTCTAATACTGCTGCTACATGCAGTCTTCTTGACTTGAATTTCTAATTTCCCAGTCTGATTCCCGATCTTCAAAGCAGCAGTTTCTTCAAGAGCTTTTTCTATGTTTTTAACATCAGCAAATTTTTCTATTGAAATCAGAATGAATTCTTTTTTTAATTTTTGAACTGCAGAAGCCCTTTGATTGATTAAAAAATTTATAAACTGTAGCTTTCTAAGCTGTCTGCTGAGCATTCAAAATTTCAATAGTTTTACAAGATTTTTAAAAAGGTCTTTTGATTTTAATATTTTATTAAATTTCAACTACCGTAAAGGTATAAATATATATTAAGAATTTTAAAAGATAATAAATAAAGAATTTACTATCTTAAATTTAATATAATTTATATATAAAATAGTTTAAAATTTTTAAATTTAAATTTATATAAAATTTAATATTTTAATAGAATTTTAAAATATTAATTTAATTACTTTTTAATTTTTATATTTTTATTTAAATTTTTTAAATATATTTTTTTTAAAATAGATTAAAATAAAAATATAAATAGATTTAATAATTTTAAAATATAAAAAATTTAGTAATATAAAAACTATATATATTTTATTTATATAATAAAATTATAAGAATTTAATACTTATATTACTTTTATAATTATCTAAAAGTAATAATATAAAATCTTCAACTATAAATATAATTTTAAAAAGATTTTATTTGAAATTAATTAATTATTAGCTTATTTAAGATTTATTTACTTTTTAAAGCTAGTATAAATTTAATATAATACTTCTTAAACTTTAAATGATCTGAGAATATTTATTTTTAAAATTATCATGTGCTTGATAAACTGATCAGTATGTAACGGGCTAGTCGTTGAAAACAGCCGATAACTAACGCGTATGAAAACAAGAAGGAATCGTAAGGGAAGGAAAAGGAAGAGTAGGAATCAGGCTTCTTTTATAAAGAGAAAGCTCTGCAGAGGTGATGAGGGTTGGAGCTTCAGTAGTAAGGGCTCCTACGAGGACGATGGAGGTGCCGCCTCAGAAGTATGAAGCATGAGGGCGGGACTTCAGTAGTAAGGAGGTTTATGAGTAGGGTGGATGCGCAGCCTCGATAGTACGAAGGCTAGTACGAAGGCGGAGCCTGAGTAACAGGATAGCCCTTCATACAGAAGTTCTAACAGCTTTCATAATTGTAACTTGGTCTCTCTATTCTCTAAGTTTCACATAAGTTGACTTCTTAACTCAGCTAGCACTATGGCATTTGAACAGACTTCTTGAGCTATTTCATGCTCATTCATTTTTCATATATTCTCTGTTTGTATATTATGCTGAGTTTATATCTCATTAAGGAGGTTATAGAACTGTTGAATTGACTCCGACTGAGTTGTCTAAATTTCTTTAATATTTATTCTCCTGTCAATACAAGAAGTAATACTAGAATTGCACTTTAAAATCTAGCAGTTCATTCTTTTTCAAAAGAAGCAGTATCTTCGTTGATCTTTAGAATTTGAGAGGCTATTTCTCATAGATATAAATGGGAGAGAAGATAGGATTTGACATCTTCATCTAAAATTCATGCAACTAGGCATTTCTCTTGTTCGGGACTTAATCTTTGTGCCTGCTGATGAGCTATATTGCATTTGATTCTGTCAGCTAATCAGTCACGTAGGGTGGTTCACAAAAGCTTGTAAGCTGAAGCTGCAGCTTTAACAGAAAAATTAGAGTCATTTTCCAATTCTTTAGTAGCTTTTAAAATAGATATTTCACGCTGGGAGTTCATTTTGAGAAGTTGGTGAAGATAAGACGCGTTGAATTAAAAGATAAAGAATTTACGCGAATGGCGATTGCAAGGGGGTAGCCTGGGTTTGATCTAATGGTTAAAAATACTTGCAGAGGGTTAATGTTGACTTTTAGGGAACAACATAGCTAAGCATTATTTTGCCTAAAAGATCCTTGCCTAAGGAAGCAACACACCGAACCAAGGGGTAGGCAGTTTCACCAATTCAAAATGAGCGATGGCATGAGTATGGATACTGGTTGATTCCATAATCATTATACCTTCATTAAGGATGGGAATTGCATATCCTAATTGGGCCGATTTAGGCGGATTTCAACCTTGGAGGCTTTCGGCACAATGACTCTGATTATAGGGGCTGGGAACCCCTTTTCCAATGTCGGGTGGGCAAAAAACCATCCGCTGGTAAAAATCCAAAGGAGTTTAAAGACTTTTCTAAATCGTCGAAAGGTAGCCCTGCTCACGGTTCCATTACATTATTACGGGTAGCCATCAATCTTTGCTCACCCATGTCCGGGACTGCACGGACATATAGGGCCGGATTTTCAGGACTGTGTGAAACACAGGTGTGAACCAATGCATGCCTGACGATTCCGGAAACGTAACCTTACTGGGGACCCAGAGGGCAAAGAGCGGTTCCCTGGAAATGTTAGAAAATTGTTCCGACCCGATGAGAAGAAGAGGAAACCTTTCCGGGACTTGAAAAAGATATGGAAATAAGATAGAAGTGAAAAATGGTATGTATATGCCAGCTGAAATAGCAAAAAGTATCAACGGGAAGCACGGAACTGCCCCATTATGATCGTATAAAAATATCATGATTTAAGCCCAGACCCCTCGCTACCAAGCAACCACATGCCAGCACCAAGAGCAAATACAGCAATTCTCCCATCTCTCACAAGATCTCCCAGAAGCTGAATCCATGTCCGCGCATTGAGGAGCTGGCCTTCTCTTGCTCGCATCAGAACCCGCATCCCACTTAGCGCAACTTCTCCTGTAATAAAGAGAGTAAAGGGATTTTGCGCAGTTGCAGGAGGTGGGGGATTATGTCCATATGTCGAAACCGAGTATTGGAACAGGCTCAGCATATATATCCCGATTCCCAATGAGAAAAGAACATGCACGACCTTGAAAATCCATACCACACGCTGCTCCGCCGGCGTAGCAGGTTGTGAATTTCCACCCAAGAAGAAGTTAGCTAGCAAAGGAGGCACGCCCAAGGCTGATGCTATATCGGCCGGATTAAACGCTACACCTCCTTCAGCCCCGGCAAACGAATCATCACCGGTTGGTCCTCCACCTAGGAGGCTGCCCAGCAGGGCTGTCGTGTTTTGTTCGGGAGTGTTTTGGTCTAACGGTTGTGGTGAGCGCAGTAAAGCCCGCACATACTCTTCTTGTGCTTTGAGGTTTTCGGGAGTATGATCCTCGACAGTGGTGGTGGGAGGTATGGAAGAAACGGACTTTCGGGGGGGCTGTGGACGATGTTCAGGAACCGAGGTTGAATCGGAAACTGAAGCTAGGGGATCCTCTCTCACTGTAATATAGTTAGGAGTTAGGATATAAAAATAAAACTTGAAATGAAAAGAATATGTCTTACTGCTTGCGGGTGTCCGTCCACTTAAGCTGGTAATTTTGTCAAGTCTTGCAGAACCGCCAGCTTTTATTTTGGCCTCGCGTCGTTCACGTCGGAGGCGAGCAGCCTGTTGAGCCGGTGATTCATCTGCCGCAGACATTCTGATGGATATCTTGGGCAAGTTGGAGTGGGGTATTTATCAACGTGACTTGTTTTTAATAATTCATCGAGTCGTTTCCGTGTCATGTGCATCCATATCAGAACTGTGGGATGGTTTGATCTTTCATGCATTCGGACGAAAAGCTAGCTTGATCTGTAGTTATGTTATGTCACGTGCGGTGGAACTGCCACCGCCAATCCGAGTAAGCCCAAGCTCAATCCAAGTGACAAAACTGGCCGCCCCTTGAACGTCCAACTGCATTGGAAATCCTTCCAACCTCTACATCGATCTCTCTTCCTGAATTCCATTCAACAGTCATTGTGGACATGAATACAAATCTTTGTCTAACTTGAGTCTCCAAGGAGTCACGTATTTATTTGAGTTACACAGTCTTTCCCATCTCACATTGTAAAAAGCGACTGCTTTATTACTACCCCCAACAACTCAATTCAATGCAATAATCCACCGATTTATGATGACTGCCACGTTGTTTTTGAATCTCATGAGGAGTCTGGAAGTTAGAGCATGTGCCATCAGCTCTTCGAAGACAAAGGACGGAATGAACGCAGCCGGGGCAACATGGTGAGCAGACATGTCAGAGCTGGGCTCTGGTTTGTTTCTAACTTAGCTCTCGAGGAATGAATAATGCATTGCTTTCGTCTGGAACCTTGTCATACAACTGGGTTAGGCGAATCTCCATATGCCCAGATCCATGTTTTTATAAATCGCACGTCGCGTCCATTGAAGAGCTCTGCAAATTCAGGCTCAATTATCCTTAACAGATGACGTTCAGGTGAGGTAAATACACGTGATTACCATCCTGCCAGCCAAGACCCTTGCAAAACAGGGGGAATAACGTCACTCGTTCTGTATGCTGGGTTCGGGTTTGCAGCAGAGGATGCTGAAAATCTCTCTACTGCCAAAACTCTGGTACATATGCGGTTTACCACTGGTTAGAAATCCTGGATCTAGCGAAATGTCAGTGCGGTGGGATCGCCACCAATGACGTCTTAAGAGTTCAATCGTGCCAAAACCTATGCGCTATTGCGTACGATCTTGATTTTACCAGAGTCTTTAACATGGATTAGCTGGCTTGAATTTCGCAGTCAATTAAATGTGATCTCCAGCCTTATATACTGTCTATTAAAGCCTATGAATATATTTACCACAGGGCCTGAAATATCACCATCTCCTGCCTCTGGTTATCAGTGGTTCACGTCTGGTATTCCCATTCGATATGGCATCCCACGCTCAACGTTACCCTGGTGGACATTGGAGTGCGAACAATCCTGTTCCCACAGTCCAAAAGTACCTACACGGCTTGGATAAACAAAAGAAAGAGCGGGATAAACAAATCGATGAAGCTAACAAGCTCCAGGAAGAAGAGGATCACAATAAGCGTAAGCAAAAGGAACAGCCCGATGAGGATACGGATGTAACACCCCACCACGCCACTTTGCAGCCGAGGAAACGGGGACGCAAAGTTACAGACCCGACGACTGGTAGAGAAGTGGAGATTGATGATGTTGGGGAGGATTTTATTGCAGCAGTTAAGGAACCAATGGTAATTGTTATTATCATCCGATTTGTTCAAATTCAATGTCTAATTGCCGTCCAAAGCTCTCAGTACCCAACTCAAATCTTGGAAAACCGACGGTATGTCTGGCATATAGGTCCTTGTTCGCCGTTTAATACTTACATTCTAATGTAGCCGCTCAAAACCGAGCCTACTCAAGATTTACGGGAATACAAATACGTGCAAGATATCACCGCTCCGCCAGATCCTATTGCCGAAGGCACTACATCCGATGTGCCAATCCACGGAGAGAAGACCAACATTTTGTTTCATCCCACACCTTCTGTCAGCTATGAGCCAATGTACAAAGCTTTGGAGAGGCGTGGAACGGTGCTTTCTATATGCATATTCCTGGGTATCATAATACCGGGAAAATGGATTGGTGGCTCGCTGAAGGGCCTCATTCCACTCGCTTTCTGCATAACTTCCGGGGTGTGGCTGTGGATACAAGATCTTATCCGCAAAGGAAGAGATATTGAATGGAGCAGCGAACAACTTCGCGGTGAAACGGTATGTGTTTTTGGTCACGCTTGTATTAAACAGATCATTGCTTATTTCATTCAAGGCCACAGTCAATCTCTTACCAGAGTCAGTTGAATGGATGAACACGTTCCTGTCACTAGTCTGGGGCATGCTCAATCCGGACATGTTCGCCAGCGTTGCGGATACAATTGAGGATGTTATGCAGGCTTCCGTACCGGGAATAATCGAGAATGTCCGTGTGGCCGAAATCAATCAGGGGTCAAATCCTTTCCGAATACTTAGCTTACGGGCACTACCAGATAGCCATGTTCAGGACCTCAAAAAAGCGGCTTATGATCATAGCAAGGAAACCAAATCTCCTCAAGAGGCAGCTGCGGATGAGGAGGGAGGATCCCATTACAATCTCGAATGCTCGTTCGCTTACCATGCTAAGCCAAGCGGCCGGAGCTCTTCCTCCAAAGCTACCAACATGCACATGCTTTTAGTATTTTATTTGGGTGTTAAAGGACTTTTTGGTCTCCCACTTCCTGTGTTCACAGAATTGATTCAGCTCGTTGGCACTGTGCGACTTCGCCTACAATTGACTCCCGAACCACCTTTTGCGAAAACACTGACGTTTAGCTTGATGGGCGTCCCCCATGTCCGAGCTGGGTGCGTTCCGATGGTCAAAAGAGGAGTCAACATCCTCAATTTACCGTTGATTTCCAATTTTGTTAATTACGCCATTAAAACTGTTGCGAGCATGTATGTTGCGCCGAAGTCAATGTGTATTGATTTGGGTATGATACTGCAAGGAGACACCGTGCAGAAAGAAACCTTAGCCCTTGGTATTCTGTGGGTCAGGATACACCGAGCTACAGGGCTTAGCAAACAGGATAGGCGAGGAAGTGGAGGCGGAGGTAGCGACCCTTATATCAATCTCTCGTTTTCTAAATACGGAAAGCCAATGTACTGTACCAGGGTTATTACCGATGATCTTAATCCAGTTTGGGAGGAGTCAGCAGCTTTGCTGGTGACACCGGAGCTCATTAAAGCTGATGAACAACTCAGCGTGGAATTATGGGATTCTGACCGTAACACAGCTGACGACATTGTTGGAAAAGTTGAAATTTCCATACAAAAGATGTTGAAACATCCAGGTAAAATATACGAACTGACGTCAAGGCTTCAAGGGATGGACTCCGGTTCTGAGATGCCGGGAGAACTTCATTGGGAAGTTGGTTATTTTGGAAAACCACAATTTAGACCAGCTCTTCGCACCGATGCAAATCTTCCTTCTACGATGGAAAATGACCCAGCACTGCAAGACGACAAGGGCAATATTAATTCTGACGAAGCATATGCCGTCGCTCATACGCCTCCTGATCCTCTTTGGCCCAGCGGTATTTGCAGTATTGTCGTCCACCAAATTGTGAACTTGGAACTAGCAAATATTAAAGGCAGTTTTTCGAATGGCCGCAAGGGAGATAAAGACTATGAACCCGCGAAACCATATGGTGAGAACACGGATGAAGAGGGGAAAGATCTTCCAACGAGTTATTGTACTATTCTCCTGAACGATGAACTGGTTTGTCTTCTCCAGTTCCTTCTCTTTGTCATTATATAAATTGCTTCATATTCTAACTTGTTCATAGGTATATCGCACTCGAGCAAAAGCTGTAACAAGCAAACCCATTTTCAACGCAGGCACGGAGAAATTTGTACGGGATTGGAGATCTGCGATTGTGACTATAACTGTTAGGGATCAGAGGCATCGGGAGCATGATCCTATTCTAGGTGTCGTTCCCCTTAAGCTCTCCGAGATTCTACAGACAAGTTCCCAAGTAACGCGATGGTACCCGCTGGATGGAGGAATTGGTTTCGGACGCATTCGTGTGTCACTTTTGTTCCGGAGTGTCGAGACAAGGTTACCGCCTCCTCTGCTTGGATGGGACGTGGGAACGTTTGAGATCACCTCAGATCGTATTACCGCGTTGAATTATAATCATATTGCCAAGCTAAAATTGCGAACGAGTGGAAGCATAGCTTCACTACCGCGAGGAGCCTGTCACCAACTCGAGGATAGTAAAGGGATTTATTTTGATATCAGTTCGAAAGAGCTGAAAGATCGAATCCGTCTCCCCATCAAACATCGGTTCAGAAGCGCAATTATCTTCGAATTCCACAAGGGAGACACCCCTGTTTGTGCCGTGTTCTGGCTCCATGAATGCGTTGACAACGAGGACAAGGACTTTGATATCCCGATCTGGAGTACGAAGAATGAAACACGTCTGACACAAAACTATATCACTGAAAACAACTGGCAAGAGAAACTGGTACCGGGCCTGGAGGACCTTAAGATTATAGGGCGTTTGCAATTCAAAGTTCGATTCTCCGCCGGTATCGATGAGAGTCATCGCCGTTTCATTAAAGACAATAACTCCCGTGAAACGTTCGAGACATGGGAATCATGTATATCTGAAGGCGTCAGGCCTAGAATTGTGTCAAGGAAATTACCTTACACCATTAAAGAGATTCATGACAAATCCCTGATCCAAGAACGAGATATCCTCAGACAAGTTAACCCTAACGACCGAAAGCTCTGGATAAGCGAGGACGGAGTTGACTGGAGTGAGGCATTTGGCAGTGATCCGGAGTCTCTCGCGGATTACCAGCGACGAAACCTAGTTGATATAGGCGTTGAAGACCGTGTCCGAGATGTAACACCATCTATGACTCGCCAGAAGCGGATGAGCGAAGAGACTTCTAGCTCAGGTCAGGCAAGACGCGATTCGGGCTTTGGCAACGACGGAGTCAACATTCAAGATAGCCATGCTGCTGGACGCGAGAGAGAACATGTCGTGAGATCTGGTGGTGATGTCAAGGTCGATGATGACGATAGCTATGAACAACAGTCCACTTCTGGTACAGATGCAGATGAAGCCGAATCACTCACTGCCACAGACACCAATCGCCGCTCAATGGAAACGAATGAGGAGCGTGTGCGGAGAATCGGTAACAAGGCTAATAAGCGGACCGAACGCCGCAAGCAACGGGGGATTATGCAGTGGAGGCCGGCCCGCAATGCCGCGTTTGCGAAAGATGAGGCTACGTTCGCTTTCAAAAAGGTTAAGAATAAGTTTACGGGTGGCCTTACAGGGAGGGAGCCGGATATTGAGACGGAGATTGGGTAGATGTGATGTCGATGATGTTGGGCTGTGGTTTGTGGTTTGTGGTTCTGTTTTTAACATCCTTTTGAGCACTTGTCATTTTCTGTATTGCCTTAACTTTGCTGAAATAACCTGATACATTTTGAACATCGAGCAAGCAATTTAATCACTTTCATCAGAACTTGTTTATTTCTTGCTTTTCCTTATATTTTTGGCTTTATCAGGGAAAGCAAGGAAAGACATCACTTCGTAACATATTTTAACAATGGCACCATTATTGCTAGAAGTAAGAATGAATCTTCTAATTGAGGGGTAGTTATTTAAATCTTGGTAGATGTTTAAATTATTATATGATGGCCTAACATCTCCTACTCACCTCCTTGAGCATCTAGCCCGTAAAACCCCTTAAGGCCTCCACCCAAGTCCGTCCCCTTCCACCATCAACCTGACAGCTATCAGAATTCCTCGGCTTGTTTTGCCTCCAGGGTTAGTACAAAATGTTAACAGCTAGCTACCTAATTTAACCCAGAGCTAAGCGCTACGTAACATATTGCCATTGGCAGCATCCATCCATCATTCCCTATATTTATCCGCGGGGTCCTCCGTCTTATCGGATATATACGTATATTCCACTAATCACACAGCACAATTGTGAGATCAGTTCTACAGACGCTCGTGGTTAACGTGCATGCTAACCCGTCCTGGTACTTTCAACCGAATTAATGAGCGGTTAAATTCAGAGGGGACACCTGGCGGAGATAATCCGGTGAACAGGGATGGTTCCATTTCTTTTTATTTGGGCTCCTGTCTATAGTTAAGTAGGAGACGGTGAGTATTTATAACATTCTAGTCAAGAAAACAGTGGGTAGTTAGTTATTTGGTGGTTGGTTCAGGAGCTTGAATGATTAGCGAGAGTGAGAATGAAAATCTCAGGGGATTTAGAGTCTAGAAATGAAGAAGGATAGATTTAGCGACACATTACATGAACGCGAACAGGATAAGAGCTAAAGAGCCAATGACTCCTCCCCCACACCCTCATGCGTGGTGAATGTTGAATATGGATATTTGAGGCATCAAGACGCTTCTAACTTAAGGGGCGAGGACTTGCGATGTAGTATTTTCGAGGTGGGAAATAGTTATTGAATTCCAGACTGTAAAATGAATGATTAAAACATATATAGAAAATGAACAAATTCCACTGAGCATTTCAATAGTTAACTAGTTCATTCAGGTGGGGAAGAATATACTTAATGTTTATGAAAATAGAATCTTAGCGCTTAAGCTCAGTCTGCATCATCATAGACCCAGAGTAACTAATAACTACAGGAACCATATATGGTGCTGAGGCATATTACTCTTGAAACATCAAAGGTACAAAAACAATCAGAGGAATGAGCAGAAGTTAATCAATATTATTATTATTGTATTGTGACCAGGACATCTGATAAATCAATCTTCTATTTCAATCTTTTTTCATTCATCAATCAACAATTCTAAGTAAAGAAGCTTCTAATCAGGAAGGGATTCTTCACTTAGCTATTAGAACCTACAAATGATCAAATTTCAAACATTAGAGTCGCTGCTAAGATGTTACAGTCTATCATACTCAGTTCTTCAACTGCTATATTAACTCACAATATGCTAAGATTCTCAATAACTTAAATGAACACTGATCACTATAGAAGTGAAAATTTTTAACTCAATGAATAATATTCATAAATTTGAGAAAGTAGTAATCTTCTAAATAAGAAATGATAATCTACTACTTATAATATATGAATTTACTATTTCTATTATTATGAATGAAAAATAAGTTCAAGAATTCATTCAATAATCATCTTTAAAAATAAAGTTTTTATTAAATGTAATTATAAATAAGCTTAATGCAAAGATTTAAAAAAATATATAATAATATTATAAAAGTATAAAATTATACTATAATTAATATATTCTTTTTTATAAGAGTTATTTTATCATCTATAATAGTTAATTAAAGCTGAGATTAATGACAAGTTAACTCTTATCAGTAGAAGAAATAAAAAATAAATAACTATTATTAAGTCAGTTAATATTATAGATAACTAAGCACTGTTTCTTATAATTATACTTAAAAACAAGCTTTATCATATAATATAAGAATATTTAAATAAATTAAATTATTAATATTAATTATAAAATTTAAACTATAAAAGAATTTAATTAAATATAATTAATAACTATAAACTATTAATTATAAATTAATATAATAATTATATTAAACTAAAGTTAATAAAAGATAATAAAAAATACTATGATAAAAACAAATTTAAAGTTATAAACCTAATATTACATGATTAAAATGAGATACTTAGATATATACTCAATTTTCTCTCATTAGCTAAATAATTGAATAGACTGCTAGATAATAATTGATATGATTAAAGACTATGAGTTTCAAATCTCATAGAGAATTATCTCAAGTTTTAATAAGATAAGTTTAAAAACTAGATATGTTATCTGACTTATATCAAATGATATCTGATTGGTATCTTTGATATCATTAATCAAACCAGCCATGGGCCTACATTATATATTAATTACTATAATTTCTAAGCTGAAAATTATATAATTCAAGTTATAGAATTAATCACTTATTAATATCTCTTTGAATTAGTTATTTGAAATATAGTTTCACTATTATTGTTTTCAACAATTGAATTTCTTATATAATCAATTAATTAATTCTATTAGCCAAGTTAACTATATATAGTTTGAAAATATAATAATCTGATTAGATATCTATACTTTTAATATTTTTTAAAAAAAATATAAAACAACTCTCAATATTAAATTAAATTGAAAAATAGAATTTTATATATTTTAGATATTTAAATCTTTTAGAAAAAAAATTATAGCTATTAGAGCTTAGAAGCTTAATCAATTCACTGAGAGTGAAAAAAAATTTAAATTTAAAATGAAATAGTAAGTATTAATATGCTGTAGTAAATATAATATAGTATATAATATAAGATTGTTAACTATTTACTGATTTAAAAATACATTTAAAATATTTTTATATAAAATTTCTAATAATTATTATTAAATTTAAAAACTTATCAAGTATGATAAAGATTAATTTAGTAAATATTTTAATTTATAAAATATTTAATAATGTTATTAATATTATTCTTAGTTATATATAGTTTAAAAAAATAATGATCTGATTAGATATTAATTCTTCAAATACTCTGTAGATAGTTATAAATAATATACATTATTTTGAAATAAATTTTTTTTTTTAATTACTAATTTCAATTGATCTTGCCTTAAAATAATTAGAAAAAGTTTTAAAAATATTTAGATAATAGTAGTTAAATTAACTAGACATAAAAATTCAATATAAATATATCAAATATGCTTTAATTCTCAATTATGAAACCTTCTTATTCACCAGCCACACTCCTCTTGCGAGGAATACCACATTGGTGAATGGTGCCACCAGTTTTGAACCCAGGAACTTGAGTCTGATTGCTCTCCAACATTCACTTGCAAGGTCTTCCTGCCGACGACACTTACCTCTGGTTACGCCATCAATAATTAATATGTAGAAAAGCATATTCAAAAATTAATGAAAGGGTTTTTCATCACTGCAATGCTAAAAAGCCACTCTTAAGTCATGTTGAGATAATCTTCTAATTCGGGGTTTCTCCCCCCCCCCCAATAAACTAACTCAATCTTGCTCGACAAAAATAGAAATGAAATGAAATAAAAATCGACGTAACCCGCTTGAAATTTGCGCAAAAAATAATCGCTCAGTTTCATACACAATGCGGGAAGCATATATAATGTAAGGAGACGGAAATAAAAAAAAATATCGGTAAAGCAGGAAAGAAAGGAAAGGAAAGTTAAATGAAGGTAAGTTTAAGGAAAGATTAATAATAGAGAAGTTTCTTTTAAAAATAGTTATAGATTAAAAATAATAAAAAGAATAAGGTGACATACAAATATACATATATAAATATAAATATATAAATATATAGAAGGGAATCGTGAATAGAGCATGAGGCTGTTGATGATTGGTTGGTGACATTCACCGTTGATGGTAAAAGCAGCTAAAACAGTAAAGGGGACATGACACGATACATCTCAGGATGTCCCCTCTTTTTCTACACCTTCGCAGTAATATGTAAAGGGTGGAGGTGGAGAGTGGGATGGGTGTAAGATGATAAAAATAAAGCCTCCCCGTTATTATCGTTGGACCCGTGGAGAGGATATTGTGTGCACAATAGCTGGAGAATAAAGCCTTCACTATCAACTGATAAATATAGAATCAACAATAGAAGCTTGGTGGTTCTGTTTTCGGGGTGTTGCGTGAAGAGACAGTTGGTGGAGAGAGAGAGAGAGAGAGAGAGAGAGAGAGAGAGAAAGAGAAATGGGATGGATCTTCTAGTGGTAACAGACAACTTCCTCCTTTATTCGAGCCAACACAGCAAGCAACAACCGTTCGGTTCTGCCCTCCCTCACACACCCCCCTCTTAGATTCTCCCACTAACCAACACCAGTTTGATATTCCACGCATCGACTCTGCGTTGTTTCAAAATGGGAACGGAGTTCCCGTTCCTTTCTATTCCCTGCGTTTGATTTGTATCCAGTTTCGTAGTTACGACATCAGTTCAGTTCGGGTGGTTGTGTGTTGGTATGTGGTATTCAGGGCAAAAATAGAATCCTCTCGTGCGCTATAAATAAACACACGCATGGCAACAGGGAGCTATGGTTATGTGCACCCGAAAGTTGGAAATACCGTATTGGTAATGGATCCTTTGCTTAATGTCATGCAAAAGACAGAATGAAGCAATGGATAAAAAAAAAAAAAAAAAAAAAAAAAAAAAACTTTCTTTCTCTTTTCTCCTTGTCTGTGTTTGTTTTGTTTAATTTCAGACAGCTTTCAAATGAGGACCAGGACCAGGACCAGGGCTCGACCGGAGACTTTCCGGCAGCGGTGTGACGGGAGATTCATGTAAAACATCGCTCATCAGCGGTGCACCACGCCGCTGTTTCGGTGACGGACAGGTTAGCAGTGGAACGTCCACTTTCCCTGCTGTTCCTGTTCCTGTTTCTGCTGTTGCAAGGGAAGACAGCTCTAGTTCCACCACCGTAGGCTCAGATACATTTGTTTCAACGTAATCATTGGTATTATCATTAGTAGTAGTAGTCAGCTGCACTTGTCCGTCTTCCACGGGTCCCAGGGTCCAGCGCCACTTGCGATGGCATTTCCGCCGTTTGTGGAGAAGTGGTGTTTGCGGGGTGTTATCCCGGGAGCCGCAGGTGCTACCGGCGCCAGAATCGAAGGTGGCATTGGATAGGTTTTCGCGTAGTGCGACTGCGCAGATTTGTCGCTTGCTTGTGGAGTGTTTTCTCTTGGTTCGTGGGCGCTGGGGAGGAGCGGCTGTAGTTGTGGCAGTTGGTGTTGCTGCCGCTGCTGGAGGTAAGCTATTTTTAACAGCAGCTACATCTCCATGATCGTTGCTAGCGTTGGCGCCAGTGGCAGGACTGTCCTGGTCTTTGCCCTTGTGTGTCTCTGTTAGTGCTGATGGTTCGTCATCGTCTGACAGGTGCGAGACGGACGAGTCTGATTCCTCATCTTCGGAGGAGGATGACGTCCCGACATCTGAAGGTCCTGAGGGTGAATCTAGAGGTGAAAGATCCGAATGCCTCGCTACATAGCGCACGTTCTTGATTTCCTCGTCGAGCGGAAAGCGGTATTTCACCCGTCTTTTCGCAGGGAATAACACTTTGCGCCCGCAGTGTCCATTGCCCGACCCATTGCCGCTTGGCACAGCCAGAGACGCTCGTCGCAGTGAGGATGTATGAGGGGAGTTACGCAGAATACTCCGTAGACCGAGCGGGAGCTTGTAGGGGAGTTGTTCATTAACTGTCTGGCAGTTGCATAGATATGACGAACCCCGTTTCGCGGAGCGGGAGGCGCATTTAGGTGACGAAGCGCTCACTGGCGATGATGACGACGTTGTACGGCGAAATCCGTCATAGGCATTGTTGAATGTATTCCATACGGTGGGGGAAGCGGAACATCCTGCTGAAAGCGCTAGAGAAAGCGCCGTTGTAGACTTGCCAAAGGTGATGGGCAGTGAGGAAGTCTGCAGGGACAGCTTTGGTCGTTTGCTAACATTGGAGGGCTCGTGGTTCCGGGCGGTTGGCGGAAGAGCCGGTGGTACAGGTGGCTTTACGAACATAGCTGGGGAGGGTTGTGAATCCCCAGGCGATGGAAGCGATAGCGGAGCGATGGAAGTAGCAGAAGCGTTAGGAGGAGGAGGAGGAGGAGGCGTGGGAGTGAATGAGCTTACAGAACCCGGTGGGAACGAAGCATCATCTGACTCTGACGAAGGATCTGGTGCTGGCAGAGACTGTATATGTGCAGGCTTTGGGGTCGTGGATACGGCGAGCATGGCGAGTAGATATGATATCCAGCGAGATAGCGGGGCGAATACCAGCCGTTCAAGCTTACGAGAAGCTGTCCGAAGTGAAAGAGGCATTAAAAGAGAGTGGGAAGAGACAGACGACAGCAGCAGCCAGGTCGGGAATAAACATGATGCATTCCTTCTTGGTGTATGTTGTGTTATTGCACGTAGGTTTTGGTCGTCCGGTTGTGTTATTGCAACATGATGGACGGCATGGCTGCAAGTGTTTTGTTTAAACAACCAAAAAACAAACACGAAGAAAGAGAAGAAAAAGAAACAAAGGGCAAAGAAGAGAGAGAGCAAGAGCAAGTTCTTCTGTTTCTCTTTCGTCCGTATTTGATATGCAAAGTAAATTCGTTTTTATATATAGAGATTTCAACCCCCTTTGTTTCAACGGAGATTTGGGTCTAGGTCTCTCGTAAGCCGGTACGGGTACAGACGTCGATGGGGGATCCGTGGTAGCGGTACAGTTCCGAGGGAGAGGGAAGCAAGATACGAGGAATGACGCTGATCAGTGATCGGTGATCGAGGAACAGGCAGGAGAGGTAAAACAGAAATATTAAAAACAAGAAAGAATAAGAGAATCAGGCAAATCGTGCCGACTGAGTGGGGTTTTAAAAATAACACAGAGGGAGAGGGGGGAGTATAAAATGGATAAGAGTGGGTTTTTTTATAGTTTATGTATTAAATAATAAAAAAAAAATGTTGGGTTGGCATTTAGGTAAGTAACCGAGGTGGTGAGAGAGAGAGAGACGTTTTTGTCAATGAATCTTCTCGATCGCCAAATTCGCAATAATAACGATAACAATGGCAAAATAAGTAGACCGAAAACCGGGTCGAAGATGGAAGCGTTTGTTTTTGTGGCGCCGATTGGGACGGCTGGCTATTCTTAACCCAGCTTGGAGAGACAGACGGAGGCTTTGACCCTCTCGACTCAAGGCGGAGCAAAAGCAGACCCGGACCTGTGGGAGAGACAATAGATGGTCGACAAGACGGACAGGAGAAGAGAGGAAGAGAAGAAGGAGTAAAAAGGGAGGAGGGAAGATATATCTTGGAGGGGGGTAACTATATTGAAGTTTTGCTTCCGATGGGCTGCTGCTGGCTTTCTGTGATCCGATGTGATGAGAATGGGGCAAGCTGCAGCACCCGCAACAATAGCCTATTTATTGGCTTCTGAAACATCCAACAACTCCCAGAAACCGTGTAATAGTTACACTCCGTCTGCTTATTCAGACATATAATAGTTCTATCAGAATCTAATTTATCTATCATTCTTACAAGAATATCTTGTGCCTGTCTTGAAACCCAACCCAGGGGCTGTTCGGTTGCATTTGTCTCTGCGCATCTCCGAAAGTCGGTGATTGGCGGCAGTTTAATCCCTTAACGGGAATATGATAAACCCTCTTACTAAGTTAGCGCGGTTGATCGACTCTGGATGATGGGATGGGTTGAATTATTATTATTATTATTATTATTATTATTATTATTATTATTATCATTACTCTTATTTCCCCCGTGTCTCGTTTTTTGCTCGGGGGACTGGACGGAGGGATCTCCGAGGCAAATCATAGGCGGCTATAAATAACAGTGTGGAATGTTCCTCTTCCATGGATATTAATTAGTATTGTGTCATGTCATGTGTTGTATAGTTAGTTTTTTGCCCACAACCTTAGTAACTTGCGTTGGAACATGGACAAAACAGGTTTTCCCTATTTTAAACCGATGAGATATTGACCGTTGATTCCATTTATTTCTATTTATGATGTCTGACATCATCTCTGTTTTACCTTGGTCTTGAAGGTCTTAGAATACGATCCTCCCTTCGTCAGCTCTGCTTCCCTGGACTGGAGAACTAACCGCGGAACAGAGCACTGGGTAAGTGGGCTCTGGTAATCACAATGTCTGTTGCTCTCGCTTATTTGTTGCTTGCGATGGACCAGAGTGGGTGTGTGTATGTAAAGCACGAATGTACGAAGCAGCCCGCCCTGCTTCCAGCCCTTGCTCCAGAGGGAGGGCGGATACGAGTGACAGCTGAGATAGATACTTTTTGGGACAATGGCTGGCTGGGCGGAGTTGCAGTGGCTAGCGCTGATGAGCCAGAAGTACTCCGGACCACTAGGAAAGTACCGGATCATCATCGTTCGCCGAAGATATATTTAGTTTTTTTCCCCTTTGCTACGATAGTGAATAAGTAAGTTAATGCAAGCTGGATAACTTAACTATTGACTGAATCTAGCTATGCGGTTACTAAGCCTCTCCAGCCACTGTCCATATCACGTGATTAACGCGCCACAGCGCCACAAAACAAGTCATCAAAAAAAAAATAAAAAATAAAAAAAAAAAACTGTATATAACAACTCGACGAAATGGATGAATGATACGGTTGGATGTGCCCAAGGGAGGAACATTCTATCCAACCACCCCCGGCCTCCAACCAGCTTCGGATACTGGGACATCTCCAATCTTTCTGGGTCTTTGCATCTCCCAGGCAAAGACGCAGGACACAAGGCGCAAGGGGGCACCAGCGGTGGCAATCCATTCAAGCCCCATTCAACTCAGACATGTGAAGAATAATAATCTTATCAACTATTTAATCTCTGCCATCGCCACCAGCCTCAACAAATAACCCAAAGCCGTTTTGCCCCCCTCGCTCCGATCTCTCCGGTATAACCCTCAAATTGTGAACATTCCCCTCCTTGTGCCTTTTTAGTAACCAGGCCAGCCAGCCCTCTTATTGGCGGCAAAAATACAGCCAACATCTCCCGGTCGGGTCTGCCGCTGTGATATCTATCCGCTTCGCTACCTAAGTTTTATTTTCAAGGTCCGCTATCCTTGGGTGAGGAATATCCTGCTTTCTCTCTCTCTCTCTCTCTCTCTCTCTCTCTCTCTCTCTCTCTCCCTGATCCTTTACCCCTGTACATTGGATATCCGTCCATCATCGGTGGTCGCCTTGATTTTTTCCCTTGGATCCTCCTCTCCAGGAAGCCCCAACTAACCCTTGGGTGGATGGATGGGTTACAGTTACTTCAGACTGTTTCCCTCTTCTGCTTACGCAGCACGCACTTTCGCTCCCACCCCTCTGAACCATCTTGTTCTGCCTATTGCCTCTTTGTCTCCTGCGCCTGGACCTGCTTGACCAATAATGAGCTGAACCAAGCACTGTGAGAAGCTGTCTCTCGGCCTCGTTTCCAGATGCGGAAGAAACAGCAGTTCCAAGGTCAGTCTCTGCAAGTTATGCCCCGTGCCGTGGTTGGTCCAGGCTTTTGCTAGGGTTGACTATGATATTTGCGTTGTGTCTTTCTACTTCAACGGGTAGGCAAATACAATACGGCCATGGCAGACCTCCTTCATAGGTATGGTGGTGATGTACCACTGCGCAGAGATGATAGTAGGGTTATCTTGCACTTTGTTAGTTGTCCCTGCATTGCTATCTATCCTTTTTTTTTTTTTTTTTTTTTTTTTTTTGATAAGTTTGTTTTCTGGATCTACGACCAGCTCTTCATCCCATACGGTCTCTGTACCACTTCCGGAAAGAATTGGGAGCTTAGCTTGCGTTCTGTCATCCTGCTACAATGATAGATAGGACATTGTATCCGCATGAAGATGCTCAAATGTCTTGAGAAATCAAAGAGAAAAGAAAGAAGAAGAAAAGAAGAAGATAGAAAATAATTTTAATTTTAATTTTTAAATTTTTTGGGCAAAAAATGATCAAAGCTAACCAAAACTGCGTCACCATATATCCACGCGTCCTATTGCGCGCAATCGTGCGAGGCGTGGATCATTCCACCATCAGCTTTAAATCCATATAAAATAGGATTACGATTGTTTCTACGCCTCAGTTTTTGAAGCGGAAAACCCTGCGTTGAAATCACTTCCCCTAGCTGTCCAGCAGAAGCAGATTGTGGTCACTTGCAACTATGAAGCGCGCCGGCGCGGATTACGCAAGCTGCAGCTGATTAAGGAGGCGAAGAGAGTTTGCCCCGATGTGGTTATTGTGCCGGGTGAAGATTTGACCAAATTCCGTGATGCGTCGAAGGAGATTTATTTGTTTTTAAAAGGGTTTGTAGGGGTGGAAAGGGGGTGGGGTGGGAGGGTGGAGAGGCTGGGATTTGATGAGGTGAGTGAGCCTTTTTTTTTCTTTCTTTTTTTTTTTTTTTTTTTTTTTTTTTTTTGGCTACGTAAACTATGTCTATAGAGATAATGAAAATGTTATTTGATGTAGGTGTTTCTGGACGTCACTTCTCTGGTAGACTACAATGTTGAACTTCTCAACTACAACGATCTAGGTAGTTCTTTTTTCCATCTTGATAAGACGGATCCAACTCTGGGGTTTGCATATGATGCACGTACAGTCTCGGGACCTACGTATCCTCGCTCCCAGACCTTAGATAGAACATCTGGGTCTTGGGCCGCCTCCCATCGTCAGGATACGGACGGCTCAGCCCCATGTGCCACATCATATTCAACCACAGCCGGGGCTTTTCCATCCAAAACTAATAATACCCATATCAGTAATAATAATGCACAAAATAAAATATTATACCAACGGCTAATTCTCGGCTCACACCTGGCCAGCTACATCCGACACAAGCTCGAGCAACACAAAAGCTACACAGCGACTGTTGGCATCTCAACATCCAAACTCCTAGCAAAACTCGCAGGAAACTTCCACAAGCCGCAGAACCAAACAACACTCCTGCCTCCCTATTCTGTTGCCAATAATGATAGCAATAATTCCAAACCCAACACCGCAGCTACTGACGACGCATCAGAACCCGGCCAAGAGGCCCAAGGCAGTAACATCACCCGCTTCCTGGATGACCATGACATCAGCGCAGTACCAGGCATTGGTTTCAAAATCGCCGAGAAGCTCCGCGCGCATGTTCTAGGCCGTAAGCCGTTAGGATCTGGCATATATGACCAGCTCCCGAGCGAGGATCGCGTCACAGTAAGGGATGTTCGCTTATATCCGAACATGGGCCCGCCGCTGCTGGATGAGATACTGCTGTCTTCAAACAGTAGTAGTAGCGGCGGCGGCGGCGGAAGTTCGTTGCCCAGAGATATCGGACCAAAAATATGGGGGTTGATTAACGGGGTCGACCCTAGTCCTGTGGCGGAGGCTAGGGATGTTCCCACGCAGATTAGCATTGAGGATTCCTATGGCCATGGGCAGCTGGCGGGGCTTGATGTGGTGAGGAAGGAGCTGCTGGCGTTGGCGAGGAGTCTTGTTCGGAGGATGCTTGTGGATTTGACTGAGGAGTATGAGGAAGAAGAGGGTGATGTTCATCTTGACATCCAATCCACCGATTTGCACCGCAAGGGCAAAAGGAAAATAAAGAAGCGATGGCTCGCGCATCCGCGAACCCTTCGGCTTTCTACACAGACCCGTTCCCCGCCGCTCCCCGATGGAAGGGTCGATTTCAGCGCAGGGCGGGTTTCCAAGTCATGTCCCATGCCGTCATTTATTTTCTCTTTGCTTAAACTTAATGACCACAAACAGGACGCTGGCAATGGTACTGCTGACAACGTCACTCTAGACACCGTCACTGAGCGCCTTGTCAACGAAACTCTCTTCACACTCTTTCGCAGGTTGCATCCTGAGAAGGACGTGAGGGGCTTGAATATACATGTTGTGAATATTGCTGTGACGAATATGGCTATGGTCGGGGGGGTAGGTGCAGAGAGGGGGAGTGTCGGGAGGGATATTGGGAAGATGTTTAGGAGTCAGGAGAGGGTGTTGAAGGAGTGGAGGGTTGAGGGTCAGGCTGAGGATGACGGTGGGAAGGGAGGGTGGGTGGCTGATGCTGGCGTTGATGTTGGAGTTGGTGCTTCTGCCATTGATGACGGTGGTGGTGGCAGTGGAGATGAATGGGATAGCGATGAAGACGAAGAAGATATGTTAGATGGTGGTGGAGATGTTCTGGTGGATGAATGTGCCATTTGCGGTGCGCTGATTCCGCATTTCGCAATCAAGGCTCATGAGGTTTATCATACTACCTCTGATTGAGGGAAGTCGTGTTCCTACTATCAAAATAGTTTTTGTCTAGAATACATTAATTTTCCTTCCTTCTTACTTTAGAATACTTCAAAAGTAAATTTTGCATTCAGACCAAAGTTCCAGTGATTCTTATCTCCATCTCCATATATTCACGCAGTCTACGAATTCATCAAAAGGATAAAGGGTATGTATACTGCGAACTGTTTGTGCAGTTATCCCCCACAAGGTCGAGCTCGAGTCGAACACAGAGCTTGCAGGGGGGGGGTTGACGCTCGCCTGCAGACATGCAATCTGCGTAAGTTACGCAACGGATGGAAAACCCGCAAGCGAGCAGCCAAAACAAGAATTGTAGAACAAAAAGAAAGAAAAAGAAAAAAAGGCTATAAATACCGGGAAAACGTCCGTAGAATAAATAGCATCAACCGTCCACAATTTTCTCTCTTCATTCTCCAAGGATATGGGAACCCTGGGAAGCTGTAACGGTAGCGCACCGCAGATGCTTGAGCCAAGGCGCCCCACGGACAATTTTTAGAACTGTCCAGTTTGGGGAGCCTGAGAGACAGCAAGGCTCTAAGTAGCTTGTTTTTCCATGCTCCAATGAGTGAGTACTTCTGAGGAAATTAGTGATCAAGTGATCACCTTTCAAACGCATTCTTCGTATCCATTTCATGGAACCCCAAAAGTCCCAGATGGGACTTGGCCCTGACTGGGGACAGGGTGGCTGCGAGTCATCTTTTGCTTCCAAATAACAGTTCGAGCCAGTCGAAAGTAGCTCTGGGATACCCCAACCTGGCGGAACCAACCGAGTTAAACACCCAGGTTGGATGATTGGAAGCATCGCATGCATTAATAAACAAAAAAATTTATTTTTTTTTTAATTTAATTTAATTTTTTTTTATTTTGTCACTTCTCTCTGCTGGCGGGGCTTTGGGTAGTTTAACTCTGAAGATTCACCAGAATGGGAATTATTCAGCTCATTTCTTCTGTGATCTCCAACTCTCGTCTTTTTATTCCTCCTCTTTCGTGCGAATTTGGGCGTTTGGAGTTATATAAATGGCAACTGATTCGGCCAGATGCTGTAAACATGGGTTACACAGCTGTGTTGGCTGCTTTTGCTGTTGTCGCGGATGGATTTTTGAAGGAGATTTTAGGTGTTGAATCTAGGTGTTGATATTGCTCTGCGGATCGTTAGTTATATGGGGGCGCTCCAATTCCTCGTAGTGATGATGTCTGTCCAATCTGCACCCAGCGAAACCCCGGAGCATTCATTGCAAGAGTGACTGACGTGGTCGTCTGATTGTATAAATGAACGATAGATGTGAGAGATCCATGATACCGTAGTAATACGTGAGAGATCCATAGTTAGATGGACAGGGTTGCAATTGAACGAACGTGCTTTTAAAAATAAGTTGAACGTGTGGGTTCTATGAGTTGGGCCCACTTTTTTAAGCCATGATCGACTCTGGTCACCCATTCAAAAATAAACAACACACTCCGCACCTTTACGTCAACAAACAACATCTCATTCAACCTCGCCGCCCTCAACACCCACCAGGGTTAGGGTTAGGGTTAGGACCTGAGAAATATGATACAATCACTGCTGTCAAGAAGAGCATAGAGAGATGTGTGAGAGATGTGTGAGAGATGTGTGAGAGGGATGTGAGAGGATGCGTGAGAGAGATGACCTAGTTGAGTAGTTGTCTGCAGTTTTAATGGGGCGGTGGTGTCATGTTCTGAATGTCTAAGCCACGCAGAAGCTTTTTCTCGGCCCGAAGATTGTAGACCAGTTCCAACTTTTTCTGCAACACCAGCGTTTTAACTGTAACTGGTCGGTTAGTGGGTGAGCAACGCCGGCCCTTACCTAATCATCCCCCCCCTGGTTTTCAGCCCCAGCGGGCTTCCGTCAACAAGTGAACAACGAAACAAACCCAACGTCAAGTCCCTTCTCCTTCTTTCTGATCTCTCGTTCTTACAACATTTATTCTCGTCTTCATTCCTCCAGATATTCAATGCCTATCCCGCATGCTTCTCCCGCATTCGTCCCACAGATTCCACGGATACTGTCGGCTTGAACGGCCTTCGTCAAAAGACCAGTTACGTAGACTGGGCGGGATTTGCCCCCCCCCCCCGCGCCCCAGTCTGCGCCACATTCTCTCGCTCCACAGACCCGATCGTGGCGTTAACAGCCACGGAATGAAACCGATCCGCGGCCTTGAATCTCGATACCCAGAATAACAATCAAGGAAGTGAAATCCAAGTACTCCGTACCTGATGAAAGTTACCTTGAATTTGCGCAGAAGTTTTGTAACTCCTGGTTCTGGCGTCAGGTTATCATTGGAATATTTAACCCCTTCGGTTATTTTACGCGACAATTTCTAGGATCGATCGCCCTTGGGAAATTCTCCAGAGATTTTACACATGGTAATATTGTGTGTGAGGAAAATCCATCCTTCTCGAACTACACGCTCGTTTGCTGCAAACATATCATTGCTGGGGTGCTTGGTTTTTAACATCGCTCGGTCGTTCCAAAGCCTGCCACTAAGCCTGCCAGGATATATCCCTCACCGACCGTCCTTGTTCTCGCCCTCAGCCTCTCACAACTTAGTTAAACTGATTGTTTTGATTATTTTGAGTTGGTCAAGCAGCAACCGCTTCGCCCTGACTGCTATTAATTATTGTGTTCGTGGCTGCCAGAGGAGGCTGAGAGTTTGTGATCCTTGGTCGTTCTTGTGCCTTCCCCGCCTTGGTTCTTCTTCTCATCTTTGCGGATCGGTTTGATCGCACTAAAAAATAACCTGGTTCCCTTTTCTCCTCACCGCATACTGGTTCTCGAACTTTTCTCAACCCTTGAGAAACAAAAATATTGTATTTCATTACTACATTTTTCTACGTTCTTTCGTGAAGTCTTCAGTTGGACCATATCGTACTCTGTCTGTATATACCTTCTTAAATCCTTCTCTTAGATCTACAGCCGCTGAGGGTCCGTCCCCCCGTCAGCGGTCACCACGGACCCAACGGCTTTTTTGAGCCGTAGCGTCCCGCTCGCTATGCAAAAATTTGTTGGCCTGGTTCCTTTGATAACCAGCATCCTAGGAATTCTTGCTACAACTGTTGATGGTACGTTGCCTCCTCGCAATGGTTTCAAAAGGTCCTCACATAGAGATAATTCTCACCATGCATCTACTCGCCAGCTCGTTCCCAGAGACGAGATAGTATCGGTTACATTTCTCTCGTTGAACGGCCTATCATCCATACGCCGTCCCATCGGGTACACGCCTTTTCACATTTTGATATCACATTCGATCTACATAGAAGGCAGCAGCGGGTAAAACTTACTTTAGAACCAAACCATGACATCTTTGCGGAAGATGCACAGGTGCACTTCGTCGATCAAGCCGGAAATATCCAGAAATCAGAGTTAATAAATCGACAGAATCATAAAGTTTTCAAAGGCTGGTCCTGGGTTGAATCCGGATATGGGAATTGGGAGAGGGTTGGTTGGGCTCGGGTGGTCGTCAAAGAAGATGGCCCCGACCCTCTTTTTGAAGGCGTGTTCACCATCATGCATGATCACCACCACATCTTACTGCGGTCGAGCTATGTCCAAACAAGGCACGAGCTTGACCCGCACTTGGACGACACTACTGCAGAATACATGGTAGTTTTCAGAGATTCAGACATTGGGCAACCAGGAGAAGACGATGGTTTTACGAAGCGAAATTCGGTTGCTGAGCGTTCATGTGCAGCCGATAATCTGCCATTTAACTCAGATCTCGGTCATCCCGTATTTCGCGCCATGACACGACATGACAACGGGTTTTGGGGCTCCATGTCATTCGATTCTGTCCTAGGATTGGCTCGACGACAATCCGACATGCCTGGAACTGGAGGGAGTGGTGTGAACTTGAGGCTAAGCATCGGCAGCACTGCAGGTTGCCCATCAACCAGAAAAGTTGCTTTGATTGGGGTTGCCGCCGATTGCACTTATACAGCATCGTTCAGTTCACAGCAACGCGATGCATTGCAAGCAGCCAGAGAAAATATTATCCAGGTCGTCAACGGTGCATCTCAAATTTACGAACAAACTTTTAACATTTCCCTTGGACTTCGGAATTTGACTGTTTTCCCTCCAGATTGCCCTGCCACAGCCCCTTCTTCAGCTTTATGGAATGTTGACTGTTCTGATAATGGTTCCCCTGACATCAGCAGTCGGCTCAACATCTTTTCGGCCTGGCGTGGCCAACAACAAGATAATAATGCATTCTGGACTCTTATGAGCAACTGCAGAACTGGGCCTGAAGTTGGGCTAGCTTGGCTTGGACAGTTGTGCAACCGTGAAGCCCAAACCAGGCGAGATCCGAATAACAGCGCATCGCAGACCGTATCTGGAGCAAACGTTGTTGCTCGCACGTCAAATGAGTGGCAGGTACTTGCGTAAGTTTTCCCACTTCTCTTCATCTCGAGTTGTAATCTTGAATGCGCTGCTAATTTCTTCGGCATGAAGTCATGAGGTTGGACACACGTTTGGTGCTGTCCATGACTGCGACGGTTCACTTTGCTCGGAGTCACAGGAAGCTACATCTCAGTGTTGCCCTCTATCACGAAGTAGTTGCGATGCAGGTGGCCAATTTATCATGAATCCCACCTCTGGCAGAGGGGTCACGCAATTCTCACCGTGTTCTGTTGGGAATATTTGCTCTGGTTTGGGGCGAAATAGTGTTCGGTCCGACTGTCTTTCGAATAACCGTGGAGTGGTGACGATTACCGGAAGCCAGTGTGGGAATGGGATCGTTGAAGAAGGTGAAGACTGCGACTGCGGTGGAGAAGAGGGATGCAGAGACAATACTTGCTGTGATGCTCGGACATGCAAGTTTAAAAGCAATGCAGTCTGTGATGATTCAAATGAGGACTGTTGCAGCAACTGCCAGTTTAAATCCAGCGACATGGTCTGCCGGGCTAGCACTGGTCCGTGTGATCCAGAGGAAAAGTGCACTGGAAGTTCCTCCAGCTGTCCTCCCGACACAAGTAGTCCAGATGGTGAGAATTGCGGAGAAGGTCTCACTTGTGCTAGCGGTCAGTGCACAAGTAGAAATCAACAATGCCGAAGCATGATGGGTAACTCCCTTAGTGGTAACGAGACGATTGCCTGCGACGATCGGACGTGTTTACTGGCGTGTTCTTCACCACAGTTTTCTCGCAACCAATGCTTGTCAATCAACCAGAATTTCCTTGACGGGACACCCTGCGCCGCTGGCGGGAGGTGTAGAAATGTAAGCATTATTTCTCTTTTTCGCGCGATTTCGGTCATACTAACCATCTACTCTCCTGTCAGGGATTGTGCGAGGGTTCCTCGTTTGGCAACGAGGTCAGGTCCTGGATTGGCAGGAATAGACCTCTCGTTATTGGTCTTGCGGCTGGCATAGGCGGCCTTATCCTCCTGTCAGTCCTAAGCTGCATATTCAAACGATGTCGGAGACCTCGACGCCGAGAGACCATGGATCCAATGACCCAAGAAACCGCGCTTCTTACACCAACACCATCAAACCCAGGATGGAGTGGACCCACTCCGCCAGGTCAATGGGCATCACAACCAGCACAGCGTGGTCCTGGTGCTCGAAATTTTAGACCCTTTGACCCAATGTTCCCGCCACCAGCATACCGAAGCACAATGGCAGCAAGGGGAGGGATGCCTTCGGTACGGTATGCGTAACTATCTCTTATAATTTTTCGTTTCTGTTTGGCTTTTTGATGTTGCATTAGTAGACGTATGTCGTTTGCCCAGTAATTTTGTTCTTTGTAATTTTGTTACTTGTTCTCTTTTGGTTTTTTCTTTCTTGGATTCTGCTCCTTATAATGCCGTACATGTCATTTTTGTTGAGGTGTACACGGACTAGCAAGTGCCCTGGTGGCCGCTCCGACGCCATGAAGTATTTAGATTAAGTGGCCTTTCTCTTCAATATAAGAGATTGACGATAAGTGGACAATTGAATATGGTTTTAAAACAGTTAAAATTATTAAAAATCAGAGTAAGAAAAATCTCTCAATGTGATTTAAACATTCATTCAGATATATCTCCCTTTTGCCTCTCCAACCCCTCCAACCCTTACCCATTAGATCCATTGTCATGTTAGAACCATTTTACTTACCTGTTAGTGACATTCATCTCAACGTCTCTCGAGCTTTAGCCTGATGATAATTATTCCACCTCTGCTTCTCTCTAGTCACAACAGGCAGGTTGAGGAGACAACAGAAGTAACATATCTACGACTTAGGTTGGTTTCCGCGGCTGGGATATTGATAGAGTTGTTCATAATAAGGACTAGGAGCCATTGCAATATAGTATATGGTGTAAAGTGGGGGTTCTATGGATAGGATGAATACAAACATTGAGATAAGGGGAAACAAAAAAAAAAAAAAAAAAAAAAAAGCATGACCGCATCGGAGTCATTTAAGGGCGAAGATAGCAAAAAAAGAAAAAAAAAGAAAAGAAAAGAAAAGAAAAAGGTAACCCACATAAACTCCTCATCCCAGAACCTACAGTAATCATACAAGGGGCTAAAACGAAAAAGGAGCAGATAGCAAAACGAGAGCGATAGGGATTCCGGCCCCCCTTCACTGCAAACATATGCCTACAAACCCTTCTCGCGTCACCCCTCCCACCCCTTCCAAATCAAACTCCTCGATCATCGCCCTCAACTCATCTTCCTCCAACCCCGTCTCCCCCAACTCCCTCGCCACTCTCCTCAAATCTTCCAGATCAATGAATCCTTTCCCCCCCTCATCAAACAGGTCAAAGGCCCGAAGAATCTCTTCCCGAGGGTCTCGCTCAAGAATCTTGCGCGCGCTAATTGTCTGGAAGGCGGAGAGGGGCATGAGAAGACTGGATGGGTGAGGAGGTTGCTCGTTGCCGCTACGCTGTCCTGCTGTCCGTTGCTGTTGGGATTGTGATTGTTGTTGGGCGTTGCGTGGGACCCCGTAGGTTGTTAGGAGGGAAATGAGGTCGGGTTTAGAGAGGGTGAAGCCTAGTGCGCGGAGGGCGACGCGGAGCTCGTGGTAGTCGAGGTGCCGGTCGCGGTCGAGGTCGAAGAGAGTGAACTGCATTTTGGTCCAATATAGTCTTCAGTGATTGTAATTGTAGAAAGAGAAATTCGTGTAAACAGGTTGGGAGAGTTGTGGATTTATGGTCTCAAGTAGACGTAGGGAAATTCGTTAATTTCCTTACCGCTTCATTGATTTCCTCTCTCTGTTCCTCCGTCAGATCATTAAGGGGGTTACTGTTTGCCTGTGGATGTTGTTGGTGGGGGTTCTGTTGGGCGTGGGAGGGTGGAGGGGGTGGATGTGGTACAGATTTCGAGATGCCGCCATCTCCCCCCCCAAAATCGCCCCGATCCCGTCGAGAGAGCACTGACGCGCCAAACGGGAGGTGGTTATTGTTCAGGGCAGATCTATCGGGGAGTTTTCCGCTGGCATAGGAGGACCTAGGCGGGAATGAGGGGTGTGCGGAACTGGAGGCCATTTGTTTATCGCTAATTTACGGTTCGGTTTGGTTTGGGTTGGATGGGACGTAGAAAAGAAGAGGGTTTAAGAAATAGCGGGATCGATATACGGGGATCGCCACACTCTTGGGTGTGGTATTGGGGAATAGGCTGTGTCCTTTTCTTTTTGTATGGAGTGAATTTCTGTTTCTCTGATTGTCTTTTTGTTGTATTTCGAGTTGAAGTCGCGATTCGACGCGAAAACGTCGAACTTGAAGGGATGCACGTGATCTGCTGGTAAAAGCCGACTTTGGAGGAATATCAAGAAAACATGAATAAATACACATTCTATGTCTATTACACAAAAGGAACAAAATACAGACAAATAGTCAAACCGGAGGACTGTTGTATTAGGGCTGTAATGAAGCCAGGATATTATTGATCCAACTCCAACAATGCGAAAGAAGCAATTGATAACTACTATAGTTACTCCGATAAAACGCAAGTAAATGTCCCGAACATATGCCATCTACTATACGCCCGAATTTCTATACCTAATAACATATCTATCTTTGACATAACTCCGTAAACACCGTCTATCCAGCATAAATAATAAAGTAGGAATAAATATCCGGAATAAAAGTATCGGACTTCATCCAGAGTAAAGGGCCAGCCAAAAGTGTTATAACAATAACGGGCAAAGAGAATATTCAAATCTTCTGTACAAACCACTCAACCTTTGCAGCAATGGATCCATGGGCAATGAGGGGAAACGGATTAGTGGAGCAAAAATGAAACAGCGAAACATAGTGAATTTACAGGCCTGCGAAGGGGCTATAGGACAACACGGGTGTTTCAATGACGAAGCAAGAGGCTATATATCAAAATTCATGAAGGAGAAAACAGGGGTGTATATATATCAAGTGAAAATGCCATGCGGATGGTGATGTGTGAGTATATCACAGTAAGAGAGCCAAAGCACAGGCAGCACATGGAGGGTTGAAGACTATTTGCGTTTCTTTGGGTCTGGCATTACTGCATGCGTCTGCATAGGGGCGGCTGGTACGTTGCCCAAGGTATTGGAACCAACGGACATGCCCAGTTTTGACCCTACAACAGCCCGCTGCAAGGTCCTGAATACATTCGCCATATTCGAAATAATCATCTTCTGAATGCCTTGACTTGGTACTACTGCTCTCGCGGGCTTCATTGTCAACGTAGGTGAACGAGGTAGATTCCGTTACTCCCAAAGTCAGTGATGCAAAGTTCCGCTGCTATCATGTTTTCCTTTGATGTTGCTTAGGTTGTGATCCCCTGTCAGTGGAGCAGAAGGAGGCCAAATCCAGCCGCCTGACTCGTTGTGTCCCGGGGGGTGGGAATTATGTGATCTGCTGGTGACGGGGCATATGACGGGGGGCCTTGACTAGAGCCTCTTGTCTGAACGAAGAGGGGAGGTCACTGGAGAACTCCTCATCAGGAGTTGCGCAACATTGGTGATCGATGGAACGTCAAACAGATAAACTTGGAGTTGGTGCACCTTCGAGATAGACTTTTGTTGCCCCAGAACAGAGGTACACCTCTAACCGAAAAGAACTTGGGGAAGACAGAGCGGGTATTTCTGCGATAGGCCCCTAGAAATGTGCTTTTTCAACAAGTGTTCTATCACAGACTGCGCAGTGCTTGGATGAGAGTAATGCCTCGACAACGAAGTTCCTTTGTAGGTTGGATAGTGGACAAGAACCTGATGGTACAGCCTAAGTACAACATGGTTTTCTTGGGAAATTGGTCTCGTTTTCGATGGCCGAAGCCCAACACGTAATTTCAAGCAAAGCTCTTCTGCCAACAGGGAGACAAGCTTGGTGAGAGAAATGAGTAAATCCGTCAATCCAATTTTGGCAAGGGTGAAATCTGTCGCCCTCGCGTGGAGCCTGGTTACCGATATACTGCCTTTGCTAGAAAAAGCACATCAGAATGCTCACCACGAGGGCCTATATGAGGGAGTGAAGGATGTGGAATGCTTGAAAAGGCGGCATTCATTAACCATCCTCTCTTCCTTCGAGAGGTGAAAATGGTTAACTGGGACATCAGGAGGAGTTGTATCTAGTATTACCAAGGTAGAGGAAGGAAGAAGACCGGATCGGATTTGTAAAATGACTTTGGCTGTCATCGATCTGTAGCGATTCACCCAGGCCTTTAATTCTGTAACGAACGAATTTGTTCCAACGAAAGTATCTTCTTTTGCCTTGCGGAGGGCTTCCTGTCGATATTTGCGAGCATTGAACTTTGGACTCATAAATAGCCAGATCTGCTCATAGTTGCGGAGACGTGGCAGCCCATTCTCCTCACACACATTTTGAAGATCACATGGGTTTCCTCTCTGGTTTGCGTGGATGGACGACTGGGTGCTGAGTTTGATGTGAAAAGAATGTAAAATGTCCGGAATAGGAGGCCAAACCCCAAACCTCACTTACAATCTGCCGGGGAGAGAATACAATTTGTGTCACACGGGTGGGGGAAGAAGAACTGGGAGTGGGATGGGGATAAAATTGACTTTGAGAAGGTGGGGATATATTGTCCATATTAACCCCTATCGCATGACCAAAAACTCAAGAGGCAAATGGAGAACCATTGTCCACAACCAAGCTCTGGGGTATAGTGCCTTTTCACTACATGGAGGAGTAGTAAAATCGATAAACAAACAGCGACGGACAAGAACACCGTAAGTAACGAGAGGAGAAGACAAGTGTGTAGCAAAGAATTGAAGCTATCGAAAGCCTCGGGAGACTTTTTGAGAGATTCCATTTCATTTCGAAAAGGCGACGTCAGAACTTCATTCTTGGGGCAGGCCGTCATGTTGAGGCCTGATGAAGTGCATTTCATGTCAATATAACCGCCATTGGTCGATGAGGTAGGTGAAGGTGGATCCCGGTTGAGGGCATAATGCAGGAAGCTAACTATATGCTGTTTTATTGCACGATGGAGGCTTAGGGCGCTGACGCCAACCTGTGAAACTAGAAACAAGACAAGGCGCAGCCGCTGACATCACTGGGCCTCACAGTAGAAAAACCACGAGGTTGGAATAATTGAATGGCTGACTGCGGGAGAAGATCGGAATGCTTTGTAAATCAGCCAGTGTCTACCGTAAAGATATATCGACTCTATCAATCATTCGCTATCAAAATGCAGGTTGTAGTCATGCTTGTTGGACTCAATCACCCACGCACTCAAAGTCACTATGAAGGTCTGAATCTACCTGCAACCCAAGATCGCGATCCTCTAGGAATTGTCTGCCCTGCAATTTTTCAGGGAGATACACCTGTGCCACTTTGCCATCCACATAGTTTGGGTTGTACTTATATTCCTTTCCATAGCCCATTTCTTTCATTAACCTTGTTGGAGCATTTCTCAAATGTATGGGAATGGGTAGGCCTGCCATCCCGGGCTCCTCCAAGACAGCCATTGCGTTGCTTAGACCCCGATAGGCCCTTGTGCTTTTCCTTGATAGAGCCATGGCAACTGTAGCGTGTGCAAGGTTGATACGTGCCTCAGGCATGCCGATTTTCTCCACCGCAGTGTATGTAGCGGTCGCAAGAGAGAGCATCGTATTATCTGCTAGTCCGATGTCCTCAGAAGCAACCACTATCAGACGTCGAGCTATGTAAAGCGGATCCTCGCCGGATTGAATCATCCGTGCTAGATAATAGAGTGCTGCATCAGGATCGCTCCCTCGGATGGACTTATGAAACGCAGATATGGTGTCATAGTGTTGGTCACCGGCGCGATCATATACGAGGGTCCTAGTTAATGATTTCTTAAGTTCATCTTTAGTCATTCCCTCACGATGTGACAGATCCATTGCGAGTTCCAGTAGATTAAGAGACGTTCGAGCATCGCCATCAGCAAATGCAGCAAGATATTTGATCAATTCGTCGTCCACCAGAGAAGAGGGTGAATAATTTGGTCCCTCGACTTCCAGGGCCCGATTAAGTATCATAATGATATCTTGGTCTTTGAGCTTTGAGAGGGTGAACGTGCGGCATCGAGATAACAGAGCGTTTTGGACCTTAAATGATGGATTCTCAGTGGTGGTGCCAATTAATGTGATTTGGCCGCTCTCGACGGGACTGAGGAAAACGTCCTGCTGTGATTTGGAAAATCGGTGGATCTCGTCACAAAAGAGGATAGTTTTCTTCCCAGACAAGCTGAGCTCATTCCTTGCTTCAGCGAATAGTTTCTTGCATTCCGCAACTCCGGAGTTGGTGCTGTTGATTTCCACGAATCTGCTGCCAACCATTTTTGCAATGACTCTTGCAATTGTCGTTTTCCCTGTGCCGGCACCACCCCAGAGCACCATACTGGGGACCCGATCCTGTTCGATAAGTCCCCGAAGCACTCCCGATGGTCCAACAAGCTCCTGGCCACAGACATCATCCAAGGTTTGCGGACGCATTCGTTCAGCTAGAGGAGCAGCATTTCTGAGAGCATTAGACACCCGGCTCCGTTTCGCTGAATGGCCACCGCCTTCTCCCAGCAAAGCCGGTATAGCATCTCCAGGCCCATTGAAATTTCGCTGGAGTCCATCCTGATCTATGAATGATCGCTTCCCTTTGAGTGTTGGAAGTTGAGTTGGACCTGAAGTTGGAATAGGAGTGGGAGACGATGTGTGGCTATTTATATTGGAGACTGGCTGGGAAACAGCCTTCCTTGAAGAGTTTTGGAAAAAATAAGAGACAGGGTGGTTCCCTTGGGAAGAGCGATCAGTTGTCTGGCCTGAGCCGGCGTCAGTAATGAAGCTCTGGCAGTCTGAATCTATATGGTCGTTGATCTTGTTCTCCCGGACGGACTTGTCACAGATGGGGCATCTGACCATGCTGACAACCGCTGGGGAGTATTCCTAGGCGTAATGAAGGATGGCGCGGAATCCTAATAATTTCTCGAGTCCTTGACAATGTCCTTGAAACAGTTGTCAGTGGGAGAATTTACCAGCTTCATCGGGGGAGCTCGCAGCAATAAACAGCTCCAGCCAATCAGGGACATGATGACTAATCCAAAGGAACATTTGCTAGCCGTCACTCCGCACTCCGCACTCCGCACTCTGAACCTCCCCAATGTTCAGCGCCAATAATTAGATAACGAAACTCCCAAGTGAGCAAGCAGATCACCCAAGTGAGCGGATCACCAATTCAAAAATATCTTCTCATTTAACTACTCATCCATCCCAACACACAATTATGCCACCAATTTGCAATAAAAACACTTCAAATTCTCTTGAGAGAGAGGGGAGGCTTGAACTCTTGATAAATGCTTTAAAAAATCAAGAAATCTCCCCAATCTGTGAAGCTGCACATGTATTTAATATGTCATTATCTTCTTTAAATTATCAACTCAATGACCAGACTGCTTGCATGAATCTACATGCAAATTCAATCAAATTAACCCAGGCTGAGGAGAATAGGCTAGTTGAATGGGTGCTGGATCAAGCTAAACAAGGATTTCCCCCACAGTCAGCATTTATTGAGGATATAGCTAATTATCTTCTTACTCTACAGAATTCCACCACCTCCACCACTACCCCTCCATGTTGGCAAGAACTGGGTGTCAAATCTAGGGGCATGTTGTCCTGAGCTTCAGACTCATTACTCCAGACACTATAATCATGACCAGGCCAAATATGAGGATATAAAAATTATTCAGACTTGATTTAAGATCTTGAAGAATGCAATTACTAAGTATGAGATTCTGTCAGAGAATATATACAACTTTGATGAGATTGACTTTGCAATAAGACTGTATTCTCTTAAGATTATTACCAGCAGTGAGTGCTACAGTCAGACAAAGCTCTTATACTTTGGAAATTAAAAATGAGTGACTGTAATTGTATCAGTCAATATGTCAGAATGAACTATATTCTCATATATATTCAATGCGAATGAGATAGAGATGTAAAAAGCAGAATAGATCTAGACATCAAATTCAACATGCAGTAGATCTAACTGGAAATGAAGCTCAGAATCTTATTATTCCATCTGCTGCATCTGTTGAATAGACAGTTTTTCAACTCTGTAAGTTTTTATTATTTGAGTTTGCAATGACTTTAATGAGCTCCACAATGCTGTAGCAATTATGACACTCTTAGACATACAAGAATAAGATGTCCCCAATCTAGTGTAAATTAATTTAATTTAATTAAGTGTTGTGATGTTGAGATAATTTGATTTAAAATCTAGTGAGTTGAAATATGATGATTTTGTGATCTGCTCGCTTGGGTGATCCGCTCGCTTGGGAATTACGTTAGTTAGTTACATAATGAGCCCCGGGGTTCGGCTCTTGGATGCAGCTCGAGAACACACACGAAATGCAAATGCTCAGTCAGCGCTGACACGCAGACAGCAGTTTGCTTCATGACTGTGTTACTCTACTTCTAATCCTTCGTGATCGTCTTGGTGTGCTTTCTAGTCCATATGCTCGAGGAGCGGCAACTGATGGGAAATGTCCTTGTTGTCGACACGCTACTTCATACACGGGCTTCCAACAATCGGCCGCTGTCGAACAGTCATCGATATTCGGAGAATACCAGCGAGAGGGATATCTTCAACTATGCCACGAATGGACCCATTTCGCCCCGCAAAGCGGGTTGCAGGGCAGAAACAAGATGTCTGGTATGGCGCATTCATACATACAATCAATTTGCCCAATTCTAGGATATCAGTTCTGCTTACTCGTGATTCTAGGTCGATTATTAATGAAGCTGCTGCCGCTTCGCCTGTCCAACCTATTGTAAACATGGGCCAAGGGTTTTTGTGAGTGCGCATGGCATTTTATACCATTTTTCTTTTTGGTAGTTCAAAATTGTGGACTAATCAAGTTTTCAAATCGCGGATACAGTGGCTACAATCCCCCTAAATTTGTTATTGATGCGGCAAAAGATGCCCTAGACAAGGTCGAATGCAATCAATATGCTCCTACAAAGGTTCTTGGCCCCACTGACCTTATAATCTTTTGAGGTTTGGATGTCCCGGTTAACATTCAACAGGGCAACCCGCGGCTCAAGAAAGCCATTGCCAATGCGTATTCTCCGTTCTTTGGCCGGGAACTAAACCCTGACACTGAGGTGACCATCACAACCGGTGCCAATGAAGGTTAGGCCCCACGAATTCGACCACCTGTGAAACAGCGCATGAAGCTAATACGAAATTGCTACAGGAATGCTAAGTGCATTTATGGCGTTTATTGAACAAGGAGATGAAGTCATCATTTTTGAACCATTCTTTGATCAGTACGTTTCTCCCTTATTTGCTACTACGCTTTCAGAAACTAAACTCCTGATAGATACATAAGCAATATTGAGATGCCTGGAGGGACTATAAGATATGTGCCTTTACACCCCCCTGAAGATGGTACAAAAAGAACATCTTCTGCTTCGGAATGGAAGATAGATTTCGACGAGCTGGAGAGAACCATCACCCCCCAAACCAGAATGATTGTAAGTTTGATGTTGTCATTTACAATTAATTGCCCAATTGCTTACTCTCCTAACTAGGTTCTTAACTCACCGTAAGCATGATATGTATTTGCACCCCATGTATAAATCCCATTTTATTTTAACATCATATGCAGGCACAATCCGGTAGGAAAAGTTTTCTCGCGCGAAGAACTCGAAAAGATAGCCGCGCTTTGTGTTAAGAATAATATTATAATTCTCTCTGATGAGGTTTATGATCGCCTCTACTATGTCCCATTTACGCGCATAGCTACGCTGTCTCCCGAGGTTGCAGCTCTCACACTCACTGTCGGGTCGATCGGGAAGAATTTCTATGCAACTGGGTGGAGAGTTGGGTACCTTATTGGCCTCGAGCATATGATAAAATTTGTTGCGGCTGCACATACAAGAATCTGCTACAGCAGCGTTGCGCCTTTGCAAGCAGCTGCAGCAGTTGGTTTCGAGAAGGCGGACCAAGTTGGATTTTGGGACCAAAGCAGAGCGGAGATGCGAGCAAAAATGGACAAGTTCTGTGAAGTATTCGATGAGCTTGGCATTCCTGTGAGTGCCCCCCTTTCTTTTTCCTAAATCGTGGTACTCAATTTATTCATAATTTGTTTCCTGAGACTTATATTTTGCGCTGTAGTATTCTGACCCAGAAGGCGGCTATTTCGTCCTTGCAAATATGGCTGCTGTTAAGCTTCCGGAGAATTATTCGTTCCCTCCCCACGTTGCAAGTCGCCCTCGCGATTTCAAATTGGCCTGGTTTCTTATCCAAGAGGTCGGGGTTGCAGCAATTCCGCCCACAGAGTTCTACACGGACACGAATGCACACATTGCTGAAAACTATCTGCGGTTTGCCGTGTGCAAAAACGATGATGTTTTGGAGACTGCGAAGGAACGTTTACGTAAACTGAGGAAGTACATTGTCCACCAATGAACCCTTCCGGGGGAACCTATAATTTTTTCGGGTTTCCACAAGTACCTATGGGGCTCGATATGGATTTTGGCGTAGTTAAACTGGAGTGATGATTCCTCTTAAACCCTCTTAATGGACAATTCCGGCATAATTTTAACCAGCTGCATAACTACTATCTTGAGCTACATAAGTCGATATAACACATCTTCTGCGCCGTAAATAGCACCGCATATACAAATCCATACAAATCCCCTCAGTACCCGATGCGCCGCCAGACCTAGGGGCAGAGATTGTAATGGCCGCTAAGCTTCTTTGAGCTTGGCGGCCAACCCGGTGATCGTCTTGCGCAGAGAACTTCAAAAAGCGACGACAAGCTGAACTTCCGCCGAAAACAACCACAGCCAGGGACAAAACTACAGACCAGGTACCGCGAAATCGACTTAATATCTACGGAGCCTTTTTTGTCCTTTGTCGCTGTTGAATCCCCGTTTCGATCGATACTCTCTGTACCGGCGATTGGAGGACGGATTGACACTCCTACTGTCCTGCCCGCAGAGTTTATTCCGCAATTTTCACGTTCTCCCCAAAGAAGACCAGCTTCAAAACGGCATGTGATCATGGGTGACCAGCAGAATATCTCTCAGCTTCTGGCAGCCTTAGGTACTTCAATTCCGTCTTTGTCGCTGTGAGGGCTCGTTTTTTTTTTTGCTTTTCAAGATTTTTTGCTGACCCTGCGATTTTTTTAATTTTTTAATTTTTTTTTTTTTACCTAGCTGCCCACCAGGCGTCCACTACAGCGGGACAGACATCTTCGCCTCACCAAGGGCAGCTGCCTCTAAACGCATACTCTGGAACATACCCTCTCCCAGCGTCATCAACTAATGTTGGAAACTATTCTTTGCCACCCCCCGATAATACCGGGAGCTTAGATATCAGTGGCGCCAAACCCATCAACACCGGCTCGGTTAGCATAGCGGACGCAATCGCTAAGGCGCGAGTCATTGCTGCTGAGAAAGGAATTGTATATGACACAAACAGAGGTACAGAATTGCGGACATGTATATGTGTTACTTCTATATTTCCAAGTTCCCCAAGAGAAAAAAGTTTTCCCGCAAACTTTGCTAACTAGAGAACCCTCAGGGCCTCCGCGGGGAGTAGATTCACGACGAGACCCACGATCTTACCGGCGTTCACGATCGCCGTCAAGAAGCCCCCCCCGCATTACGCGTGATACCTACCGCGATAATTATAACCCGTATCGCGATGAGCGTCGGCCTGATAGGCGAAATGCAAATGAGCGTGCTTATGCACGGGAACGTTCTTTCTCCCCTCGCCCCGGTGGTCGAGGAAAGGAGTCATACTCTCCAAAGCCTTCAAGACAATATTGGGGAGCAGATGATAGGTCCCCTCCCGGTCGAAGAGCGGGTAGTATTGTTGACGATAATGTGGAAACCATTAGTGTTGAGTCTGGTCTGGTTGGTCTGATTATCGGCCGCCAGGGCGAGAGTCTGCGGAGAATCGAGTCAGATACCGGGACAAGGATACAGTTTCTGGATAATGCGGATCCCAACAGTTCGGTCAGACTGTGCAAGATTACGGGAAATAGGGCTGCAAGAGAAGATGCTAAAGCCGAAATCACGCGAAGTATCAGCGAGAGTGGTGCGTCTCGATCCAGCAATAAACCACCTGGCCATTTGCCATCTAAAGCGATGGGTCAGTCTCCACAGGACGACGAAGATGCTGTACGGATCATGGTTCCTGACCGGACGGTTGGCCTCATTATTGGCCGCGGAGGAGAGACAATCCGAGACCTCCAGGAACGAAGCGGGTGCCATGTGAACATTGTTAATGAGAGCAAAAGCATCAACGGACTTCGCCCTGTCAATTTAATAGGATCGCCAGAGGCAACTGAGAGGGCGAAGAACTTCATCCTTGAAATCGTTGAAAGTGATACCCGGCAGCTTGCGAACCCACAGCAGCGGGAACAGCGGCCGCCATATGGAGATTCTACTGGGGGACCCGGCGGGGAGAAGGTTAATGACACGATATATATCCCTCCAGATGCTGTTGGGATGATTATCGGAAAAGGTTCATACACAATCCCCTCTCCGTTTGGATTATTGTCCACCCCAGGGCTAACCATTTCATACAGGTGGGGATACTATCAAGGAAATGCAAGCTATTACCGGTTGCAGGATCAATATTCAGTCCCCCGTTGGCCGTGATGCTGAGCGAGAAGTCACATTAGTCGGGAGCAGAGGCGCCATCGAAGAGGCAAAGAGAATGATAATGGAGAAAATCGAGAGCCCAGTAAGTAAAATTTAGTTTCCAACCTTAAGGGACCATGCGGAATTCTCTTGCATTTGATAGCATCAGTGCTGACTGCCCCAGGAATACAAATCTCGTTCCCAGCCCTCGCGCCGTGACGACTCGTATGGTGAACGGTACTCCTCCAGGCCGCAGCAGCGCCAGCCGTACTACCAGGAGCAGAGCAGGCAAGCCCCGCAAAATTCTGCTCCGCAACCGGGCTCCTCTCAACCAGGCGGCGAGGAGGATCCCTATGCCCGTTGGGGAGGATACCAGAATTGTGTCGCGTATTGGTACGCTACCATGCAGCAACAAGCACAACAACAGCAGGCTGGCCAAGTTCCACCGGGTCATTCTGAACCACCTCCTGGACCACCTGGAGTCTCATAAATCTCATGATCGAGCCGGGTTTCTCGTTTGTTAAATTGGTAGATGTGTCAGTCGCTTTGCCCCAATTGCGATACCCCTTCTCCTCCCGTCCCCTTATTTCCTCGCCTTTTTTCTTTTTTTCTATGCGCAAACGCTTGGAGCGTGCCTCTAAATTTAAAATTGCCTATTTTCCGCCTCATTTGTCGCGCCTCCATTGCTTGTTCATGTATGGCAAAACATAACCACGTAAGGATCCCACGTATTTCAACGCCTATTTGAACTTGGTGGATATGAGTTAATACAATACGTTTTTATCGCAAAAAAGCCGGAGTTTAACGTCTTTCTCTTCTGTTTGTTCCCCCCACGCCCTTTTCGGCCATGTTATGTAGTATGTTCTTATTTTCTCCGTTTGCTTGATGGACTACGCTTTCATGGAAGTTGAGAGACTGTATATATGACTAACAAATGCAATATTATACAACGATTTGGAAACTCTTGACTTGGTGGACGCTATCGTTAATTATTTATAAGTGCCCAGCATCTTCTGCTATTTGCTGGCTTGCTGGCTCTCCTACCGATTCTTTTTATCAATTTTCCCAGATATATATATATATACTGCATAGGTAGGTAGGCTTGATAGCTACCTGGGGTGATATTTGTCTCTGTTGCCGTGGTTTTGCTCGCCCACTGTCTTCGGTTTGTTGATTTAATCCGTTTGGTATTTGCAAACCCTAACACGTTCGTCCTGGCGGTTAACTAGCTATATGGGAGGCACGTGATTACGGTAGCTGCAACCACACATAAACCAAGTTATATCGTCTTTCTTCAGTCATTGGTTCAACAGTGAATTCTTCCGACGTTTCAAATAACACATCAAGCAACGAGATGACGATCAAGAGGATATGAACGTCGGTCGGGGCTATTCATCGGAGCAGTGAAAAGGGACCAAGAATCAGCGTCAATAGTTAAACCTTGAAACGGCAAATTCTGTCCTGGTCAAGAGGCCCTCTCTCCCTTATTCTACGCGCCGCCTGCGTTTCAGGATAAAATTGAAAGCCCATTTTTGCCGCCCGATGAATAAATGGACGTAACCCCCAGTTGCAGATATCTTCGGATCTGGCAGATCTTAAGCCTTTGATTTGTTTGCTTGACTGTCGGATTTTCTTCCCAGCGTCCGATCCGAGATGTGGACCAACCAGGATGCCTGTTCTGATGACTCTGCTATTTTGGGGGAGTCGCCCGATGTAAAGAACTGACCACTCAGAGCTTGAAAATGCCTCAGAGGATTTGATTCTTCTTACATTTTGAGGATGTTTCAGACAACCTGCTGCCCGCCCGCCTGCTTGCTGCCCGGGTGCCTGCGGCGACAAAAGGATGGATGTTTGGTCACCAGAGAGCTTTCTTCCCCTTTGCAGATGTTCTGTGAGGGAGAGGTTCCCTTGAATTTTGAGCATGTAACTGTCACTAGACTGTGCTGCTCTCGAGCATTTATTTGAGTCACCTTCAAATAAATGATTTGTTGGAAGCTTCTCTGTGTTGCTATTCACCACAATATCTTTTAACAAAAGCCTTTCTTCCCCCGTCATTGTGACAACTCTTTTGTATACTGTTTTCCTTTCATGAATTTTTTTTGTTGTTTCACTATTTGCTGGTTCATTCAATGGGGTTCAATAAAATCAATAATCATCTTGAATCACTTCGGGAATAATCTCTTTGATATTCGTCTACGATATTCTCTAATCTCTTCACTTCCAGGGAATCTTCCTTCTATTTCTTTTCCTTTCCTGATACCCTGCGATTCTACCTCTTTGTTTCTTTACCCATTTTTTTTTTCGTCTCTCTCATTTCAAACCTCTTTCATATCTTTTAAACAGAAGCCCCGCCAATACCTCCTCATCATCCTGTCTCTGAATCAGTACATGCAGCGCTGGCCGCAGCGGGTTATTTGATTCTCACCTACCATGAAATTCTCACGATTTATTCCACGGTCCCGGACCCCAGGTCTGCCCCCGTACGGTGTGCAGGATTCTAATATATTCGAAAATGGCTACCGACCGTCACCACCCCCGGGTGCAATTACCCCCTATCTCGGACTCCGATCCCGTCTATCCCAAGTCTGGTTTAACCGATGGACCATACTGCTGCTACTGATTCTCGCCCGACTGCTCATAGCCATCGGTTCTCTAGGAGGAAACCTGTCCTCTGCAAGGAGAGAAGCCCTGTCTGCTTGCACAGGTGTGGAATCCATGGGTAGTGCCATGGCCTCAATGCCGCATTATATGTCTAGGGGGGTCAATGAGCTGACCGCTTCAGGGGTTGAGAAGGCAATTAACGGACTTATGTCGATGTTGGAACTTCTTGTTACTGGAGTAGAAGAGATATTTGTTTTCTTCGTCAATGTCTTGACGCAAACATACCTCTGTCTTATCACGTTCGTTGTGGCTGGAAGTCTTAATGCAGCTCTCGACGTCCTCAAAAAGGCAACTGAGTTCATTGACGAAGCGGCTGGTAAGATTGGAAAGGGACTCAACGATGGAATCGAGGGCTTCCAAAAGGCAGTGAACGGCATTTCCAAAGGTATCAACTTTTTGGGTGCGGACATTCCCAAATTAGATCTTGGCGGGCCAATCAAGGAACTGGAAGATTTATCACTTCCGGATTCCTTCACCGAGGACCTCAAAAAGCTCAAGGAAAATATCCCGAACTTTGACGATGTCAACAAATTTACAAATGGCGTTCTCCGCGCACCATTCGAAATGGTAAAGAAACTCATCAAGGATGAAATGAAGGAGTACAAATTCGACCGATCCGTCTTCCCTGTACCGCAAAAGGAGCAGCTTACATTTTGCAGTGACGACAATGGCATCAATACGTTCTTCAACAGCCTAGCTTCTCTTATCGCGAACGCCAAGAAAATATTCATTGGTGTTTTGATTGTCAGTGCGATATTGGTCTGTATTCCAATGGCATATCGTGAAATACGATCCTGGCGCTCTATGAAGGAGCGATCTGCCCTAGTGCGAAGAGATGCCCATGACCCTATGGATGTTGTATACATCGTCTCAAGGCCCTTCACTTCAACAGCTGGTCTCAAATTTGCAAATTTGTTCGGCTCAGACCGCAGAGAGGTGCTTGCGCGATGGGTTGTGGCTTATGTAACATCTCCACCGGCGCTTTTCCTACTCTCACTCGGAATTGCTGGGCTTTTCTCATGTGCCTGCCAGATAATCCTCCTAAAAGCTGTGCAAAAGGAAGTTCCAGGCCTAACAAACCAAGTCAGCCAATTTGCCGACAAAGTCGTGTTTTCTCTCAATAATGCCTCCGAGCAATGGGCCATCAGCACCAACCGTGTCATCGACGATACAAACAACGATATCAACGGAAAGGTTTTCGGTTGGGTGAACGATACCACAAAGTCAGTCAATGATACGCTCAACGCCTTCGTTGATGAGACGAGCAAAGTTCTCGACAAAAGTTTCGGCGGCACAATCCTCCACGACCCTATTAAGGAGGTCTTGAACTGTCTCATTGGCTTGAAGATCAAGGGCATCCAAAAGGGCCTAACCTGGGTATCCGATCATGCCCATATTGATTTTCCCAACATGCGCAACGACACGTTCTCCCGAGGCGCAATAGACAGTATAATGGGAGAAAACAACACAAAAGCGGATAGTTTCCTCGCGAACCCAGGTGACAAATCAGCCGACAAGATCAGCGCTACAGTCCTGCGCGTCACGAACTCGATCGAATCTGGTATTCGAACGGAAGCGATAATCTCTGTTGTTATCGTCTCCATTTGGGTATTCGTTTTGTTGATGTCTATCATCCGAGCTCTTATGCTCTGGTTCCGCCCTGGAAAGACTCGCGGTGATGGCAATGGTGATTCTGAATTTCCTCATCCAGCTATGATCTCGAGGGATATGCAAGGATTCATTGATATTCCTCTGAGAACTCCTGTTCACGGTAGGCCAGCAGTGGTAGATGCCTCTGTACCCGGATATAATGCGAGACCCACAATAACGGTACAGGGTTTAAATCGAGCCCGCGACGCGGAGGACTATTACCAAGAGCAGAAGCTGGGATTCGCGGGTCACCGGGAGTTGAGAAGGGACGGTGAAGGCCACTCGCGTAAAAGCAGCTACGGGGAGGTTGAATATGCTAATGATGTCAAGAAATAAGTCTTGATTTTTCTTGATTGCTCTTCAGTTCTTACGAGTATGCGAAATGCATTACAATGGGCGTCATTCTTTGTCAAGAGTTGTTTTTTCTTAGTTTCCAGGGTTCGTCTATAACATGCGTCGTCTTGAGCTAGACATTGCACCGTGCTATCTTTCCACCCCCTTTCTCTTTTCCTTTCCTCATATCATCTATGAGTAGCATCTTACAGTGAGTTTCCCTATATCCCAGTTTGCATTATCACACTGCTGTCAACGTGGCCCGTTTCCTCTCTGCAAATGTCTAAAAGTTGAATCTTGTCAACGTCATTGCTATAAGCACTATATATAAACATACGATCCCATGAGTATCCTAACTCCTACCCACCCCTTCTTTGTCCTTGCCTATGCATACATTTCCTACCCACTAACCCCATTTTCCCTTCCTCCCAGCACCACGATCTGTATCTCTTATCTTCGATTTCACTTCTTCTTATCACGTGACTATATCACGAATGTATTGAAGGGGAATGTTAAAGTTAACTAGATGGCTTATTCTGTCCGAGGTAGAATAAAGAGAGTGTAAATTAAAACCCTAGAGAGGAGCTTTCCAATGTGATCTATTAGATGCCATTGAATTAATCTCCATTTTTTGTTTAATTTCTTGTGCAGTAGCATTTAATCTCATGACTGCATCCTAAGATGAAGCAGAAAAGTTCTCTCCTGGTGTTTGGGATTAATGAAGAATGAATAGTAAATGACATAATGTAGAAGTATAGCTTGCTAATTGACAGAGACTTAAATCACCGCTGATAAAGAAGGTCTAGAGAGATGAATTTGATTCAAAGATGCAGTTAACAAACATACATACCACTGTATAAAACCGAACAAGATACCAATGCTAAGAAGTTTGAGACACAATAGAAACCGAAAAATAAAAGGGAGAGGTTAGAATCTATTCATTGGCACCTCTCCGCACTCGGCCTTGATCTGGTTGAACTCTCATTTGGCGACGCTGTCGTTGAATCCAAAGAACCCTGTCCAATCGAGGGATCAGATAGCGGTAGCATCGTCATTTCCTGCAAATGGCCTTCCGGAATGTAATTGCGACCTTTCCGAAACAAGCCAGAGACCTTCCCGTCATGCTCGAACCGATAAATTTCCTCCTCAGAGGCATCGCGATTTCTCCATGGTGTCAGGTAATCCATTCGATATCCCTGCGAAGCATTATCTGACTCCGTAAAAGGGTTGTACTGACATTCGTCACTGTTAGCCATGGTCGATGGTGTGGCCGATGCTGGCATGGAGTTTCGGAAGCCCATGCCATGTCGGAGGGTAGAGGCTTTGGGATCACTCGCTGTCGATGTTATCCACCATCTGGGAGATATTCGTGAGAGAAGTGACTTTAACGCTGGGGCGGCAGCGGCCCAAATTGCACAATTGGTTTCAACGTTGGATAATGTGTAATCGATGTTGTATTGTCGTTCTATGTAAGGCTTATGCCACCGTCGAGATGATACGATGAGACGCGCGATTGAAACACCCGTGACGCTATGGACAGAGAAGGAAAAACCAAGATGTTAGCCTGATTTTACAGGTTGTTTGGTAGGAGTTATGGGACCATCGGGCATATCCGTAAGGCCAACTAGAAAGTTTTCATAAGGCCGGATTAAGGACGGTGGGTCAGTACGTACAGAACTCCTATACTCATCACAAGCACAACTATTTCCTTTTGCCTCCTAGGCATATTCATTCCCCAAACGATAGCCGAAGGAATGTATAGAAGCCACATGTCTAAGAATATCGACAACGTTGCAGTTGAGATAAAAAATCCTCTTCTATCGATGCATTCCCCCCCCTTGATCACCTTCCCATCCTTCATTCCATCTGCTGCTGCCCCGGCATCTATCTGGGCTTCACGATCCATGTTCTGCCAATCCCAGATGTAGCGTACGGGGCTACATTGGAAGAGGTCGGCAAAGAATACAGCGGCCATTAGGCAGAAATTGACCACGAATAGGACACGAAGCGAGCGGATGACATGAGTACGAAGGCCGTTCAGACGGAGGATAAATATAATGATCGATCCTCTTACAAAAGCGAGGATGGGGTTATAAAGGAGCTGATTTGCAAGGTTGAATTTCTCACCCACGATATCCAGCGTTGGTGTCTCTGATGGGAATGCTTCTAAGGGATACCCTTGGCGAGCATGTTTCGTATCTTACGGGAGTTAGAAGCCGATAGTTAACTAGTCACCACTCGTCCCAGGGCCGTTCAAAGGAGTGAGGAAGCGGGAGAAGATCCAGACGCGAGTAAGACTTACAGCCCCAACTTGTCGCACACATCCCTATCGACATGACCTAAATTTTCGCAATCAGATTCCATGCAAGCTCACGTTGCTGCTGGGAAGGAGGGTTTTCCATACCATCGCAATTATTACCAGTACATCATCTGTTGACGATACATATATTTAATCAGCATAACACAGGGTTCAACTTGGCGAGACGGGAGAATGCTGTCAGCCTGCAATACCTACGTACCCCATCCCCAATTCTTCGACAAAGATCTAGAGACCATGCGCAGCGCTACCAGGACAAGACTGATAGACGGGAAGACTGTGATGACCACCAGGGCCCGGACATGTTTTCCTGGCGACATGTTTTCCCTATCAGCAGCATGTCAAGCCACCAAGTCCCAGAACCGGCCGCATATCAAAATCCCGGGCCGCTCGACGTCGACGACGCGACCCCGAAACAGGAGTTATATAATAACTAGTTATCGGGTCGTATCTGAGAATGAGGTCAACGTATTGAAGACAGGAGCAAGCTTTTAAAAACGGAATCAAAGGTCCTCAAAGGAAATGTGTAGTTACAGTAACTACAGAGAAGACCAGCATTTTTCTTTCATCTTCGCAGCAAAAACTTCAACTGGAAAATGTTTGCGTCTTCCCAGCGTTAGTTAACTAACTACACGGGTAGTTAACTATTAGGAAACTGAATAATTCAAACTTGCTTTTGAGGAGCCCACAGCCTGTTAAAATAGGTTGGCTTCCCGGGTCAGTCCGTACATTCCGCTGTGTCGAAATCCTGGGTTTCCGAGGGTCAATTGTGTTTTGCCTTCGCTCTTAACAGTATATGCCTAGGTAAATACCGGTTGTTGGAGAGCATCACCACAATGAGACAACGTTGCGGTTAGTTGGCGAACAGGCCAAAATTGTATGATATCATCATAGCACTGCCTAGGTAATTAGCTAAAAGCTACTTACAAAGTTATGTACTCTGACATTTAGTGACGACTCACAATGAACAGATAATTACGTTCTTACATATTATGGAATTCTCCGATGTTATGTTGAAGATAGAACCGAACCCTTTTTTACATATTTTTCATTGGCTCAGATAGATGCAGAGTGTGGTTATCCGTGTAGTTATCGGTATATGCGCATAATAGTGTTAAATACCCGGGTTTGGATTCGATTGACTATAATCACGGAACACAACCTTGGATATCCTCTACTTACCTCGATTCTAGGCACCTGATAACCGTCGCGGATACGACATCTGCATGAGCTGCTGTTCTGCCCTGGATATCTAGACATTCGATAGGCGCATGTGGAATAGCACTGTTGTCAGTGGTTGGAGTGTGTCCCTCGAGGAAGTATGAGAAATTGCAATTGGAATGGGATCGGTTCTCAATAATCAGAAAGCAGCGGAAAAACATAAGGTCGGCAAGCCTGTGGGTTGCGCGGATCGGGTGAACCAGCTAATCATACCACGACTACGGAGCATTTAACAGAATTCAACTGCGAATTCAGATAGCTCATTTAACCAACTCATCATCTGATCAACAGATTTATTTCACCATTGAAAACGAAAGAACATTTCTTATTTACACAATTAATATCCTTGGCTAACATGGGGGGGGGGGTGGGAGTATATCACCGAGTTCACTAAACAGAGAATGTAAACGGTGTAACTTCCAGTTGTTGCCTAAATAGCAACAAAAAACCCATCCCCCTTATCCTCCACCCGACTCCTCTCTACAATCGGATCGCAGCAGCTAATCCGAATGCGCTCCGGTGTCGCCGGGCTAGCCAAGCTCAACACATGCTCAACCCCCCACTGCTTCCGTGCTGCCTTCAACGCATCGCGAATCGCAAAGAAGACAGCACTGCCCATGAACAAGGGCGGCTCGCCTACACCCCGGGATCGCTGAATCGTCCGCAGATTCTCCCACTGCACATCCTTAAGCAAACTCACGTTGAATACTTGGGGGATATCTCTGAAGCCGGGGATTTTATACGTGCCGGGCCCACGGGTGAAAAGCTGGCCAGAGGCACGGTGCCAGAGGCTCTCTTCGGTCGTGAATAGGCCCTGACCCTGGATAAAAGCGCCCTCGACCTGTCCGTAGTCGATAGCAGGATTTATACTCCGTCCCACGTCCATTTTGATATCTGCCCGAAGAGGTGTCCAGTCACCTGTCAACGTGTCAATGTGAACCTCTGCGACGGTCACGCCCTGGGTGAAGTAGTAGAACATTAGGCCCTTGTTCTCGCCCCACTTGTACCCTATGCCAGGAGTTTTGTAGAACCCATTGGCAGACAGGTTTACACGGTCAAGGTATGCTGCATTCACGAGCTGTTTCATAGTTGCGTTGGGTATTTTCTCTCTGTAAGGCTGGAGGCGCTGGTTGAGCTGTTCACAAGCATTGAAGACAGCATAGCCGTTGAGGTCAGAGCTTGCGGAGGCTGCTGTAGGGGAAGTGTTGGCCACGGTATTGGTAGCCGTTTCGGAGATGTGGACGTCGGATTGAGGGACTCCAAGTGCTTCTGCGGCGATCATGGTGATTTTGGTGTGGAGGCCTTGACCCATCTCGGTACCTCCATGTGCAACAAGGACACTTCCGTCATTGTACAGATGCACCAGAGCGCCAGCTTGGTTCAGGAAGGCAGCTGTGTAAGAGATACCGAATTTGGTTGGCACGATTGCAAGTCCTCTTTTGGACCATTTGTGTGTCCGGTTATATTCCGTGATTGCAGCGCGCCGGGATTCATAGTCGGCCTCGACCATGACCTGTTGATGCATGAGGGGTACATACCAATCGTTATCAAGTTCCTGATTGAAATGCGTTTTGTCACTACGCTTGTACATATTCATCACTTGAAGCTTTTCTACCGGGATGTTTAAATGGTCTGCAATCTCTGACATATAGGTTTCCGCAAAAAACAGCCCCTGAGGGCCACCAAAACCCCGGAATGCAGTATTAGACACCGTATTTGTACGGCACACATGTCCACGAACATGAACATTCGGAATTCTGTAGACACCATCAATATGTGATAGGCATCGATCAACAACTGCAGCAGAAAGGTCCAGCGTGTGGCCCGCATTGGCATAAACATCGGCGTCCAGCGCCAATAGTTTGCCTTCGTTTGACACGCCTACTTTCCAGTGGCAGAGAAACGGGTGTCGCTGGCCCGATGTGACAATATCCTCATCACGATTTAACATGCAACGCACAGGACGCTTAGTTTTTGAGGCAGCCACGGCACAGATACCAGCTAATTGGATCGATCTGAATTCTTTCCCTCCGAACCCACCACCCAGTCGTTTCACTCTCGATACAATCTTGTTTGATGCAACGCCAGTGACTTTGGCAACATACTCTTGCCTAAGGAGTTGTGAGCTTAGTGGCTCTTCGAAAACTGTCAGAAACACAACTGGAAAAGAACTTACGTCTCCTTAGGATTCTGTGTACTACTCCAAATCTCCATCTCACCATCCTCTGGCTTAGGGATAGCCACGCAAGCCTGAGTTTCCAGATAGAAATGTTCTTGTCCACCTATTCTCGAAACTCCAGTAAAAACATGATCTGCTGCGGCGAACGCAGCCTCTGGATCCCCATTCTTAATATACGGCTTATGATGGTCGAAGAAGGACTTTGCTTCGATCGCTTCCTCAATGGTTAGAACGGCAGGTAACTCTTCGTACTCAATCCTGACAGCTCGCGAGCCAGCTTCGGCAATTCTGGCGGAACTAGCGAGAACCATGCCAATGGGCTGACCTGCCGTGAAAACCTCATCAACAGCGAGAAATTGTTCGTCAGATCTATGGCCCCACCAATTGACTTCCGGGTTCGGAAGACACGTGTGATCGACGTATTCGACTACACCATGTATATTTAAAGCAGGTTGGAAATCGACACTGATTAATTTTGCCCGAGCCTTGGTGGAAAGGACAAGACATCCATATAGTTCATTGTGTTGTGGAGGTATGTCGTCCGTGTACTGTGCCAGGCCAGTAGTTTGCTTCAAAGCAGAGACATGTGGAACCTCCTTTCCAAGAATTTTCTTTTCATATGCCTCAGCAGCCGCATGGTCCTTCCGGCCTGAAGATATCTCTCTTTCGATTTCCGGAATTGCTTCCTCGTCAACAGCAGCCCCTTTGAGATTGGAGAGGACATCATGATAGAAGCGGTAAAAAAACCCAAGAGCAAGAGTTTTGCGATAAGTTGGCATTCCTCCTGGAACTGATGATGGAAGAATGAAATCCCTTTCCAAAAGCATCCATTGCACCCTCGAGAGTGGCTAGATCAGTCCAGTCTTTTCCCAGGAGATAAGCCTGAGTCTGCTTAGCAGGGGCTGTTGTCGGGGCCATCCCGCCATATACAAGATTCGCGCTCGTCACGATTTTTGAATCTGAAAGTGACACCCGTAAAGAAGCATTAACGATGGCAATATCATCATCCTTCCTCTTTGATTGCTTGTATGCACGGAGATATTCCCCAGATTCCTGGCCCACGGGAATTCGCAACAACGCCACGACAGCATTGGGTGCCAAGGCTGTAGATCGATATCCCTTGAAGAACTCGCCCATAGGAATTTCCGTGTCTCCTTCCAGAGACTTTGCAACCAGGATCGTGTTGGTAGCAACAAACACTGGATTTAGGTCGGATATCGGTGAAGCAGTCACTATGTTTCCCGCAGGCGACGCAACATTCCGAATCTGCCTTCCAGCAAAGTACCTGATTTGTTTCTTGATTGCAACAAACGCCTGACCCTTATTCGGGCCATACCTCTTAACCGCTTCGTCGCATATAGTCTCCAAATCCGTCAAGGAAACATTTGCCCCCAATTCCAAGTAATCATCCGTCATAGCGTACTGCTTCAACTCCGGGATATCACCAACATATATTGAATCGACGTATTTCATAGCTTTGAACTTGATCTCAATTTGCGTCTCGGTGCTGCCCCCTATAATCTTGGCAGACGGACAAACATCCTTAATTTCCAGCAACTGTTGCAGGGTAACGGGGCGATACCACCGTTTTTCCTTGTTTCCAAAGGTCAACGGTTTGAACTCAAATTTATGCAATGAAGGTGGGAAAATTAATTCACTATCAGGACTGTAGGGGATGAAATCTGGCGAATCGAACGTTCTCTCGGCGGTGGTTGTGCCGTCCGTAACCATCCTACCTTTACAGTCACCTCCTAATTTTTTCTCCATGCAGCAGCCTGAACCGCCATTTGCGGTTGCTTTGCCACAAGAAAACGATTGCGCGACATCGAGGATAGAGCGGTATCCTGTGCAGCGGCAAAGGTTGCCATCGAATGCTTCTTCAATCGCAAACTCTGAAGGCACAGGGTCGTTACGGAGCAGCGCATATAGACTCTGGTTGTGCAATGCAAAATTAATTAATTAACGGCAATCGAAAAAGGGAAGGAGATGGGTGTCTCAAAGCCATAGCTTTCTCAATAAAAAGGCCAAAATCATACCATGACAATACCGGGAGTACAAAACCCACACTGGCTACCGTTTCCAACAGCCATTCTTTGCTGAACCGCATGCGGGCTTTTCACATCTCCTATACCCTCCACGGTGATGACATGTTTCCCATCCACGCTAACGAGCGGTGCGAGACAAGCATTAACAGATGCATGATATATTTGCTTCGTTGTCTGATTAAGTTGTGAAATAACCTGCAAATATCCCCTGTCAATACTAAAGAACAAGAAAAAAAGAAAAGGCACAGAGAACAGTCTGTATACACACCACTGTACAAGCACCGCATCCCCCTTCAGCGCATCCCAGTTTCGTCCCCGTAAGTCCAACGCCCCTCAGATATTCCAACAATGTAACCTCAGGATCGGGATTTTCCAGCACGACTTTGATTCCATTGAGGTAAAATCGGAGCGTATCGTCATAACTCTCAGTTACTGAAGCTAGCGAAGGAGTATGTTTCAGTTCTATTGAGGAGTCGGGCCGTTGGATGATCAAAGGAGACATCGCCTTTTCTGGTTACGAAAGATCTACCGCAAAGCTTATCTGTCTCTCAACAAAATCTGAGTGGGGAATGACCATACAGACTCTTATGACCATCAGCTGAGATGGGTGGATATGTGATTACTCGCTCGGTCTGCTGTTGGTTGGTTATAGCTCAAACTGCGGTGGAAGCTGGAGTAGCGACCGCGGGTGAATAGCTAGAGAAGATGAAAATAGGTCATTAAAATAAAGATGCTTTCCACGGTGATAAAGTGAGCAATAGGAATATCTAAAGAGGACAAGATAACCCATCTGGGACTGCGAAGGCGAAACAACAGCATGAACCTGGAAGATGCATCTAGTTATCTCATTTTGCAACTTAGGTAGTTTTAACGAGCTGGTTAGCCGCGGACAATGTAGCCAACTCTAAGCCATTTTGGAAGACTTCCAATGCGCTTGTTCCTCTGTCGTTGAATGCTGCGAGTTGGACGCATCCAACTTCGCCGCCCGCCAGATGAGATTAAGTAAGCTGTGGGGTTGATCTCCACATCACGTGCTTTGACGCCCGGTCCAACCTGGTTGGCGTCATCTCTTAGCAGTTGTTTACAGCGATGCATCCTCAAAGGGGTTGAGCTGCTAACATCATCAATTAATTCCCATTCCAATACTCCTTGTGGTATGATACATAGCAGAAATGTAGATGCCCAGCTGGGATTCCAACGAGACAGAAAAGACAACATAAAAAGGTTAAAAGCAAGGCAAAACAAGGAAAAGAAAATACGGCCCCAAGAGCGGTCTATAAACACGTATTGACTTTGGGGGATACATTGTTCACTCCAAAATTAGCACAACCCATTTAGCACAGAATTCCATGTCAATCACATAAATAGAACCCATCAACGAAAAATGAAACCAAAATATAAATACAGCATGAATTCAGCATTATTGTCGTCGACCCGGGAACGGGCATTGCGTAGCTCTTGGGAAGCAAAGCACTCTTTCTCGTCTATGATCCAGCATACCCCTTCTCGTCTTGCTCCCATTTCTTCCTCTCGATGACACTTCTGGCTCTGCGAGACATAAGTATATTATTAGCAACAGGGGGGGGGGGGAGGAGTTAAAAGAAAAAGAAAGTCCCTTTGTAAAAAGGAACGAAGGGGGGGAAAATAGCAAGATATACTTACCTATAAGCCCGTACAAACCGCCATACTTCCGTATCTGCAAGGTTCCAGGCTTCCGAGGCTTCTCTAATCTTCTTATCCTCTTTTTTCCCGCTCTCCAATATCTGTCGAGCCTTCCTAATCAATTCAAATTCTGCCTTGATCTTGTCCTTGGCCACATCGGGGAAGGCATCTGTAAAAGTTGTCTGCGAGTCACCAGCCTTCTCACGCGGGATACGGAAACCAAAGTGCCATTCCATATCATCCACCGTTTCAGATGGCAGCGCACTCTCTTTGGGGTTTGCTGGAAATGACTCCACGGTGAACCACAGGCTGTTAGACATTCCAAAATTCCCCGCAACAATGTTTTTGAAAGCAACGACTCTTGAGGAGCCGTCAAGCCTTTCCCCAAGGAGGGACTTTGTAGCTTCCACTAGCCACTTGTCACGGCCGGTCTCGCGACGAATGTACGGAATCGTCACGTTGGCTGATTGACTCTGAATGCTAATCAGGGTATACGGATGAGGCAGGACACCGATGGTATAGATCGCAGAGTTATTAAAGTAACTGCTAGGCTGCAGTATCTTATATGCATATCTTGGAGTGCATGGTTTGCATGACGGATTATTAGGCGGACAAGAGGTTTGGAGAATGGATGGTGCGCACTTCGCGAGCAAACCGGCCAGTGTGACGGCTGGGTTCACGAGGACCGTAGTGGCCTTCGGGAACGGATTGGGGACTGATATTCCCGAGCTGAATGAATTTTGAAATGTGACTTGTAGGTGGAGGTTGATAAGATCGACTAATGCGAGTTTCCCAGCAGACGGGTTCTTGTTAATCTTCTCCGCTATGGGCGAATAGTGAGCAACAACGGTGGTGGGGTCATAATATGCAAAACTTGTCGACTTTTCAACCATGAAGAACTGATCCGGCACCACGTCGATCATATTCTTCGCGTCTTTCAAGTTGTCCCTATCGAGGGCAGATTTTATAGCAGCATTTACATGGCTCCGCTTACCCGAGAATAACCCTGTGCCCAAATTCTCGAATCGAGTAATAAATTCCGGGTCAGTTCCCCTGCGAAGAGAGACCAATGATTTATCCTCATAGTCGGTCATAGGGAAACACCTCCAATCGGCAAGAATGCCGGAATCAACACTTCCCCATGCGAGCCACCTCATCAAGTCCCCCTCAAGCTCCTTGCTCAACCTTTTCGCTTTGACCTCCTGATATAAGTGATTGTTCACCGCCTCTGCAGGACCCAGAACCACCGGGCGGAAACCTTTGGCCCACCAGGCTCGACGCCATGTCAGAAGTAACTGCCTGTCAGCTTCAGCTTCGCCTTTCTGCTTCTTGCTCGCTGAATCATAGTAAGCAAATATCAATGTCCTCGGGGGCAATGGCGGGAGAACAGAGCGGTTTTCATCCAAGGTGATGCTGGAAGAAAACGGGTTCAGCCATCTCCAATCACTGTACCATTTTGTTTCCCCGCTAGTGCTATTCTTTTGCTCCGGAGGCTTGTGCACAGAATTAGGGAAAGGTATTCGGAAATTGATGTCTGGGAGGCCCAGAGGGGTTGGTAGTTTCGGGAGGTTGGGGAGATTGGGGAGATTGGGGAGATTGGGGAGATTGGGGAGGAGGTTGGGGAGGTTTGGTCTTGTGACGGTGTCGATATAGGAGCTTGCTGTATTTTTGCGCAACGAGGGCGAAGTCGAGGGCGATGTTGAGGGCGTACTAGACAGGATTAAAAGGAAAATGGCAAAGAAAGCAACCGCAACGAAAAGCCTCGTACTCCTATGAGAAATCATTGTCAACGAGAGCGGCTAGAGGAATCTCGATAACAATGACGAGTGGCATAGGCCAGCGAATCTAAACACCTTAAATAAGTCAACTCTAGCGGAGAGCAGCCATCCAACGATATAGAGCATTAGACAGAAAAGTCCTTCAACCCATTTGACTCTCTCTCTCATTCCCTTCTTCTAATAAAATCCACATTGTTTTTGTTTACAATCTCCGCCGTGAATTACGTTTTTTGCTGGAGTTTCATGCCAAGGCAACGCAGTCAATTTCAGGTTTCAATAATCCACCTGACCTACTCCGATTGGTCTCCATACTTGTGTTGTATCTTAACTTCATGATTAAAATTTTTAAATCACCTTTTTATGCGCTCAATGAACAAAGTGCGGGCACGGGAATCCATCTATCTTACAAATCCACATCGTCGCTTGGGGATGTCGAAACAAGATTGGACGTGATTTTGCATTGTCCTTGAAATCCCCCTTCATCTCCATCCCACCCCATCCCATTGATTTTTATTTCCAGAAGCATCAAATAATCCAAGCAAACTCCTCGTTCACATATTCACATTAACTAACCGATAGAAATGTAAAAATGAGAATAAGAGAGAAATTGGTACTTAACCATGCCATCGCTGTGACGTCGCCCCATCTAATTCCGCCACAAACCCCCGATCATGCTGCACCGGCATCTCAACCACATTGGTCCCGAAGTGGCTCAGTTCCACCGGTCGTTGGTCAAAATGAAGCTCCGCCCGTCCATAACCATTCAATTCCACCGCTTGATCTGTACTATACGCATCCTCCTTGTCATCGGCAGATGGTCTGTTGACAGGAGCCGTATCGTCGTCCTTGGGTAATGAGGGCTTCCATTGGAACTTTCGACGTGCGATACAGAATCCCAATAGCACAATTAAGGTCACACCAGCCAGAATTCCAACAACAACGCCAGCCATCCACGCCTTGCTGCTAGGTCGCTCAGGGGATGGAGGAACTGGGCTGTCGGAATTTGTCACCTGTGGTAATCCGGCCGTAGGAGCGGGTGCTGCATCAGTCGCGTTGGATCCGGTAGCTATATGAACACCGCGGAACATGGAATGTCAGCTGCAACTATCTGATTCGGGCTAACTCGGATATTATAGAAGGGTAGAGAGTTGCAAAAGTATGATTATGATATATATATGTACGTACAGAATGTAGATGCGGTAGAGTCGGGAAAGTTCCTATACACTGTCCACGGAGAGGCGTCTCCGAGCTGCCCGTACCTGCAGACTAGTTGCGTTCCTAGCAAATTTTCTGACGGCGCCCTTTCGTATAAGAGAACCGAAGCACATAAATTGTTCTTACTATGGCCGCAGAAGCACAATTAAAAACAAGATTCCCGGTAGAGCTTGTTAAGGAAACGGTCCTTCGTTTGCACAGCACGTACCAGTCCTGTTTCTTGCCGTCGGCGTAAAGAAGGGTGTTACCCGAACACGCTGTCGGGAGCGCGCAGGGTGCTTTCACAGTCGTCGGACAGCAAGTGTAATAGCTCTCTGATTTCGTGACCGTTTCTCCAGAGCCACAGATGATTCTCACTACCTTCAAACATCAGTCTTTTCTAGCTCATGTGGAAGCTATTGAGAGGGCTGGAAACGCTGGGATGATAAACGTACTCGCGGACTTGGTCCCAGACTGGGTCGTAATTTTCCATCCTAGATCACCAGACGCGAGAGGGCTCCTATCCTCATACTGAGCAAAGACAAGACTGCCGCAAAATAAATTTATCAACGTTGTCGCCGTTTGCAGCGGGAGAACCGTCAACCTAACCATTCTCTCGAGCTACCCGTGTGAGTGGTACGGATGAAAGATAAATTCCCGGCATGCTGAAGTTGCAAAAAGAACACGGCACAGAATGGACGGAATTGTTTGCCTATGAAAAGCAAGCGTAAAATTAAGAAGTTTCTGCGAATACGAGGTCGTGATTACTAGGTATAGATTGACCAAATTTAGATCTGATCTCGCGCGATTGGTGTCTGCTCTGGCCGGTAGCTTTTATAATAAATCTGTCTTCAGCCTCTTGGGATCCAGGGCCAGCTTGTAAAATGCAACTTCGAAGGGCATTTGAATCTCTAGAATCTCCGATTCTGAAAAACTGGGTTTCTGCGGATCCCCACGAAACGCTCTCAAAAGGCTTCCACCAAAAACCAACAGTAGGAACCTATAGACACCTGTCAGCGGTGCTATTTAGGTTGATGTTCTTGTATTAAGTCTCTATCACGTTGGCCAGTTGGAGAGGAGCATGCTGCGAGGACAATGACGGACAATGACGGACAATGCCTGACGACCCAAGATGGTTAATATCGAGTTATGTCGAAAAGTGAAAAACGGACGTGCCTTCAGATCATGTCCACCTTCAACAACATTATAACACCCCGAACCCCAACCAAAACTCAAGCTAGTCTATTGCTTAGTCTATGTTTTACCACCCTCTCGATCTCAAGCAAAACCTCCCTTACTCCCCACTCCAACAATTCCGTCATACTAGCCCCTCCTTTCCCCGGCGCCACCAAAACGCCAACATCCTCCCTGACGTCCTCTCCCTCACCCACCTCAATCTTCAACTGCTCCAGGCTTCTCGAAACTTCCGGGTCAGGAAGCAACAGCCATGCGTGATCAGAGATGTAGCGCGGCCAAACGATATCATCGACGTAGCCGGGAGGATCAGTCCAGAAATTCCCAGGTGGAAGGCTATCATCATCTTCTTCAAACGCTTTAGTTTCATCACCCGCCCCGCCTCCACCGCCACCATCGTCGCTTGACTCCTTAGATCCACTCGTATTCTGTGGATTCAATTCAGGTGTAGGCGCGGGGCCAATAGTGACGTATCCTGTCCTGCCTTCTCTCCGCTCTTTCATTACAGAATACTTCGCGGGCAGAAACAAGGGGACGTGTATATGATCATGAACATCACGAAGGGGGTGCTTATCGTCGTCTGGCGGCGCATAGAGAAGAAACCCTTCTAGAAACGCAAGTGATAATGATAACGAATCACCACCCGATTCCTTAGACTGCTGCCTTATCCCTTTTGTATGCCCGTCTGATAAAATGTCCTCCAACCTCCGCGTAACATTCCCTCGAATACGGCGAATTGTGTCGTCATCAACCCCTGAATCTGTAACTGCATTCAGATCCTCTTTGCTTTTTAAGCGTGGTGGTAAAGTGCCACGCGTGTGCACATACGATAACGTAGACGAGAGCTGTCGCACGTCAAGAGCGCCAATGGTATCCCAATCCTGGACACGTTGTCCCGAGGCAGTGGTTGTCACCGGTATTCTAAGTAGAAAAAAACATACGATTAGTCGACTGTCCCTTAGTTGATCGTAATTTACCTCTTTATCCTTTAAAATATGAGAAGATGTCCTGGCTTCCAATCTGCGTGAACAGGGCAAGAAGCGGCGGACTGAAATTGGAATCTGTAAATAGAGCACCACGTACTGATCATCTGGCTTATAAAAGTCATCTTCATGGACAATGAACACACTCAGGTCTTTTTTGTCTCTGTCACTTCCTCCATTCGGCGCATATTTTCCAATCGGGCCTGAATCTGCATATCCAGGCCCCGTCTCAGCCTTCTCTTCCGGTGTAAATACCGTCCGAAGCAGACGGGCAAGGGTGGTTTTCCCGCTTGAAGAAGGCCCAGATATCCCTATAACAATTGTATTTCTTTTGACCTGTTCAGCTGGTGCAGCTTTGTTTTCAGTGGTTGGTGAATCGGCCATCCTTATATCCTAGAAAACTGTGGTTGGGTTTTGCGGGGTAACTAACTAGCTATTTAACAATGTAACTTATTGACTAGAAAGAAGAGTGTGTGTTTCTGTTCACGGAGTTAAAAGACGAGGACTCTCAAACTACAGAAGCTGGGGTATAACTAATAGAAAGCCTTTCATTTTTCATTTTTCCTTTTTATTAATCAAGACTCTGGAGTAATAACTCTTTCACCTACGCGAGAGCTCTGAAATTGAAGAGATGGACATATGTAGTTCCACTCACATGGCTCAAAATAAACGCTACAATATCAAATACATGAAAACATTTAACTCTGACTCCAGCGACCCTGTAATTTATCCCCAGTTCTCCTATCCCAATATCCAACCTATCCATGCCCCCATATCTTAAGTTCCAACGCCAATACCATAGACAAGATACAATAGCTAAACAAGACGCAATATGCTAATTCATGAACGGGTTCCCTGGGCTGAAAAAGCTAACGCCCAGAGTTGAAAGATTCTCGAAAATATTTGCAGAAGAATCTTCCTCAGAAGGAACATCCTCAAGTGAGTCCTTTGAACTATCATACGATGCTGGAAAGAGCTGATTGTTCCTCGCCGAGGAGGCGCCCTCGTTGACAGGCAGTTGAACTCGAGAAGCAAGAACACGTCGTGAAGGTGGTGTTCTGGTTCGGGGAGCTTCCATTAGAATACCATTGACAGCCTCCAGATGTCCGTTTGAACGCGGCCGTTTACGAATGCTTGGCCTGGATCTCGATAGTCCCTGAACATCGGATTCTACCCAGGGTAGATCATCCAAAGATTTGCGTTTTTTACTTGGAGTCACCGGTCTAAGAGGGGAAGGTGGGGAGAGAAGTGTTGGGAGGGAAGTAGACAAGCTATAGTCGACCTCCTTGTAATCGTCTGGGATGGGCAAGGTGTGTCGATCGAAGAAACCAACTGGCGTTTTCAAGTATGCCGGACGGGCAGAGGATTCGTTTTCAGAAATAGAAATGAACCCTTCATTTTGGATTATGTAACTCATGGTGTGGTCGTCTAGAGGATCTTTCTCCGCATGCCGCAACTCGGCATTCGACATCTGCTTTCTTCTCCGGAGCATTTTGTCTTCCAGTGTATTCTTGAGAACAAGGGTCTCGACATAAACTGGCTTCCCTTGCGAGATCCGATGAGCTCGTTTGATCGCTTGGCTTTCAACGTTAGGGTCCCAGATCGGATTCACGATGAAAACACGCGATGCACAAGGGATATCAAGACCATGTGAGGCTTGGCGAAGGTCCATAAGTAAGACCCGCACAAGTTCCGTTGTGTTAAACAACGCGAGATACGCTGACCGATCCGATGTTTTCAAGGTGTTCGAGTAAATTCGGAACTCAACCCCAAGAATTTCGAGTGCTTCTGCAATGTACCAACCACTATTACCACCTTCTTCGTAGAAAATAATAATCTTCTCCTTTTCCTGAAATTCAAGCACTTTGTCCAACAAATATGTGAGTTTTGCAGACGCGGTAGCAACAAGTTTGGTTTTGTTAAGTAGTGATTCAGGAGGAAGGCTCTTGAAACGCCCAAGAGATCTTTCCTTCTTTGAAGGTGAAGATTTTGCTCCTTCAGGCATTGGTCGGTGAACAAGATAATCACTGGACTTGTTATCTTCCGGAACCCCTCGCTCACGCATCTGACTTCGCAACTTGATTCCAGCACCAACGATGCCTTCAGCGGGATCTAATGCCCAAAGATGTCTAGTAACGAACCTTTGCGCATGCCTTGCCTGGGTGATCCCAAGAAGAAGGGGTTCAACGGGCTCACTTAAGGGATCGATTGTCCATGCGTTTCGAGCGTAATCTGGAAAGTCTTGCAGAAACACACCCAGCTCGGCAAACTGACTAAACGCTTTCCAGGAATTGCAGTTTATCGTCTTTTCGGCGATGGCAATTCCCTCGCACAACCGCCTTACATCATTTTCATCCATTCTCTGATAGCTCCGCTCCAAGTACTCTCGGGCAACACCCAAGGCCTTTTGTATATCTTTCTTCTCATGGCCAGTCCACCAGAAACCAGAATGTCTCAGACTTCTAATGAGTATGCTTAGATGCTTGCGATTCTTTGGATGGAACATATAATCTTGATCGGTCCGCTCAGATGCAATGGCGTTGACCGTCAGTACAAATATGAAAAGGTTCAGAGACATTTTGTCATAGAATGTCGGCTCCAAATAAACCACCTTGTTATGAAGCCCTGGTAAATCAATCTCTCCGTTCACAAGTTCAGTTCGATGGCGTACCACAAGCGATTGGAGTGTTGATCGGAGAGACGGAGAAGCTCTGCGTTTTCCATCCGGCCCTAGAGGTTTGGTGTATTTAGTCCAGTTGGCGGGATCATCCACTTTTGAGTTCGCCCATGGCTTCAATGCAAGGAATTCCACAACAATCAGCCGAAGCCTATCTATATTCTTCAATTCTTCCTCCATTACATTTGCTGTCTTTTTTCGAGCCTGCAAAACGGATGTGGTGGCATCGTCTTTCTGGCCAAGCTGTTCACCTGTTGTTTCCTGAGAAGCGAGCGCCACCTCAACGCCGTATAGTCCACTTGATGGGGTACCAGAAACAACCCAGCGACGCTCAACGTGTAGTTGACCGAGTGTATGGACGGCGGTACTCTTTCCACCTTTAATGGCAAAGTTATGGCCTTCATCAACTATGATCCTCAACCAGTGAAGACTTTTTAACGGCGATTCGTAGGGTAATTTCGATGGAGATGTTTCCGTTCTTCCGCCGGCTTCCCTTTCAAAACGTGGCCTGGAAAAGAGGACAACATCATATTCAAGCAAATGATTGGGGGGAGGAGTTGCCCGACGGCTATCTCGAAGAACAAGCACCTTCAAGCCCTGGGTGTGCTTGTTGATCTCGTTTAACCAGTGGTCAACCAAGTTAGATGGAACGACGACGAGGGTTCCCGAACATAACTGTAGCTTTGTAGCTGTCGCCTTGGGCGCGGATTCTCGACTTCTATTCCTCAGATGTGACCTGGTTATTTCATAACTTCCACGGTTAGATTCACAAGCTGAGATGCATTTTCCAAAATGCATTCCCGAAGCCCCCAATCGCTCAAAATATGACTTCCAAGGGAGAGAGAAACGACCAGCGGTTGCAGCAGCCATATCAAGCAACGACGCCGTTTGCTTACGAACAGGGTGAAGACCTTCCATGTGAGCAGAGGGAATGCGTGGGAAATGACCCCTAGTTGCAAGTATGACAGTTAAACAGATTAAGGTTTTGCCGGAGCCCATAGTTTCCGCCAGAATTCCTGTAGAGCTTTCATTAGTAAATATTCGAGGGACATTTCAAGAATGCGCTGAAACCCTTACCTCCACAAGCCTCAGCGTAGAGCCTCTTCTCTCGAAAAATGTTCCCTTCCTCTTTATCATAATAGAAGGGTTGTCCTGTCGGCCCGCGCATAGCCTGTAGGCGGGGGTCGAGACTCTTGGCTGGCTCTGACTCCCTCTGGATCATATATGCTGCCGAACGACGCTGATAAGCATACAAGCGAGTCTTGAGCCCGACAACTCCCATATCCTCATCGGACTCTCCGGGATAATCGCCCTGTGTCCAGAGCACCTCTTCGATAGCAGTTCTTGCATGAGGATCGGACACCTTTTCAACCTCGGGATTTGGAGATTCAAGCGTGTTAAAGATATAAAATAGTGATTCCTCTTCTGCCGAACCCACATTTTGCTGTGTATAAGGGTTGAATCTCCCATTCCATGCCTCCGAGGACGAATCCAGCTTCGACATCACGAGTTTAAAACATCGCCGCAATGCTCCGGACGATCGTTGAATATGTTTCCTCCCGATGTCATCCGGAAGAACATAGACGCGGACAGCGCTCCACCCAGGGAATTTGGCATTTGTACAGATAGATGTTTGAATCCAATTGTTTTGTTCCAATCGGCATACCTCACCGTGCGGATAAGCAGATGTCCAACCATGGTCTGCAGCATTTAACTTATGGTTATTAGCTGGCTCATATCGTTTTAGCACCCCTACGGGAATGAAATGACTCAAGTCCTCCAGAATATCCTCTTTTTCCAATACCAATTGATGGATTGAGTCATGTAGTATTGGTGCTGATGAAGATGAAGATGATGCCAGTGACGATGTAACGGAGTGAGTTGAAGGGGACATCGGGTCACATTGACTGGACGAAGATGAAAGTTCTTCTATTCCGTCATCCTCGGGTAGGGCACCCGCAATCACCTTTTGAAGCTGTAGACCCAGCGGGAAATCCTTTGAAATGTCATGCATCAGCATAGTTAAAGAAGGGGTGTTGGAGCGCTGCATGTTCATACCTGGGACCGGTCATTCATGGGTAAAACCGGCTCCACGCCAGGGTAATCCATTCTTCACCGGTGATAATGGACTAACCAACTTATAGTAAGATAGTGAAATGGATGATATTAAGGAATAAGGGTTCATGTGTAGCCTTGTGGTGGTAAAGAGTGGCGTGAGCAACACACCACCGATATGGCCCCTGGTGGCTATTTGCACGCTTCAATTGAAAGTGCGAAGGGGGATCTCCACACATGCTATTTCATATTTCTCTAGTCTTAAGAGCGAACGAATTTGCTCTACCTATCATATCTATTGCAACCATGGAATACTTCCTGGTTCAACTGCGCCGGATGCGTTATATAACACAACTGAATGGGACGGATTAACCAGCTTGATAGGGTGAATATCCGGGCCTGTGATTGGACCATACTCTCACCGCCTTAGGCAGAATGTTTGCTCCATTCCAGCCAGGCTGAGTCAGCGGCAAATCAATCAGTGGGGAGATTCTGAACAGACGCATAACCTACAAGGGATCAACTGGAAGAAAGAGAAAATGAGATATTTTAGCTTAGAACAGTTTCAATGGATATATCTCTTATTGTTATTTCTCTGGTCTAAGCTATTTAGCATAACAATGCTAAAATATAAATAAAAGTAAACAAACGGAAAACTACATCTAAACCTCATCTTGTAGGAACGCAATGTTTCATGACCTTTCCTCCCTTGTGTCACCCTCGCAAGTCTGAGGAGTTGATAGTCATGGAATATAAATCAAAGCACGTCATAAATTCCCCTTATTTTCTTTCCTTCAAGAAGAAAGTGAATCTCAGACGCTGGCGCAAAAAGTCAACCAAGAACCGAGTCCCGTCAACTGAGAAAATAACGACATTTACTTCCTCAGAAACTCCTCAACTTCAAAACCCACCCTTCTAACCGCCTTCTCGTCAATCCCAGGTGGCGAATCTGCCAGACGCCTCACAACCAGTGCTCGTGCATCATCAAGGCGCATTTCAACAGCACTGGCTCCAAATGTGTCCAGCTCTTCTTTCCCACAATCCCGTACATATACAGTCACATCGGGACCAGCGCAACCGCGCCAAAGTGACGCCACCCATTGCCAATGGTCGATTGGTGCGTAAGAGTCCTTGATGAGAATGGCGCAGGCGTGGATATCAGCATTGGTCAGCTGGTAGCGGGGTACAAGGGCAATACGAGATGGTAACTTCGATAACACAGGCGACGCATTAGGTGTTGGTACTGTCTCTGCTGCTGGTGTGAATGCAGATGTGGGTGTGGGCGTGGGCGTAGGCGTGGGCGTGGGTGTTGGGGCAACCGTCGCGCATGATGGTTCGGGAGAGTTGATGCTCAGTTGAGCGGTTTTCGGAACTATAGATCTAGGAGATATCTCAAAGTCCGCTTCCTCCTGTCCAATCGATTGCTGTGAAGTAGGCCCTGGACTCCCGTTGATAAATCCCATGATTTCATCGGATATTTTGTGCCAGGCAGATATCGTATCCAGATATCGGACCATCACATCACGCTTGTCCTCTGGTTTGTCACTGAATTCTGCTATGGCTGCTTCTGGCCCTTCAAATATACGAACGACATTTTTCCCTTCCTTCGATAAAACAGCCTGTAGATGATGTATCATGTACTTAACGGATTCTGGCTCCTGTCCTTCAACTGCGACCAACGTTCCGCGTCTGATGGAGCCACCGGTGGTGGGGTTTGACGTTACCGGAGGAGAAATCAACGAGAGCAAATTAATCTTGTTGAGATACGGAATCTTCATCACCATTGCTTCTACGTTAGTTTGAATCTTCTGGGAAAGAGACATGGTCTGTAGCGGTGGAAGTGTCAGACTTGGATCGTGGGAAGCATGTTGCGTTGAGCCATGCCGGCAAGACCGGCCAAGAGGAGTAACTCCCCCTGGGTAAGGACCTCTATGATACATGGTTTCCGGGCGAGGAAGTGATGTCCTTCGAGGTGAGTAAAGGTGTTCAGGGCCTATCTCATGACCAGAAGGAGCATATATACCGGTCCCGTTGAAACGACGGCGTTTAACATCAGGTGATAGAGGTAAAACCTCATCACGGAGTTGATTACGGACAGTTACTCGACGATTGACGCTCCCAGCTACTTGAACAGGGTTTGGCAACCCGGTCTCGTCCCTAGAGCGTTGCCCCTGAAAGTTTTGGTGCAAAGGCTGTGTTTGCTGACATGAGGATGAGGTCGAAGTTACAGGACTCGGGGCAGATGGGGTAAAAGGTGTACTTGGGGTGGATGGTGGATTCATGACTCTCCCGCCACATCTACCGCATACAGAAGCACCAGTTGGATTGTTGCTTATTCCTGAACTGGCCACAGCACTGTTTGTGCCATTCCTCCCGTACCGGCGAGGTTGATATCGGTAATCAGGGTACTGCTGCTGGTGTCGAGCTTTTTCTTCCTATATCTACTGTCAAAACCATCACCTCTCCTTTTGCTCTTTCTCTCTCTCCCTTTTTTTCCTTTTTTTTTGGGGGGGGGGAGAAGTTTGGGGGAAATGCCAATAAAATAAGACAATATAATCTCTTACCTCAGCAAGATCTCTCCAATCTTGTTTTGATTCTGTGGAGAGAGATCTCCACTTCTCACCGATAATCTTCGATATTTCAGGATTTGCAAGACCAGGGTGCTGAGCAACGACAGAGGCTTGGAAATGTTGGCGGAAAAGAATGAAGGCTAGAAAACAGGGGTGCGTGCAACAATTAACACACTGCTTGACTCAAAACCGCCAACACCATTGAACCAAAGGGGTATGGATTAAAGGAAAACAAAGATGACAAAGAAATATAACCAACAGACCATTTCTTGGGCGAGGAATTTTGGGATCTGGTTGACATAGGCAGAATTGTATACTAGATGATTCCTTGGATGATGTAGATTTTGAGGAGCTGGAGGATGTGGACCGCTCCTGTCTAGCAATCTCGGACGTGATCAATGAACAAGTTCTCTTACGAGCAATTGGTGAGACCAGAACTGGCAGCACTTCAGCCAGACACGATTTTTCCGGGCTTGGAATTGTAGTTCTTGATAAAGCGCTTGTGAGAACTCTACTATCCAGGCCAACTGATGGGAGGCTACTTTCTTCGGCCGCAAAGTTGGAAAACTTGTCGGTCATAATTTGGTGATCCACAGGAGTACTGGTCCGGGTAGGGAGATCACATCCAGTGGGGTCATAATGCAGAGCGAGGGGTTTTGGAAGAACTCGATCCCAAGACATGAATGTATGAGCGTAAATCACAGAGAGGAAACGAGAGAAAGGAAAAGTTAGAGAAAACGAAAATAAAGAGCGAAAGAAGATGATAGCCAAGGAGTGAAGAAGAGAGACAGATATCAAGATATCGAAGCAGCAGAAGTCATGAAGAAGAAGAGAATGCTAGAACAAAACTCGAACTTTTGTATAGGCGATTGTCTTTGTAGAGAAAACAAGCATGAACGTGGCGAATAGGGACGCTTCATGAGCGTCAAGTCCTTTGTTCTTGAAATACTCACGTTCGATTTATATAAGAGTCTCGCTCCTCTTTGTTTTCGGTTTGTGCAACCCACATATTTGCAAACAATTGTTGTCGGATATGCTGTAGCCTCTCGAAGATAGACCGTGGTTGTAAGTGCTGTCCATAAACCTAAACTATTGTTTTGGTTCCTTTGTCCGCTGGTTAAGAGATGAAAGCGGACTAGATGCACATGTCCTTTGAGCTGAGACATCCAATGAAGCCATGCCTGCAACAATGCGATGAGGAATGGTTAATTCCAACAGAGATGAATTGCAAACGCCCATTGGTTACGGCTGCATTTTGACTCCCAGAGAGCCCTGCAATACGGAGCGATTGGAATATCTTAAGACAGTCGTACAAATGAGCGCTAATGCGTGTCATTTTCGTGGGCTTTTATCGTCAAAACAGCTTGGGACTCCAGAAAGCAGATAAATACATGTTGGAGCTCATAGAAGGGTTATCTTGTGCTCATATTTGCCGATTTTCATGTTGTGATTAATTTGTTCTGCTCTCAAATCTCGACACGCTCTCTCTAGAGACGCCGACGAGAGAAGGCGAAGAAATCCCAAACCCGTACTTTGATCATCATACCGCTAAATAAGACATGCGGTGACTGATCCTGGAACATTTCCAACGCCGATTGGGGAGCGGCTAATGAATGAGCCCGCTTTTCAGTCGTTTGCGGATGGAGCAAGGGTTCCGTGAGCGGTTGGCGACTCACTCCTGACCCTGGGTCGGTAAATAACTGACTAACTTCGCTAGTCAAGTTATCCTGGCTAATACTAATTGCGGTGCTGGTTTTAGAGGGTCATGGAGCGGCGTCTTCCTGGCTCAGCCATGTGCGATGAACACCGTCGAATATTTCCTGGCCTAAAAATCTGGTGGGCTTTCGCGCCAAGATGCATATTAGTTATCCCTGCCAAATAGTTAGTTACCCGAGGAATGAAATCATCAGCAATGTCAGGAATGCCAACAAAAAGATCTGCATTCTTACCAGAAGAGAAATTTTTCCGCAACGGAACAGGAAATTTCCTCCCTCCAGAATAACCACTTTCTTCGTCTAACTACGCAGGCCTGGTTGACGTTTTCCCAACCCACGTTATCCTTATCAAATTTGGGCCTCGATTTGTCCTGCCATCTGCGGTTAATTAAGTAGTTGTCCTTGGCGAATCTGCCGCTGACAAAAGAATCATTTTCATATCACTTACAATCCGTTTATCGCCTATGATTGAGAGTCTGTTGAAAATGGATGCCACGCTTCGCAGAACTGATTGATTTCTCAGAAGCTTCCATGTTCCGTCTGAACAGCCGCCAAATGTCCCAGATAGTAAACGATACGATGTAAATGGTGTATTTCTGCCGCATCTTAATCTGCTCTGTTGTTAATGTCCTGGTGGTTTATTTCTCCTTCATTATCCAACGATGAATTTGGGTCTTCAGGTCCGCAACCGGCGATCCAGCCGACTGAGTGTTTGAAATCCTTTGAAGTTCGTCATTGTCAACAATTGAACCTGCATAGGACGAGGATTCTGCCATATTTTCAAGAAGACAACCGAGCTGAAGTAAGAACATAGCACCCATTAATTGGCGACGGATGCATCAGGGAAAATTAACAATAATAATTCGTGGAGATTATGAAGCTGAATCTCTACCTGAGAACAAAGCCATTCCGTCCAGACTATTCCCTGAAGCAGATCCACTATCTGCCTAGTATCACTCCAAGAGTCACCAAAGACATCCAGCCTGTAAGCGTATCTGTTCAGATTAGGGCCCTCCAGGGGAGGGGGACCTGGGTGGTGGAAATACAGTTGCCGCAACCAGTATAGGACGCTGCAAGCTGTTTGAATGCCCAAAGCACATAATCTTCTTTTCAAGCGCATGTTTATCCAGAAGGGTATTTATGAAAATTGATACTACAGAAACAACTCGGTATTCTATCTCAATGAGGTCTCAGGGGAATTAAGGTGGATATCACTGATAGATAAGCGGGGAGACAAATGAAATAGTAAAAAGATGTTTTGTCAAAAGTTTGGAACCATCCTGAGACAGAAGAAAAGAGCGAATGAATCTGCCGCATAAACTGGAGAAGGCATAACTCAGGTAAATAACTGATAAACAGAGCAACCGAGCAGGACGGAGAGGATGAAGGAAACAGCAGCTTGTCCTCATAACTAGTACCCTGCTCCTCTGGTGCAGCTTCGTCGCTCATATGAGCGACGGATATAGAGTGGCTACATCAGACACGCGTGTCATCGCACACGACAGGATACTGTATGAAGACCGCTTGCATGGGTCAGAGGCTTGTTTTATAAGCTCCTGGTCTGAGGTCAAATGACATTCTAATACCAGAGAAACTGCAGATTATGTGTCAGCGTCGTTTTTCATATTCAGTTATCATGCAAATTTTTAGTTAATATCAATGCACTTTGGATATTGGAGGAAATGTCATTTGTCCAACTAACTAGAGAAGTTGAAAGGACCGACAGAGCTCTCGTCTCAGATAGTGGCAAGCCCACTGGCGGCCAGTGACAGGTTCGAGAAGAAGGCCTTGGAAGTCTGCAGCGCTGGAGCTTGGTAATTACTCCACGTAACTACTTGTTTTTGGCTGACGGTTCTTTTTGCGCAGAAGTATCTGTGGTTCGTGGACATAATGCTTGGTGGTGGATATGAAGAGTATGCCTAGAAGATGATAGGCACCCCCTTTCGAAGACCCTAGAATAACCCTAACCGAGGGCTGAAACCACTAAAAACCAAAAGGTTAGCGCTTCTCGGTTGAGGCCCGGGACCTAAATTCGCGGTTAGGACTAGCCTAATTAGGGCCCTTCCAGGGCTGCCGGTCTTGATAATAACGTGAAAGCTTCATAAACCTCCTCCCTCTTCTCATTTTCCTCAGTTCCTCCAACAACCCTGGAACCTTCGCAGCTTGGCTGTAATACTTTCATGGGCAGATAGGATGTTCATCACCATCATCTTGTCTCTTCGTGTTCGCCCCAAACCAATATTCTCCGATTCTTCAGTATGGTCTTCAACAGCGCGCAAATGCCCGTGAACTGCGATTCTAGATAAATGAATTCTTATCACGTGAAAATACAATACACCCTGCAGGCGCAGCTCTCGATAGCACATTGATCATAGATACCCTATCACTTACAATACGGGGGACCAAGAATATTGTCTCGGACCATTTTCGTCGCGTGGAAACGAAATGGGGTACTGTACGGGCTGGCAAATGACATACAGTCCCACATAACCTCTGTGGCCTTCCAGAGCGCCCATTAGTGGCCCATTTCGCGTCGCTGAGACAACGCATCTAAGACCATATTAACCAAGATGATTTTACCTTGGTTCCCCGGTTTATTTTTGAAATGGATCAGCCTCGTCTTCCAGGGAACCTCTCTACGAAAATTTTCCACTACATGCCTCACAAGAATATGCTCCCCCAACATCCAGTTGGATAAATTACCTTCTTCGTTTGCTGCCGGCGTCCATATATACAAAAACGCGACCACTAGCGACGTTCATATGTGATGATTCTTCCAGCATCCTAGATGAAAGCCGGCTGACTTACGGTTCCTGAATATCTCGGGTCTACCATAGTCCAGAAACCAGCTAATGGCCTAGGCGAGTTGGACTTGTAATTGCGCACTATTAGCCATACCAATGCTTCAGGGGTAGTTATCGCAAAAAAAAGAAAAAAGAAAAAAAAAAGAAAAGAAAAATTGTGCCTTATCCGGACGGTGCTATCAACTCATTATGCTAACTAGCAGACAGAATATCAAGGGACTATCCAGCTGATTATACGTAAGCTGCGTGATATTAAACATTTGTGCCAACATTTCCCCTTTTCCTGCAGCTACTTTTATTTTTCCATTATTTCAGTGCTAAAAATTCTCACAAGGATGCTGTAGTTATGTTGAGGTATCACATTGCCTCGATGCGTGGATTGTCAGAATTACAATTTTTCATAATACCCGCTTTCTGCATTGATCTGAGCTATCATCGCCCGATCATACGTGCTGAGAAGCATTGAAATCCGGGTTATCTTAACGAGGCCAACTACAATTTATAAATCCAATTGGCAAGCTCACAACCTCCCTCGCGTCACCGCATTATTCTCCCCTTTGCTTTGGTTCAGTAGTTATATTCTTGGTTGGCTCAGAAAACTGCTCGCCCAATTAGGTATTCATCAATATGCAGCATTCACACATTTCCCACCTTCTAACTGGGCTTCAAATGCCACTACCCCGGAACACCTGAAATATCAATGATCTAGTTAATCGTTCAATTCCCCATTTTCGACCCCTTTTTCCTCTACCCTGGGGTTGCTGGAAGGAACCGGAGTTTTGCAAAGTAAATTGAGAAGGATCTTCCCAGTCAACACAATTGAAAACTGCTCTGCTAATCTCCACACTTCTCGGAAGCTTTATTATATAGAAAAATCCAATTAAAATGTCTGAGAAATTAAGTCTCCATTCTAGACTTCTTTATTATCAGATGCACGCTAGTCCAATTTTGGAACCGTGAATGGTCTTGGCGGGTAGGGCTGCTTATATAATCCAACTGTCCCGTTGAGGTTAAGCGTCGCTTAGTCATTCACCCACAGAGCAAACTCGCTACGGCAGAAAACCCACCACAAAAGATTCAATATACTGAACGCTTGACGACGACGACGACCACGACCTCCTCAACCTCCCGACCGACAACTTTTGCGCCTCCCGTCTTGACCGCGGAACCTTCGTCAAGATGAAGCTCAACATATCCTACCCGGCCAATGGGTCACAGAAACTGATCGAGATTGACGATGAACGCAAGCTCCGGCCGTTCATGGAGAAGCGCATGGGAACCGAAGTCAGCAATCCCCATCCATCCCCCGTCATCCTTTCTCCCTACTCTGGCTCCTGCAGGTGGAATATTGCTTTTAGGATCTATGAAATTGGAGGGGGATTTGTTTTGGGTTGAACGTGTTTGCTGATTCTTGGTTGCTGTGTCACGTTTATAGGTACCTGGCGATTCTCTGGGAGATGAATTCAAGGGATACCTGTTCAAGATCACTGGTGGAAACGACAAGCAAGGTATAGAGAGGCTAGGCACACTCTGGCAACATTTGTGAGCGTTATATCTACAAGGACCTGTTTACTGACGCGGATTGAAATTGGCAGGTTTCCCCATGAAACAGGGTGGTATGTTCATATCGGTCCCGAATGGATATCCGGAAGACTTTGATGAAGATGGAGGCTGATAACGTTCTTCAATACAGTCCTGGTCCCAACTCGTGTCAGACTGCTCCTCAGTGATGGTCACAGGTAATTTACAGCAGCATTGATCCAGGAGGTAGAGGGTTTAAAAGGTTACTTGGCGCTAATTTCCATTAATAGCTGCTACCGCCCCCGCCGAACAGGAGAGAGAAAGCGCAAGAGTGTTCGTGGAGGTACTTATTCTATTAATTCTCCGGGTCCCCTTGTTTGGCAAAGAAATCGACAAATCAGTTCTAACGCAAAAATAAACGATTTGAAGCTATCACCAACTTCGATCTCAGCGTCCTCGCCCTCAGTATCATCAAGCAGGGTGAAGGAGAAATCCCCGGTCTCACAGATGTAGTCAACCCCAAGCGACTCGGCCCCAAGCGTGCCACCAAGATCCGCAAGTTCTTCGGTCTGGACCCGAAGGATGATGTGAGAAAATTTGTCATCCGCCGTACCGTTACGGGCAAAAATGGAAAGGAATACACCAAGGCCCCTAAAATCCAGCGTCTCGTTACCCCCCAGCGCCTCCAACGCAAACGCCAGCGGATCGCTCTCAAGCGCCGTCGGGCTGAGTCTGCCAAGGAGCAAGCGTAAGCTGACACCTATTGCCCGTTTCTCTTGCATTTCGAGCTACCGAAATAACTCTTGATATTTGGAGGTGTACTAATATTTGGCTTTGTCGTGATCTAGTAACGAGTATGCCAAGCTGTTGGCTGCCCGTGTGCACGAGGAGAAGGCCAAGCGTACCGAACTTCGAAAGCGGAGAGCTTCGTCGATACGGAAGTAATGGAAATACCGGGGGCGAGGAGAGAGAGTGTCTTGGCGGGAATTCCAAGGGCAGATGGGAGTTGGTGTCTTTTTTCCATGTGTTTGAACTCGATAGACGACAACCCAATATTCGAGGGATGATACTCGATGAGACGGCGAATCAATCAAATACACAAATGAATGTTCTTTTTTGCGGAAAGCATGTTACAGTATTTCAATTTTCTCTTTACTCTATTGTATCCATCGTCGCAATTATTCCAAAATCCAAATTTTCTTTCAAAGTTTCCCCTATTTCTTGATATTGACATCACAAGGCTTGATCTATTCTCTGAAGCGAACCCCTCAGCAATTGGTCTCTGGAAAGAGCGTCCCAAACGAGATAACTGAGATAGGATCCTGCTTCATGGTGATAGGAACCACTACCTATCAAGTCGATAAGGACATTGGCAATGAGACAATGACCATTTTTTACCGGCTGTCAGCGAGCAGGAGAGTGAAAATGAGAGAATGGACCTGACGCATGATAACCATCCGATGTTCCAAAAGTCGCGCTTTTGGATTTTCTACACCCCCTTACAACACACCTTTCCCCACAGCTCGTCCAATCCTGCCCAACTCCCATCTTGTCCGCCAAAGTTTCGAGTGGGCTTTTTACATTCTATATTTTCTTTACATGCATGTACCGGATCTCTGAATATAAGCTGTATGTCAGCTGTAGAAACCCAATCCCGGTCCGCATATCCATTCCAAAAGATATGAATTCCAACATATAAGTAAGAAGACCATGGGATAATTAACCTCTCAACTAACCCAAACAATCCAATTCTGTTGCTTATTTTGATGACACATTGTTGTACTGTGCCGGTGCAGTTGTACGCACCAAGTAATGTTGCACGCGCCTAATAAATATTCTCAAGGAGAGAGCCATGTAGATTTCTTTACATCGGCGCTAGTTTCCCATTCTAATCGCACTGGAGTACGTCCGATACCTTCGTCATTGGGTTTTTCGGTGGCTGGTGTGGTGGGCGGGTGTATACCAAGTATGTATGGATTTAAAATACATGTACAGCATTCAGGAGAATTGCAACTGCAGCAGCAAGAGGTTAGAAATGGATATGGAGTGATTACCCAGGTAGGGAACAAAGGCTAAGAGATGAGACAAGAAAGTTCATGTAAAAGTAGACAAAACGCCCATACATGTTCATCTATGGAAATGCTGAATGTTGCTGTTGCTGTTAAGAAGTAATAGTAGTTGACATAATCATGCTGAATATCTAACAAGAGGGCTATAAGGGAAACAAAGAAGAAAAAAAGCTAAAACACCAAGACTCTGAGTAAATAACCCCCCTAAATAGACGACCAACTATTCAACCAACAGTACAATACAAAACAATACAAAACAATACAAAAGCCTAAGCCTAAGCCACGGCATGCGAAAACAAGAAGCTAACAGACTCGCCATTATGCGTTCTCCTACACGCCTCCGCAAGCGTCGGGCTAATATCAATCGTCTCCAAACGATCGCACAGTTCCTTCTTCTCCTGATGTGGAACAGTGTTGGTGACCACAATGCGAGTCAGTTGACTGTTATTGAGCGTCTCAATCGCCTTGCCGCTTAGAATGCCATGGGTGACAATGGCAACGACCTCCTTGGCACCGTGCTCCATGATCGTGCTGGCTGCTTTCACGAGCGTGCCACATGTATCAGCCATGTCGTCGACGATGATCGCGATTTTATCCTTGACATTGCCCACAAGCACCATGCGGGAGACCTCGTTGGGGCGTGCGCGCTCCTTGTGGATGAGTGCGAATTGGAGGTCGAGACGGTCAGCAATGGCGGTGGCGCGCTTTGCGCCTCCGGCGTCCGGAGAGACGATGACGCAGTTGGCAACGTCGAGATTATGACGGATCCATCGCAGCATACTTGGCTCTGCGTAGAGATTGTCCACGGGAACGTTGAAGAAGCCTTGGATCTGACTGGCGTGGAGGTCCATGGTGATGACGTGGTTGCAGCCTGCTGTCTGCAGCATGTTTGCCATGAGCTTAGCGGTGATTGGAGCTCGGCTCTTGTCTTTTTTGTCTTGGCGGGCGTAGGGGAAGTTCGGAATTACGGCAGTGATGCGCCTTGCGGAGGCGGTTTTGCAAGCATTGATCATGATGAGGAGTTCCATGAGCCCGTCATTGATATCATTAGGACGGGTGGATTGGAGAATGAATACTAGAGCTTTGTTAGTATCGGTATGCTACAGCAAGAAATGTGAAGTTCATAGAGAAGGAAGAAGTGGTCCCCATCGAAGATGACAGGCCCGCTCCAGAAATGATTCCAAATGGGGTGTGAAAGAGGCAAGGGCGAGTAAAGAAAATTATAAATACCATCTTCATCTCTCACGCTCTCTCCAATAGTGACACTGGTCTCTTGGTTCGAATATTGCAGGACCATGACCCTGGTCAACTCAATTCCAAGTCTGGCAGCATGCGCTCAAGCTGCGGTTGGAGGGCATCAACCCCCCGCGAAACCGCAACAGATAATAAGTCAGCAAGATATACTCGATGTAGGTATCTAAAACGTGAAAGTCAAACAAAAGAATTTCTGCAAAGGTCAATAGCAGGGGAGGGTTTCGCACGGTGAGTTTTCTGGGGCAATTCAAACTATGTAATGAAGAAACAAGCGAAGAAATACAACGCATCCCATCACACAGAAAGGATTGTCCCCACCCCTGCTCACACGTAGAAGATATACAATTAAGATAATCAAAATAATATATGAGTTTAAAATCAAAAGGGGGAAAGGCGAATGTGCTTGAAATAACATCACGAAGCTGCCAAACGCATAATCAAATAAGACCCAAAGGGGGGAAGAAAGGGAAAAAGAATCCAGTTCCCTCCTACCTCTCCAACGCAACGGGCAGATGTAGATATGAAACAAAATAGACAAATCATACCTATCCGCAACCAGCTGAGCAAGCTCCGGGTGACTGTTGCCAGTCAAGAGCTTGATGGAATTCGTAGCCATGTTGTAGATCAGTTCTCTGCCGGCAATTGTGTATCAAGCCTCAGGAGCTGTTAATAATAGAATCAGGGGAGAAGAGCCGGTATCTTCCCAGCGACTTTATCAGATACATGCACTAGAGAGAGGAGAACTGATATGTTGGATGCCTGCTCGCAATGGGTTAACAGTGAGCCGTGAACCATGAATGTACGTACCATGGCGGTTTGAGGTTGCGTTCGGCTCTTTAATGTTTTTGCCGTTTCACGGAAAAACTTTATTTCGGCTGAAAGGCCTTGGCGTGCACAGACCGACTGAGTGGTCTGAGCCCTATGACTCAGCAAAAAGGCGCTGCCAGAAATAGGTTTTATTTTTCTCTTCGGGATTAGTTGAACGTTGGTTTAAAAATGGAGCTCACTTTTCTCGAAACCATGATCAACTCTGCCATCTCATCTAAAATAAGCAGTTTACACATACATTATAAATACATCTCTATTCATTCAATCTCACTGCTTCAAATACCAGGGTTAGGATTTGATTAAAGTTAGATTGAATTAAATATAAAATTCACCAAGAGCAAGAAGCTAAAAAATATACTAGAATCACTGTTATTAAAAGTATATAAATAAATAAATATAATTGACATCTACCTAGTATGAATAATGTTATGAGAAAGTGTATAATCTATAATAAAAATTATATTGGGAAATTTCAAATTGTCAAATATAATTATATAAAAGCTTTTTGAACATAGTTTAAAATCTCAGTTCTATTTTATTAAATTATAAGTATTAATTGCATATTACAATATTTTATATATATCTTTATATGCTTTTAAAAGTAATAATTAATTATATTTCTTGAATTTTTATTTTTAATTAACTTTAATTTCAATCTTTGATTCTACTTTCAATCTATCTCAAACTTTAAAAACATCAAATAAAAATGAATTTATTTTAAATAATAAATTTAATTCTAAGTTTAAAAACTAAGTTAAAAGTCATAATTATATTCAACTTTTTTGACAATATATTCAACTCAAGGTCCCTTCAATGTAATTTTTACCATATATTATAATACTTTTTCATTAAAGCCACATATACTAGTTATACCTTATTATCTCAGACACCTGTTTATATGCTTCTAATGAGTGATTTTATCATATTTTCAAATTCTTATTTTTTTAAACTTTAATTTTTCTAATTCTATTTTATTATAACCCTAATCTAACCCTAATACTGGTGTTTAGGGTGATGAGGTTGAATAGAAGATGTATTGGTAATATGTATGATGACTGTGCGGAGATGTAAACCATGTTTTAGATGAAGCTGATCAGTTTTTAAAAATGTGAGCCCAACTTATAAACCAAGTTCAACTTTTAATACCAGACTCAAGTGTAACCGGTCCCAGAGAGAGTGAAGTGATCAATAGGGTACGGAAGTACTGTCGAATGAATTCACTATACGCAACTTAAGAAGGCACCTCTAACTTTTAATTCTAGGAGTTGAGCTACCTATAGATAGATACATGCATGGCAAGGGTCACACTGAGTGGTGGCTATCGACAGCAACGAGCAAAAGAAGACATAACAGCTGGCCTGCACTCCAACTGGCCCCCTTTGACCCACTGCACCCAAGCTGACATGATATTGGGAAAGGAAAAGGATAAAAGGCAAAAGACGAACAGGAGCAACAACCATCATCAGGAAGCAGTACACAGAAAATCGAGTAAAGAAAAAAAAAAACCTTCCCGTGCCATTTAGAATGTACAGTTGGGCAGTTGGGAAGCGCAAAAGGAAATATCATGGAAAGCCACAAAAAGACTGAGCACGCCGCCAGATGCTTTGATTAAACAAATGCATGGGTCATAACTACCAAAATAAAATAAAAAATAAAAAAAATAAAAAAAATTCGTTTGAGTTAGGAAATTTTTAGAATCAAGAAAATAAAACAAAAGCGAAATTAAAAGAAAAATAAAAAAAAAATAAAAAAAAATAAAAAGAAAAAGAAAAGAAAAAAGAAGAATGAAAAATCACAGAAAAATCACAGAACGACAACAAGAATACCCAATTTGGCTCCCTCTAGGCAAAACCGAAATATTCACTGCCCGCCGTCATCGCTGTGTAGAGCCGTTGCCGCAGGGTTTCATAATTGTCATACTCAGGCAAGTCGAGCTCTGTTGTATCCACGGTCAGACAGTCAGCTTATACATATCAATGAAGTAATTTCGGCCCACACTGGGATAGGGAATGAAAAAATGCACTTACGGTTGAAACAGGTATGGGAGCTAGGAAGTCTATCCTTATGACCATAGTCCCGGTGGATATTGAATTTGCTGAACCCATTCATACCCTCAAGCTCCTTGAAACCATTAAGCGGAACTTTACTAGTGCCCGTAACGAATTGGAGGAGCTTCGCCCGCTCTTCTTTGTCAAACGAGCGTACCGCACGCCAGAACCATTGGATTTGAGGCGAGGATGCGGAATAGTTGTGGTATTCCGAATTGTTCTTCCAGTCATCCACATCAATTTCGGGAAGCCCAGAAATCAATAATTCCAGTTCTTGCTCGTTGAATATGGCAATAAGATCGGCAGGAATAATGTCATGGAAGCCTGTAAAGAAGAAATTACTACTTGTCCATTTAAATACACAAAAATGGAGTTCTATGGAAAACCCACCTTTCAAGAAGTTATCTAATTGGTCCTTGACAGAGCCAACCAATCGATATTCCACAACGCGCTGGACATATTCTTCTTTGTTCTCCTGAGTAACTGGAATATTACGACCATTATCCACTAAATCAATTATCTGCTTCTCTCCAAAATCGTCAGATTCAACTGAGAAGTTTTCAGTAAGGATGTCAGTTATATCATTTTCAAGCATCCACAGGAGAGATTTGTAGTAGTCGAGATCCAGAGTTTCCATGTCTTTGATAGAAACAGATTTCCCAAGGATACGCTTGTAAACTGCTCTGCTGAAATGGCAATCAAGAACACGGCCTTCGTACAGAGCTTTACCAATGATACGTCCAATGAATTTGAAGAACATCAAATGCTCTTGGTTAACTCCGCTGAGGCGATTCGGATGGAATGTCGTCCGATCGGAGGCCACAGGAATGAACAAGGCATAGTTGGGATTGAACATGCCGCGTGCCAGGACTTGGAACCATTCACGAGTGACTCCACCAGCGTCAACACCCTCCTCACCATGGAACCTGATATTGAGTTTGCCATATTTCATTTCGTCGGCGGACTTAAAGTAGAGTGACTTGAAGGAATCTAGGAAAACTTGCTCTCGGCGGACGGAGAGTTGGAGAGGCGCGTGGGTATGTCTGATTTCTGTGCCGCGCGAATGTATGCGACGATTAAAGTAGTTGCGTTTGTTATCAAATTCTAATACTTTCGGGTTCTTAACCAGAAGAGAAAACGTGCCACTCATAAGTTTGGGATTCTGCCGGACAAGTTCATTGAGAATCTTGCGATGGTCTTCCGTGAAGTTGAAGAATAACCCTTCCATTCCAGACTCTGGTGGAGGACTGGAAACTGAATATTCCCGTCCATGTCTTGAAAGAGGAGCATCTTTCAAGGTGGTGTTCTTGCACACAACCATCAGTGACTCAATGAGCGGCAGGAGTATTGTGGCCACATTGAGCATGTTCTCTTTTTGTCGAATTGCGTGCAAGCAATCGCTCAATTTCACCCACAGGGGCCCAAACGTGGCACCTTCATATAGCGTCTTCAACACATCCTCTTTATTGGACGTCTCAGGTTCACTGAACTTTTCCTTATCAAGCCTATTCGGATCAAATAGGTAGTCAAGCGCTGTCAAGACCCGGAGTAGTTTGGCTTGATCCGAACTTGCGGGAGAAAACTTGGAGAGCGCCATACCCTGAACGTCGATGCCAGTCTCCGCCTGATCAATATGAGGAAGAAGTTCATCGAGGTCAACGAGGATTGAATTACTAAGGGATTGAGTTTGGGCGATCAATTCTTTACCAAACACTTCTTTCGCTCCAGGGATAGAGGAAAGATTGTTGATAGTTGAAAGAGTTTCTCGGAAGGTTTTACCATTGCATTCTCGTGCAGCAAGTATACGAACAACCAGTTGAAGATTGTGCTCTGGTACTACTGGAGGTTCAAGGATCCGGGGCTTTTTCTGCTTGTCATCTTCAACAGGTTTCGGCGATTCGGCCTTTCCCTCCGTAGATGGTCCAGCTATTTCTTCACTACCCTCCGCACGGTCATGTCCTTGCTCGTTGGGGGAAACATCAAGCATAGGCGTATCGCTCAGATGAGCAGCCTCATCAGCAGTTCCAACTGCTTCATTTTGTTGGTTAATGTCTTCCACAGATTGCGCAGGTTGTGCAGCCTGGGTAGTATTTTCGGGCACTTCGGTCTCTTTCTCCTTAGTCTCTTTTTCTTTAGTATCTTTTTCCTGTTTTTCCTTGTCTTTTCGGAGGAGAAGCGTTAAGGGTTGGGTGATGCTATTGAGAAGACCCGATAGTTGCTCCATGCAACTAGGGCTATCCATGATTGACTTGCGATCGAGCAAAGCAAGTAGAGTGTTCAGTGCAAACTTAGAGGCCCTATGTTCCTTGCCCTTGCCCTTTCGCCATGCTTTCATTTTAAGAGCTGAGACTGTGTCATGCTCTGTGAGGAAAAACCATGCAATATGGGGATTGTACTGGGTGAGGAACGAGAGAGCTCCCAAACACTGCTGAATCACAACCAACGGCGTTACATCATTATTGCCACTGGGAACTGGCAATGATAGAGTTCGTTTCAATTGTGGCGTTCTCTGGGCAGATGTTGCGGTTTTAGCACGTAGGGACAGATGAGCAAAGCTGCGATCGACAGCAGAGACATCCGCACTTCCATCCTGGAGAATCAACAGCAAGAGACTTAGCACCTCGGACCGGTTCTGCCGATTTTGGCAGACATTATGAAGGATATCGTTGATATGATGCCGCGCATTTCCCTGAAGAGGCATGAACATGAGACGCAGAAGGGTAGCAACCCCTGCCTTGTCGAGCATCTGGACGATTTGACGGCGTTGGGGTTTCTTAGCACCCTGGTCACGTTGAGAAGTATCCGGTCGCGATCGCTGGTCCAATCTATCTACATCGGCAAACTGAGCAAGCCTTCGTCCGGTAAGTGCACGTGCTTCTGAAACAAATTCAGGACCTAGGGACGCGAGAATCTCTTCGGGCTGATCAGCAAGTACGGTTTGCCTCAGAGAGGGATCCAATGTAGCAATGAAACTGGCGGGGTCCATATCATCTGCAGCAGACGCGCTACCATTTGCCGCCGCATTCCGACGGGCAGCCTCTCGCTCGCGGCGACGGCGATCAGCAACCTCCTGCTGCAAAAGTTCATCACGGATATCAGGAGGTAACGCTTCCAAAAATTCTGGATTTATCTCACTGGGCTCTTCACCAGACGCAGCAGCCTGTGATCTCTGCTCTGTAAGTTGTTGCATGATGACCTCCTCACGAATGTCCTCAGGAAGTGCTTCCAAATATTCTGGATCAATGTCCATGCCAGTGATGTCGAGTTGTCGGCCGCGGATAGTTGTATGCACTCGAGGAACAGGTTCTGAAGAACCAGCTGCTGGCTCATTTTCGACTGCAACTTGTTCTGTCTCTGTAGGCTGGACATCATCCATCGGCTCACTTTCAGGATGTTCAGCGCTTCGCTGGGCATTTTCTTCCGCGGCTCTCTCCGCTCTCTCTACCTCTTCCTGACGCCTCAACGCCGCTTCCTCCTCCTCCTTTTGTTTTCTCTCCCGCTCGGCTTCTTCCTTTGCAATTTGCTCTTGACGTTCCTTTTCCTTTCTCTCTTCTTCCTGGCGCTTGAGTTCTTCTTCCAGTTTCTTTTGTCTCTCCTTTTCCTCTTGGATGGCCGGAGGTACAAGAACTTTGAGTAGTGAATTGATAATTCGCTGAGCTTTCTCTAAATAATGACTACTGAAGAGCAGTCGTGCTTCTTCTTGCCAACGAGTCGAAGTAACAGAGAGCGCAAAGGTGACTGCCTGATAAGGATCATCACGAGGGCGAGTAGCTGTTGTTTGAGGGCGCGCAAGGCCAAACAAATCTTGAATACGGTTGGTAAAGACATGACCTTGATCGAGACGAACATGAACCCCATCTGGTCGGCTAATGACGCCAAAACCACCCCCGCCTTGACCAAGGGCTTGCATTATTGCGTTCATGAATGTAACCGGGCTATCCATCGAGAGAAGACGCCCCTGGTGGCTTGGATCGATTGCATGCACCCAGTCACTTAAAGCTTCAGGAGGACCTCTGGATCCAGGCATACTATCGGCGGGGCGGTCGTTACGACGTAGCAGAGGGTTGGTTCCATCGTCGTTTCCGCGTGGTGGTACTTGATTGCGATGAGCCCTGTAACTTGGAATGGGGATTATTCCATGGCGGTTCCCTAAACCTCCAGAAAACATACTCCATGGAGGGGGTGGAATTCCGCGGAATTGTCCATGGTGGTGACGATGATGATCCATCGCTGGATCAGCGTCATGCATGATGAAGCGTTCCGGATGGTCGAAATCTATATTAAACGTTAGCAGCCATCACGATTGTACTGTTTTTGATACGAAAACACATCAGGGAAGAAAGAGATATCATACCAAAGGTTTGAAGAAACTGATCGTCTCCGTCAAGTGCATCCAGCCCTTCTAGTTCATCTACCTCTTCATCTTCGTCCTCGTCTAAATAAAAAGTTAGATAAGTGGCAACACGCGTAACAGACAGAATGGGATTCTTACCTTGGTCATCATGCATTTCATCATCTAGAAGGTCGTTATGAAGTTCTCCTCCCATACCCATATCTAATTCAAGCCGGCGGAGTTCAAGGCGGTTCCTATTTTGCTCCCCTAGAAGCCGAAATACATCTTGCAGATTAGACCGATGGTCTCCTTGGGCAAAATCTTCCAAATCGTTTTCGAGTTGGTGGTTCATACCGTCTTCGTCTTCATCATTGTCCGATATATCTTCGCTTTCCCACTCGCCTTCATCCCCATCCTGGAGACTATCGTTGTCATTATCACCAGTGATCTCGCCCGCAATCAAGTCATCATCCATAGCAGATGAGCCTTCCTCATCTTCATCATCGTCATCGTCATCGTCATCGTCATCCTCGTCATCCTCGTCATCTTCATCTTCATCATCATCGTCCTCCTCATCCTCGTCGTCATCGTCATCCCCTTCGATGAGGACTTCAATATCCATGCCCGAATCTCCAGGCAGCCCTTCAATAGGTCCTCGTTCATCCAAGTCTTCATCGTCACTGACAACCTCTCCATCATTCTCAGGCAAGTCATCTTCATAATCCATTTCTTCATCGTACTCGTCATCGTACATCTCTTCGTCATCCTCCGATTCTTCACTGCTGGTCTCCTCCTCATGATTCGGCTCAAACATGCCAAGCGTGGAGTTTCGGAAGAGGTCTGGGGTTTCCTCACGTTCATCTTCTACGTCAGATACAGAGGTTGCGGAAGATATATCATCTTCATCAGTCTGCCCTGGGGTGGTTTGAATGCTCGAACTTTCGCTCAGTAAGACAGCGGTTTGAGTAAGTTTGTTCAGCGGCCGAAGGATATATTTAACCGCTCTCTTTGCAGGAGGGAAATTGAGATCTATATCGGATATGGATGCGGTAAAGGCAGAAATAAAATGCTTTTCAAACATAATTTTTGCAACCTGGCGAGTAGATGATGGGTAATGAGTGGTTCCGTCTGCACTGGATGTCGCAGAAAGCATCTTGTCAAATAGATCGGCTAAACTCAAGAGTCGGGCATATTTAGTATCGAGAGGTTCGTTAGATACATTGGCGTCTTTGTATGATTTCAGAGCGTGCTCTAAAACAAACTTGCGGACGAACAAGAGATCGGGCTCGTTATCGCCATCTGGAACGGTACGACGCCTGGATGGCGCGCTGAACTCCCCTGTCTTGGCGCAAAGAGCCACAATCACCCGCATCGCCCAGTTAGACGTATTGACACGCTTTTTGAAGAAGATCGATTCGCTGTGCTCCAGAGTGCCGATGGGGACCAGAGAATTCAGCAAATAGTTCAAGACACCGGAGCGAGGCTTTGATGGAGCAGTAGCAAAGGGATCAGCCTTGCGAGAGAAGTTGATAAATTCTACCTTCGTACGATTATACGATGACAAGAGCTCAGTCAGGCACTGGAGCAGGAAGCAGCGGTAAATGTAGATCGGGTGCTCGTCTGCCTTAAATTGTGGCTTATCAGACTTCTTGGGGGGCTTAGTCGTCTGGTTTCCCGAAGTTGTTGAGGTAGGTGAGGCTGGTCCGCTGGCCATTTCAATATCACCTTGGGTTTCTGTACGAGGTGTTGTCCTTTCGGAAGGCTCAACGGGCGACTCTTTGTCCTCGACATCGCGGTACGAGAGAAGTTCAGAGAGCAAATAGTGAATCACGCCGTCAGGGTGTTCAATAACAGGCGCTTTTAGTTCGACGGCTCTGCCCTTTTCCTTGACATCTTTGCCCTCAGACGCCCGCGCATCTTGAGGCTCAGTAAGCGCCTCCAAAGTTTCCGATTTGCTCGCAGTTTCAGTATCATCCTGGCGGGAAGAGGTCTCATCACGCCCAGAAAGCACATCATTTGTTGGTTCGGACTTCAGGACCAGTAGTTGTGGTCGTTGATGTGAATCGTATCTCTGTAGTTTTACCTTTTCATTTGTAACCTCCACAAACAAGGCAGGATTCCTCAGGATTAGATGCGCGAATTGACGAACGTATCCTGTAGTGTCTGTCTGCCTTGGTGACCGACTCTCGAAGCCAGCAACAATTTCACTTCTCATTATTTGGCGAACGGTATCATCATCTTCAATTATATGTCGCAGGATGACCATAAATGCATTTTGAAGCTTTTCATCTGAAGCACCGGCCAATTGCTTGATCATGACAAATAGACGTTGAAGGTTACGTTTCTCCCCTAATCGCACAGCAATTTCCCTTTCACGGGTCAAGATAACGAGTATACGGACAACGGATAGCGCGAGGGTTTCGTCTTTCCCAATCCGAGGTAGAATATCGACCATTGCCTGAAAAAGCTCCATCTTATTCGAAAGCGAAACGACCAACTCTTCTAGTGCTGCTGGCTCTTCTGGTGCCGCAGGAGAATCAGAGTTTGGTGGGTTCCATCGGATTAATGTTGGGGTTGCATCATCTGAAAGCATCTTTTCAAGGATTAGCAAGACTTGGGGTATCCATGGACAAGATTCTTCCGTGGGCTTTTCAGATGAGAAGGAAGGAATGTTGATAAAGCCAAGCAGACTCGAGAAATTTTCCTTGAGCTCTTCCAGCGTAGCTTCATACACTTCGCGGTCCTGCAGTACCAAGGCTAACAAGCCAGCATATGCAGCGATTTTCTTTCCCGCAGATTGGAAGTTCTCTTCCATCTGGAGAGAAATCAGGAAGTGCATCAGCGTCTCACCAACCTCCCGGCGGAAGTTAACCGGATCACGGAGTTTTGCAGTGGCAGACCCAATAAGATCAGAGAGCTCGAAAGTGATGTCATGATGAACATTGAGCACATCGAGACACCGCTCGATCAGGTTGCTTCGCACTTTATCGCGCTCCATGTCAAGGTCCTCAATGGCGACTACTTCTCGTCGTTTTGGGGAAGGAGTAGGTGGGCTGGTGGGCTGAGATCGAGCAGCATTCTCCGCACGCCGAGAAAGGGTGTTGCTATCTTCACTACGTGGCTCTTCCTGGTCATTGAGAATATTGTCGATGCTCATAGCCAGAAGTCCGCTAGTGCTCGTAATAGCATTGTCACCTTGTACAATTTGATTGGGAACGGTATTTTCCGCGAGGCTCGTTATACTTTCCTCGTTCGTATTTGGTTGGGCAATATGACCCAGCAACGACGCAAGATCGGTCTGGGCAGACGGCGTGGCTAAAGCATTGTCCAATTGCTGCTGTGGGCTTCCAAGATTACCAAAGATGCTGTCACGGCGAGATGAACTGCTAGCTGTTGTCTGTTCTAGATCATTGGGAGGGATTGGGCTCCTAGGTGGCGGCCGAAGACCAAGCTGGCTAGTGCAGTATTCCTCGGAGGCAGAAGCAGAGTTGTTGCACCGGTAGAGGGCCTCCCGGGCAAGGCTCTCATCATGCCCGTTTTCCTTCAATGTAGACAAACGGTCCCTATGGCAGGTGAAGGTTTTTGGTGTCACAGATACAAGGGGAGGGAGGGTTTCACCACGACGGAAAGCTCCCATTTCGTATTCACTTTCAAGTACCGACCGGAGAATATCAATCAGAGATTTCAAAATAGAACTGGACGCTTCCTCGACAAAGCCCGAACTCCACATTTCCTGCACCATGGGAATGACTTCCATCCGTAATTCAACCAAGAACTGCGCAGGAAGGAAATAGTCAGGGCGATCCCTATCTCCACTGGTGCTTGCCATCGCCTGAGTCTGCGATGAGTCTATTATATATTGAGCGGACGTCATCTCGGAAAAGAAATTCAGAATGATCTTGATACCCCCATATGCGGAAGCAAGGCGTGCAGGGACATCTCTTGAGTTACTATTCACGGGTGCTTGGGGACCGAGAGACTTGATTTCATTCAAGAATAGTCCACACAATTCTTTCATCGCCTGAATCCCATTCAACTTCTTAAACGCAGATAGAATCATGGTCAGGCAATGAGAATGAGGCCGTTCGGCAGTAGCTACAAAACGAGTTAGTTTAACGATTTAGAATTAATAGGTATAGAAGAGTGGAACCCCTTGGTGGAGGGTTGATGAGGAAACATACTGTCAAATAGCAGCTGAGAAAACGAAGACAGGATGACGATGAGGTACGAAAACCGGTCTTTCACGCATGATGCTTTCTTGGCAGCATCGAGGTCAAGTTGCTCGAGAACCACTGACGCAATCGCATCAGCAACAGTCCCAGCCTTTTGCCGTTGATAGGTATCCATTCGTCGTTTGCTGATAAGCCCATGTCCCAGGAGGTGGAAGAAACCAGTTATCGAGGATGGAAGAGAACTGAGCAAGTAACGGAGAGTTTTGACATTCTTAAATGCTGCACTTTTCTCCACGCTCAGGGATGAATGGGGGGCCGAATTTTGAGATCTAGCCTCGCCATTGGGCAGTGTAGCAACGGAATTTACCACAGTTGCAGCTCTTTCAGCAGCATTTCCCGACACTACATCGCCGGGTTCAGACGCATCGTCAGCGGGGGCGGTAATTGGCGGTTCAATCACCTCCTCTCCACCAAGCCCATATTCAGAAACTCTAGTCGCTTCGTTCCAAGGTTCCGGCATGTCTTTTTGTAATAAAATTTCCTCCCACACACATGCGGAGTGCAATGACCCAAGTGACTTAATAAGGGCAACATATTTATCTGCCAAATTTACCTGGACAAAAGGAGATGTTTGTTGGCTAGGCCGTGTATTATAGTTTGGTGGAGTGTATGCTTCGCGAAGGATATCCGTAAGTGTACGAACAGCCACGAGATGCTTCGCGAAATATGTTCCTGTAGCCCTCACATCTTCGGAATCTGGAATCTTGGCAGTAGAATCTTGGGGTTGTTGCTTCCTTGAATGAGTCAATGGAGAGAAAAATCCGGCACTGCCAGAGTGTCGCCAGAACGGAGCTAACCGGTCAACAGCATCTTGGGTTCGTTTCGTAAGAGAGGGTAGGACAAGGTGTGGCTTCACCTCGACCATCAAATGGATCACCTGTGTTAACTGCTGGCTCGCTTCCGTATTATGGAAATCAAACGGTAGACTCTGAAGCGTGGCAAAGTCGAGGACATACTCAACCCCTCCAGCTTCGATGAAAGTGTTGCAAATTGTATGGTTCTCGAAAAAGGCATGAAGAAACCTCACAACAGGGAACATGTAATTTGGGACAGAAAGACCATGACTATCAACATCGTTGAAGTCCCAGTTTCCCAGCTTAGGGAAAGTCAGTTCAGGAGTTGCTGTGGCACTCTGCATCTCAGAATCCGCAGGCTTTGCTCCTGATGAAGATTGCTGCTCACCATGAATGTTGCTGAATGCAGAACCAATGTCACCAACCAAGGAAGAGGGACCTCCAGCAACTGAAAGCTTTCCATCCTCCCCTTCCGTCCAGAGTTTAGCTCCCATCCCACGCTCCCATGCTTTGGATTTGCAATGCTGCGTAACGCGAGCAACCATAAGCAAAACCGAGCTCATGACTGCAGACTTGAGAGGGGGGTGATGTCGAACAAGTTCGTCGAATGAGTTACCCAATACACGAAGTAGATTCGAATCAGTTTTCATGCATTTCACGTGCTCGGGACTTTCGAAGATATCAAAAAAGCTTTCAAGGGCATCTGACTTTCTGAACAACTCAAGACCTCCCTGGTTAAGACAGATAGCCCCGAAGGCTTGGGGAATACACACTATAGCTTCAGTCGAAGGCAATATACCCTCAGCAAGTTTGCGATCGGGTGGTCTGACAATTTTGGATCTGAGGGTTTCATGTTCACTGGGCTCCGCAAGTGCGGGAATGAAAAAAGGCCGCAGTTGGGTCGGAGTATCACCACCTTCTTCTTCAGCAGAAGCAGCAGCAGCAGCAGGGTTATTTGATGCATCACTGGGGATAGAACGGCCCGTCACCGCTTCCAAGAGGCTTTTACTCAATCCGGCTTCTGCAATGACAGCGTAGCTAGTTGGCTCATTATGTATGAAATGACTCAAGATATTCACTGCACCACTCCACACATGAGAACCATAAATTCGGGCGTTCTCCAAAACCAAACGGAGTGCTGTTAGAAGCGGGGGAGAATCAATAAGATTCCGAAGCAAGCGCTCAAATCCACCGCTGTCATGTTGCATTACATGATTGACAAATTTGAAGAGCCATCTCAAAGACTGTTGCTGGAAATATGGAACTTGGTAGTCGATGGCTGGCGTTCTAAATTGAACCGGAATACCCTGTCCCTTAGCCACTAAATCAAAGGATGCTCTCGTCTCGTAGGAAATCAAATCCGAAATGCCATGGAAACCTCTAGCTGCAGCCAGTGTCGCCAGAGCATCCCTAACAGAGTGAACAAAAGTGTCCATGAATTCCATAACTCGAGGATAGATCCTCCTCGCTTTCTCTGTCCTAAGGTTCAAAATATCGACGAGCAGAGGGATCAATCCCGCCGCCACGAGAGTTTCCGGTGTCCGTGTTCCACAATTTGGAAGCGTTCGAAGCAAGGTAAACAATGCTTCCCGCCAATCGTCAGCTTCCGGTGGGTCGTCTGGGCTCTCCTCCACGGCGAGGTCTGCCACCGCTTTCCGTGTGAGGAACATGAGAATTCCATGATTGACATTCACATTAAGGGCGGCGCAAACGTCTGCAGCTCTAGTTTTATGTTTTGCCAGCGCATCGAGACAGTTGAGCGCGAAAGTTTGGTTAAGTGTTGAGGCGGTAATGTCACCAGTGGCACCGAGATGGACAAATTCAGCTAGTTGATATGAAAGTTGCAGGCGTTTCGGTACATCAGCATCATGATACAGGACCTTTTGTTGGAAAAGAGTCTCTGGGTAAATGTATGCCAAGTTCGTAACCGCAAGAACTCTAATAGCAAGGATTTGACGTCTGGTCTCAGTGGATGATGTAAGGGCATATGCAACGCGGAGTCGATGTAACAAGTCATATTTTGAAGAATCCTTGGGAAGATCTTCCAAGTGCTCTTGTAAAACGTGCTCTATTCTTGAAGATACTATTGTTGAGCTCGGGATCTCACGCACTTTCATTCCTCTAGTCGCTTCCTCAGGCTTATGAACTGGAGAATGGGCTTCCGCCGTTGGCGAATCATCAGTGGCAGAACTTCTATTCATCCTCGAGCCCGGATGAGTAGATGTTCTGCGCAAATGAGCCGGTGTAGTTGGAGGATGCGGTGTACTCCCGGGTGCTTCTGTAGGTGCAGGTCCATTATTATCTGATGGAGGAGAGTAATACGACATGCTAATGCTACCCCACTCTTCCCACTCGTTGACAGGGAGCCCATCAGGTTCTGAGGTATCAGAGGGCTCTTTAGTAAGAGCAATGAGATCATTCGCATTACATTTGGCGACAGAACCCCGACGGCTAGCCTGTATGTGAGTAACTTTCTCTTTCCCTTTAAAACTTGATGAAGCATCAGCTGGTTTTGCAGGGGCCGGTTTAGGAAAAGGTGCGGCAAGCTTTTCGACGCGCTCCAATTCAATATTGTAGTGAGATGCAAGTAAACTCTGATGAAAATGGGTGCTATTTGATTGCCGTTGTCTGGAGAAGTACCGCTGGGCGAGGCTAATACCCAGACGAAGAACACATTGTAGTAGGGACAGTGAGGTCGTATTCAGGAGGTCATTTAGGCGGTCGCTGCTACTGTAGAGGGTCCGATTGCCACATTTCTCGAGCAGGAGTCGTGAAAAGTCTAGGAGTGCTTCGACCAACTCTCGATCTCCTTCAGGCCCAAAGCCAAGTTTGTCCAGATGGGTTTCGGCCGCTCCAGTGGTTGGTGCAATCCCGGCAGAAACGCAAGTGTCTTGAAGGACAAGGCGGCCAAATGGTTTCGTCTGCGGTCCCGATTTGAGATTATACTTTTCTACTACAAGCTGGAGGATCTCATCAAAACGGTTCAGAACCCTAATCCAGTGATATAGATCACCTCGTGGGAAAGGCCATCGGCGGGGAAAGGTTGAAAGGTATGACGGAAGCTCCGGGATGTCAACTGTGATGGTTTGCTGAACGAAGGTAGCCAAAGCGGGAGACTGTAAAAATAGGGAAAGGAGTCATTAGCTTTGAAAATTGATTTTTCGTTTTCTCCCATCTCCCAAACTTGTTATTAGGATTATCCCGGGGTAGGGAGGGGGGGGGGGGGGGGGGGGGGGGTTGGGTTTGTTTGAAGACTTAGGATATTAAAGGAAATAGAAAAGAATCGAGAAGCACTTACGATTGTAGCCTCATGTTTAAGGCCCGCCACCTTTTTTATTCTCCCCATATTACAATATTACCTTGCAGCCCACCATGAGCAGTCGTGCGACTACCAGCAACCTGGAAGAAGGGAGGATAACCCCCCGGAGACGAGTAGCTTGATAATTGTTGGGTTCGCCCCAGAGTCGGAACGACCAGCTGTTTGTCAGATACTTTGGACACCTCTCAAACCTGCTGCCGGTGAGTTCGAGAAGGGATACTGGTCTGATAAGCAAGTAATCGGATGCGTTTGAGTTAGATAGGTCAAGACAGCAGAGGTGCAGCGTTTTTAGGAGCAAGGCGAGGTTGGGTTCAAGGCTCAGGTGTATGATTGACGCGACTGGCAAAAGCAAAGATTAAACAGCAAGCAGCAGGAAAACGAGTGCAGGTCGAATTCCCAGAAGCTTGAGTGCTTGACCCTAATCGATAAACCGCTGGCTATTGAGGTTGGAGGTTGATGGGAAGGAGTGGAAGGGGTTCTTCTGATGGAGAGAAGAATATCGAGAGTTTGTTGATGTTGGTTTCTTTTTGACGTTGGTTTTGAGCCAGGCCCGAAATTATTGGCCTGTTTGTCACTGCTGCAAACTAACGCCTGGAAGGAAATACGGGGAAGGCCGGCTGCACTAGCCGGGGTTGCCACTTAATATTTCCACTACTCTATATCCACGCACACTAGTCGGTGGTGGGGAGTCTCCACTGCTGTTAGAAGGGAAGTTCTCTAACCATCACACTGACTGACACATCATTTGTGAGATGTCGAATCGCTGGATAATTCGAATGGTTTCTACTGATCTCTTCCTATCGTGTATCTGCGAGCTGTTCGGTGAGGGTCTGGGTTTCTATTTCAAGCAGAGAGTCTTCCAAGCGGCAATGCCTATTGGGCAGTTGGTTATAACATCAGCAGTCAGCCGCAGTGCTTAGTTCACAGTTGAAAGTGGTTTTAAAGATGGGGCCCCATAATCGGCCCCCTCTAAAATAAGCATGGTCTAAATGACTAGTGCATGTAGTTTTAGTGAGGCATGTCTTGATGTATTAGCGAAAACCACATCGAGAAAATTTTTTTTGTTTCTGGTCGAGATTTCAAACCACGGTTAACAACTCTTTGCCCACCAGCCACGATGACTAGATCTTAGGCACGATAAAAGCTACCAGGCCAGCTTGTCTTCGTATTTGAATTCAAAATACGGGCATACGGTTGAGGCAATAGTACTTTGCAATCACCCAGTTCAGTATATGCCGAGAATATATATAACTACCTGGTAGGTAGTTATAGTTTTATAAAAGCATCTTGTCAAATATATATATATACATCTACACATATAACTAGAGCAAAAAGCTGGTCTGTGAAGAAGAACTAATCGGTTATCACACGCAAAACAACGCTTTACTCCGTAAGAAGCGGCAATTCCCCATCCCACTGTACCTTCATCGTGGATGGGAAGGGAGAGTAGGATGTATAATCTGCCATTAAATATTTGCTGATGCCACCAGGTCCAGGAATCCTCCTTAATTCACCTTGAGGGCCCCGTGCTCGGCGCAGGTTTTCCAGTTTCCCCACCGTTTTCAACATTGTCGACAGCGCTACATTGCAGATCCCGAAACCCAAGCATTTATGGGGCCCCTGTCCCAGGTGGACGTATGAGTTAATGTCACGCGTCAAATCAACCTTGCTGGGCTCAGGGAACCTCTTGGGATCCATAGATGCCTGAACCTAATAGTGGAATCAGCATTTCGTTCTGGCAGCATTCTGGTCTCATTTTGACCTACCAAGTTACAAAGGACCCGGTCTCCAGGCTCCAAATTAAACTCGTTTTCGCCATCGTTGATTGAAGTCTTCGTGACAACATCCCGGTACAAAGCTACCGTTCCTCGAAGTCGGGCTCCCTCCAGGGCACTGCGATTTAGTCAATATAATATACATGTGCCGTTGTACGGCGATTTGATGACAAAGAGACCTACTATTTCAAGAGGAGCGCATCAGCCTCCGCGGTATCTAACTTCGACAGCCGATGGATTTCAGGCCAATGGATAGAACCTTCCTCTGACAAATAGTACTCGAGACACTGCGAGAATAGCTGTGCCTGGTTTGCTACCATTCCCCCTGCCGTGGGGAGCATATGTGTCCAGACAATTTCCTCCGGGAGCAATCCCGTAGCCAGTAAACGGCGAATCATATGGACCCCGTACTCCATCAACACATCACTTCCATATAACCGTCCAGCCATGCTTGCAAGAAATCCAGTTTGCCTGATCAATAGCACGTGTAACATGACAATGTCCCCAAGCTGTTGAGTTAACTTCCGAGCCGCTTGACGAAGCGGGAAGCTTTTTGCAGGATCTGCATCGAAAAATATGCAGGTGAAAACAAGAGCCATGATCCCGTACATTTCGGTCTCGGTATATATACCGCGTGGATTCTCCTCTGTCTTGAGCGGAAGCGAAAAGACAGCGGCTGCAAAATGGACATGGGCAAGATTTGCAACATCTCGCACGATGTCCACCTGGCTGACTCCGGCAATCTTGTATGATTTGCGGTGAAGAAGTTTGAGGGATATCTGCTCATAAAACTTTTTCACTTCCCCTTCCCATGTTCTTTGATATAACGCCTTTCTCATCATCTCCCTCGAAGCTACGTTGGCTGGATCATCTCCAGCCAGCATAAAGTCTCTGCCAAACGGTTTGGCCCCTTTATGCATTAAAAACTCGATGGCTTCACCCCATGTAACTTTAAAATCCCTTTGGTTTTTTAGGATTGCATCGCATGCAGCGTACGACTCGATCATAATTGGATGTTGAATTCTGGCTGGCCTATCCCATGAATAATTCCCTACAAGATCCAATTTCGTAAGGACTTCTTTGTTTTCACCCGGGATCACTAGCGGGAAGTGTGCATAAACTGAATTCGATTTGAAGTGATTTGGAAAAGCCCTAAGGAATAGTTTATAAAACACATGACCCTGGTCAACAGAGTTGTCGAAGTTTGCTTCCCTAAAGCCCCAGTTTGTTAGATTCTTTGGACAATAATCCACTGTATAGAAGCGGTCACCGCGCACCAAGGCAACGGCATCGGAAAGAATTGCCCGAGAAATAGTAAAACTCGCACAGAGGCCACTGCCAGGTACCATGGGTGCCTTTGCCTCCTCGACAATGACACCAGGATAGAGTTCAACGTTGTCGGGATGATCATACAAATGCTTGAGTTGATCAGCAATGTAGGGGTCAGAGTTGATGTCTTCGAAAGTTTCGTGGGGCTTGAGATTGAAATATTTGCGAAACTCATTGAGACTCGAAAGTCTCCATGATCGCGCTTGCTTGATACCCAGGATTTCCGCAACCCGGAGGACGGGAGGTATTTGTGAAGCGCCAAACCGACCCGCACAGTCTTCGATGCTTTCCGCAAGAATATTAACCAGGTCGTCATCGCTGAACAAACTATTGGGCTCACGCTCCAGATTTGCGAAAGGTCGCTTCGGAGGATCCTCAGAAAGTCCTGCCTCCCATTTTTCAAGAACCCGCAAGTATTCAGAAAAAGTGATATTCCTCAGGTCCTTACTATCGCCAAAGAGCTCTTTTAAAACACCTTGGATCCATTTGTCGTCGCGCTCTGAAATACATGAATGCCAGCGATATATCAAGTTAAATTCCGCAGATACCTGGTTGCCGCTTGCCTCGTTAATCTCTGTACAAAACAGACCTTTTGTAGATTCTAAACGGGGATCAAGACTCCAATCACTTTTGGCCCTGTTGACGTTGAGAATAGTTCGCACGTAATCTTTTAAAATTAGATTTATGTATAGGCCACATGTGATAAGGCGTCCGGTTTGGAAAAGGTCATTGTCGTATTTGGAGTAACCCTTAGCATTAAGCACATCTGGTTTGGTGAAACGACCGTCTTGGTTGATCACAGCGAGATTCTCAACAACATAGTTATGGAACCGGTTAAACATTATAAGAAGCACGCCGACACCTGGGGGGAATCCTAGAATTCCCTTGTTCGAAAAGCAGTCTGGCTTTAGCTTCCCGCCCTTGAAGGTGCGGACTGCATTCTGCTCTTCCTGATTACTACCGTATAGAGGGGAAAGATCAAGGTACGAGGAAGTAAGGGAGCGGGTGTTGTCCTGACGGTCAGTGCGAAACAAGTCTATTCACACGTAAGAATCGCGGCAAAAGCTACTGGACAGGACTGTAGGTGGTTACCATGGGTAATGACAGTGGCCATGTAGAACAACATGCTTGATATTCTATTAGGATGAGGTTCAAACCTTTTCCTAACCAAGAGGCTATCGAAGAGTGTACCCGGGTCTGGAAGTACAGTTGGTTGTATCGATTTCGGTGGCACAGTCCTTGCATATGAGGAGCCCGCAGCACCAATTTGCGGCCAAAGGACATTCTATCCCAACATTAGCTTGTTTAGCAACAGGACAGGAATAATTGATATCATTTTTACATTATGCGAACCATCTGCCTGTCTATACACATATTGGTCACCAAGATATCTGGGATCAGAACGTCAGTAAAAAATGTGGTAAAATGCAGAAGGTATACCTACGACAATGGCGGATGCTTGAGATCGTTCCAGAGCAGAGACAGAAGAGCATGGTTTAATCTATCCGCATTGGGGGATCTTGAGGGTAAAGATGAAGCGAGCTACATGATCCGAATAAATATTTGTCACGGATGTCGCCTTAAACCATGAAGCCTACCTGTATCACTCTTTCTAGGATATAATCTTTGTCATTGACTGGTTTTCCCGTGGCAGCATTCCGAACAACTTCAACCAGCGTATCGATATCCTTAATGCCGACGCTCTTTAAATCGGCTATTAAACCGGGTTCGGGTGGGGTGTCATCGATATAACTGCCGTTGCCAGTTCGGGTGGGCAGCGGACGCAGTGAAGAGTGAATGAGTTGGCTGACCTGAGAAATACTATTCCCCACCTTTCCACGGATGGACGAATTCCCATCAAACCCTTTCATTCTCGACGCCGACTCCGCAACGGCAATGACATGGAACAGCGCGCTCTGGGTCAGATATTAGCGCTGTGGTGCGATAACAATAAATGCATAAGACAATGCTGGAACCGAAACTCTTGAGATGCATGATGCAGGAGCATCCCCAACTTTATATTCTTCTCTTTATATTCTTCTCCCACGCGAAATTTGTCATATGCTCATTCTTCACGCAAAAGACAAGGGAACCAAGCATTATGAGGACTGTAGGACAAATATCATCTCTAGCCAACCAAGACAATGACATATGAGATGCAATAATACTGAAAGGAAACATATCGTTGGACAAAATACAGAAGAGGCAAGGGATAGTGAAACAACACAACACGGCTTACCGAAATATTCTTTTCAGTGTATCAGACGACCAAATAGCGGCACTCGTTCTGATGCCAAAAATGAAAACGGGAGTTTGCGACCACCACCAAAAAGAACCCGGAAGAGCATGCATTAGACATCTTCTAAATGATGATAGGAAAAGAATATGACTCAAACATATGGAATGCATTGGTCCCCTCAAAAAAAGGATTCGCATTTCATGATGCTGTAAACACGGTGGGCTGGGTCTTCACAGCTCCCACTGCCCGCAATCCCTCGGATGCAGGTACAGGGGCCGGAAAGGATGAAGGTTGAAATTCCACTCCAATTGAAGGCAATTAGTAAATTGCCAGTGCTAGTGTAGCCACAGGTGTTACGGTTAGCTCAGCGGTGCGACGCAGTTGTGGTGATCTGAGTGACGTCCAGTTTCTGTAGGCTGTTGCCACAAGTTGCGGTTTGATCAAAATATTGCCTTATATAGATATTTAAGTGTGTAGACAGAGCATGCCAGAGCTCAGAGCTCATGGGTAGTTAACTAACTAGTCCCCACAAATAGTTGTCTGACAACGGCCATCATTTGCGCTGGCACATAGTCATTCTCGAGAAATGGTCTTAAAAGGCAATTCAAACCACATTTAATGGGAGCCTATTGGTGCTTTGTTTTGGAACATACAGGTACTACTACTAGACATAGATTCTCGAGTTCTCTAAATGTCGCCTTGGAGGGCGGACCATCCCAAGGTCCGCTTCCACAACTTTTGGGAGGATTTGGATCCGCGTTATCCCCGAGCATGCGTCGTCGTCGGGTATAGGACGGAGATGTTCACCCATTCCCGCTCCAAGGGCAGACAGATCGTCATGACCCTATTTCGGATATTCTGACGGTTAGTTTTTCCACCGGATTTGTGATGTCAGCTTACTTAGTTTAACATTCTAGGCAACATTGAAATATGCCGCCAGTGAGGCAGATTTCGGTGGCACACCAATATATCGAATAGAGGAGAGCGATATGGCCCCCAACCCGATACTCGAACGTGCTTTTAATAGCAGAGCTCTCGGTGGAACTTCAGCTTCCATACTTGGCAATAATTTTGACTCAGATATAGAGAAGAGGGCGAAGAAAGTTCTGTGAGTAGCTCCTCGGTAACTAATAGGAGTAAGGTATAACTGCGAGAGAGACATTCGCAAACGACAAGAACCTTCTAATAAGGAATACATGGCTGATGAATGCAGGTAGGTTAGGGTAACGCTTCATATTTGACAAGATTGAGGTTCTCCAGACCCCAAGGATCCCAGATCTTGTAGGAATAGATATCAAAGCGAGCGATCGCTAGTTAATGCAGGTTACCATGAAAAAAGACTTCCACACATTCGAGCCAGTTTGGATTTCGAAAGATCGCGTCGGGCAACGCGATAGACGCCTCTACGGCCGAACAATACCCTTTTTCGCATAGCAAAAAAAAAAAAAAAAAGAAAAGAAAAAAGAAAAAAAAAAGCATTTAAGATAACCATCCATATCTCTTTCATCATTAGTCTCTGAGGAATATATCTGAAGATTTTTTCTTTGAACATCTTACGAAATCGCACATTATTCGGCGTCACTTGGTTGACTAATTAGAATGTTCAAGGAATTGTCAACTAACTAGATTAACCAACTATCTTGGAGCCGCTAATCTATCATATTTAGCAGATTTTATCGGAACATACTGCTACCCGGAAGCACCAAGGATACAGATCCGGACTCCATAGAAGCCGGCTTTTTCTATAACTATTAGTATCTGGAAGCATTTCGACCCGGTTTCCCAACTCTTGGTCACGTGTAAAAGCTCCACGGACTCGGGACCTTGAGGCTCCGTGTAGGAATCCTTGGGGAAAGAAAACGAAAATAAAGAAACGTCTCTCCGCGTTTCAAGGTCTGAAATTCACTTTATTTATTTAGCCATTGAGTCTTGTCAGTCCAACATTACTGCTCCCGATCAATTACTGGCATTAGCTGCCTGAGACTGAAATTCAATGTCTTCAAGCATCACCCTTAATCTCAAACCTCGAGGTATGTCGGTATCAACTTCATCCTAGGTCCGAGAACTTCTAATTGAGATACCTGTTTCGGCAGAACACTCAAACTGACAACAAATTTTCCTTCTCCCTAGGCAAGCCGATCCCAAAGCTTCCTCAAGAGCTTTCAATTGATCCCGATGCCCTCGGCTCAGAGTTATACGACAGCATATCCCAGCAGTCCAGACTCTCCGTTGACCGCCTGAGAGTCACCAAGGCCAGCGATGGCACAGTAATTCACAACAGAAAAGATGCCACCATACATTCGACCGGTCTCAGAAACCAGAGCACTATCTACGTGAAAGATCTAGGTGCGCAATTTCCCGGCTCTGCGGCTCCCTGCCTCCTCTACCCCCAGTTGTTCCCCTATCTCTTATTTGATTTGATATATAAATATTTATTTACAAAAGGCCCTTAAGTACTGACTACCTAAACCAAAGGTGCCCAAATCGCCTGGCGAACGGTCTACATGATCGAATATTTTGGCCCCATCTTCATTCACCCCTTATTCCTTCTCCACTCCTTACGCCCCTACATCTACCGTACCTCCAACCCGTCCCCTGTCACGAACCTTCAGATTCTCAATTGCGCCCTTGTGATACTCCATTTTGTGAAACGTGAACTGGAAACCGCCCTTGTCCACCGTTTCGGCCGCGTGACCATGCCCGCAATGCATGTCCTCCGCAACAGCGCGCACTACTGGCTCCTTTCAGGTGTTAACATTGCCTTCTGGATTTATGCACCTACCTCTACAATCGCATCAAAGACCATTGAATCCGCGAACCCGCTTCTTCTCTACTCAGGCCTGGCCCTTTATGTCTTTGGTCAACTAGCCAATCTGAACACCCATATCGTACTGCGAAACCTCCGACAACCTGGTACGACGGAGCGGGGAATCCCATCCGGCTTCGGTTTTAGCTGGGTGACGTGCCCCAACTACCTGTTTGAGGTGATTGCTTGGATTGGTATGTATCTAGTGAGCGGATTGAATTGGAGCGTATTGCTCTTTATACTCGTTGCGTGTCTCCCAATGATTACGTGGGCGAAACAGAAGGAACGTAAATATCGCAGTGAATTCGGCGACAAGTACAAGAAAAAGCGGTTTGTTATGTTTCCAGGGATAATCTAATACGTCATTTTTTTGCCGTTGTGGGTGGCACCGCGTTGTCGATTGGTTGGTTGCAGCATAAAAGGAGGAGACCATTTCCAAAGAAAAGCAAGGTGGAGGGAGTTGCGTTGGGTTGGTCTCTGCTTGTTGCGAAGGTTGATAGTGATTTGGTCATTTCAACTTCAAATAAGTGAAATAGATGCGGGAGACGTGCCGCGAGGTGACCCTGCCATGTGCAGAACAGTTGGTTCATTTAGATGTGAGAAATGTTGCCTGCCAGCAGGGGATCATGCCTATTATTACGGTAACTTCTGCCCCATTTGTATGAAATATTTTCCCCTTTAATTAGGTTAATAATAAATATGAGAGGATCTTGATGATTTTATATGAAGGAAATTCTTATTAGAATTCCTATCTATTATGAGTAGTTATCAAAGTCCGTGTTTATTATATGCGTATATCATAAGTAAACAGTGTAATGCATGAAAAGACAACAATAACATACAAAAATAATGCAACATGAGAGGGAGAAGTCATGTTGTTTATGCCCAGTAAAGGCTCAGGATTCAAAACATACTTTGCAATGAGTTGCAAGCGGTGAAATGCCCAGGCATGTATGACGTGATAAACAGCCTCTGGAAAATAGACTGATGAGAAGACGAAAGTAATAGAATCTTACATGGTTGTTGAACAAGAAGGATCATGCTTAAGTAAGAATGCAACAGCAGATAACTAGCGAAGGAAACACGTTAAAATAAAAGGTATCTCTTAAAAGTATAACCAGCAGAGAGCTTCAGTGACACACACCTTTCAAGCTTTCGAATCCAGTTCTTCTTTCTCCTTATTTCACTTGTATATCTGAATTTAAATAAAGAAACTGTCATACATACTCAAAGCGAAAACGCAAAAGCCCTTTTATGCAATATCACCTAAAGGAAGGAAAGGAAAAAAATAAAATAAGAATAAAAATAAAAATAAAAAGCCAGCAAAAACCATAATGCCATGCAACGAAAGAAGAGTAAGTGAAAGGAAATAGTTAGTAATGAGTATCATATTTTCGCGTCATTTGTGTTCCTAGCCCATTTTGTCCAGAAAATCTCCATCTGCTGTTCGCAGGTCTTCTGGGCTTCGGGAGCGTCGCAGCCCAAAAACCGAACAACGAAGTCTCCATCATTAAATAGGCTGTCTGGCGTTAATGAGGGGGATTCAGGAGTGTAGGAGTTGAAAATACGCTGTGGGACAAGAGCAAGTTTGGCAAGGATGGTGGGATGCCATTGGATGATGTGATCCTGGTAAACAGATCACAGAAAAACAGGAGAAATTATTAGTAAAATGTTGATGTCGAGTTAAAAACAGGGAAAAAGGAGAAAGTTCAAGGAGGAATGCTGCATATAGGAACATGGACACCTACCAGAGCATGTGTCTCTGCCTTTGCAAATCGATAACTCCGATATAACGGATCAAACCACGCATCCAAGAAGTATAGGGCCCAATCTGTTCTTCGTAGAATGAAGCTGCCGGGACTTAGGCTTTCCGCATCCTGGCTGATGATGAAATCTACATCATTCCCTGAAAGATGGCTGAATGTCCTGATGATGCTATCCGGTGGCACGACCGACTTGTCCTTGATCATAATGGATTCAAGCCGTGTCTTATCGAGGATGTGGGAAGTGAGGGAAAGAGATGGGTTCATTATGAGAGCATGGGCCGACAGGTGAAAGAAATGAGTCGCCTTCGGATACAAGGTATAGGCATGGCGGAGAGCGGGGAGTATGGCCCAGCTGCGGGGAGCATTGTCTAGGTATGGGAAGTAATCTTTCGCACTCGCGAAGAAGTTGACATAGCCTGTTACAAACCTGTTAGCATGCCGTGACTGCCAAGAAGCTCGCATTGATGTTATTCCTACCATGCCTCTTAGCATAGTCCTCTCTGTTTTCCTTAATGCGTTGGATATACTTGTCGCTGAGGTTCTCCTCGTCAAGAACCGTGACAACAACGATATTCACTGGCCCAGTTGGAACTGTCTCCTTGGAGGTGGTACTCGATGACGAGAAAATTCGGGAAACGAAGAATACGAATGTGAAAAAAACAACACCCAATACAGCGACTGTTTTCAACTGGCGGCGACGGATTGCAGGCGAATGTGAAGCCCGCGTGTATGGGGGATTATACGACGCTTTTCGCGGGGGCAGAGCGAACTGCATGTTGCTTGAGATATTTTCGGACCCAACGGTTCTCCCAGCTCCCAGGAATGCTGGGAGGTAACAACTATGAAGTCCTCCTCCTGAACAACCCTGACATACGGACTCCCTCTCTCTCTCTCTCTCTCTCTCTCTCTCTCTCTCTTTTTGATCTTCGCAATTGTATTGTGGTTCGAGTTTCCAGGAGTTCACTTGGACTTGAACGACCGTTATCAAAGGGCAATCATGAGATGAACCAAGGTCTCGGGGCGGAATAATGTCTTCCGGCGCATCTTACAGTGGCGGGGGCGGAAGGAGATTGGATGAAAAGTCTCCACTTATTTGATTTAGGTTAACTAACGTTATCCACGAGTTGTTACTTATCTCCTAATTTAACTTAACTCATCCACTCAACGCGCAATTATGCCACCAAGTCGCAATTAGAATTTTCGCAATAAGAATTTTAGGAACTCAACTGAGATGGAGGGAAGACTTGAACTCGCAATAAATGCTATTAACAAGCAAGATATATCGTCAATTTCTGATGCCGCGCGTCTTTTTGAGGTGCCTCGTTTCACTCTCAGTCATAGACAGAATGGTCGAACTGCAAGAGTGAATTTACGCTCAAATTCATTTAAATTGACTGAGCCTGAAGAGAATCTGTTATTTCAGTGGATTCTTGGCCTGGCTAAACGAAGATTACCCCTCCGGCCGGCATTTGTTGAGAATATGGCTAATCATCTTCTTTCTCTACGGCATTCCACCACTACCCCTCAACGCGTGGGTAAGAACTGGGTTTACAAGCTGATTAAACGCCGTACGGAGCTCTAATACCACTATTCCAGACGCTATAATCATGATCAGGCTAAGTGTGAGGATATAAAGATTATTCAGGATTGGTTTAAGACCTTGGGGGAATACAATTGCTGAGCATGGAATTCTGCCAGAAGATATATACAAATTTGATGAGACTGTCATTACAATGGGACTCTGCGCCACTACTAAGGTTCATTACTAGTAGTGAGTGCTATGGCCGGGCTAAGCTTCTACAGCCTGGAAATCGCGAATGGGTGACTGTGATTGAGGCAGTGAATGCCTCTGGATGAGTGCTACCACCATATATCATTCTCAAAGGGCAGAGCCTGCAGGAAGGCTGGTTTGAAGGCTTGCTATATAACTGGAGGCTGGATGTTAGAGCCAACAGTTGAGCCATGGATGAGATAGGAATCAAATGGCTTACTAGGCTGTTTATTCCTGCAGCAAAGCCACGTCAGGTTAGCAGTTCTATTCTTCTTATCCTGGACGGGCATGGCAGCCATCTTACACCGGAATTTGATCAAATCTGTAACAACAAATGGAATTATTACGCTCTGCATGCCTCCACATTCATCACTTCATTTGCAGCCTCTAAATGTGAGCGTTTTTCCATTGCTAAAGCGGGCATATGGTGACTTGGTTGAACAGCGAATGCGGCTTGGAATCAATGCCATTTGAAAGGTTGATTTCTTAGAAGCTTATCCTGCAGCCCGTATGGAAGCTTTCAAAGCTCAGAGCATTCAGAATGGCTTCAAGGCTACTGGAATAGTGCCATTTCAGCCTGACTATGGTATCCAGCCGCTGAATATTCAGTTCCGCACTCCTAACCCCTCACGCAGCAGCTCTAGCAATTCAACCACATCCTGGGTGCTTCAAACACCTAGTAATCCGCGGTAATTGCACCAGCAGTTAAAGGGCTTGTGGAAGGTCAATCTCAAGGCTTAGTGGAAGGCCTTGACCAAATTATCAAGGCTTACAAATATAAGATAATTAAACCACCATCATGAAGAAGCAGTACCAGAATATATTCAACGCAAATGAGATAGAGAAACAGAAACACAGAAGATCTACGCGCAGAATTCAACAAGCAGATGGAGGTTTAACTTGTGAAGAAGCTCCGAGTCTTCAGGTTCAGCCTGCTGAGCTTGCTGAGTCTGCTGAACAGCTGAATATTCAACCCCGCAAGCCTCCGCCAACTGAGCCTGCAAGCAATTGCGGCGCTCTTGGGTATACAAGAATAAGATCTCAACCTAGCGTAATTTAATTTAATTTAATTGGGTGTTGTAGTGGGGAGATATTTGAATTAAAATCTACTTAGTTGGGATACGGTGATTTGGCTGCTCACTCTGTGGATTACGTTAACTAATTCCAGTTAACTAGTTAACTAACTATAACTAGTTAGTTATTAAAGCTGAGTAAGATTGTAATTGGCAACTCTAACATGGATGCAATTTCATGGCCTGGTTTGGAGAATATTAACATTGGGAAATGAGCTTTGGTTTAATGTTGTCTCACGTCATATATCCAATTCATGGTTTGAATATAGAGAATGAAAAAACCCTACTACATTATCAACCAGACACAAATCTATGGGCTTCTAGCTATGCTTCTCTAGGTTGCAAGTGCAATGTGAACTTCTCATATTATTTAACACCTCGCAGACGGCACAAGGAAAATGGAATTGGTTAAGGGTAAAAGAATGATTGCCATAACATCCAAAAAAAATATACAGTCTAATGTACATACATTCCATCACCTTGTAGCAAGGGCTGGGGCAGCAGCCAGGGAAAGGGATATATATCTTCCAGGTAATCGTACGTATAATTCCCATCCCAATGGATTTTCCTGTCGTTTATAGTAGTTCGAAGTAACAAGGCATTTTCATACAAGAAAACACCTCCCTTCAGTTTGGATGATGCCAACATACAAAACTAAACAAGCAACCACTTATTGCACAGATTGCTCTGAGGAGGCTGGTATCTTATCCTGCGTTTGCTGCGGTGCCTGTGACTCCAATTCGGCAGCCGCCCTCAATCCCAGTGCCTTTTGTTCCTCTAGAAATTTCTCCCTCATTGCCTTTGACTGCATGACTTTCCACCGCAATTTCCACCCGAAAACGCCTAATTCCTTTATTCTGGCGGGCTTATCGCCCAAGAGGTACTGATCCAAGCCGCCCACTTTCTTAATCGTTCTCAGCACGCGATGTGTAACTTTTAGTTTCAGCGTCGTCCCCAAAGCCTCACTGTAGAGCTCCTCGTGGCGAACGTTAGGTTTCCACGTCCTTCTCGTCTTTCCCTTATTTCGTCCCTTGGAGATTTTGTTTCCAAATTGGATTGTCGACCCGCCGTAGAGACCGCTGTTTGCTTGTTTGAAGTAGAGGGAAGGGCCGTAAGGATATTCCGGGGGATCTCCAGAAAGAGATTCAAAATATTTGTCAGGATCTATGATAGTTGACTGATTTGACTGAGAGCGTCTGGGGTACAAGGAAAGGCCGCGGAATGTCTGGAGGAGGGAGGAAGGGCGGGAGAAAGAGAAGGGTTTGGCAGTGTGGAGAGCCATTGTCAGACCATGTGGTGCTGAAGCTGACGAATTGCAGTGTTCGTAGTAACTGGAGGTGTGGCTGCCCTCCCCACAAGCCGTACACTGGTCCTGGGGGATCGCTGGTAGATGTGCAGGTTTGCGGTGGGATTGTTTGCAGTGCCAGGTCAGAGTCTTTTCCTCTAGCCGGTCGTTGTCTGTTGCTGGTGACTTTTCCCCAGGCCGATGCCACTAGGCTTTATTTGGATTATTGAAAATCTAGTTAATTCTGGGGGCATTTGGTTGTTTAGCTAAGCAACAATCAACTCTCAACGCTGCAAGAACCGCAAAACTATGCTCGACAACGGCTCATTTGAACAGCTTCAATATCGACCTTAATGACCTAATTTACGTGCTCTTCACTGACATCTCATTAGCTTGTTACTGTCCACTTCTCTTACTTTCTACCTGATCTGTGAAATTCATTAACTGATAGCTGTCTGCGCTCAGCAGAGACTCTCTCCCACCATGGTCCAGATCAGCGAAGTCAAAGGAAACTCGCGGGAGAATAGAACTGCTGCACATACACATATCAAAGGGTTAGGCTTACGGCCTGATGGCACTGCTGAATCTACCGGCAATGGCTTTGTTGGACAGGCTGCTGCAAGAGAGGTGCGCTTCTATACCTCTATTCGTCCTTGTTTCTGCCGCTGTACGCTCCCTAGATCCGAACTTACCACTGTGCATTTTGTTTAGGCCTGCGGCGTCGTAGTCGATATGATTAAAGCGAAGAAGATGGCGGGGCGAGCAGTGTTACTCGCGGGTGGCCCAGGAACTGGTAAAACGGCTTTGGCGCTGGCTGTGTCTCAAGAATTGGGGACCAAAGTACCCTTCTGTCCCATCGTGGGTAGTGAGGTGTTTTCAGCGGAGGTCAAGAAGACAGAAGCGCTAATGGAGAATTTTCGAAGAGCAATTGGTATTGATTATCTACCTCATACCGATTGTATATTACCTGTTGAGTTCTCGTACTAAGCTTGCTCTGCTAGGACTACGAGTACGCGAAACCAAGGAGGTATATGAAGGAGAGGTGACGGAGCTTACTCCAGAAGAAGCAGAGAACCCATTGGGGGGCTACGGACGAACGATAAGCCATCTGATTATCGGACTCAAATCATACAGAGGAACAAAGAAGCTACGTTTGGATCCTAGCATCTACGAAGCGATCCAGAAAGAAAGAGTAACCGTTGGAGATGTCATATATATTGAAGCCAACACAGGCGCTTGCAAACGCGTCGGGCGATCCGATGCATACGCCACCGAGTTCGACCTGGAAGCTGAAGAATACGTCCCCATCCCCAAGGGCGAAGTCCACAAGAAGAAAGAGATCGTACAAGACGTCACGCTTCATGACTTGGATATCGCCAACGCGAGACCGCAAGGCGGCCAAGATGTGATGAGTATGATGGGCCAGCTCATGAAGCCTAAGAAGACAGAAATCACAGACAAACTGCGCCAGGAGATCAACAAAGTTGTCAACCGATACATCGATCAAGGAGTTGCTGAGCTTGTTCCTGGTGTTCTATTCATCGATGAAGTACGCTTCTCATTCGCAGTAAAAAACTGACAAGTCTAGTTGTGCTAAAATTTCCAGGTCCACATGCTCGACATAGAATGCTTCACCTATCTCAACCGCGCCCTCGAATCCTCCATCTCCCCCATCGTCATCCTCGCCTCAAACCGCGGGAACACCGTCGTACGCGGTACAGGCGACGTAGTCGCTGCACATGGCATCCCACCTGATCTCCTTGCCCGCCTCCTGATAATCCCCACACACCCATATAACCCCGAAGAGATAAAAACCATAGTGCGCCTGCGTGCCAAGACCGAGGGTCTGACCATCAGCGAGCCCGCGCTGGAGAAAGTGGCTGAGCACGGGAGTAAAGTGAGTTTACGGTATGCGCTGCAGTTGTTAGCGCCTGCAAGTATTCTTGCGCGGGTGAATGGGAGGGCAGGCGGAATTGAGGAGGCCGATATTGCGGAGTGTGAGGATTTGTTTATTGATGCGAAGAGGAGTGCGAGGATTGTGTCGAAAGGGGATGAGGTGTTTCTTTCGTGATTTTTTATTTTTATTTTTATTTTATTTTATGTTTTAAAAAAACCTATGCTGTTATTCTTTTAACGTTCGGAGGGTTCAATTTTTACTTTGCCTAGAATTTTCCTCTTTGGGCATTGTGACGGTGATTATTTATTCCATTTGCCCGCAGAGCTATTCCTGTCAGATCGCCATTCGTGTGCTTGTCAGTGTTAGCCATTATTTTCCATACCTCTATTCTTTTACAAAAATCAAGCGTCGTGGGATAAAAGGGATGCGAATCGTGGGAATGAATTAACAATAACATATACATGAAAAACATGAGATAATTTCACAAAGTATACTTCGAAACTCACTCCTCCGCCCCGTGTATGCATGGCAATACTCTCATTCTAGTCCATAGATGAACCGGGGAGGGGTCAGGTGTTTTCGAGATGTAGGTAAGTGTCTTCTGCAGGAGCCCAAGAAATGCGTGTGACGCAAAAGCAGTCAACATGAGCGCCCAGAGTAGCTATAAATCTTGAAGAGACAATACTGCATTAACGCACGAATAACGCTTTGAAAAGCTATGGCTGTGCCCATGGCAAACTTCATACTAAACATCCTTCTTCATCCACACACCGTATCTCCCTCCCCTCTCGACTTTCATGTCTCTCATCCTCCACCAAGCCATCTGGAAATAAAGAACTACCCGTCTCACGATGCCCAAGATCCAATAAATAACCAACACCACCCTCAAAAGAAATCTCACCGGCATATCTCTTAGTTTCAAGTCAGAAACTTTCATGCCTACAACCGAAGATGGGTCTTCAGCCATGACCCCGAACGGCAATTCAGCACCTAGATGATCCACAGCGACTTGAAAGGCACTTCTAACGGCATCCTCGTAACGACCATACCCAGTCCACGGGCCACAGTAACTCAGTCTACGTGTATTTTGGATTTGGAGGAGTATTTTCTGCGATTCCAGTGCTCGATTGTTGAAGATGAAGCGGGAGTATTCCCATATCCCCTGTACACGGAGTGGGTGGAGAGGGGAGATTGGATTAAGAGTAATTAGCACAGGACCATATGTGGCTTCTGGAATGCCTTGCAGTCGATTCATGTAAAAGGATGTACAGAATTGGCTGTTGTCAGTGGAACTGATGGGGGATTTCGTCATGTGGTTAAAGGTAGCCCAGACACGTTTTCGTTTCGGCACGAGCTACGAGCATAATAACACTGTTAGACAGACTATCGAAGCGTTGAAGCGGCAAGTGAAAGTGTTCATGAGCTTCGCTTGGGATTATAACCAGCGCAACGTTGAGCTAGGAATAGGAACTCACCGTAGTGTCAGAATGGAGGATACCAACGGTCCTTACCGATTGAAATCCGCTCAGAACTTGTATCTCCTTATCAGTCGCGCTCGCGGAAATCATCCTCAAAGCTTCATGAGCGGAGGTTGCTATGATGACATGGTTAAAATCTTCTATTTGCCCTCCACGTTCGACCTTAAGCCAGCCCGATTTATGGCTTTGGTTAATCGATTTTACTGTGGTATTGAGATGAATCCTTTCAGGAGGTGCAGATTCAGTAATCATTGCCTCGAGTTCATTTAGAGGGTCCCTTACAAACATCCACTTTGACCAAAATAATGAGCTTCGGAGAAGGTTGCAGTCCGCCAGAAAATGTAGAAGGAGCGCAATTGGCAGCTCAAGAGCATCCCTTGGATTATAGACGTTCCAGAGTACGGCAATCAGCGGGACTAGGTAATTATCACGGAAGGCATTTGAATATCCCTCGTTAGCCAAAAAAGTGCCAATGCTCTTTTGCGACTGTGGGCGACTAGAAGTTTTGCTGGCCCTTCTTTGTGTCCGAGGTCTATTCCTTTTGGCGCACTGTTCATTCCTCAGCAAATCCAGCGCGAAATAGTTGAATTTCGCAATATCAATGAGCATTCTCCACATGTCCAGCCGTAGCAGGTTGCGAGAAAGAATGGCGAAGAGCGATGAGCTTCGCCATTCAAACGAGTCCTCAAGTCGGGACGAGGCGATCGAAAATTCGGTGTCGTGACAAGGAATCTGAAGTTCCCGCAGAAATGCATATAGATTTGCTGCTCCCCGAGTGAGTTCCTGAGACAAGCTCCAGATAGAGAGCAACTCACGTGAAGTAGAAGCTTTGAAACAAGCAAGTCCAGAATCGACCCCGATTTGGTATCCTTTCTCCTCATACTGTACCAAGTGAGTGAGCCCCCTCAACCTGCTCGCAGCTTCAAAAAGATGGACCTCATATCCTGAGTCTTTCAGAGCCCAGAAGGCAGCAAGGCCGGAACATCCACCGCCCACAATAGCTACCTTTTTCGAAGCCATTATGACATGTAGCATAGATACCAGGAACAGATGAAATAGGTCATCCAAAAATCAGACTAGCAAGCCAACAAGACAACGGTATCTTGCATGACTCGCCGCCCGGTCATGGACAGGGTTCCACTGATTTGAGTGATCTAGCGTGACTTGATTCTGCAACCTGTCAGTGGTAACTAATGATCTTCTAAAAAAGGGTAATTGCTCTACGTCAGGCAAAAATTTGATGCAGGGTGAAGCGGGGCATTCTTTGGGAACAGCCAAATCCTACTGCTGATAGAAGTTTTAAGAACGAGGATGATTTATTAGGGTATGTATCAACAGCGAGGGAGTTACCCCGGCATAGATCTGCAGGGAGCCAAGTGGATTGCAGAAGGGAGGGGTTTTCAGTGGAGAAAAGGGTGCCAATTTCTCATCCAACTTCCACGAGAGCAGGATGTCGCTGCGGATGGATGGCATCGTCTACCGTTCAAAACCAGAGAATCATCACAGCTTCGACTTGCAAGATGGATGTTGTCTAAAGTCGGATGTCAAGATTTCTGGCTCGACACAACTTGGTCACGTGGGAACCTAGAGTGCGGTACTTTTGGGGTACAAATAACACAGGCATATTTTTGCTGTAGAAAAGTATTTTTAGGCATGCATTTATCCGTTCTTGGCGGCTTGGGGAAACTTTGGTCATCGTCATCAGCATCACTCTATCAACTCCACTACAACATCCACCGCGAAAGTTCAATATCACAGCAGGGACCGGTCGATTATTTCTCTGGGGGGAAGAAGCTATCAGGTTGGGGGATTGGGAATTCATCTCTTCATATACAATCTGCGAGGCCAAGGGCTTCCCCAGCCACCTAGACGTCCTTCAAGACATCGACGGACCGACCGACCGAACCTAACACATCCATCCATCATCTCCTACAATATCCGCTTCTTTGAACAGTCATTTACCAATATATATAAGCAATGGCGAGCCCTCTAAATACAGATGCTGGCTCAGAGCTGTTCAGTGGCTACGAAGCCGAGCTGAAATTGATACAGGCAGACCTGAACCAGAAGCTCGATCAGATAGCGGAAGCCACGGGAGAGGAAAGGAAGTCAGCCATCAGACAAGCGGAGAGAGCTTTGGATGAGGCCATGGAACTGGTAATTTTTTAACCAATATTCCCTTTTTGTCGCCGTGACCCTCGCTTTCCTGCTTCTTGCTCAGATGATAACTGAGCACTAACACATGATCATGATGAAACGTAGCTAGATCAAATGCGTATAGAGAAAGAGAATATCCCCTCAGCAGCGCGCTCGAAAGTGAACACCCGTTTCCGCAACTTTGTAACAGACATCGACGACATTAAACGCACACTTAAATCCCTCTCTGATGACCGCAGAGCTCTATTTGGCGATAGATATACGGACGACCCCAACGGCGTAAACGACCACCATCTAGAGCAGAGACAGCAACTCCTATCCGGAACTGAACGTCTCGAACGGAGTTCTGCTCGCCTGAGGGATAGTCAGAGAATAGCACAGGAAACGGAGGATATCGGACGGAATACCTTGGCCGATCTATACGTCCAGCGCCAGACTATCGAACACACCAGAGCTGGCTTGCTGGAAAGCGAAGGCTACGTGGATCGGAGTGTCAAGACGCTGAGGGGGATGGCTCGTAGGTATTACATCCTTTATCAAACCCCCAAAATGAGAGTCGCGTGCATAGCTAATCAAGCAAAATAGGATGGCTACGAATCGGGTGATTACCATCGCCATAATAACCGTGTTGGTCCTTCTTATCATTGCTGTTGTATATAGCAAGTTCCGCTAAGCATTTTCTGTTTTTTTTTTTTTTTTTTGGGGGGGGGGGTGTTTGTTCTTGGCGAACTGTTGCTCTTTTGCTTGCTCTTACGATTACTATCGAAGTGGTTAATTATTTTTGTGATCTTGTATGATACGGCAATACCTTATAACTACCGCTTCTATAGCCCTGTTTATCAGATGAGATGATTCTGACAAGCCAGTCGGATTAACAATATATCAATAGTTGACTTTATTATTATAACCCAAACAATCCAACACCGTGGGTATCTACCATTTATCAAATCCATGCCTCCAGCTTAACCAAGGGAGCAAAAAACGCCCATATAGACATGGTCATATGCATATATAACAGATCCAGATATCTTTCCCACCCACATTTAATTTAAAATCCTCACAACCCCAAACCCAAGATTTACAACAACCCCAACGAACACGGCCAACCCCTTCCTCCAACTCCAAACTCCCTGTTCCCTCAACAACCACAACCCACAACCCACAGGCCAAAAGAACCCCATCACAGAGCCCCATAACATATCATCCAACGCCCCCGAACTCCCCCCAACCACGTCATTCGAAATTCCACCACCAGCACCGGGCCCTCCACCCCCACCTAACGTTTCAGAACCCCCCGCAGGACCCCCCTCATCCATCCATATATCCTCCAGTCGCCGCAGCTCCGCACCAGATGGCATTGTATCTGGAGTATGCGACAGGGACTGCAAGGCGAGAAACTGCGACCGGAGCGCAGAGACTTCTGCAGGCGTGAATCCAGCTTCCAGCAAGCGGTCGAAACCCCTAGGTCCGGCGGTGAGAGGTTGCTGGCTGGTATTACCGCTGCTCTGGCCATGTGCAGCGGAAAGGGCACCAGGTAAAGTAGGGGCCGCGGAGGTAGACGATGATAATGGCGAAAGGGAATTTGGAGGTCCGAGGAGAGAAACATCTACTTCCGCCAGCCCTGATTTCTTTTCTCCCTCTCCTCCCCCATGCCCGTGTGATTCACGAATTACCTGCGTCAGCCGCGCTTCGGCCTCCAACTCTGCCGCGGACAGAATAATATCGCCGACTGAGCAGTGTATGTATGTCCGGAACGGTGGTGTTGGCGGTTCGCGGACAGGAGCTTTACCTTTACCATTGCATTTGTCTTTATCATTCAGGTAGTCTGCATCTCGTGGAGGGGCAGGCGATTTATCTCTTGTAGGTTGTGAGGCGATGTTTAGGGCGGAGGCGAGGGAGGAGGAATCTTCCAGTGCTTTGCCAGCATAGATGAGGCGGAGGCGGTGAGTTGAGAGGTGCTGAGGGAGACGTTGGCGGATAAGTTGTTTGAGGCCTGCGGCTGTCAGGCGGGCTGGTTCAGGGATTTCGAGGAGGACGTCTGGTATTGAGGCGGAGAAACGAATTGTGAGGAGACAGAGGTCGGTGGGTAGGAGGGATGTGTGGTCTTCCATCGTTGGCAGGAGCGGTTTATGTGTTTTTGATAAGTCTCTGGTGTATTTGTAGGTAAGGTTGCTGCTTTTGTTATATCATCATGAATCTCACGGTTCGTTGTTGATAGATTAATCTAAATGGATCTCCAACTTTCATGGAATGCCAATATAAGTGTCACGTGATATAGGTTACTGCAGGAATTGCCGAGGTCACGAAATGGAAAACCTCGAGAGGATGTTTATCTGAGTATGGTCATGTCTAACGTTTTAAAGATTTTATATATTCCAGGGGCTCATGCACACTTAGTTACCTTTTCAGCAAAAGAGATCGTCGCATGCCAAGTTTTGCCATCCAATAATATCAACAGTATTCAACCAGATACCAAATGATAACTTTCAGGCCAACACTGAAATTGTAACAATAATGACAAAAAACTTCTTGACGACACCATATCAGCGTGGCATGTCACTCGTTTCCCTATATTTGCTCAGACTTGCTCCTCTAGAACGAGCTATGCTACACATCGCAATCGGTGTAGAAACGGGTATATTCGAATGCCAATATTAAACCGCAAAAAAAAAAAAAAAAAAAAGGAGACCATCATGATATGAACAAGGTGGGAGGTTCCAAACCCAAATTCCAGAGGTTTATCCACCTAACAAAAACAACGCCATTTAATGCACCTATAAAACAAGTCCGAATATCCAAGTCTGTACTCTGTAAAGTATTACACCATGAAGGATTCGCCGCAGCCGCATTGGTCCTCTGTTTATTGTTAGAAAGATATTTTTACTTCCCTATGTCTTTGCGAATTTGAAGACCGTATGAACTTACTGATGTTAGGATTTTTAAACACAAAACGGCTCGCCAACTTGTCTTCCTGCCAGTCCATCTCAGAACCAATGATGCTGAACAAAGCCTTGCTGTCTACCAAAATCTTAACTCCATCTTGTTCCACCACTTCATCAAACGGCGCAGGCTTATCCACATATTCGAGATTGTAGGAGAGGCCAGAACACCCTCTATTCTTCACCCCGACTCGAATCAGCTTCGGATCAGGCTGGTCTATCAGCTTACGTAGGTGCGAGACCGCTTCTGGTGTGATGGTTAGAGCAGCTTTGCGCGCCTTCAGCCTGCTGCGGCGCGCTGCTTTCTTAGGTGTCTGGGACTGATCAGTTTCTGAAGGAGGGGACGGAGGAGCGGACGCTACCGGCGTTGACTTCTGGGGTTCAGATTTGGGGACACCGATGCTTGATTCTTTATCAAATCGATTGGTTATTGACGGCTGGGGTTGTCCTGCAGGTCTTGATTGCCATTTCCCGTGGAGCACGAGATAGCCATCAGCGATTGAGCTGCCCGTTACCCCTGTGTTCCGAGGAGGCGGGAAGGATTCTGGGAGGGTGTAGGGTTGATATGCGGTTTCGATCTGCAGTTTGCGCTTTGATGAGTCACAGGATGAGCCGTACGAAGAGAATGCTCGGAGCCTCAGAAGACATATCCGTCTGGGCAGCTGAGCTGTAAGTGGTTTGAAAAGACAAGATGATGTCACTGTTGGGTGAACCGCAGAACAGAGCGACATGGTCGTATGCGGAGAGAGAGGAAACGAAGTCGCAGGGGGGTTGGAGGGCCCTATGAACATATATATATATATATATATATATATATATATATGTATATGTATATCTATCCCGGGAGCTTTTAAGAAAAGAGGGAAGGACTACTAGATCTGGTACGCAGGAGAACATCTGATGAAATTTGAAGCTTAGGATAAAAACTTGTCAACATTAGTAAGTAAAGATGAAGTGACATCAAAGGTTCCGGGAAAAGGCCGGCCCGAAAGTCACGCCGCTTGGCAATGCACTAAACTGGCCAATCAGAGTCCTCGGGTTTCAACTCGGTTCTGGTGGGTGGGAGATTGTTGGGCGGTACGGATTAACTGTTGCCCCGGTGGCATGTTGCAGCCAGCCTCTCATATTGGTTTAAAGATGGTTACGGGTGGCCGAAGGGGGATGACTCATCGACATCTCCCATTAACCTGCGCAGCAGTAGGTATGATTCGTCCAAATGGCTCGTGTGACTTCCAAGGTTGCGGCGGCTGAATGCTCAGACCCCGTGTTCCAGGGGTTTGACTTTGTTCTTCCCTGGTTTCTCTCGATTTTTTTCTGCTTCTCGGGGGGTCAGATATCATTGGCTGAAGTGGCGCTATTGCGCGGCTACGGCTGACAAATCGGCGGCTATTGAGTGACAACCGAAATATGCTCGACGCAACTAAACCGTCGAACGTGGTTTAAGAGAATGTTGGAAGTTAGCTGTTGGCATAGTGTTTGAACGCTCCCATCTAGGCGTTTAGATAGCCCGTCTTCCACAACATCATGGAAGCCTCTCCCCTAACCCAGCAGTCCAGACCTGACACCTTTCAGCCTAAGATCGTCAATCTTTACGAGACTCTGTTTCTTGTATGTTCACTTCCCGTGTAAATTTCCAAATTTGCTGTGAGTAGTTTAAGGAGCCCAAAGTAGCCTTCTTCTGACTGCCTCTAGAACCCTGAATTCATAGAACCATCTGAAGGCTTTTGGAGGGAATTCTTTCTTCTTCCCCCAGAGAGGCAACGCTTAAGCGATATCCTAGACGGCATCAGCCCTGATGGTATCTTACAGATCTATGTATGCGCTAATCTACATGTATATATATACATATATATGTACACATACATGTTTCGGGTTCGACTAACGTAACTTCCAGCTTCACACCCGACAGCTATTCACCAGAGCTATAAGAGAAGCAGCCTCTGACAAATATCCTTCAAATCTGCATGCTTTAGAGGTTAGCACAACTGTATTCTCCACGTCCCGCCCAAAAAGGACTTACTGAGTGTTTCGAATAGACCTTGACAACTTTCTTTGGTGTCATCTTAACTAAGAAGTACACCAACCCGAGTTCTGATATCATCACTGTTCTTGCTGGCATCGATGAAGTCGACCATGTTATCACCGACTTTGTTACCGCGCTGGATGGTATCATACGGAATGGAACTAGCAGTATAATAATTCCAGTCAAATGTTGTGATACATTTTAGAAAATGACTAATTTTATCATGAACAGTTGAGATCCGTATGAAGGCTATTGAAGCCGCAATATCAATGACCAGCGGGGGTTATAAAACGAGTCTCATCTCGTATTTTATGCATCGGGATATTTTCCCTGTCCTGATGAAGGTTCGGCGCGAATCTAAACATTAATGTCGCCACCCAAGACAGCATATATGCTGACTATAGTTCAGTTTATTCATGATTCGGACTCTCGCACCCTAGTTTTTGAGCCATTTGTCCTCTTGGGTCTTTTATCAAACTATAACAAGTTTGAGTTCCAAAACCTTTACCAACTACGACTTGATGATTTTGTGAACGAATCTACGATTCAGAAAATAGTTAACGGGGCGGGTGCAACATGTATTGCTCTGCGGAACGGCTATGTTGCAGTCCGCGATGATCTCCCAGAAGGTTGGAACTTGAGTTCAACCTTGGCCTTTTTCGGGCTTGGGATTTTGGCGCCTGGTCGTAGGGCTCGGGCACAGCCATTAACGCCAGAAGAAACCAAAGCACGATTTGGAGCTTTGTAAGTTTGTTCCTTACTCGATATGAGCCTTGGAGAACAGCGGTTTCTAACAGCAAAAGAAAAGACCTGCCCCGGAAGCGTCCATACTATTGGCTATTTATGATTTTGTCAACGCAAATAAAATATTTGGCTTCAGCTTCGTCACGTCCATGCCCGAAAAGCACTCTGAAGAGTCGCCATTTTCTAGTTTTCTCTCGCTTTCATCATATCTACTTCAGCATGCCTATCGATCAACTAGAGTTGCTCTTTATGCGGAGACCAATCTTTTCTCCCTACGCATTCTTGTAGAAGACCCTTTTCTGTGCAAACAGATTTGTAGCGATGAGATGAAACGCCCTGTGCGACTCTGTCGCCAACGTGCACCATATCTGCCCCTGATTCAGGGGGACAGAATCCTTGCAACTGTCATATTCGATATTATGATTGATACTATTAACCACAATCTCCGCAGGGGGCTTGACGTCAACCTATATTGGTATTACCCAAAATCTACGCCCCGTGTATGATCGAAAAATGTACTAACCCATCGGGAAACAGCCACACCATCTCCATCCTCCTCCGCCTCCTAACATACGTCTCCTCAAACAAAACGCGCCTCACTTACCACTGGTCCGAGCTCTGGCGGACCCTCGCAACCCTCACCCGCTTCCTAGCAACCTACTCCACAGATCTCCTTTCAAACCCCCAAACCCACAACCTTGCCGCCTCCCTCATCGACTTAATCGTATTCTGTATTTCCGCTGGCGACACTTTCCTCCCCGACCCAGCCTCCTATGATGATCTCTTCTACAAAGTCGTCGAGACGGGTCCCATTCTCACCCGTTTCAAGGAGATATATAAACCCTCCTTCTCCCCATCAGCACCAACGTCAACCCCACCAAAAACAACAGGAGCAAAAGTTCCCTCCATCCCCACTCCCACTCCCACCCCCAGCTCCGCCGCCCTCTCCATCGATACCCTCATCAGCGTAGCTTCCCACTTCCACTCCCTTCTCTTCCTTGACGACACGGACAAGAAAACATCACCCGCACCGACAACGACAACACCTACCACTACCACCGACCCTGCCGCCGCTGCCGAAATCCTAACCATGGGCAAGAAGAAAAACCTGAGTCCTCGTGAAGTGCATCAGATTATCAAGCAGGGGTATGACACTCTGAGCATCCGGTCTCAGGAGGGATTGAACCTTTGGGAGAAATGGCGGGAGTCGGATTGGAAGTCGGAGTTGAAGCGCATTGCACGCTGCGCGGTTGAGGATGCGAGAGTCGTTGTGGTGTCGAAGGCGGGACAGGCGCCGGTGCTTGTCGATACAAGTCTGAGCAGTAGTAAGTAAAATAGGGGAGATTGGTTGGGTTTTCTTTTGAGGGAGGGTTGCTTAGAACGTTTTCCTGGTGTAATGCGATTTTGATGTGGTTGAGGTTGTAATTATAGATGTTTCAGAGATTTTTTGCTTCTCTTCATTGTCATTTTTTTTTTATTTCCAGAAACTGTGATAGTCTGGTATGTGGTAGGTGGCGTATGGCCAGCTGGAGATGTCCTGTTGGCCGTTTTCTTTTTTTCTTCTTCGGGATTGCTGCATAGGAAATTTGTTGTCATATTGAGCATTCATTCATTCATTCATTCATCTGCGGGTATAAATTGAGAAAAGAAAAATATATTTGGAAGCTTCTAAAGGAGAGAAAGAAAAGAAACAGCTTAGCTTTCAATGCTTAGTCTAGAGATGAATGATTAGCTTACACAGGTACCAAAGTGCCAAACATGACCACCAAAAGAAAGGCAAGGACTGAAAAATAATATATAAAATAAAACAAGAAAGAAATAATGAGATAATGAATATTAAAAGAGTACGGACTATCCTGTGGTATCACCACAGTCAAATGTTGATTGATGTGTGTGGTGGCAAGTTGAGTGAGATGAAGTGATCCAACTTCAACCAGAAGGCAAGATTGAATTGCACTCAACATCTATCCCGTATAATGACTTGAAAGAGAAAAACCATCTCCCAGAAACCTCACTGAGGTTATTTTGATAAACATCTCTCCCCTCTCCCCTCTGACATCGCCGATCCAAAAAGCAATATCTTATGATATCCCCATCCAGTAAAAGTTGCTGCAAATATCTCATCCCGGGGGAAAGGGGGGGGAATGAAGCACAGACACGCCAGCTGAACTGCTAGGATGCATCAAATGAGAGCCCCTCAAACATTCTATTGGGGTATCTACGGTCCAAATCTTGAATGAAACGGTATTAAAATAGGTGGGAGGTTGCGGTTCCGGGCCGATCCAGGTTCGATATGCATTTTACCTTATCAATATATTCGTTGTCGGGGCTCTTATATTTAATTGCGAATAACCTTTCAGAATTCCTACTCATCCATATTGCCAACTTGGAGAGCTCTTCGCGCAGACGGTTAGTGGACTGTTGGCTAAGATTAGTCTGGGCAAGTAATTCTGGTAGTGAGGCTGTGGAACAAAGGTGTTAGCGCTACGTAGAGGGATATAAATGCGATCAAAAATGCAAGCCGGACGCAGACAGTTGATGAGGGAAATTGGAGGAGAATTATATCTTACCGAATAATCTTGCTAAGTGTTCTGCCCCATATATATCGCATGGTCCCTTATCGACGTATCCTTCGGCTCCTGATTCCCATTTCTTCCGCAGGACGAGATATTGCTCTCGTTCAAAACGATATAGCAGCAAGCGACCTAAGCACTTGTCAAAGTATTCTCTGACGCCAGCCAAAACTTCCTCGAGTACATCCACTTCAGCCGAGGTAGTTCGTTTGGCCTTTTCTTCCTCGAAATAGGTGGCGAGGATCTTGTTGACAGGCATTTTTGCAGGAAGTGGTACCAGTTGCAGGTTCTTGGTGACATTTTCCCAGTCATCTACAAGAAGTGCTTTGAGGTTATCAGGCATCACTATCCTGATGGATGGGCGTGCATTAAACTGTTCCTCCTGTGGCAAATCGTAAGCTAAGACGTCACACAAATCGATGATACGACCGTTTTCACAGGCTCTACAACATGAATAAAAAATTTTTCTCTTTTCTTCATACCTTTTCAATTTCCGCATCTCGTGATCGTTTGGTACCTCTGGCAGGGGCAGAGGACTGCGTCTCTTCACTATTTCGATTAGAGTTTGCGTCAGAGCTAATTCGTTTCTTCGCTGATGTCTGTTTGGCCCGTTGACGAAGAGCCGCTTCTACATCCCGACGGAGCGTGGCCGCAAGCTCCTTATTCTCTTCGGTTGCCTTGCGTAGACGATCTTGTAGAACCCAGTCATCCCATCTATGGCATTTTTGTCAGCTATGCATCGGGAATCACACAAGACCACAACACAACCAAAAACGAAAGAAAAATTCGAATGAAACAAAACTTGGACAGGGCACATACGTATTCTTCCAGCCCTTGTAGTGAACCCGATACTCGTGGGGACTCCTTCTGTCCTCTGGATCGGTCAACCTGACCTCAAGAATCTTTGCCTCGTAGAGAATTTCATGATGGAAGCAGAAGACCTTCTCATCTTTATGATAGACTGGGTGGTTTGCTGGCGCCATTGATTGTAATTGGACACCGAAAGAGATGTCCCGTCCTAGGTCACAGGCGCTTGAGCCCTTTTAAAGACCTTCTTGCTGCCCTGGTACTTAGGGCGTAATAACGGATGGAAGGATCCGGGATGAAAGGCTTTTAAAAGCCAACAGCAGATTTGACCCTCAAAAACAAGGCGAGAGCAAAACGAACAATGTCGCAAAGAACAAGTGATAGAACAAGGTTATTGCAAATAACGAAGCAGACTCCAAAAAAAAAAAAAAAAAAAGCAGAAAATAAACAATCAAACCAATCAGACGGATTCCACGACGTTGGAAAAAAGTGCGGCCAACTGGACCAAGGAAATACAGCAGGGAGACCTCGCTTTAAAAGAGCAATTTCCAAATCCTCATGGGAACAGTTACACGGGAGGAGAGGAAACGTCGTTCTTAATGAACCCAAATCAAGAATCGAGCGTAGAATGTCCAAGATTGTCCTGCGTGTCTTGCTCAACCGCAAATGTTCAGTTCAGACATCAGCGATATTGGACGGAAGTTGGTGAGAGAAGAACCGAACTGCCTGACTTTGGACACTCGCCCCCTGGAGTGCAACCTGGGGGAGGCTCTTTACACGGTCACGCGATGGTATTGACTGTATTGTAAATTACACACGGCGTATTTTTTTACCTTAAAACGCGTTGCTAGGATGACTAAGATATTATGTCCCAAAACGTAGTTTCACCTTTTTAGCAAACGACAACAACGACAAACATCAAATGCGTCTTCCAGCTTCTGAGCCACCCATTATCACTGCTGTCTGAGCTTTCTGACTTTGATATATAATTCCATCTTGTGTCTTATTTGCTTGCTGTTACCATTGCATACGTGCCGTGAAGACACGTCGTGCGTAATTAACCAGCCTGGCTTGACAATTTCCTTTTAAGACTCATTGGAAGGAAAAGTTGATTCTGTTGAACCTTTGTCCACGAGCTATTATTCTATCTTTGTAATAATCCAATCCTGTTGGACACATTTATAATGCCCCCTTCAGAGGAGTCAATTCTGACAAATTTCTTGCTCTCCCCGTCACCACTACCTACTATTATCTCTCTGGAAAAATTTACAGATTTGTTTCCAAGGCGTCTCCGATCCCATCCGCAGATCAGGGTCTTATATCGTGAGCTGCAACATATTCGCGCTCAGGATCTGGATCTTGTACGGGAGAATATCGACAGGGAGTTAAAGAAGGGCGAGAGGCAAAGAGAAGAGCTCAGAATCGCAAAACAAGCAACCGGAGTAAGCGGACTGGACAAAAATGACAAACTAGAAATGGACATAGCCATCCAGCTTTTTGGCCAAAAGGAGCCAACCATTTCCGCCGACGATATGCACACCTTGTCGTCCCTCCTGCCGGAGATGGAGAATGCTCGCGCTTTGATGGAAAGGGAAATTAAAGCCGCTGATGCGGAATCTCAGCGCATCTTTGTGGAGCTCACTTCTACTGTCGGGGAATTAAGTGAACTGCGTTACGGAAAATTCAACAAGCCCGCTGGCGTCGCCACCAACGCTGTGGAGGAAGCGATCAGGGGCCTGAAGGAACTTGAATCTGCATGCAGTCCATCCAGACCAAACTGATAGGACCACTATATATGGGTCTCCCCCGTTTGGTGCTTTCGACTCATATCATTCCCACCAAAATATTTTGGTACGCAAACCTTAACTGAATATACCCCACATGAGCAGAGCATGGGTCACCCACAGAGTGAATCGTGCAGGACACCAATCTGCAGTTTTCAAGCAAGGAAATCCCAAGTGCGATAATCCCAAAATTGCCCAACTTTTCGGGATTCGGGGTGACGATAAAATGATAAACGAAGTTTGGCTAAAATGGAAATATCTTCTAGATAAATGGCCAACAAAGAGCGTTTCCGCCCTCCCAAAAAGATTTGTCAAGGATCACAGTGGGTACAGAGTATGTTTGCTATTCAAACCACATAAATCTTAACGATAACTCTCCCTGAGTTGCCCCATACAAATCTCCTCCAACTCCCTTCTGAAAATGCTCAGACAAACACGGTCATAAACTCGTGCCATCAACTAAAACCCAAAAGAAAAAAATGAAAAGCAGCCATGAAACGTCAATTCCAGCCCAAAAATGCCCGTCCCAGAGAATGCATCAACGTCTGCCTTGCCAATCCTACGTCCTCTTTCAATATTAACGACAAGTTAGTGCCGCAGGGGAAGTATGTTCGTCATTTAGGCAGGGTGTGTGTTTTTGTCGAAGGCTCTCCTCACCATTTCCTACCCTCTCTCCCTCTGTCCTTTCCCCCGGGTGTAATGTCGCGGTCTATTTTACATGTCTAGCTCCGCCAGTAGAGCGTTACCAATCCACTCAACCATCTCGCTTTGGAGATACTGAGTTTTGTAACTTTCTACTCCTGGCCTTGGTCGGCCGACTTCGTCGAAGGAACATTGCGTTAGTGGCGGCCGTTGCTTCCAGTTGACGGTTTCATTCCCGGGCCCGCGTGGCAATGGAGGAAATCGGGAGTATCCGGATTTGTTCCTGTCGTCACCCTCGTGCTTGAGCTCCTCGTGGCTGGGCCAAGGTGCAATGTTATGTGTGACGGGATATTGGCCCAGGGGCACCCAAATTGTCTCTCTTAAGAGGACTAAGGCCAGTCCATCGGATAGTTCCTTTCCTCCAAATACCGGGTTCACGAAGGTTTTCTCTGTACTCCCTCTCTCGGACGTCCGTTTTGTCTTGGCTTGTTTGAGAATACGGCTACGTTCCTCCTCCATCCTCGCGAGTCTATGGGCAATCCACTCCACAAAGGATTTCGGTGTGAACGGTGATTTTGGGGCGATACGCACCATAGAGTCTCTGACTTTTACCCAGGCCTCGAACTCCTTGGTCTCGTGCGACAACCATGTCTGAGAGGCCGTGTAACTCATTGTTATCGACTCTATCGGTCTATGGGTGGCTGTGAAAGATCTTCTTCCTTGAGGATGAGGGCGCGCTTCAAATAAACCTGCCCCAAAATCTGCTCGGTTATGGGGACTGTAAATTTGTTCCGAATTTAGCTTACCACATTCGCTAATGTATGATGGGAGTGCATGCAGTTGCCGCGAAATTGAATATTTCCCAGCCTACAGGCACCGTGGGTCAGATGTTCGAAGATCTAGTGTGCAAGATAGGCATTGTTGACTTCTTGGACAGCTCCTCAAACGCGCAGTCCTGAATTCAATAGAGGCTTAACCTCTCTCTTGAATGATCTGCTTCCAGACAGATGAACAGGTCAAGGTCTATATTCCTCAAAAGTGACTGGGATATGTTAGGGACGATTCAGGAACAGTGTTCATTAAACGACTCTGGTTAATGAACGCGAAATGAAATTCTTGTTTGAAGCTATGAAGGAATGTGATGAGATTTATATGTGTCTCTGGTTTCAGTGTTGTTTATTTAAAGAGACAACTGCTTCAGAAAGAGAAAGCTGAAGAGAGAAAAAAAAAGAGCAGTTAATGAGTTGAATGAGACTAAGCACAGAAAATCTTCTTAAGGAGAAAAATATGAAGCAGTCTTGTCAAAAACAATCAATGTGAAAAACAATAAATACCAACCCTAAGCTTTTCATAGCTGCTGTAAAATAATTCAGTGTTAATTCTCATTACACTTCTCGTACTGAACTCTTAAGAACTTAGGGATATAGATCTGAAAGGGTTGTCTATCAGCAACTTTCATTGTCTTGCAAACCTCAATTGCTTGCAAACAAGTTAACTTCAATGGCACTTGAAAATAGGGAGTCCCTCCTATAGCCAATGGAGCACACTGTTTGTCTCTTTGCCATCCCCTGTTTCTACCTCCAAGGGCATCCATAATGAGGCTCCTGAGGAGATTTCCGGGGGATGTTTCCAGGAGGCATATTCTATCTTCCTCCCTCTCCAGGGTAATTCCGCTCTTTGGAGGGTGTTCAGGGCGGGTTCCATTGGGACAGTATACATAGAGGCGTATAATACACAGGTTCTCAATATAAATAATGTATGTACACTAGACTCCGTTCAGTCGTAACTTTTCCAACATCAAAAGGGTTTTTTTCTGTATATCCATTTTAGTGTGGATTGTTATTCGCCCAGTTTCGGCAGAAGTTTGCCCCTTAACAAAAACGACGTCATACATTTGACGAGTTGCGTTATTATTCCTACAGCAACAACAGACATAAAAGCAACGAAAAAAAAAAAGAACGCAACAATGCATAGGTATCAAAGAAAGAGCTAGTTCAAGGGATATCAATACAACACAGCGGGTCGTCCTCTCTCGCCAAAAAGAAACTTCCTGCGCGTACTTAAACCCTATCTCCCGTGCTGCACATGCAGAAACGCAACTGTCCACCATGCCATCAGTCCGACTCCACCCCCCAAGCGAGAGCCGCAACAACAAACCAGACGTCAACCCACTCCCGCAACTGCTCCAAACACCATCTGGGCTCGCGATACTAGAGCTACAAGGCACGATAAACCTCCCAGTTTCCCCTGCCGCAATCGACCCAGACGTCCTTGACAAGGACCTTGCGTCTGGCGGACATTCCCAGTCGCCAACCCAATATGAAACACCCATCGGCCGTCTTATATTCCCGGACTACAATGATTCCATGGATAATGATCCCAGTGACCAATCCTGGATGAAGCGGGTCTATCTGTACGTTGGACGGCACCAGCGACTTACTGGAGAGGTCAAGAAACTCCAGAGGCCGTTGGCGGCTATACAGCGAAGCGAGGAGGGGGGCGACGATGTCCAGACAAGATCAAAGGCAAAATCAAACGTAAATTTGAGAGCGGAAGAAACATTTGGGGCGGAAGAAGGGAATGAAGAGGATGAAGACAGCTGTGATGAATTGGAGATTATCGACATAGTCAAATACAAGATCATCTTCTCGTCACGGCCGGAACCAGTTACTTCTAATGTGAGCGCGGGGGTTCTTTGACACACCGGTGCAGTTAATCAGTCAGTCGCTGCAGGTGTCTTGCGAAGTATTCATGTTGGCGATGGATTCCATTCTGGTCTCCATAAGTGAGGCCTCAACTGTATAACTACATATCAAAAATGTTCTTAAGATGTTGCTCCGCATGTATGCTATGTATTTCCCCCCTTTCTAATTGACTTATGTTTCCCCCCAGACAGAGAATAATTTTATTCCAAACACACAGCAAACAACTTTTTGCCAGAGACCTCTTATTGTTATTGTGGCATTTCAGTTATCACTGCTCTTTCATGCAGAAAAATGATCATAATAACTAATAGTTACTGCACTGGATGGAAATAATAAATTTCACACTCAGTCAGATGTATATATTCAAAATGCATCGATCATCTCACACAAACTTGCTTATTTTAAATAATTCGATCCTTTGTAGGAGTTTCAACTGATTATGCTTCAATAATCTCTTCCAATTCAAATGGCAATCCAGATCGCAGAATGACCCTGAACCACTGAGAACAGGAGCTCTATAACTACTCCTTACGCCGACAGTTTCCAGCTTGAAAATCAAAATATCAGCTACTGTGAGAACCTACAAAGCATCACTGTTTTTGTTCAGAAAAGTAAATATCCTTTCCTCTTTAAATGCAAAGTTTGCATTTTGCAGACTAAACCTTATTTAAATGTAGTTACCGTTCACCTTTTTTAATTCTCACTTTTTCTTTAGGTGTTGGACAGCCTGGATACATCTCGGAATTATGAACATATCGCCCTTTTACTACCAGACGCCCCGTTTACCACGCAGCGTGTGTGGCATAATTTTTGATTTGTATTTTGATTCCCTCTGGTGAAGTTACCATGTAGTCTTCAAACGCTTATACTGTCCAGTTGACGTCGTTTACTTAAATGCCAGATAATCCTCGGACCTATTTTAAGTCAGCCGCGCACATACGGAATTCTAGATATATCTCTCGCATTGTACCATTTCTTTCATCTGCCTGACTGTGTCAGAAGTACTCGATCGGAAATCCGTCGCCTGGGCATTCTCTTCCCATAATATGGCTCCCTCAATGCACTTCGATCCCCCCAATTCCGAGAACGGTGAAATATTCCCTTCCGCGCTTGGTCCAGAGTACTATGGGTTTGACCATATCACATGGTATGTCGGGAATGCGAAGCAGGCAGCTTCATATTTTATCACTCGCTTGGGATTCAACCAAATCGCATATCGTGGTCCGGAGACAGGGTCTCGCGCTGTAGCCTCCTACGTTATCACGAATGGCGGTGCCACTTTCGTCTTCACATCTCCGGTCTGTGGAAAATTGGGTGAGAACGAAATGGGCAGGTTTGGCATATCCAGCCACACAAAGCGGTTGCTTGATGAGATTCATGACCACCTGGAACGACACGGCGACGGTGTCAAAGATGTTGCCTTCAGAGTCAATGCACATGTCAGGTCCAAATGGGAGAAAGCCGTTGCTCATGGCGCGGTTTCGGTAATGGAGCCTGCGATTATCCATGGGGAGGAGCCCGGGAGCGGGGAGATAGAGGTGGCAACTATCAAATCGTATGGCGATACGACACATACCCTGGTTAATAGGGACAACTACCGTGGATGTTTCATGCCCGGATATGTGAGAGTGGATGCGGAAGATCCAATCAACGAGTTCTTGCCTGCTATCAATTTCATCGAAATTGACCATTGTGTTGGGAATCAGCCGTGGAATGGGTTGGATGAAGCTGTGAAATTGTAGGGAGCAAAATAGAGATTCTTTTCCCTTCCCCCCAACCCCCCCTATTCAAATGGGGTTTGCACAAAGGACGAAGTGGAAAAGTAGTTCTAATAATATATGCAGCTATGAAGACTGCCTTGATTTCCACCGCTACTGGAGTGTCGATGATAAAACCATGTGCTCTGAATATTCCTCCATGCGCTCCGTTGTCGTCGCTTCGCCCAACGAAGTCATCAAAATGCCCCTGAACGAACCAGCCGTTGGCAAAAAGAAGTCTCAGATCGAAGAGTAAGAAGTATTCATCTAAAATCCCCCGCTAAGAAGGAGCTTAAGCATGCCTAATATTAAACACATACAGATTCGTCGATTACTACAACGGCTCCGGCGTGCAACACATCGCCTTCCGCACACACGATATCATCAGTGCCGTAACCAATCTACGCAAACGGGGTGTGCAGTTTCTCTCTGTGCCCGCAACTTACTATGACGCGATACGTATCCGCCTTGCTGCCATTAATAAAACTGACTCCGAGGGCAACAATCCCAATAAACGGGGGAGTTTAGTCATCAACGAGAGCATAGACACATTGCAGAAGCTGAATATCTTGATAGACTTCGACGAGCAAGGGTACCTGCTCCAGATATTCACAAAACATGTGCTGGACCGGCCGACGGTATTTTTGGAAGTGATCCAGCGGAACAATTTTGATGGGTTTGGAGCAGGAAACTTCAAGAGTTTGTTTGAGGCTTTCGAGAGGGAACAGGCGGCCAGGGGTAATCTTTAGGCGCCTTTCACATCCCCTCCTCCACTCCCCCGCCTCCCTCCCCCTACCTTTTTTTCTTCTGGGAAATTAGAGTCTCTTAGGAGTCAGTTGAATGTAGGCTGCATAGATAGTTCATTATACCATATTCATGATATTGTATAAATTATGAGAAATGGAGTGTTTAAGCTTCTACACATGTATATACATACTTCCCATGCATGAAACAAGATTATATTGACAACACGCGCTCCAAACTAAATGCCTGGGAGATGTTGAAAGCGTGAAGTTGAAACGCCACTATCACTTGGAAGTTACTGAGTAGAGATATCGGGAAGGGAAAGAAATGGGATCGCCGCATTGAAAAAATTAGGGGTGTATGTAAAAGAGGTACACGCTTGCAAAGAGCATCATGGCATACGGAGCATGAATACTAACCTCCAATGATGACAGAGCTAATTAGTCAGGGGTAAAGGAATGTAGCTCATCAGTTAATCTGCCAACCCAGAACCCCGATCAGATGTTTACTAACGACTAAAGAGAGTCCTAGGAACACGAAGGATTTTCTTTGCAAAGACAATAGAAGCATTAAAGGCCAAGATGCTTCCTAGAAATAACAATAGGTTGGGGGATCAGATAAAGGACACTTAACCGAATTGATACAAGGGAAAAGAAAATGAAGTGCGAAGTTAAAAGTTACGTTATTCGACAGAGGGTATTGAAACTAAATCTAAATATCGAACTTCTTGTACCGCCTCTTTTGTCCGCATTGCCAACTGTAGTTGGCAGATGAAGTTAGATGTACCTATTAATGTATGGATATTTATACTGATGGATACAATGGATGATTGTGATGGGATGCTGATAGATGGTCGAGGGCTCAAAACTAAAAAGATGCCGGGACAATGCAGGTGGTATATGCAAAGGAGGAGAGGGGTTAGAGAGGGGTTAGGGAGGCAAACCCTTGCGTTCTACCTTTGTCGCTAATCAAGGGCTTTTCGCAAATCACTCCATTTCTGCTTGAGATTCTCGTGATTTTCGGACAACTGCGATAAACAACTGATCATCAGTGGCGGCAACAAAACGAAAGAAAGAAAGAGAGAGAGAGATAAAACAGAGCATGAAGACAGGATGACGCATCTTACCTCCGCCCACTTCATCTTCGTCTCAACCAGGTCCTTCTCCATCTCAGCCATCTGCTCTTCCATCGCCCTATTCTCATTTTGCACCTCGATATTCCGTTTCATGATCCTATCCATCTCTGTCCGTAGCTTTTCTTCCAGCTCAGCAGGTTGCCGGTCAATAACTGCCTTGAGCTCCTGCACTTCCACCCTGTAGCTCTCATTGACATCCCGAAGCTCTTCATTCTCCACCTTCAGACGAACGAGTTCGGAAGCAATCTGCACGTGTTCCGTGTCCGACTTTTCCGCACGTTCCTCAAGCGAACGGATGCGAGCTGCCTGAGTCGCGACAGTGTGCCTTAACCCCTCAAGTTCAGTGGCCTGTTCCTTTTCCACGCGCACCTTCTCTTCCCATTCTGCAGTGTACGTTTTAATAGTTTCATTCGAAAGTTTAATCGCGCATGCATCTTGGACCATGAAATCGGCGCGGTATATTTCCTTGTCTGAGGAGCCGGAGCTGCCGAAGAATCCGGATTCAAGGATCGAGTTTGCAGTGGGCTGCTGATCGATATAGACGTCGAATAACTTTTCTTTGAGGAAATTGGTTAGCGAAGTCATGTCGGTCATCCCGAGCAAGGTGTCGGCATTGCGCTTCATAATGGCGACAGCGAATCTGAGAATTGTGGGTTCTAGCCCTTCCTCAAATATCAAGTCATAGATGCGGAGGACAAGTTGCAGCGGGAATCGGTATGCGAACAACGTAAGGAACCACTGGGTTGCATAGAGTTGGGGAGTAACCCCGCGTCGACGTAGATGACAAGCCAAGGCAGGTTCAAGGTCTTCCAACAGGCGCTCGAACTGATACAGACGGAGGTGAAGTCCTGGCATGTCCTGGATGAACATGTCTCGTAGGCAGTATTTGTTCATTAACTTAACCAAAAGAGTAAATGCTTCCCCATCATCCATCTATTTCAGAATATCACTTAGTTAGGTGCCCGCACACAATGAATATTTTACTCTACTCTCAGATGAACCAGTGATGACTTACATTAAACAACAGAGGCATAACAATGAAGTTCATTCCCTGGGCATAACCCACCCCTTCGTCATACAAAGCATAAGCTTTGCAGAGTCCAAATAATCCATCCTGGTTGCGCTGAGATAAGAAGTATTTTGAGTAACTGGTCCTCGAACCAAGGTCCCGCCTGATAGCTTTTTCTAGCTTCTGAAGCGCGGCTGCATCCTCCTTTGCCTTCCTTTTTCGAGCAACTTCCTGGGTTGCTTGTTCTTTTGTTACCGATTCCGGATCCTTCTCTGGTATCGATGGAGGGGAGACGACACTTTGGGTCGAGTAAGCCGTGGGGCTCGAGTTGTCAGAGGCGAGGGAGGATCGGGAAGAAGCCAGCGATTCCTTCTCTTTATCCTTGGGAACTCCATTGCTCTGGGTGTTAACTGTTATGGCGGAGCTGTTACTCCAGAAGTGATCTCTATCCTTTTCCATACCCCGTGCTAAAAGCTCTCTATACACATCCTCCAACTCAGGATTCCTACTGTCTGCAAGTACTTGCCAAATAACTCCACGGATGGTTTGCGGAATGCCTCTCTTGATAGCTGCATTCAACTCTGCGGCATTTGATCCTTTAAGAGCCTCAGGCCCATGGTTAACTATCTGTTGCCACAACTCCCAATCGACAGGAGTTGCCGCATCAGTCGCAGATGATGATATGCCAGATACAGTGCCGGGAGCCAGATTTGGATTAACCGTTGGAGGAAGACCGGGGGAGGTTGTCACAGGGGATGAAACAGGAGGCATGGAAGGTCCACCTTCATCTTTTCCCGATGCGCTTGCAGGACTTCCAGCAGTACCGGTCCGGACATCAATGTGGACTGACGTAACACTACCTGATTCATCGACAACGCCCTCGTCCCGCATTCTTAAGAGCTTAAATTGATCCCTCAAACTGTTGCGCGTTTGTTTCTTCGAGTCCATGCTGGCAGAATCCCCATCACTCCCCTCTTGTAACCGGCCTAATAACTCCGGATTGCTGCCTACGGTCGACAACGATGTCGCAGTGTTTCTCCGGCTCCCACCAGTCCCAGACGAAGTTTTCACATCCTTGGTGCCAGTACTACCCCGTGAAAGCCATGAAAATGGGCTGGTGAGTTTTCGTGAGGGAAGGGGTGGACTTGCTAATTGGGCTGCGGGGGGTTGATATTTGTTGGTGGGCGGAGGACTCCAGGGTACCGAGGGGAGTGAGGCGGAGAAGCCTTGGAGGAGGCTAGTTTGCTTAAAGGGGTCCCTCGAGCCCGAGGGCAGAGGGGGAGGACTGCTTGTCGAATCTAGGGGCGTTTGTTGTGATTTGCCCTCCTCTTCGTCCTTTGTGCTGGTCAAATTGACTTCATCCAGAGATGATGTGGAGAGACGGTGAGCAGTTAATAAGGGCGATTTGGAGGGTTTTTGTTTCTTTGGCGTATCCTCACCCGAATGGGAGAGTTGAGAGAGAGCATCATCCTGGCTATTGCGGTTCGTCTCGGGTGTAGGCACAGGAGGGTGTGTTGTGGCTCGTGGAGTAGTCAGAGATCCATGGGAAGGACGATGGTCGGTCAGAGAACGGGTGGCGCCGTGGGTAATCGGAGATTCAACGCCCTGTGCAGTGTCTTGTGCGTCTTCGAAGGTGTCCTAAATAAAACGGAGAGCATCATGAGCATTTGCTTCTCCTTTCAATTAAATTCTATGCAATGGAACGAATTGTAACCAACCGTTTCGTAGTCTGTATTCTCCGTGCTGTTGGATACCATGGCTGGTCGTGTGCATGCGGCGAGATTAGTCGTTTGCGATGTTCCTAGCTGGGAGAAAGCTCTAACTATATAAGACGGGAGACAGAATCCATAGACAGTGGACAGAAGTGACAAATCCTCAGCAAAACGAACGGAGATGGTCTAGGGACTCTTAGACGATAGACGGAGGATGGGAGGGGATGGAAGCAAGAACTATTTACGGCTTGGTGATAAAGTTGAGAACGTAGGTTGAAGAAAGGTGTTGGGATGAAGATTGGTTATTGTTGTTGGAAGTTTGATGTTTCTGTTTCGTCTCTATTTTACCAGCTCACTGATAACAACAGAGATGCCAATTATTGTAACTACAACATCTGGGCATCTCCCATGGTTTATATTATTAGTGAAATATTTTAATATATGCGCGGATGAGAACCTGAAACACCTTCAACTATCACCCTTTTAGTTATTTAAATAAAACTAAAAACCGAAATAGGCTGCGTCTTTTTCAACAGATCGCAGTTGACGGCAATAAAATATCTTTTCTCTCTAACTATATCTTGGCTAACTAGTTACCTGCTACTTTACTTATTTCTGGTCCTAAAACTTGCTTAAGGCATATTTCACTATCTACATCAGAAGGCCCGTCTGCAGTGTGGCCTTTGCATGCTCATATGTCCTGTGTAGCCTTGTCGCATATTAAGTAACTCTGTACGGACGGACTATGCGCGAAGTAGACCAAAGGTCGCGCTAACTGGGTGCCATGCACGCACTGCTATTCGCCAGAAGATTGGGTGTCATGCATCAGTTGATTCGAGAAGGTCAAGGAGAGAAAGCAGTTCCTCATGTGTGGTCCTTGGTAGAAAAAAAATCAATCCTATCTTGTATGATCCTCCTAGTGGTCGAATGCCCCTCGGTTACTTAAAGTGGGGAAGTGTTTACTTCCGTACACTCGCCAACAGTTGTATATCAAGTAACATCCGCTTTCGTCTACCCCAGCCGTCTCTATTGTCCTCTGTGTCGCCTTTTGCCCCCTCTGCCCTTTGTCCACATGTTAGAACAATTCTCCAGTCTGGATAATGAAATATATATTTTGTGTGTGTTAATGCATATATATATATACAACAGAAAGCCACAGTATATGGACCAAGAATAAACGAGTGCATGTATACAAAATAAATCTAGAAGCCCACAGCCCCCCGGAACGTTAATCCCCACAAGACTCCAGTCCTTTGAACTCAAACCCCAAAAAAGAGTTGTAGATTCCATTCCACATTCCCCAGGACCCTTCGATTAAGAAGTCCAGGAAAACACGTCGAAAACAAACACCAATACTATGGCGGCCCCTCCGTGTTGTGGCAATGCTGTGGAATGTGGGCGTGTATCTTCAATAGACCCATCGTGAAACATCGCCCACTCACCTATAGGTTCAACGAAGTCTCAAGGTCCATCCACCTCCCTTGCCTCAGTGGATCAAGCCTTTTTAGCTCAGATACCCATCCCGATATCCGCTGTTTCACTTCCGTTGACATTCGTCCTTGGATGCGAGAAATGATCGTGCTACAGTTGATCAGAGACTGATAGATCCATCTGCAGTCTTCCTCTCCGTCCAACATCTCAGTGATAGCCTCAACCTCGTTCTCCAGATACTTTAATCGATCAGCATCCGTAAGATTTGGCGCCATGGTCCCTGGAGCCAGAGCGGGATCAAATGTGCACATCAGATTTTGGTGATAGAACCACAAAGACTGATCGTATGGGTCGATTAAAGCCCGATGGATTAGTTTCAACTCTAGGTATCCCTGGAGTGAGTGACACTTCGTAAAAATAATCATCTTTTACATGCACATATCTGAATTCTTTCAAAAACAAAACTTACCGTCGTCTAGCATCTTCTTCCTTTCCTCATCGCTGGCAGACTGTTCATTCAGCAGCTTCAAAATAAGTTGTGTTCGGTTATGCCACGCTGAGAAATTGGATAAATTTGTACCGATCATCTTCGTTGTATAGTCAAGTTCCCCCTTTGTCATGCTTTTGGGTGCGGGTGTCCCTTTCTCGCCATTGGGCTCCCCATGATCGTTCGAGGCCAACCCTTCGAGTGCCGATATGACTTGTCGACGATATCCCCAACCGTGGAAGTTTCTACTGTCCAGGCTGAGCATTTTGCCAACCAGTGCAAGCTCCTCCTGCCAGAACCTACGGGCAACAGAAGTCGGAAGCAAAAGGGTGGTTTGCTCCAGGTCCCATAACCGGTGATTCCAGATCCAATAGCACTTGGGATATCCCCGGAGAAGGGGGAACAAAAACTGAAGATCGGCTTTGATCATGTTCTTGATCTGGTCAAGACTGCTTTTCTCATCTGTAGACGTAGCTTTGGAAAACTGGTGTTGTAATATTTGGCGCCGGACGTTCCATATCGTATAATATTCCGGGTTCTTGGTGAGCAGTTCTGAAGTTTTATTCAGCGCCTCCGTGCTAAAGTCGAGCTCTGCTCTCTGCTCTCCACCGTTAGTATATCAGCGGATAGAGTGAGTCATGTTGCCCATCTACAAATAGGCTTGTGTTTACCTGCAAATTCACTACACGGACAAGTTCATTATATGCCTGTATCTTCTGAACTTCTTTCTGCCGTACACTCTCTGATCTCTGCTCTGAAGTGGCATATCGTGGAATGCCATGCTGCAAGGTCCACCATGCTTGGTCAGCAGAAGAATATTGGGATTGTTTCTCAAAAGGGCAGAGATTACCTACGCTTGCCATGATAGACTCGACAGTCCAATTCACCTCTTTATATTAACCCCATATAGCATTAGGCGTAAAATAGTGCAATAAATACTATGCGTGGATCCAGAGAACAGAGAGAGAGAGACCTTATTCTGAGGGCGGACGGTTCGATCGTCTCTTATCAGGAATGTTCTTTTTATCAGCACGTGACACACCTCCACAATGGCTTCCCCCGACTTCAGCCGCAACTGGAGTTATCCCACCAACAACAGCAACAACGGCAGCAACAACAACAACAACAACAACAACAGACAAAGATCAAAGCAACAAAACAATAACTAGCAGCTACAATGGAGCAATGGAGCATTGGAGGTGGGATACGAGAAAGAAGGCGGACTGGGGGGGGCGCGGAAGACAGACATAGAATTGGGCGTCGGCAGCTTCGTTGATCTCAATTGCTGTTTGTCTTCTCGTTGATTACCTATTCTATCTAGGCGGACAACTTAACAACATGCCATATTAACTACAACAACTACTTACAGCGCCGCATCATAGCATCATTAATGAAGCATATAAATTCTCTTTTTTCTCTTCTTATTATTTATAACCGCTCGTTTCAAGGTTGTTTTATGAAAAGCGGTGTTTTGATGGTGACGCTCTACATCGTCCACTGCCTGAGTGGCAGCAATGCTCTCAAAATCCCAGTCGGTGGAAGAGCTAAGATATGCCACGAATAGCGACAGTCTCTCATTGACTCTCTTCCCCGACCCTCCTACTGAGCGGTCAATCTCTGAACCAGACAATGGGCGGCGGACCCCTTCTCCAGATGCCCAAGCTTCGGGCTCGTCTTCTCCCACTTCATCTCAATATCAAACAGACACGTTTCCTTCTCCCACCCAAGATTCAATAACTAGCCCTGAGTCTAGTCTCAATGTCATTAGTCCCTTGAATGATAGTTACTTCTTCCAGGGGAAAAAGGGGGATGATGTCGATATAACTCACAGTCCAACAAACCCCAGCCTACTCCACTTACATAATAGGAGGCAGAGATTTATCAGAAGTCCATCTCCAGTCTCCCCTCATAGTAGATTCTCGTCTCCGGACCGCTTTCTTCCCATTCGGGAACCGCACACTTCAGAGGTATCCCCGTTCCGTCTAAATAAGAACCCACGTCTTCTTTCTCCTGGAGAGAAGCTGCTCCGGCGACAAGACCCAAGAGCAGACCCATTTGCTCCATACCAGCCAAGGAGACGTGTTGTTGGGTCCAGGTCAAGTCGGTCTTTGGACCGTAGAGACACTCCTCACCACCTTCCACGGCATGTCAGTGATACCTCTGTTTACGCCAGGAATGACAGGTCAGCTGGTAGCAGAAATCAACGACAGATCAGCGCGGGAGCAGTCTGGAGCGTGGGAGGAACCTTTGCTGCAACCGGAAGTGCTCCTGTAGGGGTACAAGATGGCCACGGAGGGCTGCTTTCGACGGGGTCAAGTGCTCCGATGTATGTCGCCAACTTTCTGGATAAGGATACGCATGCCCAACATCTCAAACGGCATGAAGCTCGTCTTGCAGCTGCATTGGATATCGATCAAGCTACTAAAGTCTTAAATTTTGGTGATACTGCATCCCATACAGAGCATATACATACCACGGGGGACTCTCTGCGTGCACAGTACCCTTCTTACGTGTGGAAAAACAGTAGCTGGGTGAGAGCCGATACTAGCACACGTAAGTTTCTTCATGTGTACAACCATTTCTCGTATCACCCTCCAAAATTGACCATTAGCTTTCAATCCCAACAATCCTCATCAACCTCATCGACATTACATATCTCCCATGCACTACTTCTCGCATCAACCCGATCACTTTTAATATTACATTTTACATTATATGGACGTAGTGAATGCTGACTTGCTCGAGAATAGCAAAGAAAAGCGTATGCAAACCAAAACGAGATGCCGTTCCGTCAACACCTTTCCGAGTTCTAGATGCACCTCTTTTACGGGACGACTTCTACTGCTCCACCCTGGCGTATTCCTATACTGCTCGCATGCTTGCTGTCGGCCTGAGTAGTCGCGTGTACCTTTGGTCGGAGCTACTTGGGGTACAATATCCGCCACTGACTCCCCATTTAGCTTCAAACTACGTGACATCTCTTTCCTTTTCTTCACCACAGGGAGGAAATAGCATCTTGGCCGTTGGCCGACATGGTGGTCAAGTTTCTCTATGGAGCACCTTCGATACCGTCGTTCGTTTTGAGTTTTACCAACCCAATTCCGTTTCCTGTGTCTCATTTAAACAA